TTAAAAAAAAAAAAAAAAAAAAAAGAAAAAACTTTGCCGTGCGCTCTCGTTCACTGTCGTTCACAAGATTGCCCGGTATCCTCGCGGGTACGGCCTTCGCCCGCAATTTCCGGCATACCTCGAATTTCGGTTACTCGAAAACGATCGTGGCTGCGTTTTTAACGAGCCGGTGGATTATCGGGTTATCTTAGTCAACACGGCGAAACCTTTGGCAATCCGTCGCTAGGCACTGAATCTTTATCTTTTAATTGTCTTCTCGCGATCTAACGATTGGTGTATTTATTATTGAACATTGCTGCGCGTCACGTGACTAACGTGACGTTTAAAAGCAAACGTGACGTAGCCACGAGTGAAAGCGTCGACGATATCGTCCATTGTCGTTTTAATCCGACGTCACGTACGAGATAATCGCGCGGGTCTCGCGCCCGTATCCTATCGAGTTCAGGATCAGGAAAAATCGCGCTCCAAAGGGTTCGCCGGTGTCTCAACTACCTTCGAAGATGCGTAACGAAAACGTTAGTCGGTTTTTACAAATTAGCACGTCGCTACGTTCCTATTCTAGGGGGACGTATAAAAAAAAAGGGGGAAAAAAAATAGTAGAAGAAAGTAATGTAGTATGTACAATTTCTCGAAGAATTCGACTATTTACATTATTACGTGTATTTCTTTTTTCTCTTTGTTTTCAAAGCTCGTTTTCTTTTCTCTCGTCTCGCAAAGCTCTTCGTTACTATTTTTTTTCTCTTCGTATTCCTCTTCGTCTTCCTTACACGTGTCTTATTACTTATCTCTCTCTTTCTCGAGGACTCTGCCGGAACTACCATACGTGCCCTCCGTTTCTATATATATATATATATACATATATATGTATATCATATACATATACATGTATATGCGCGCGCCAGCGACGTCAGACGTCGCATTGTCTTTCTTTGTCTTTGACTCTCTCTCTATAGACGCCTGCTATGGGTTCAGGCGAAGAAAGAATCAAGGAGATACAACGCCACGGAAAATGAAAAAATAAGGAAGTCGGAAGTGGAGCATGGAAGAAATTCCGTGATATTCTAGCAGAGGTAAAAGCGTTGGGAAGAAGATAACGTTGACAAATAATGTCAAATGATAAGGAGACAAATTTTGAAAAATTGTACGATTACTTCGAGTCTCCTGGAGACACGCGCCAAAACACCGCTAGGACCCAGCAGTACGATAAAGGAAGGTTAGTTCGCAAGAATACCTGCTGCGTGCACGTTTGGTCTCGATGAACGAATTTAAAAAAAAAAAAAAGGGGGGGAAAAAACGAAGATAACAATTATCCATTAAACGCACGCAAGAACCCATATTAACATTACGAGGAAGGTATCGTAGACTGCCGTAACACACCGTAACACTCTCGTGGTATTTTCAAATTTCCCGCCCTTTGACTAGCACTCGTATAATAGCCTACGATCTCCCGTTGCCTCTCATCATTCTCGTTCGTAACTTTAACCTCTTATCGCCACGAGTCAACCGTTGGGAATACTCACAGATATTTAACCCGTTAAACGTTTTTCGTCGGTGTAAGTTCAAAATCCGCGCTCTCCGAATTTCAAATTAAATACGCGCCATCGCGTGGCGCCGGCGTCGCACGCTTCCTTCGTACAAGTCGAGTTAATATGGGTTAACAAAAGATAAACCACTCTCTAACGCAGTTAATGGCGAGCGTCTTACGGTTTTCGAGTAAAAGCGATAATAGGTACGTCGTCGGGGGTTCGAGTTTGCTTGCGCCGTTGCCACACAAGGTGTATCCGGCGTGCCCCGTTACGAAGATGTTACCCGCTTTTTATTCTATCATTGGGTGTGTTCGGCAGAAAGACGGCTGAGGGAGCAAATAAATTTGATTGGTCAAATCTCACAACTGTTTCGAGATTAACGATCGAACGACCAATCAAATGTATTTGCTCCCTCAGCGGTCTTTCTCCTGAACATACCCCATTACCACGGGTGTGACGAAGCGTACGAAAAGTCGATGAAATGATGCGGTAATAAATATTTATATATATATATATATATATAAAAGTAAATAAATAAAAAAAAAATACCATGAAAGATGGAAATGGGATTAGGCAGAAGATAATGAACATTTGAATGCGTCAAGCGGTTTCAAAGTCTTGAAGACGATTTCGGATATTCGTTGTACGAAAAATCACGGGTAAACCGGGAGTGGGGAGGAGCATGAACCTGAAAGTTAAAACTTAAAATAGACGTGGCGAGGAAGTGAAGAAAAGTCATTTGATAACTTCTCCAATGAGAGAATATTGACGAGTGGCTTCGCGTGATGGAAAAAAAAAACCGGCTAAGAGATTCCTTCAAGTATAAACATTGTAAAACGTAGTGCGTCGTTCGCGTTAATACGTCGACCGTCTCGCGGAAGTTCCGCGAGACGAGAGAAAAAAAAAGGAAGTAAAACATAAAAGAAAAAGAAGCACCAATCGATTTCTAAGCGATCGCAGAGCGATCGCGTGAGCGATCACAGCCCAAAACGTTAAAAAAAAAAAAATGATATCTACAGATCTCGTGTTAATGACTGAATGCACGATAATGTTACGGTAATGGCCGTGGTTCCTATACCTTCTTGTTAATTTCAGTGTTCTTGCGCTTTCTGCCCCTGCCCCCCTTTGCTGCCTGGTCGCTACTCACAGGATGATTAGCCGATGGCTCGGTGTCCGCCGTGGAATTTGGGGTTTCCTTGGGACTGGTCTGGTCGACGCCAACGCCGACGATGCTCGGTGCCGAGAGCCTCTCGACGTACGTCGACCATTTCTCGGAGGCGTTCACTCCTTCTCTCTCTCTATCCCTCTCCCTCTCTCTCTCTCTCTCCCTTTCTCTCTCTCTACAACTGCCCTCGGCCGTATCCTCACCCTCTGTGTCCAGAAGCTCCATCGTCATTTTACAGTCTTTCTTGTACTGCAATAGAGAATTTCACAGTGATTAATGGCACGAGATAATCCTAACTTGCATTGGCGCCAATTAAATGGCGCCGATAGCGCTTTTTAATATTTCACAAAACTCTTTATCGATCGAACCTTTCTGCTTTACCGACAGGCATTTCATATTTTGTTCCATGTCGTTCGCTTGATACGTACGTTGCTATTTATTAATGGGGATGATATTATTAATGCGCTTGACTTGTACCTTGTCAAGGATACACAATAGTTACTGACTGACTATAATATGAATCTGTCCTATGATACAAGAATGTATTTGCTGCCTAGCGGAAGCTTAAGAGCACTGCTGAAGGTAAAGGTAATGTATAGCGCGCGCGTAAAGTTGACAGGTTCTACTTACTATGTATATCTTGAAGCAGTTCTCATCAGCCATAGCTTTTTCTGCTTTACGCTGATAGGCCATCTCGGCACCGATCCGAAGGTAGGCCGTGGCACATGGACCACCTGCCCCGTTGTTCTCCTTTGGCTGCCGCTGCTCTCGCTGAAAGAGCTCCATGCACTGCTGGCACGTTGGATCCGACACCAAATGCTGCAACTGCACACGTAATGAGTTACGACGATACCGATAGCTATGATATATCAAGCGTTTGCCGTTTCTGCCGTAAGGAATATGTTTCTTTGACAAGCGGCTAAAATGTACCTGCTGTAGAATGAGCCAGGAAATTAAATAAACTCTAACGCTCTATTGCACAAGTTGCTACGATGGTAAGCGCTTCTTAACATTATCTTCACTTTATATCTTTCCCTTTGAGTATTCTCCTTACTTGTCTCACTGCATACGTGACAACCTTATCCAGAGTGAAGGCGATGTACGCGTGAATGCCAAACATCTCTCTCAGCGTGTCCTCGTAGGCTGTACTCTCCATATTACCGTCTAGAACGTTCTTCACCATATCAAGGAAGGCAGGATAGTAGTCCTCTATTTCGATCTCGTCTACGATCAAAGGAATTATAGAAAACTGTAAGTAAACTGGTACATAGGGGATTGATATATAGTTCAATCAAGAATTGGTAGAGTTACGTACTTTTTGGTTTTAACCTGAGCGCTACGGCGGTGCTCTCCTTGCGTTGCTGTTTGTATCGCGACTCCTCATCGGCAAGTGTCACGGCCCTCTCGTACATCTTCGTCAGGCGTTCGCAGAGTATCTGATGTAACCTCAGGAAGAGGTACCAGTTATTGCTGCCCATGAAGAGCGTGTACGCCTCCTCAGGATCGACGGAAAGCGCGTGAATCGGCACCTTTACGTCGTGTTCCACTTTTATCGGCGTCGTTTGGAGACCCGGAGACGTTGTCGTCTTGTTCCTGGTACCCTGGAGACCCATACCGGTATGCGCGGATGTGTTCGACGAAGACACAGTTTGAGAATTACCACTTCCACCACCGCTTCCAGCTCCAGTTCCGTTACCACTATTATTACCATTTCCACTTGCGCCACTCACGGTTACATCCGCTTCGTCCTTGTCATCTGGAACCACGTAGGAAAATACACATTTAATACGATTATTAGAATAATTTATTTTCATTTTTACTATCGGTGATACTTGCCATCCTCGTCTCGCTCGTCGTCGCTGAGCTCTTGTCGCGGGTGGAAAAAAAGGTCTGGGATGAAATGCTTGAGGAGAAGTTTTATTCGTTGCTTGTCCTCCTTATGAATGGCAGTCTGTCGTTTAACATGATGGATTAAAAGATTCGCCGCGTCGTCAAGGACGGACTTATCCTTGTAGGAGAGAACGAGATGTGGACCTCCACCGGTTTGACCTTCAGTACCTTGATCCACCTGTTCGTGCCTCTATTCCATTTCCAAACATAGAATAATACGATATAAGATTGTCGTGCGCAACACCCTATTACTCAAACGTGTCGTTTATCTATTGTCTTCGAAACTCACCTCATCGTACAAAGTCTCGATCTCGTTAAACAGGCTCTTGGAACGCAGGGCCTTAACGTCGTTCTGCTTAAAATTAATGCCTTGATGATCCAGAGATTTCAGGTAATATTTCTCGTTCTGTTCTCGCCAGATCTTATTGAAACCTTTCTGAGCCTCCCGCCATTCCTCCTCCTTATTCTTGAGCCTCCTAAGAACAACGGGAACCGCCACCACAGGATTCTTCTTTAAACCATCGATAATATCCGCAGCCTTGTCACCGTATATCCTCTTGAGCGCTCGCTGATGTATCGTTGGCGAGCATCCACCAAGGCAATCGTCGAGTTTGAACTTTTGAAGTTCCTCCTGGGCCATCCTACTCATCTTCTTATGGACACCCTCGAGCACCCTTATCGTAGCAGCATTGGTCTCTATCACGCCATCCAATTCGAATCTCTCGTCCTCGCAACGATAGATAAATTCCTCATACTGCGTTTTCCTGGACGTGACGAAGGTACTATCCTCCGACCAAGTCGGAAACGATACCCAGGTATCATTAAGGACTTCTTTACAGAGCTGAGTCCGTCCGGTACACTTTGGCTGTATATATGATTTCGGCAGAGCACAATAAGAAGCCCCAAGTCTCTTACACGCTGAGTAATCGATCTCCATCGCGAGATCTCCTTGAGGACGTTCCTGATGGCTGCGCACAACATTATTCGGAAGTGCTTCCACGTTTAGGTTAGTCGCGTTGGCGGAACTCGTCGTCGTTGAGTCAGTCGAATGACCAAGGAAGTCCCTGAACCATCGTAGAAGCTCAGGAAAGCGTCCAAGAAAGGGAGTCACGAGCTGCACTAATTCGGATTTCGATACGATTTCCTGATTGAATAATACCAGACACCGCAGAAAGTTGTCGTAAACCTCCTGTGACCTCAGCGCCTTACGCACCTGAGAAAATCAAGAAAAAAAAAAAACGATTTCACGTTGAAAAAAACGTCATCTACATGAAAACCCGTTTAAACACAACTCAAAGAATATTCTCCTGGATAAGCCGAAGAAAGGAAACTAAGTCTACTCATTGAAAGAGTTAAAAATACCTTATCGAAGAACGCGTAGTCCGTCAATCCGCCGTATTTTCCTGCTTCTGCGATGCTGACGTCTCGCATCGAAGCCATTTTGTGTTTCTTGGGAGGCGGTGGACCGTGAGGAGCGTGATGAGAATTTCCCGTGGTGGCCGAAGTTGAGAACGAAGGGCTTCGTTTGAGTTGGCCAGCACTATGACCGAATTTTTGGCCACTGTTGAGTTCACGAGCTCCACCACGATCCCGATTGTCTCTCTCGCGATTGTCACGTTCCCGTTCCCGTTCCCGTTCACGATCGCGATCGCGATCACGATGACTCTCCCGAGTTTCCCTGTCCAGGTTGCCGATTCCGCCGGGTTCCCGGTGCTCGCCACGGGGTATGCTGCCTGAGTTGTTGTATGACGTTTTCACTCCTAGCGGTTTTTTAACGATCGTCGAATGATCGTTAACCGCCCCAGCCTTGTTACTCTGAAACATAGCAGACTGGCACCAATTAGAGCACCAATATTTTTTACAGGAAAGCGTCTCGAGCAAGTGCATATCATTGTATCAACTGATTCGAAAGATGACAGTTTCTTTGAAAATCAAATCATAACATTCAGGGATTATGAAAGATTAGACAATCGTGACATTTAAAGCTACAGCCACTGTCATTGTCCATTTTTTGTTACATTTTTACATAATGACTAATCCAACTTCTCATTCCCACAACACGTGGGTGAGATACTATTTTCGTACAGAACGATACTAAATCTTAGAGGAGCTCGCAAGAGGTACAGGAGTCAAATTTGAATTATCCTATCATTCCCAAATATCAGGACAAAACGTTACGTCCAATACGCGTACCAGAAAACTAATTAAACCGTTAGACGTAACTGTAGCTGTGACCACGAATCAGCAAGACTCTCAAAATATTACATTTGAACAAAATAAAAAATATTCGACATTGCATTTATTAAATTTCCCAAAGAATAAAGAGGTCCACGGTTCATTATCCTCGTCAGTATAATTAACAAGTATAAAATGAGTTAACAGTCCGAATGAATGATACAGTGGTAAGACCAAAGATAAAAATAGAGTAAGAACTCACCAGGGCACTTTGTTGATTGGTAGCATCAGGCAAAAATTGTCCAAATTCCGCAAGGAGATCTTCCTGATTTTCAAAGAGCTTGGCAACCTGACTATATACTTCGGCTTCCGTCAAGTGTTTTCCACCAGTAGGAACACCACTGGCACATCCACCAGGACCACCTCCCACATGAGCACTGGACTCCTTCAAGTTCCTTTGTTCCTTCTGGTAGGTGTGCAGAATTTCTAGGAACCTCTTGTACTTATCCGGTTGGCCTTGAAACCGATTCTGAAGAATAAAAATAAAATTAATATATGTTACTTAAAATACATTTCCTTAGAAAAAAAAAAGAAACAGAAACAGAAACAGAAACATAGGTGATAAACTTGCATCGAGGTACGTACCTTGATCTTATTCACGTAGTTGATAGCATGATTGAACTCAACGGGTTGACTTTGTTGAGTTTGTCCGCTGTTCGGGACTCCATCCTGAGCTTGACTCAATGCTTGACTGACGGCCTGTGCTTGTGCAGCGCTCACGTGGGAATTATTGTACGTTTGGACTGGCGGTGGTGACGGTGCGTGAACAGTTAGACTGTTATTGGAAATGTTATTCGCCATAGAATGATGTATGGTGCTGGATCTATAAACAGAGAGAACATTCGACATTTATTAATGGGAATTTATGTAATTCTTCAAGGGTGATGTTATAAAAAGCTACGTAAGGGGGTCTTACCCTTGCATTATTTGTAGGACAGGTGGCGCCTTAGCAGGCTGAGTTGGTGGGCTCGCAATTGGTGGTGAACCTACGTTCACGGTGCAATGATGGGACAGCGTTGCAGTGTGCGTGGCGGTAGGGCTTGGCATACTGACGGAAACTTGGAAAGCATAACCCTGCTCATTTGCCTGTACTTCAATTTTATAACCAGGTGGTAGGAACGTATTGAAACCGACGATGAGTTCAGGGTGACCCTTGAATAAGTGGCTCACCCTTGTAATGACACCTGGTGTGTCTATACTTTGCGACTTGAACTCCTTCATGATATCGAGGAAGTCGTTGTATACCTAAATAAATAGAAAGAAACAACGCGAGGAGTATGAAGATAGTGTTATCAGACGAATGAGAATTGGATGTTTCTTAAGAATGTGTTTATGTACCTGGGGTTGATCGCTGAATTTGTACTTGACTTGATCCAAATAGGACAAGGCATCCTCGACTTTTAATCTTTGAAATTGCTGAGATCCACTTCCACCGCTTAAGCTACTACCTGCTGGTGCGGGTGCTAGAGGTGTGACATTGCTTGAATGCACCTTATGCCTTATTGCAGGCGGTTGTTGGGTATGTGTCTGCGGCTGTGAGCCAGGAGCAGGCTGCTGAGGACCCATAGTGTGCCCTCCGCCACCTCCCAAACCACTTCCATGCAGATTTGCACCACTAACTATCCCACTGCTACCACACGAACCACCAAGTCCTCCGGTACCTCCATTACCCTATAGACAATAAGATTTGTTACGTTAAGTGTCATGTGGGTTGAGAGAGGAAGACTTTTTCTCACAAGGATGTACCTTTATGGCAGAAGATGCGGCTGTAGGCACGACAATGGCGCCAGTATATTGCTGTTGAGTCTGGACTGTGCCAAATTGGACGCTACCCGGCATTTCTTTGGAAGTGACTGATCTGACCAGTTGGCTAGATGCAACACTAACTCCTATTCCAGCACCAGAACGGTATTCCAAACCACCACCGCCTCCTAGGCCACCGCCTCCGTTTCCTCCTAAGCCACCACCACTGGCCACTGAAGAATGCTTCAACGTTGCTGCTGCTGCTGACACTACCTCATCCACCCCACGAACGCGTTTCATCTCAAATCACATTGGAAACGCTGTAACCATACAATTAATAACAAGATATAAAAGCTGTGAGTGTTTAAAGAGAACAGAGATTAGCGGCCTGTCAAGCTGCTACAGCCAGAAAACTCAAAATTCTAAGAATAGCCTAACATGTAGGCACAGCGGGTCATACCAAGCCACTCCATAATTTCTCCAGTAATATGCAAGATGCATGTATTGTATAATCGTATGAATGACTATTACTCTACTATCAAATCCTAGAAACATAAATTCTAACCTAGGAAAACGCGACGCGTCGTCTCTAAAACGTTTCTCCTCGGATTGACCTGAGAAACAATTAAAGTTATTTAACCATCCATAAAATATTAGTGAAAGAAAATAATGAAAATTACACCAAAAAAAACATTCGCACTCGCCTCTCAACAGTGATAGAAAAACTCTACGAAACTAGTCACGACAAAATCAGTGGAAGGAAACGTTGAACACCGAGGCTTTCACCAAGGGGAGCGTTTCTTAGCAAAGTAGATCTCACAAAGCACAAGATAAAATATGTGCGACAAGTATTGAGATGCGTAGCACACAATCATGATGAAAACGTATGCGGTGCAGACGATTTCTCGTGGCGACGCGTTTACACGGAGTCGCCGGGCCCAGATCGTTACGCAATATTCCACGTAAATACTCAACGCATTTTGCTGCCGGTGGCCGTCCAGTGGGTCGAAGAAGAAACGGTTCAGCCTGAGCTTTGCTCTCCCGCAAGGAGGCGGCCGAGCCGCCTTTTAATATACACGCACTCTCCTGTCCTTACGTACACTTCCTCTTCCCGTCTGCGTTACATTCACGCATGCACACGACTCGCGAAAGCCTCATGCCCCCCAGTGCACGCGTTCCCTTTTCTCTGAGCGGCTTGTTCAGACAGAAAAAAAAGCCCTGCGAAAACTTCGCGAAGAACAGGACGGGCCAGACGCTACGCAGAAGCCCTCGTATTTCCGTCTCTAGGTCCGCACGAACGACTCACGATTAACACAGTGAGCCAGGACAACATTTGTTTCACAAAACACGAAACACCCTTGATATTCTCTCGAACTTTTCCTTCCTCGACAGGCAAAATGCAAAATGCATGCTCGTCCTCGCGAGGCACCAGGCAAACTATTGGATTTTGTATGGCAAACAAGGAACCGACGACTCGCAATAGGGAGAAAGGGAGAGGGAGAGTGAGTGAGACAGTCAAATGCAACTCCAGGGAGGAAAGACGAACACAGTGAAAAAGTAACAGAGATGGAACCTTGGAGGGCAACCGAGCAGTGGAAAGGGAATGAGAGGAATGGACCGAACGGGGTAATGCGGGGAACGGAGGGAACGGACCGGGATACCAGTAGCGTATGAAGGCATGAGCCCGGACACTGCAAAATTCGATTTTCCGCACGAATTACTTATTTAATTAAAAGTAATTTTACTAGATAAACAGAAAAAGACTGACTGTGAAGCATTAAAATGATAAATTGAAATTATACAGCAATTTACAACGGTGCAGATAATTTTCATGCGTAGGGCGACATGCGTCTACGCTCCTGGATATATAGGTATGACGACGGACGAAGCCGCCAAGATGCGCGCGCATCCTATGAAATATCCGAGCGGCGTTTCCCCGCGGCCGACATCTTTGCGCGGCCAACAGCTGTTCCGAATGGCGAGCGAACTCCCCACTGTTATCTGGGTCACGGAAACTGCGCAAAATGATCTCAAGAGCCGGTACGTAGGTGAATATGGATGAAAACAAGTAGACATCGACGATAATCATATCTGATCTCAAATATTATAAGTATGGACCATAAAACCCGCTCTGAAGCAAATATGGTTATTCGAAATTCGACAAGTCTCTCGCGAGGAGTCGCTGCCCATCTATCGTGAGTTCCTATTGGTCGCGCGTGAGAAAGCTTCAAGCCCATTGGCTCTCGCGGTCTCTGCGCCGTAGGGTCTCTGTCATCTTCGTCGTTCCTATCCATTCGAGGAGAACCACTACATGAGTTAGAGAGCTGTGTCGTGTATTTATTGTTTAATAATCGACGTTCGGCTGCTACATTGTTTCGTTACGCTTCTCGGATACATCGTGCGATGGTCAGGCTATTACCTTTCGGTTATCACTAGTACACCTTTATATCCGCTACATAAGTGTCTACAGTAACCCAAATATTCTTTATATCGCAAACCGACTCCCTACTTCTTTCTGTACAGCTAACTTGAAAACTTCGGAAGCTCCCGCCCAGCAGCATGTATAGCTCTCGGCAAAAATAGTAAAGGACCATTCACATGAGTTATCGTGCCTTAATAAAACTTTAAGTTAAACAGAGTCTATTATATCTCGACCACTGTAAATATATGAATAAGGGGACGCATGGCCTCGACAACCAAGCAATTATTTATTCGCGACGTCATACACTTTCACGCTGTGCGTAGTGCGTTGCATTTCGAAAGTCCATTGACACGGGAAAGTGTTAAACGTAGCAGAGGAAAATGTGAATTTTTCTTTAAAAAACAAGCGTACCATGTGCACGCATAAAAATGACGCCCGTACTCCTAGTAAACAAGTAGCAAGCAGCCTTTCCCGCGCATCTCGATGGACGTTCGAATCTTCACTCCTACACCGTAAGAAGTTCGAAGATATTTAACGTGGCAGTATCTTCAGATATATATGTATATATATACATACATATACCACATAGTAGCGCGTTTGACTAGGTAAGCCTCGCACCCAGTGGCGAACGCGGCGAACCGCGCTACGGGAGAGCAGCCTCGAACCCAAACGGGGAGATCACCGAAACTTCCAGTAGATTGTCGAAAGGGAAATGCGCAGTGGGGGCGAGAAGACTCGTATAAACCTTAGCCATTCTCTATAACACAACCATAACCTGGATACACCCTAGAAATACAGAGGTAGATAGATCAGTGGTTATTCCAGAAGTTATAAAAGAAACCAAGAGGCCAAGAAGAAATGTTGGAAGATTAGTGCAGGCGTCACACACGCCAGCAAGTCAGAACTTGTTTGAGTGCGAGAGTCTCGAAGCATATAAAGAGAGAATGAGAGCCGTCAGGAAGAAGAAAAAGGAAGGTAGAGTCAAAGCTAGAGAGAGGGAACTGAGTAGTAATGGGCTTGTGGATGAGCCAAGAGGGTATAAAGGGGAAAGAGGAGAGACAGAGAGAAAGAGAAAACTCCATAGGAGGCCGGGAGGGAATCATCCTCATACTCCATTATATACCGTGCGATGTGTCACGCATGCTCGCAGAGCAGTTTCAAGACCTATGCCAGCAGCGCCGATCGCCCAGTTTGTTTTAGTTGTGCAGTGAAATCGATATTCGAAGGGTGCGCTGCAATCCACCAGCGGAACAGCAGTTAGCACCGGTGCTACTACGGGGAGCTTCAGCAGCAGCAGCAGCAGCACCAGTAACACCGTTCCAAACAACCACAACAATACACGAGAGATACTCGAATCAAAAGTACTGTGAACTAATCTTTAAGAATAATGCTACAAGTACCAACTATAATATTGGCGCTGCTCGTTTAAGATTTATCTTACCAACAGTCTCTTTTGGATGAACTATGGAATAATTTACGGATTGCTTCCTATTTCCCCTAAAAGCACCGGCTATACAAAGCCTACGATAAAGCAGCAGCCATGGCTCAGCTGATTCGGTACTGATCGCACCGAAGGACTTCAGGCCTTTCCAAGCAACCGGCGGGAAGCTTCGCGCGGGAAGAAAACCACGATGCGTCTTGTAGTTTATCAACGATTGGACTGATTATTTTACGTCTCAACTTACTATGGCAAGAGGCTTTGAGAGCCCTGGCGCAAACATGTAAGCAAGGCGGAACGTTATGTCAGTCGGCATACGTCGTCGTCACACTACCTTGTCGACGTCAGACGTCGACCCTTCCTACTCTTGCTATATAGCTCAGTTTGCAATGCACTTCTATTTTATCTATAGCTTATTATTATTGGCGTTGTCAATCTTATATCGGGAAACTTTTGAAAAACACGCGAAATCGCGTATATCGTTTTCTCTTGAATCTTTTCTGCGCGAGGTACGGTTAGGTCATCTAAATATACGGAAGGCAAGAGGATTGTTCATTGAGCGTCTAGATCAAATAATTCTCCTTGAGGATATAACGTGGACGCTGTGCTGCTTTCTAGTGAAATTCATTTGTTAATACGGAAATGTTGCTTTTACTTATTGTCTAGTGATAACACATATGTTAATCGTATTCTGGATTTGTTTGGAACTAACTTGGTATACTTTTTCGATTTCACTGTCGTCTGTATGGTACAATACGTTGCTGCGTTTTCGTCAGGCTAATTTAGTATTCTGCTGTTACCGGTAATACGTCGCTTTCAAGTTTATCTGGTATTTTTTACCACGAGGACAGGTATTTTAGTGATAATGACGAATCGAATGGGTATTACAGAAGATTACAGAATATTTGACAAATAACAAATAAGACAAGACGTTTAACTTCCTAGTACATTACATTGACTGGCTCATGAATTCGTCTACGTTTGAAGCAGAATACGGTTAGCTAAAAGGAAGAAGAGAAAAGCCCAAGGAATATTCGTGTTTAAACTAAAAACGTTTCTACAGTTGTACTGCATTCCTTTTGGCGTCAGTTAGGGGAACCGACCTTTGTCGTCAGGAAGGAAAAACACACTAACGATAATAATTAAATCGTACTAACTCCCAAGAGATTGATGAAAAAGAAAACTGTGTAGAGAATCGAATTCGTGGCAGGAAACCCCGTGGGAGACGAGGCCAGAAGCCACCGCGTCGTTCGGCGACAGTCACAGTCCTTACCTGATAACCTCTTGAATTTCACTTTAATCTCGATGAGACGGACGGTCAGTGCACTGTCGGAGTACGCGAGCACTTCGAAGTCGTTCCCGATTAAACTGCAATGTTCGTTTTTATGCGGTGAATCTTGACACATCTTACGGGTGAAAAGTAGGTCCGCTCATGCAGGTGACCGACTGTAGACTGTCGGGTCGGCAGTGGAGGAGGACGAGGCCAATCATGGAGCCTGGGGGTGTAGGGCGTACCGGGAGAGCCAGGTCTCCCTCAATGGCGCCCATAAATATTTTTACGTCAAACATGACCAATCACTTGAAAACACAGGCACTTATTTCACAGTGAAAGCACTTTTAACATTCATTGCGACACTATTGTCAGCTTAAAAAATTCTCCATGACTTCCTAAAGAAATCCAACCAAAAATTTGGACCGATCGGATGCCGAGCACCCCCCCACTTCGGCATTAGTGGACTCGGCCACGGCGCGTACGCGCCCGGAGTGGGGGTACAGCGAATCGTCCTGGCAAAGAGACGCCTCGTGGCCACCAGTGGCTACAACGGTGTGGAGTACACTATTGCATGATATACAGATTGTAGAGCTGGGACGATGCTTGTGACAACCTCTGACGCCGCTGTGCGCTGTTTGCTACCGGCTCGCTCCTCCTTGTGGCCTTTCACACTGTATGTACGCAGAGAGCGTAGGTTTTCCTCAGGAACACCGTTGCCAACTCTGATCGATCCCGCGGCAAGACAATCGACCCGGCAGATGTCACTAAAGTATGGGTTCTGATTTTCTGTCTTTCGACGCGGGATCATCGTGGGTATGGACTCACGCCACTGGATACTTTCCATATTATGCGTTGTGTAATAAAATCTGTTTGTGACAGGAGATAGCGTGGGTCCGAACCTGGATAAAAGAAATTAAACGATAACTTTTAAGCCAGTCTTTCAAAAACTAAGGAGCACGACGTTTTTGATTGGCACGGAAAATTCTTCAATGAAAAACAAGTGTTCCGTGATTACTATCGATTAGAGTGGCGGAAGATAACAATTATTAGTACTGTGTGTTCGATGATGATAATACAATAAAATGAATTAAAAGTATGTATGCCTGTGAAATTATATTACTTCCTTTGCCCAATGTTCCAAACGTCATCACGCCTTTGGTGCGCTTTACTACGAGTCTTTGACAGATTGAGTTCTTGCTGTCAGTGGTTGACCGTTTTACCACATTTTTCACTAACTGTAATCACTTGGCTTTTTCTTCTTATTTCGTGTGATAAGTCGTAGCGTTGGTTAAGTAATTTCTTTTATCGAAAATCAGATCAAGCACTCGAAATTCATGAAGGCGAAAGAAAAGATCGATCGATAATGAATCGACGTCATGGTTTTAGAGTCGACCGCTGGCAAATTTGACGGGAAAGATAGAGAAGGAGAGACTTATTGAATGAGAAATAGGAAAGAGCAAGTAGAATCAAGTTGTCTAGCAAAGGCGGCTTATCGTCTTTCGAATGCGGACTCTACGTGTAGCCAGCCAATAATGATCGAGATCGTGGTTTTAGGTAGTGTTGTATATTATTCTCTTACGTGTATAGAGAAGTTACACGTGAGCAGAGATCATAGATTGTGAGTTCGACTCAGTGTGCTCAGAAGTATCTGTGAACAAATTTTAATTTTATTACAAATTGGATCAGATACACTTATATTATTTTTTACTGCTCCAGCAATAATTTGCAAGGTACGATTATGAAATTTTAATTGATTTAGGTTACTTTTAACGATTCATTTTTTTTATAATATTGTTATTTCTCTGTTGTGTTGTGTACTTTAGATAGTTTGTTATATGAAGTCAAGCACATTTTGTTGATATTGGTTTAAATTCTATCATCATTTTTTTATAGTAGAAATTTGGATCGTTTTTATAACTTTTTATATTACTGATGGTTATTAATCATATGGGTTAATTTTATAATTATGTATTTAATTATCTTGCAGATGAAGTGCCTTATTGTTATTGCCTTTGCAGTATTCGTCTTTGATGTTGTACGATGTCAGGATATTGATTCCAGAAATTTAAGATGTCTAGGTAAAGTTCAAGGATGTGATCCTTCTTTTTCTTAAAACAATTAACTGGCTGTTTCTAATAATTAATTATTAGTTTGTAGAACAACTATCGATGAATTAACAAACGAACTGAGTAAAATTAGTCCTGAAAGAGAAATTGAAGTTGGGAACTTCCGTTTGGATGGAAAAGGAAACACCATTAGGAAAAAGGTAGTTTTATAAAACGAATATTTATATCTGTGTTCCGTTCCTAATGATGTACTAAAATTTCAAGGTTCCACTTGCCCGATCGGAAGTTCATATTTCCAATGTTTTGGATGAAATTTGTGGAAAACTGTCTGATTACGTCAGAGCTAGATATAAGTCTAATGGTCAGTTGACTATTCTGAATTTACTCGATTCTTCTGGAGGCATGAACCCAGAGATAGCTAAAGTTGATATTATTCAAGATTCAGATTTGAATAAAAGCCTTAAATATCACGTAAGTATATCATAAAATATGAGAAACAAAACATTATTTTATGCTTTTAAAAATATCCTAAAATAATCGAGACATTTGAATTTCATCCAAAAATTATCTCAACATATTTTCAGTGCGAAGCAATTATTGAAGAGTTTGAGGACGGAATTGTAAACGTATTCCGCGATGGTGGAAAAGATGCTGACATCAAAGTTTGTTCTGAAATTGCAAATCTCTGCGATGACACAATACCGGATGACGAGGAAAATAAGGAAGGCGACGCATCCGAGGAAAATCTCGGTGACAGGATAGAATTATGATGATTGAAATGTTTAAATTTTATTTTAGTTAGTCAAAAATATGGTAACACTGTACCATTGTCACAGAGATAATTCCTATAAACGATTGTTAATTACTATCCATGCAACACTCCATGGATGTCAATCAAATTTTAATCATTAAAGCATTCTCTGTTTCTATCTATTTCCTCTATGATTAAATCAATCACTGGAGCTAATTTTTCCTGCAGCATGTAACAGAATATAATAATATTAATTTAACTCATAGTATTTAACTAACACTCTAATGACCAAATATGTTCATAATAACAAGTGGCAATCGTTTACAAGGGATTATTGCTAGAAATTGAGTCATAAATAAAGCAGACAGGATCACGGATGATCTAATAAATTTGTGTCATAACTCGAAGCATTGACATTGGGCCGGAGAACTCTGATCGTGAACTTCAAGTCGCTGTTGTCATCCAAAAGTAAAAGTGCAGCAACCAGCGGCCAATGAGCAGTCGTCTCTTTCAAGCCATCAAAAGCGTTAAGGCGATTTCATTGGACGCTAGCGAAAGTCGTCATATGAAAAAAAAAGGTTAAACGGCGCCCGCGCGGAACATTGAACCAGCAATAACGACGGACAGGCAGGAAATTCAGAAAGTATTCACGATAAAGCCGAGCGGTTGTGTTTCCTGTCTCGCTGCTACACTTTGTGGCTTTGTGCGTTATCAAACGAACGTGTGGATACAAAACAAATAGTCGCATAATCCATCGCGTAAGGGATATACGCGATAGTTGTATAGCAAGTGCCAGAGCGTGTATACAATTTATTGATTTCTGCCCCACCCGTGAATCCCGTCTACAAATATCGAATAAATTTCGTAAGAATTCCGGAAGGAATACAGCTGATGCCGGGTCTAGACGCCACCCCCGACTGTGAAATGGGTGAGCGGTTGTATATTTAAATAAAACGAAATCACCAGCGTCATTAATTTTCATCTTTTGCCTGATATTTTCTGCATCGCCGCTCAATGTCTCCTTTACTTTCTCTTCCGCCCACTCTCTCTTTCTCTCTCTCTCTCTCTCTTTCTTTCTTTCTCTCCCAGTTGCTCCAATACTCCAATCATCTATAACACGGATAAGCCAACATTATATTGCGCTGCAGTGAAAATTGTACCGAAATGATTACAGACAAGAACTTTAAGGAGAAACTTATAAGAAATGTGAAGAAGGAGGTGAAGCAGATTATGGAGGAGGCTGTCACGCGTAAATTTGTTCACGAGGAGAGCAGTAGCATTACTTCTCTGTGTGGTGAGAGTCTGCAGAATTAAATAGATCTGATATGTGTATATATATATATATATATATATACAGGCACACATACATTATCCCTGAACCATTATTACGGGGTATTCTCACTCTTTCACAGCTGCAGTAGAAGCTTGTCTCTCTCAGGGTCTGAGAAGACGAGCTTTAGGATTATTCAAAACGAGCTCAACGACAGCACTGCTTCATAAGGTGGCCAAGAGTTTTCCACCGGCTGATAAGATATCTCGTATGGTACAGGAAATGGAAAATATGGATCCGTCTAATAGGAAATCATCCAGTAGCGGTGACAGTACAAGTAAATCCATTCCGCCACCGTTACTAAAAAAAAATTCTACTGGAGTGCTTCCTCAAGGACATCATCATCTTCCAAAGTACCTGTGGATTCGTTTGGCGCTTGTGGAGAAGCAATTGGCCGGGATAATAGATTACTTGGTGGAAAATAGTTCCAAGTATTATGAGAAAGATTCCCTTGTGGCTGATCCTGACTATGGATCTATATTAAGTTCTCTACTAGTAGGTCCATGTGCTTTGGATTATTCAAAAACGAAAACACAGGATCACTTTTGGACGGATCCACCTGCCGATGAATTAGTTCAGAGACACCGGATATCCTCTTGCACTTCTGGCTGTCCACCAGCTCCGCCGTTAAACGTTAGTTCATAAAAATGAAATTTCTATTCATTTATTCTCATAACTCGATCCATTACTTCTATTCCAGTTTGGACGAAGTTTGCATACTGGAGGAAGTTCAGAGGATGGTCTTGGTCAGATGCCACGATCTGCAAAAGATTATGTTGAATCCCTACATCAGAATAGTAAAGCCATTTTATTATATGGAAAGAATAATGTCAATGTGCATCCAGTGAGTAGAAATGTTTAACTGTTATGATAATGTTGGCCAAATTTATAGATACAAAATTACTTTGCTATTTCATATAAAATTATTTACAATACAGCCACAATCAGATCCAATGCCTGGTTATCTCTCGTTGCATCAAAGCGCACAAGGCCTAGTGATAAAGTGGACGCCAAATCAATTGATGAATGGTTTTGCGAGCAATTGCTCGTCGGAGGGAACAACAATTGGCGAAGGCAAAGAAGGCAGGGAAGATAAATCGCAATACTGGCAGTACGCGTTAAATTTAAGAGTAGAGGACATCGTTTATGTTCACTGTCATCAACAAGGAGGTGGAGACAGTGGTGGTACGGTCGTCCTCGTGGGACAAGATGGAGTTCAGCGGCCACCTATATGTTTTCCTTCAGGTAAAATTATATTCAAATCTAATTTATTTATCCTTACTCTATATAAACCTTTAGGACAGGGACATCTGCTGTCTTTTCTCTCTTGTTTGGAAAACGGACTTCTACCATTGGGTCAACTGGATCCTCCACTCTGGTCACAGCGGGGTAAGGGTAAGTCCTTTCCCAGGATGCGTAGGAGACCTTCTCCATCGTCCCCATTGTCATCCTCATGTTCTGATCACAATGAGGAAACGATCGATTATGTATTCCGAATCGTCAGCAAAGCTAGTCAGGAGGATCTACGTGAGTAAATAATTTTTCGAATTATTTGAGATCCCGAAGAATCTTACACAAAGCGTACCAACCGATTCTGTGACAGTGTTGAACCAGGAACTGATGGACCCAGGTTATCGTCGAGGTGGTACCCAAAATTGGCGTATACTCTCCTCAACTTCGGCTTCCGGATCCGGTTCCAGCAGTGATTCGCATCATACATCAGACTCCATCAATCCACCGGATAGTCCTGCTCCTCTGTCCAACGCAAAGGAAAACGGAAATGGTCATCCAATTCGATTAGTATGCCAGACGATGAAACGACAAATCATTTCTAGAGCATTTTATGGCTGGCTAGCGTACTGCCGTCATTTGTCCACGGTAAGAATTTCCAGTAACTTCAAAACTTCACTTTGTCTATAACTGCTCGTGTACCCATAGGTCAGGACTCATCTGTCCGGATTAGTAAACGGAAAAATCGTAGAAGGGAACGCTGAGGATCGCGAGGGCCTTACCGTTGAGAAATGGCGTGAACTATCAGAGGATGGCTGTACATCTGATAGGGCCCAAGTGCTGCGACTCGTTTATTACGGTGGCGTTGCGCCTGAATTGAGAAAGGAAGTCTGGCCTTATTTACTAGGTCATTATCAGTGGGGTAGCTCATCCAATGAGAGACAGGAACTAGACGAAGGGACCAGACAAAGTTATGAAACTACGATGTCCGAGTGGCTGGCAGCTGAAGCTGTGGCCAGGCAACGGGACAGACTTGGAAGCGAATCTAGTCAAGGGTAAGACAGTCCAGGATCAAAAAAACTTATCTTACTTTCACTTTAGATATAAAAAATCATATTAATTATACCAATTCAGATCCAGTGGATCCAACGAAGAAGGTGAGAAAGAGCCAGACGATTCACCGGAGCGCGAAGATCCTGGTTCTCCAGCCTCGTCCCAAGGTAGTACATACTCGAAGGAGCTCCTGGACCTCTTCGCCTTGAATATCCACAGGATAGATAAGGACGTCCAGCGATGTGACAGGAATTACTGGTACTTTGCGCCGACGGACAATCTGGAGAAGCTACGCAACGTAATGTGCACGTGAGTACCATGAAAGGAGTTTTAATTAGAAAATCATAATAGAATAATCATGCCCAATGTATTATTGAATCTTACAGATACGTATGGGAAAGGCTAGATGCTGGCTACATGCAAGGTATGTGCGACCTGGTTGCACCTCTCCTTGTAGTATTTGACGACGAAGCAAAGACCTATGCCTGCTTCTGTCAACTTATGGATCGTATGTCTGCCAATTTTCCCCATGGCGGAGCCATGGACGTTCACTTTGCCAATATGCGAAGTCTTATACAAATTCTTGATGCTGAACTCTTTGAGCTTATGCATCAGCATGGAGATTATACGCACTTCTACTTTTGTTATCGATGGTAATCTTTCACATGTTGCATAACGTACTCTTTCTCCGATACAAATGTTTACCTATAATTATATTTTTAATAAATCCCCTAGGTTCCTCCTGGACTTTAAACGAGAACTCGTATACGAGGACGTGTTTGTCGTATGGGAAGTTATATGGGCGGCGAGATACGTTGCATCGAGCCATTTTGTTCTATTCTTGGCTCTAGCACTCGTGCAAACTTATCGAGATATAATTCTTACAAATGCGATGGACTTTACTGATATTATAAAATTTTTCAATGGTTAGTGTAACGAGAATTTTATGCGCGATAGGGTTCACTTTTTTACCCGCGAATGTAGAAAATAACGGTTATTCGAATTTCTCCAGAAATGGCGGAAAGACACAATGCTCGAGCAGTGCTGGCGCTGAGTCGTGAATTGGTCCTCCAGCTGCAGACTCTTATCGAGAATAAATGAACGAAGAAGAGAAGATATGGACCGCACGAAAGGGACGTGCGTTTATTTAATTATCAACTATATGAAAACGTGTGGATCGCGTAGCCCTAAGAGTATTTGTCACGTATGCTAATTAAAATATATATATATATAGAGAGAGAGAACGGTGAGTTGCAGATATTTTATTTGTCTAATGATTGCGTATTAGCAATTATAACGATAATAATGCCGTTACAAATCTGCTCCATTGTTTCATTTATACATTTCTTTTCTCGTGTTCCATAACGACTTTTTCTCGTAACGCCAATTCATAATAGTTTTCTTCCTTAAACACTATACAGTTTCTTATTTTACTTTGTCCTTCGATGATGAAGTTTCGAAAGAAAATACCCTGTGACCAACAGACAACTAGACATATAGTTCACTGTACAGGGTTGTTCACGGCAAACACACCAGCTGAAGTTGGCCGTGAATGGGTAATTCTACGAATCAGAACAAGGCGGCATCATTAAAGAAATAAAAGTTAATATCATAACATTGCTAAGATCATGAAATTCACATTTTTTCATTTGTTTAACAAGGCCACACTGCCTCGATTAATAGAATTGTTCATTCGGGTTCAGCTTCAGCTGATGGGCTCCGTGAATAAACTTGTATAATCAAAAATGTATTTTTACAATCGCTCCCGTCTAGCATGATTAGCCTGTGTAACGTCAAATCTGACAAGTAACCTAAAATCAAATGGGATAACCGATACATTTGTTAATCTTGACTATTCCACTTAGTCCTTATAATAAAGATAAATAAATGATGGTACATTTAATCGTTGTGTATCGTTGACGAATGTTTTACAGGACAAGAGTGTAATTTAATAAACGTATGCATATATTCATTAAAAAAAAGAAAGGAGCACACGTTCATTAAGTTTCAATTATTCCATGGATTTTATTATACATTTTCAGAATGCACGTGTTGGCATTAACGGAGAAATAAAGATGAAGCACTTTCTTGCGTAAATTTACCACCGTCGCCCTAAATAATGGACAAAACTAATTGAAAACAAACCTATCTCATCCATGCTGCCTCATGAGTATTTCAACAATAGGGGTAATTCGGACAGCTCTGCTGACTGACGCCGGCAGGATAACGTGGTGCTACTGCTGCAGGTTGAGCCGTCGAAGGATCGCTCCAGGAGTCCCAGGAATCCCAGGAATTTGATGAGGGCTCGTTCCAGTCATTATTAGCTGGTGCGCCACCGTGTAAAGCTGCATTGTCGCACTGAGGATAATTTGGGCAACTTTGCGGATTTACACCAGCTGGATACTGTGCACCAGCAGATGCAGGATTCCCAGCAGAGTGCTGTATATAAACAAAAATTATAGGTGCAAAATATCAGGACGTACAGCATATACTATATAGTATATTTAATAATAATACAGTGGTAATTATAAATTGCAATTATGCTCTGATCTGTATATGATTGAAGACGTTTATGTTATTTATGAGTCGAAAAAAAACCAGTAGCATTTATATAAGCGCATAATATTTCCAGTACGTTACGCCTCGCCTATACCTATTTATAAAGACACGTCACAGGATAAAACTAAAATTAACATAACTTCCTCAATGCTACGATACATTATCCAATTCTCAACGTGTACGTAGCAGTGCGTCTATAATTATTATTTGAAGTTAAACGTGAATGGAAATCCTTTTTTACAGTGTAGATAACGAATTACATGTATAATAGAGAAACGTTATATGTATATAAAAATATATCAAATTAATTATACGTACAGGAGCGTTCCAAGGGGATGCAGGTTGAGCCCATGGTGCTGCCGGTGCTCCTGCAGGAGCCCACGCACCTCCTTGAGGAGACCAGGATGGAGTAGAAGCACGTCCAGAGTGTAGAGCTGCGTTATCACAGTTTGGATAATTTGGACAACTTTGTGGATTCACTCCAGCTGGATATCTGTCACCATTTGGTTTAGCCAGCAGTGTGGTGGCTAGTGCCAATATACAGAGCACTACTTGGATCTGTATTAAGTAATTCAAAATTAATGTACACATATTAATAAAATAACAGTTATATACTAAACAGTGTCAATTCCTTTCTACATATAAATACCTGTTCTTTTATTATTATTTTGTAGTTTAATAAATCAATAAAGACAGTAAGAAGGCACATCAATATCTAATGTATACTTATTTCTAGACCATTAGATTATAGCAGATTACAATAAAAGCAAAGAATACCGAATGAAATTTTAGTTGAAAATAGTATAAAAATATGGACAACACTAAATTCTCAAATTTTGTATAAGTACAAATTAAGTGCCCATCTACTTCGAAGCCCGGATAGCTCAGTCGGTAGAGCATCAGACTTTTAATCTGAGGGTCCAGGGTTCGAGTCCCTGTTCGGGCGAATTTTTTCTTATTACATATCACTCTTATCTACTATATTTTCTTCTAATAAAATACTTACGAATCGTTTGATCATTTTTTTTTCTGAAGGTACTTCACTGCTGGACAAACGACTCTCATTAGCACGTGGCTTGCTCTGGGAAATGCCGATCCCGACGACGTCTTATATAGGCTTAGAAATGGCCTGTTCACCTCAGATCAGAGCGGCCTGGGACACACCCTGCGACATTTTTTCAAAGGATTTTTCTCCGTTATCTCCAAGACCTTGGGGAGGCCTAACTCCCTGAGAATATATAAGACTGTCTAACTGACTAGCCATAGCGTTAGCTACGGACAAAGGAGATCCTTCAGTATTTTACGTCCCGTTCTCGAGAATGAACACTCTCGTTACTCCTCGACTCCATGTTAATGCCTTGTCGCAGAATGATCTTTGACACGCCTCGATAAATCTCAGGGTCGAGAAAAAATATTGTCTGTTCCGCATGCACCCAGGAATGTAACAGCGCTCGTGCCCCGCCAACGCGTCCTGACAACGGGGAAAGGTCAGAGTGCGTTTAATGTGTACAGCTCCCGAAGACATAATCTAAATAGCCGTTACATGTCTATTACCATTGATAGGAACAAACATGATAGCCGTTGCCAGTTGTAACGCGTGCCCTGTCTCATGTATGAGTGCGCTGTCAAGGGGAGTTGCGTCAAGCTGACATTAATATAAGAAAACTTGTTAAAAGCTTATTGATATAAAAGGGAACACTTGTCTTTTGAATTTGTAGTCGAACATTTTTATTTGGTAGACATTCTTTTGTTGTTACTTGGCAGACTTCACGAAGACTATTAATGAAAGAATGGCGGCTTAGTGCCAATGTTCTGTTTACACTTAAATTCAATGGAAACATGAGCTTTACTCTTTGCTATCATCTTGCGCGAATTTATAATGTATTCTCGTGTTGCTGGTGAGGAAGGAAAATCGTCAATTATGTATGATTCCAGTCCGAATAGTTACCATGGAATGGCTCATTTAGGTAAGTAAAATATGTATTACTAACCTGTACCATTTTTAACCTCGTTAATAAAGTATATATGCTTATACTGTTATGTATATTTTTTTTAGGTACTTGTTGCAGTGGAACAGGAACTATTCATTTAGCGTTACATAAACCAACTGATACAATGGTGGTCGTTAAGAAATTCTATATAGATGACAGGACACCAGAAGATTATAATCTCGTTGAACGGGAAATAATTGTAACGCGACAGTTACAGCATCCCAATGTTCTGCCATATTTAGCAACATTCGTATCAGGTCATAGTGTATGTGTTGTATCACCTCCAATGGGATTCGGTTCTTGTCAGGATTTGATCGAAGAACACTTTCCAGTCGGTCTTCCAGAAGTAGCTGTAGCATTCATTCTAAAAGATGTATTACAAGGATTGGAATATATTCACAAGCGAGGATTTGTTCATAGGTCTCTAATAGTTGTAAACAATGTAAGGAATAGTAGCTGCGTTTCTATCAGATTTTCTATCTTTCAGGGCTATTAAAGCCAGTCATATTTTGATATCCTCGATGGGACAAGCTTGTCTATCAGGAATGCGATATGCTTGTGAGATAGTAAAAAATGGTCGCTGGCAAAAGAATATCTATTGCTTTCCTAGCTCTACTGCCAATAACTTGAAATGGCTTAGTCCAGAGTTGCTACTGCAGGTTAGTACTCATGTTTTACCTTTGATACTATTCCAGTAAGTGATTTTCTAAACTCTTTACAGGATTTACATGGGTATAACGAGAAATCTGATATCTACAGTCTAGGTATAACCATCTGCGAACTTGCAAATGGTGTAGCCCCATTTACTGGCGTGCCAGCGACTTTAATGCTAACTGAAAAAGTACGCGGTCGTGCCCCTCACATAATCGACTGTAAATTACCGAAGCACGCGGAGCACGAGAACAGTTGAGTGTTCTTGTACGGCAGAATGGTAAACCAGGCGCATCGCGTTCATCGCGTGTGTATATATTTCTTGGTTCCTTGATGCTTACAGCAAACGACGGTGACGCAGGTAGCAGTAACAGTACCCTGGCAGCCATAGGAGAGAGTATACTGGAACATTTTTCATCGCGCAAATTTTCTGAATCTTTTCACTCCATTACCGTCCAATGTCTTCACCGTGATCCGTCAAATAGACCATCAACTAGTCAACTATCAAGTCATCCTTTCTTTAAACAATGTAGAAAGAGCGACGAAACCGTTGTGGACATATTCAAATCCGTACCAAAAATAGGTCGTAGAGACGTCGATTCTGCCGGTAAGAACTTTCTCTTCTGCTTTGTACACTAGTTAAAAAGTATTAGATATATACGTGCCGAGACAACTTTTTGCTCACGTAGGAGACTACGGAGTGGCCATGTCTGCTGAACAATTGGCGAATCTGGATCTGCAAAGCTGCCACTGGGACTTCTAAAATTCCTACAAAGTTAGAACATGTTGGTGTACAACCAATTTTTTTTATTTTTATTATTACCTGTACAATTATTGTCTCAAACTTAATACAAATATCATATGGTAAGCATTGCCAGAGATCCGTCATGAAAACCACATATCCATTCTCTTATTGTATATCATTCTTTTGATGTGTTTTGCGCATATACGCAGACGGAAGGCACTTTTCATGAATTATAAAAAAAAATCCCACGGCGATTGGCAATGCGATAATTGACTGACTGAATAGTCAATTCTTTAATTTTATTCTATCACTGTTTACCAATCACTTAACGTTTAGTGATTAGAAGAATGTCTGGTTCAATAAATTTATAAATGTAATGTTCCACTTTGCTTACCCCTCTTTGAATCACGTTATTTTTATCAATACTTAGTAGCTTGCTAAATTAAATTTCTATACAGTTTGTTATATCTCCTTATCAGCGGAGAATGGACAACGCCAGCTGATCAAATTGTTGAATAATCTTTAACATCGCTCGACTACAAGCAAAAAGGTGTATGTTTACTGAAAATCCTGTTTATACACCTTTTTTACTTTTAGTCACGTAATGTTAAGAAAAGATAATATTTTTCTAAAAAGTGCAATAAACCTTGCACTCACATTAACATAGCGTGCCATTCCTAATGTTATTAGGATGATTTATGTCAATCAACTAGTGGCTTGCACTGCTGACAGTCGTCCATGGCAGGCGCAAGGTACTTTTCAATTTGTACAGTAATAACATCTATCTTTAATTTACTTCGTACTAATTTAAGCGCATTCCTGAGTACCACGGCAGCATCCACACTGTCACCTGTATTATAACAATCATTTAATAATCAAGTAGTGCGCAACGCTTTTATTGTATCATTCAAATGGCACTTACTTATGGCCAAATGTACAGCCAATGCACACTTATCAAGTGTCAAGCACCATACGTGCAAATTGTGAACATTTTCTACGCCATCAATACTGCTAAGAGTATTGAGGATAACTGCATAATCGAGATGCTTTGGAAAACCCTCCATCAGAACGTTCAAGGTATCTCGGAGCACGGAGAGCGTTGTTAAGAGCATCAACAAGGAAAAAACAAATGTACAGATGGGATCTGCCATCTTAGCATTAGGCTGAAATTGTTAATAATAATATTAGACTTAAGTTTCATAGTAGTTTTACATTTTATGCAGTGAACTTTAATGCAACATACGTAGCATTTAATTATTATAGCAGCGACGAAAACGCCAACACTCTGCACTAGATCACCTAGTACATGTACGGTCGCAGCACGTATGTTTATATTTCCTGGTGTATGCGCGCTCTCCTGTGAGCTTTTACAGGAAGACTGAATTCCTCCATGACTATGGCCATGAGGTAGATGATTACACGCACCGTGTAATGTAAGCCCCATACTGAAATATAGTTTTTTTTTTTTTACAGCTGTACAAATATTGATTTAGTATTGAAGTATGCTTCTTACATGATATTTATGAGAACACCAAGACCAGAAACCAACATCATTGTATTTGCATCTATTTCAAAGTCACTTCGAAGTAAACGCAGTATCGCCACGTAAATAAATATTCCTGTGAGCATCCATATGATAGCGACGCTCAATAAGGCGCCGAGGACCTCTGCGGATAAGCGCAATAATCGAAGAAATCGTGATAGTCTAGGTCTGAATTATGGATGATAACTTTACCGGCTCTATAGTATCCAAAGGAAAGTCTCTTCGTAGGTGGTAGTTGACCAAGCCAAATAGCAAATATACTGACTAGGAAACCGACGAGGTCCGATAACAGATGAGCTGCGTCTGTAACTACGGCGACACTACCCGCTAGGTATCCACCGATCACTTCGGTTAACTAAAAGCAGAGGTGAAGTTTAGAGATGATTTTAATGATTTTATAATGCGTTGAAAAATTATTTCAACACATTTACCATGAATATTGTGCAGAGTATAGAGGCTGCCAAAAGCTGTTTCCAAGGCCCATAATGTTTTTTTTTACTACATGGCACACGTGCATGACAGTGTTCGTGAGAGTGGACAATGTGCCCATTTTGTAAAGAAACATTGGTATATTGATCCTGTAAATTTTATCATTACTTATGTTGCTATTCAACTCTGGCCTTATCAATTCCATTTCAAATAACTTGTCGGTATCCAGTACCTGCTATCATACAGCTGTTATCTTAATAGCTGATATGATTAAATTTTTTATTATTACTATAGTATACATACCGAAAGAGGTATTTCAAAATTGTCGGATGCATTAAAAATGATCCTGGTCTGAGGAAACACAGATTGGGCTACTATATTTCCATCCAGTTCCTCTCCTCTGATCTCGTCTGGCCATGTCGTAATTTTTCCATCATAACTTAAAATGCTACTAGATGTAGAGAGTTTTCTGCATTGTACACAACCTGTAGAGCTCTCTAATAATCCTTTCTCCGACTCATCCCCAATAAACTCATCACCATTAATATCGTCACACCTATGCTTACAGCTAGACATTATTAAAAAGAGACAAACTTGATTTTGAATGTTACGTGCTATAAGGACAGTACGCCATAGAACTCTTTAATAGTTTCTTTAAACATCATGACCAGGTCTGAAAGAATGCAAGGAATAAGTAACGAGAAAAAAAAAAGAGAAACCTAGGAGAGGCCAACACGGATGTCATAATAAATTGAAACTTACAACAGAGACGTGACAGATAAAGTTCACAAAGTAATTGTAAGACTCTTTCCACGATTTCCGCAACGTGCTGGTTGCTCATCTCCAGTGTGATGACAAAGGTATATCTGTGGATAGAGAAAACACGGTTATGTTTACTGACAATGTCATGGTAAAATTTTACTATAATGTATAGTTCAAGCATAAAATTTTATATTCGTAGTAATTAAGGATTGCACAGTCAAATGTAAAGATTTTTTTCACTAAATCACAAGAAAGGAAAAAGGAAAAAAAGACAAACCAATGATCGCCATACATACAATCAGTTTCGTTTTATATCGCTTCACTAAAGACCCGCACACGTTGCTTGATTAAACATCAGTGATGATCAGTGAACTGCCTGGAACAAGCCGTTTATTCTTGATGTTATCTCTTTGTCGCACATAGCGAGCAGTGGGAAATCACGCGTGTATTTCTTTATAACAGAGATAACTAAACCGTACTAGTTTGCCTATTATTGTAAACTAGAAAAAATGTAGACAGTCACTTGTCTGCTGCAAATAATGACGCTACATATGCATCTTTCATGTTTCGTGCAATAACAAGAGAATCTAAATAAACGAAACATTAGAACACTATTATTACTTCTCACTAAAAAAGCTTTAGAGAATTTGAGGAATGTTGAAGAATGGCCGTTATAACATTCTTGTTCGTTGGACTCACGTTGAAGATGTTAAATGTCTTTTCGTGGCACGATATTCGTGCGTCACTGATAGAATTTTTAAAGGAAATAGGACCATTGGTATCTGTCATATTTACTCATCAGCAATGACAGCTGTCAAAGGAAACGGAAGCGATCGAGAAGCAAGGCAGAACGGAAAGATCCCGCACATACACTCATACATAGGTGGTGCTGTTTTCTGAAGGTGTTGCATTCTGTTCAATTCTGTTGCACATAAGTGGCCAGAGAAGTCCCAGCATATGCGTACTTCCTTCTGTTAATAATTACACCTCGAAAATGTTCAAAGACGCGGTTATAAGATTGGTTTTTAGTGCCCTTGGTGTTATCTTTGGGGTTTGTGGATTCTTCGTGCTATTCGTTGGCTATGGGAACCACGATGTCGGCTTCTGGTCCATTTTATCAGGTCTTTAGTTTTTGGAATAAACGTGCTAGGTAACAGGAATCCAACATTGAACTTGACGCAAAACTTCTGCACGTCAAGAACTTTTGCGCAAGATGAAATTTCACAATAATGTGAATATTTCTTTTTCAAATTGTATACAAAATGATGTACTGCAATTGATTCTTATGTTTTATGTTCCACTCACCAGCTTCTAACTTTGTTATAATAATACTGCAATAGCAGTGTCATATCATCTATGAATATTAAGTATGCATATATTATAAATCATATTCCTTACGCATACGTTACATGTTTTACGAGGAACTTATTACCATTAAGATCAGTTGTTAGTTTAATCAACAATTGGATTGTTTACTTAGCTTTAGTGTAAGAATCACTGTTACCATATTGCATGATTGTTCGATTATTGTGAACAGTGTTATCTCATGTTTACTGCAATATTGAATACATAGAATACTGTACGGTATATTAATTTTCTTGCATTACCTTGTTTAACATAATTTATGTCCATAGGGGCTCTGGCTGCAGTATGCTTCCATCTCCATTGGGTCAAAGCCAAAGATTCTCTTGATACATGGCATACAACGCTCACTTTGAGGAATATTAATGTTGTGGGATTTCTTGGGGCTGTAGCTGGTATAACAGCAGCTATTTGGTATTTGTTCTTGACATTCTACAATAGAATACGTGAGTTTTCTTTTACTTGCTGATTTCAATGCTCTGTATACTAGTAAATTTATTATTTTTTCCATAGCAACCTGGCCAATTTCTGAAAGTACAGCCATATCTGCTGTATGGGCTTTAATGTGTGGTAAATGGGGAATATTTCTTACTTATTATTCACATAAGTATGAAATTCTCATTCGGGAAGGATCATCGTCCATCCTCATTGAAGGTAATGCATGAGGTGAATCTTAAGACTGTACAGTCGCCAATTTAACTCAGCTTTGTAAAAGGAACATTTTTCTTTTATATTGCACAAATTATTTTAAGCAACCTTGATGTACTATTTTTTTATACACATATCTACATCGAGTGGCACAATATATAACAGTAATATTTACAGTCATTAAAAAAAACCTTAATATATTATTCATTATATTTTATAATTATTTGAATCTCATTAATCTCACTGTCACATAAGCAACACTCGATATGCATATGTGAATATATTTTTTCTAATAACAAATATCTGAAGAAAATGCGACTTATCACGTTACTTCTTAAAGTAGTTACGCAATAGTTTTTGTATCAATTTTGTCTATGAGCCTTAATTTAAGACAATGTTATGAATCTTTGACGAATGAGAATAAACAAGTTTTAAAAGTCATACATTGTACCATCGGAAGTGCATCAATCATTAGGTTCTCTGAACACCAACTCTGATACATAAAAATGGTTCTACAAACAGATCCATATCCATTTATGTATGTCTCCTATTTATTTCCTGTTTATTTTTCAATCTTGAGAATATCTCTTTGCAGAGACAACGATAAATGTACTAAACAATAATATAATAATAATAATAATAATATAATATAATATTAATAAAGATCGATGTGTAATCCTTCGACAGAGCGAACGAATAACGAATTAAATACAGCAATTACGGGAGCATATGTTAAAACAGTAGAATTATTTGGGATAGGTTATTCTACATCAATAGGGTTGTACTTGTCTTCTAATGTAGACGGGGTATGTTTACGATTAGACATACATAATCTTCCTTTCTTTACACGGTAATATCACGTCGAACGTTTCGCGGTATACCCCTCGAACCACAACTATTACGGTGTTTAAATATTAAAAAAAAGGGGCATGAAATACTGGAATGGATAAATAGATAATAAATGGAATTAGTCGATAGAAAAAAGGATCATATCAATCGCTTCCTCGATTATCCCTAAAGATTGTTTTGGCCGAATCTTCATATAATCCTTTTTATTCCACCACTTACCGATTTCCCGTTGCCGATTCCCATTATGAACTATACCGTCAAAATTGGTCATACGCAATTCCGAATTGTTCTCATAATAACGCACACTCGCGTCATCGTTATTTTATACTTTGTCCTTGGTACAAAAAATATAGCGATTTCCGTTCATCTCCGGTGCAACGTGCCTGCTCGAGGTTAACGTCAAAAAAATACAGCTACAAAAATATTTCACGATCTCTCTCCCAGTTTCTCTATTCACCAGCTGTGCCCGCGTGTATGTACATAAAAGTATACATATAATAGATTCGATATATCTATTCGCCACGTTCTATGTTCTTGGTTATACCTAGTCGGTCAACGAGAGGAAATGTTCATAATTTTTTTACGAACTACAGCAAATCCTATTATCTTGCACAGTTGTTGGGTTTCTTTATAAGTATCCCAGTATGGCATGCATTTCCTCTGTTTCTTTCCTTCTTTTTATACTTAGTCGTATGACTAAGAATTATATATTCATTAACGAAATACATCTATATGCACCGCATTACACGAGGAAAAAGATTCACGTTGCATACACACCCTCGTTGTCCTACTTGGTATATCGATAAAGACGCAATCACTTTGGTATAATGTTTACACGATGTTATAGGTGCCAATGTTATTCAAGATGTTGCGCAAGAATCATTGTTCGATTTTGAAATCTTCTCCTCCTTGACTCCCGGTCGACGACGAGTGCTTTGTGCGCGTTTAATCGGCGAGTAAGATTTTCTATAGGAGTCAAAGATTGAATGGCGACAATTCTAAAATAAGCTCCTTGCTATGCTACCTATATATCCTTTTATATCATTCTTCTTAATCGATAACTCTTTCATTATATTTTTTAAATTTGTCTTCATTCTTATTGCCTCTTCATTCTCTCTCTCAGTCATACTCATACGAACATTCGCTCCTCTTAAATCTACTCCTCGAAATGAAGGTCTACAGTGACATCCATGGAACTTAAAACTTAAAAACAAGACAATTATCTAGACATTTCTCTAGATAAATTGATAGAGTATGATGTGTGCATTTTCATCAATGGAGTAAAAGTATACTTTGTGCCTTCTTTGCTTAATATTTTTTTTTTTCATTCATGGATCTCACTGTGCGTCCATCTTTAACAACCAATCACGTTTGAAACACTGAATGGGCCTAGGTTACGGATACCTTATTTAAAGATTCTGTCGTAGTCAGACAAAAGGCATTCTATCACTAAATTCTGCTGCATGAGGTCCAGAGCCATATTTGCGCTTTCCTCAGCAGGCCACATTAGGGTGGGTCCAAACACTATCGCCAGATTTGGTATGTGCATACGGTTGTATTCCTGATAAGACGTTACTCTGTAATCAAAAGTAATATATAGAATACACTTAACGTCTACTAATATATAGATAGATCTAATAAGATAAATCATCTTTACCTGAGAAGATGCTGTAAGAGAAACTGCAACGTGTCGTGATTAGCAGGTGGCAGAGCTTTCACGATTTCTTTGAAGCACTGAATCTTCTCCAACCTCTTCTTAGACACTGATAAACACACGAGAGATTAAATGTAGCCTGATGAATGAATAGTCTATATGTACGTATAGTAGTGGTACCATAATCGGACTACTCACTGCTTGCATTCAAAGCCCTCTCGAAGAATGCAAATGGTATAAGAGGCTCTTTGAGCTCTCTGAAGAAGAGTTTAAGCGCTCCGGTGAGAACGTGTACGTCCTCCTCTTGAGTAAGAACATCAAAATTGTTCTGATCCACTTGCAATCGTATTTTTTGTATCTGACTGAGATTTCCACTAGCTCTGTAAAGTCCATCTGTCTTCATGTTCTCTGTGTTATTCTCCAGAACCTCGATGCAGGCCTTTACAAAGCGCGGGATTCTAGGCGGCTCGGCTGGGCATACGTCGCTCAGATAAGAACCAAACGCAGGTTCGTCTACGATTAGACAAGACGGAAATTCAAAGTAACGTTTAATCGAAATTCTTCTTAGCGATAATTGATTCAAGGGCATGCGCCACGTTTTATTATGATATATGATTCACGTTAACTGATAATAACGTTGCACTAAATCACAAAGAATTTTTTCATAATTTTAATCTGTAACGCATGAATATTTTGATGCTTGCTCGTTTTATTCTCGACACGCCTCGCTAGAGACTCATTAAATAAGATTTATCGAAATTATCAATAATAAGTTTAAAGGTCAATATGTTCTTCCTTTGTGAGCGATTCTGAAGTACAATCAGTAAAATGACTCCAAGTATAGTAACGTCAAGTAAGATTAATGATGCACGAAGAATAAAGTTGTTATCACTGGAATAATAATTACCTTTATAAATACCATTCTTCACGAGTGAATCCATAGTCGGCCTCCTTTGAAAAAATCGCCGCAGCTTTGCCTTTATCCTCGTTTGCCTTTCTGCAGCAGTTCCACTCAAATCCTCCAAGGATCCATCGGGTCGTTTAACTATGGGAAGAGATCATAGCACAATGTATTTTAACTAGAAGTACCTTTTTTCTTGTAATTCATATTCTTCCAATTTACTTTTTACTGATCTCGAACGTCCAATTTTCGCAAACCTCTTGCTCTCCTCCGGGGAGCTGGCGTCGAGGAAGTGTTTTCCACCAGGTTGACTATCTAAGCTGGTCGACATTTTGCTATGCGTTTCAAAACCAGATGGCTAGAATAAAGCGAAACGTATAACATTAGAGAACTGTATTGCACTTGTATATTTTCATATCTCAGTGTCGAATGATTAAAAGAAGAAATTAGATAAAAGTATGATGTGTCTATAATTTTCAATTACCAGGCGACTAATGGCTGAGTGTATCTCTTGATACCACTCGTTGGCGATGGTCGCGTTGTCGCTTTGAATGAGCACCTGCAGTCCCAGGACGGTACTAATAATGTAAACATTCTTACGACTACTGGCTCTTTCACCAGGCTCTACCAAGGCGCCGTTCAAGTCTACCGAAATGTCGGGTTTGGCAGATGCTGACTGTCCCGTTTTCTAAAAATAATTACCAAATTATTATCGAATCATAATACTAGTTTCATCCTCCTCTCGCGCCTTACCATTGCAGCAAATGTTTTGGCATCTTTGAAAAATAAGAGGAATAACTCGGTGAGCACGACGTGCGAGGTGCTCCAGTTTTTTCGCAGCTTCTTTCCATTCTCCGTGATTTTCGTCCTGTTTATTGAACCTTCCTTGAGAACACACTGGAGAAAAGAAACAAAGTAAACGTTATCCTCCTCACTTAATGATAACGATACCCTATTGAAATCTGTACTATATAATTTATTCTCTGGAGTCTTTAACTCAACATTTTCCTCACATGGCTTACGTTAATATCCCAGGGTAAATATAAACTGACGAAAAAAAAAAACCAGATGGGTAAGTTTAAAGGAATGTCAGATACATTTCGCTGAATTACAGACATCTAAGGAGTGGGCATCAATATCTACCATATTGCCATCGAAGAGCTGTGGCCAATCACGTGGAATAGAACCTGACTTCCGGCTTGCAAGCTCACGAGAAATTGCGCTTTGATTGATAAGAACCATGCTACGAGTTTTACCAACTCGAACACGATCAGCACTAGAGCCATTTCGTACTTCCACATCTTGACTGGTGAGGATGGCATTACTCTTGAACTCTGAACTCGTTGAAATTCCTGACTTAGCACTGGACTCCTCGGTACCAGTGATTCTTATGGAGGGTAAAGCCCAGGAAGACTCATTACTGTTTTGTTCAAAGAAGTAGATCTTCCCTTCAGCATCGTTTGAAGAGAACCACTGAAAAAAAAAGAAAAGAAATTTTATAACGAAGAGAAGTCACGGGGGCGTGCAAACTCTCAAGTGATATATTTTGCTGGTGTAGATTATATTTATGCTACCTGGACGACATCTTCGTCGTTCTCATATTTGTCATTTAATACGCTACTCATAAGACTGTTCATCCAGTGAACTACGTCACTCGACATGGACCCTTTCCTTTCGCGAAATCTTATTCGTGCATCGACCAGATCTTCGTACACCTTCCTCGAGGCAGATGGTGAATATCCAGAGTCAAAGTCTTTCAATGCAGCTGCTCGTTTTCTTATTGGCTTATTTGGGGTTGATGTCGTTAAGTCAGGATTTTCTGTATTTCCCTTTAAAGGAAAATTCACGTAAAGCCTTTCAGCAACCTTGGGAGCTTCCATCGTTTCCATATCCTCATCCTCGTCAGCTGTGGACCAATTTTTCTTTTCACTGTGTTCTTCTAAAACAGGTAAGCTCTCAGGGCAACTTTCGCAGTCTGATCTAGAGGCTTTGTCCAGGGCAGAATAAAATGATCTGTCCGATTCAAAACTTTCAAATATGAGATCATGTTCATCGGAACCTGGTGAATTCTTTTCCAGAGGATTGGGCTTCGCAAGTCCATCAGCTTCTGTGGTAATGATTTCAGTGTCATCACGATCATGCTCTGTTTCCATAGAATTTGTTCTGAAGAGATCATTGTTGAAATATGCTTCTGAGGACAATTCCATATTTTTAAATCTATGTATAACAGTATTATCCGTAGTATTAGATTTTTCTAATTTTTTATCCTCATTAACATCATTCAAAGAAAAATTTGATTTATCCGTAATGTCATCGACATCCACAGACTCTGATTCCGGTTCTTCTACGTTTTTTAAATTCCTTACTGCACTCTCCAAGTGGAAAATCCTTTTAGGTTGAATAAGTTCAACATCCGCATCCGTATTAGTAATGTCTAATAAGTTTCTTTTGTCCAGACCATCTTCATCAATATGTAGACGTTCAACAACTTTGGAAGGAAGTAACTCGAAATCAGAATTAATAACAGAATCCAGAGCATTTGGTTTTCCAACGCCATTATCGTCAATGTATTCAACGTCAGTTTCCTTAGAATATAATAATTCAACATCTGTATTAACATTATCTAAAGGATTTTCTTTATCCAGACCATCTTCATCAATATGCTCAACGATTTTGGATGGAAGTAACTCGAAATCAGAATTAACAGAATCCAAAGCATTTGGTTCTTCAACGCCATCATCGTCAATGTATTCAATCACAGATTCCTTAGAATATAATTCAACATTATCTAATGGATTTGGTTTATTTAAACCATTATTATCGATATAGGTTTTTGGTGCAGACATAGATTCAACAGTGTCAAAGACTTCGACATCTGGATTATCAACGTTCACAGGATCCAGAGGATTTGGCCTACCTAACCCATCATTATTAATATTCACAATAGCCGTATCCATTGTTTCTAAATTTGCATACTTCTCCTTCGTTTCAGCTTCACTCACAAAATTCCCAGGCTGAAAAACTTCAACTTCACTGTCATCAACCGTATCCAGGGAATTACTCTTATTCAAACCATCTTTATCAATGATCATACGTTCATTATCAGTTTCCACTTCCACGCTATTAGCTTCATCAAAAGCCTCGATGCTTCTTTTACTACGTACACTTTCAGCATCTTCATTATTTAAATGTCCAGATTCCACTTCCGTCACTATTTCAAGAGTACCCTGAGCAGTATTATCAGGATCAGTCATACTTCTTAAAAATTGTCTGTAATCATCCATTGGCAATTCATCCGCTTTGCAGAAATAACTATCGGAACCGGCAGAGATATCAACAAGTGACTTCCTGTATCGTCTCTGGACAACAGGATACGTCCCGTAACCAGGATGGTCGTTTTTTCTGCACCTTTTGAGTTTAGTACTGCGACAGACACGATCAATGAGCAGAAAGTCTTGAGAATCGTCGTACTCTGTTCTTATTGCCTGAGGAATGTCAACGAGGCTACGAAAAAGACGTTCAGGCGTTTCTCCAAAAATATCCTTATCAATTGCAGAAGTCTTAAGGCCATCCACATAAGACCGTCGATTTTCCGCGTCGTGGCTTGACGAATATTCGGATTTCTTTTCTGACTCAGCACCAAGTTTCGCAGGCAATGATTTTCGTGTTCTCCTGCGTGTCGGTGGTACAGGTACTCTCAGACCGTCATCGAAAATAGAATTAACGTTATATCTTCTATGACACTCTGAATGCTCTGTGAAATTCTCTTCGGACACTTCTGAAATAGCACTTAAGGCTCTCCCTGAGCGTAATACAACCGAGTCGTCGGACTCGTCCTGGGGAAGATCCTCGACAGGTAAATCCAAACTAGTCTGACTAGACGAATCAGAATCTGACGTAGTACTGCGTCTCTCAATAGCCTTGCAAACATCTTCATTGCATTCTACGTACTGTGTATCTCCTGAAACACGTTCTACGACACCTTTATGACACTGATTACCATCTGCGACACCTCCACAGGCATGACCATCCTGAGAAAAATCCACTTTGCATTTTTCATCGTCGCCCACATAACAACTGCAGTTAATAGCTCGAAGCGTACCGTCCATATCTCTTAAAAGGTCTTCGAGATCGAGGTCGACAACTATGACGTTCCTGAAGTTACCGAATTCGCTGATATCATTAAAGTCACCAGCACAAGTAAACCGTATCTGTTTCAACCAGTCTAGAATAGGATGCTCGTGTTCCTCTGGGCCAAGATTAACGATACTCTTCCTGAGGTCTTCCGGTAGCCAATTGCAATTCGCCAAACCTCTGCGTGTCCTGCACAGTCCCAAGTCAAGAAGACTCTTCTGCTCCATCGCATGATACGTCCTGTCCATGTTCTTCTTATCTCTTTATGTTTCGCTCCTGACACACAGCACTCCAATCAGAATAAAAATCACACTGGCTGAGTAGATCACCGCGGAAACCGCTGCCACATCCTTCCTTCTTTCTCAACGCTTTAAAGACTGACGTCCACTGGTGCGTGGTATTAATAAAGTCAGACGCCTTATCTTCCAAAGTGACGAGCTCGAGTTCTGCTTTCCCTATAACATCAGAAGAGTACGTTACTGTCTGCGATACATGTCGCACTGCCATCTCCAAATGGACCCACTGTCTTCTTCTTCAATCAGACGCACTCATCGCTGCACTCTGGATCCTTCTGTCTCACTCGCTCTCACTCTTACACGTCAAACCCATGTACGCCAGTGCATACTGATCTACTACCCCTTGATACACGTGAAAACCGTCTACAATTCACAGGTTCACATTACTACTTTACTCACGTTACACTTTGAGGAAATAGTCATGGTTTCTTCAAATTCCTGATCTTACTCTTTCGTCAGAACTCTCTGTAAGTTTGTATATGATTCATGTCTGTGTTTCCTGTACTTCCTTTCAGGTCTAAGGAACTGTCCTTAGATACCTCAGTCCTGTGCCGGTGAAGAATTTGGTACCTTCTTAGATTTGTTTCTTGGACTCTGGACTCTCTGTGTCTTCGTTGCATCGATGATCCTTATTTTTTTTTTTTTCTTACACTTTGCATTCCATTTGTTTATTGTTCTCGTCGATGATCATCGCAGGCAGCGCACGTGGGTGACAATGATGATTAGTTGCACAAGCTTGTATAGGTAGATGAAATGTCGATGCCAAGCCACACAGGTTTAGTGGCAGCCAGTCTCAGTGGGCATGTCTTTAACTTGAGAAGTACCACTTGAACTGGAATTACGGGGGTCAGGCTGTAACAGTTCATTCTGACGAATACATTGGAGCGACATATGCGTTCTTTCGGCCAATTACGTCCTGACGTCACCGCTATGCCTTTAATTACATCGGGTGAATTTATACGAATCGTGGTCCGCCCTGTCTAAATTGATGAAATTCATTATAAAGAGTTTAAGTGTGACGAAGCGGTATGCCAGGAGAGTGTTATACCAGCAGAGCCAATTCGTAGATTCCGAGTATCTCGTTATTAAACAGACACGGTCTCTGTGACGTGTAGAAGAGGAGAAAAGTTATTCAGACATTGCGACGCTATTCCAAACGAAAAAGGACTGCAAGGACTTTTGTCTTGATGCATTTTTTATTCGACCACGTGTCTATGCCATGGCGCCTAATACGTACTGTATGAGACTGGAGAAAAATAAAATAAACGATGCGTCACCAGCGAAACGCTTTCCATTTACTCTCTATGAATGAACTCCCTATTCGAATTATCACTCGGGCCGATGCATTTGGATTGCGCTTATATCCCGTTCGTCGTAACTTGTAGATACTGTCACAGAGGAGGAGCTAATTTTGTATGTTGTTGCTTCCATGAAATGTTTATCTTAAAGACGACCTGATTTCTAATGTATGAAAAGTTTACTTAGGGGAAATAGGTCATTCTACGTGACATTCTCGCTTTTATCGAGAACATGTTTACAGAGTATTAATGATTCATTAATAATCAGTTATTGGGTAACAATGTTTTTTTACATTTGGATTATCGTTCCTGACGAATGTAGGACGCGTGATGTATTCAAACGATAAGTCTACATTTCCGCCATGAAGTTGTGTATGTAGATACGAATTCAAGTTATATTATGGAGAAAAAGATGTGGGTACTTGTTGGTTTTCGATTTCGAATCAATTATAATATTAAGTAAATAATTGTATTACCTTGTCACCGCGTTCATTGATGAAGCAGATCTGTTTGCTATCCGGATCGAATTTTTGAATCCATCCTGGTGGCAGGTCAATGAAGTTTTCAGAGGCCTCATCCTCGTCGCGCACGTTCACTGGACTTGGGTTGTCCGAGAGTTCAGATGTCAAATTTATCTCTGATCCAGATTGAGATAGGAGTGCTTCCGAGCTTGGATTTGAACTGAGAATCTGCTCGTCGGATATGCTCCGATTCATAGCACTGAGGCTACCAGTACTTAATTTTTGTCTGTTTGGTTGTTTAGCCAAATTAATTTTACTATCCGAGCAAAATATTGCCCTATCTCCATCTCTATCCGTACTCCTGGGGAACGCCTTGTACTGAAGGTACTCGTCAGAACCACTGTCCGAAGCGCATAGAAGACTCTTGAATCCTACAGCAGTACTCTGCTTCACATCCATTAACTTAAGACTGCCACCGGCAGGTATTTTGTTTGTTTGATTATCCTGTCGAAAGTTAATGGTATGAATTAAATAGAATTTTCATTTTTCTTATTTGGTTAGACTGGCAAACTTGTCTAAAGACAATAAAAATTGTTCATTATTAAAGATAAGGATGTTGCATACTGACCTTATTGATATTTTGGTAACTACGTGATATCTGCTCTGAAGGGGCTGTTACTTTTACAGACATCGACGTCGACGACGTCGTCGTCGATATCGTCGTACTGGGCACCGCTATGGTTCGCGAAGTTGGATCTAAACCAGTGTTCAGGGTGTTTTCCTTACTGATTTTTCGTTTAGCAGGAACAGGCTTTGTTGTTACTTGAACTTTTTCTTTGGCAGGTTCTACGGTGCACGCAGGAATCGGAGCAACGGTAACCTTCAGTTGCGGAAGTTTGTTCCTTGGAGATGGTGTTGGTTTATTCTTCATGCTAGTCTTATCCACGGTCGTTACATTGTCATCTAGTATTTTCAAATCACCCAAACTGCGACTACGTCTCTTGAGCTTGCTCCGTGCAGATACTTCAGCACCATATCGCATAAAGGAACCTTCCGGTTTAAGATGTTGATATTTCTGTGGTAAGGTTCCATAATGGAAAGTTGCAAACCTCTTCAGGTTAACCCTAGGTTTCGGTACATCCTCATCCTCATCATCGGACTTGCTAGCAATCCGATAAGGCTCTTCCCGTTGACCCTTAAAACTGCCCTTGTATCCGAGTTTGGATTTAAATTTTTGCCACATAACCGGGGAGTCTTGAGCGCTTAGCGCATCCTGCGACCTGGAGGATTCCTTGCTGTCCGTCAACGGTGAACTCTTATCACTGTGTAACTCTATCTCTTTGTCGTCCTTATCGGCAACAATGAGGGAAGCACGATTAGCTGGTAGGAACTGTATCTCACTAGCGAGCTTCTCGAGGGAGGGTGTCAACTTGATCTCAGTGCCGATGTTCCTGGCCTTTATCCGAAGCTTCGGGCGTCCCTTGTCCTTCTCCGTGGAACCAAGGGAGACGTTCGAGTAGCAAGGTTTCTCGAAATTATCAACGCACGACTGAACGGGTCTTGAATGATAAGATGATAACTCGGTCGTCTTATCGGGAGATAACGAACAGTCCGGCCCCCGATCGATCGTCTCGTTCATTATCCCCGGAGTCTCTCCTAGATCATTCAGTATGTTCGCCTCGTTATACTCGTCATCCAACACCTTCGGCGATTTCGGAGACCTCGGTGATCTTACAGTTATGCTATTCTTCGGTGACTTATCGAAAGCGAATGGACTGTCGCGTGGTTCTATTTTCACTGACACGCTGGAGACGTTGGATGAATTATTGGAATGGGTAACATTAACAAGACTGGCACCGTTATCCGAACGTTGAACACTCATTTCATGAAGCTCTCGAGTGAGCTTGTCCAAGGGATCAAATGTGTCTTTAATCTCAACACTTTTTAATTCAAAATTTGGCTTTTTACTGTCGTGACGATCGCGTCGCATTTGGCTGAGCTCCGACATAAGCTCTTCGATAGCCCAGGATTTTCTTTTATCATTGAGTAATTTGTCAGCATCAGAAACAGAGTCCAATGCATTTTCTGTGGTCACATACTTTCTCTCCAGTGAACTTGTGGCTTCTCCATCTCTTGGAGAGCTTGTTTCTAATACTGTGCCACCTTCAGCAATACTGGTTATCTTCCTAGAGTTTTGCATCTCCAGATTTCCATGGTCAGATTCATTGGATATCTTGCGCCGATTTCGACGTTCCAGGCTACTTTCCAATTCCTTCTGGAAAAGATTTTGCGGTGGATCCAGTCTTGAACGTCCATCTCCTTCCTTAGAAATGGTACCAAGTACAGGGGTTTTATCCGTATCTGTACTACCATCGCTCATGCTTGAATTCTTTTCACTCTTATCATCCGAAGAATTTGTAGTATTTGAAAATCTTTTAATCACATTACGAAGACGATCCAAGCCTTTTTTCTCTGGAAGTTCCTTCGGCATGTTTTCGTAGCTAGGACTGCGTGGTGGCTTTAAATCGTCTCGATTATCCTTAGACATTTTTCTAATGCCAGGCCCAGTGCGTTTGATCTCCCTAACATAGCTTGCTGGTACATAGAAAGAACGCTGTTCATGGGTTCGAACTGCTTGCCACCAATCGTTATTAGTTTTCTGCAGGAGGTATAACTTCTCATTCTTCTCAATGATAACTCGTCTTCCTTCAGCAGTCTCATACTCAAAGTCATAAAGCACCTTCAAGTAAGTGTGCTCCTGCAGATCTGCGACACTCATTTTTTATCCTTTTACATGTTTAAGGTTCAGGTCGACATCAGAAACCTCGCAGATTAACACTGTACAAAAAGAAAAAAGAAAATAAATGCAACAAATTTTGTAAACCATTTCTTATACATTATTTTTGATATATAGTTACTATGATAATTACAGAAACATACTACACCATTTAAAAATTTTATTAAAAAGTATATCAAATCTTAATTATAAAATAAAAAAATTTATAGAAACGAATCCTAGCTCCTGACGAATTTCAACAATATTTTAATGACACATTTAGAACAATTACAAAACATTGTGATATACAAAGCCATTAAGAAACACAAATAGAATGAAGAGAAAAAATAATAAAAGGACTCACTAACAGATATCAGACTTTTACTTCACATAACTTCACATAACGTTACGCGAAAGTGATTGACATATCTATTTTTATGACACAAGCATACCCTTGGGAACTACAGAGACAGGAAGTGAATTATGAGCACAGATCGTTAAAACAGGTTACTCTGTCCTATATTTACAAACACAGCATTGCGTAGGTTATGTTTGCAACAACAATAGAGAGTTGCAGTTTGACAAGCGCATCGGGAGAATAAAATGGTAATTGAAATAGTTGCGATCAAGAGAGTGAACGATAAAAGCGATAACGGCGACAATTGTCCTTAACGCAATGACATATGGCCTTGGATCTACTTACTAGAGCGAGAGAGACAGACTGGAGGGAATGAAGTCATCAGAGTAACGAGTCAATCCAACGTGATCAAACATTTACATAGCGTATAACGTTGAGCACCTACCCGCGAAAGTTCCCCGGATAGAATAACCGAAAATGTCCAGGGAATTCATGACATTTTAGTATTCGTAAGGATGAAGAATTGACGACATGCGACAAGGTTTAAGTCACGCCCCTTTTTCTGCATTCACTCGTGACGCAATATTGACATCCATGGCCCGAGGACATTGCGTTACTATCAACCACTCTTGCAGAAAACGGTCCAATTATAGGCGAAACACCTGTTAACCTTTGTATAATAATCTTTGAATAACATTAACGTGTTACCCTGAATAATATTCTTATTTTACTCCTACATTTTTTGACAGGTGTAGGACGTACTGCAGGTATGGAAAAACATACCTGTGAATATACTACTTTATCATATTAGTCGATGTTACAGGAATTATTTTTTTATATAGAGCTTAATTAATTCTTATCCGGCTACTTGGAGTGACGTTTCGGAGTCAGCGACGACCCTCGTCATCCTGATTTTATTGTATTGTAAAAGGGTCAAACAGACGGGGATGTTAGTTACTGAAAGTTATCAAGAGATAGCGCCACTATATGCGCTCCAATCAGGCATCAGAAAACTTGAATTCAAACTTCATAATGCGACAAGCTTATTACATAATATTTATCTATTTAATTCATCAGAAACTATTAAGCAATCTATTTACGAATGTATAGTTAGGATATTCAATTTAATGTCATGAGGAATAATTGTAACTTTGAAAATAATAAGGAATAGCAGGGCTGTTACTATGCAATGCGATACGTATGTATACGGTTTTCTATTGATCGCTAGGTCAGAGATGCTATTTACAACAAGAACTTAAGAATTGTTCACAGAGAAACGACTCGCGTCGGCATCCTTTCAAATTTCAAAATGGCGTCACTAATGTCCATTTATCGAACAGCCCGATGAAACAGTAGCGCACGACATTCTAACTTAATCCGTTTTATCTATGATATAATTTCATGTCGGCATCTTTACGAGGTTACGTTACTTTAGAATTTAGAAAATATTTATCGAAAATTGTAAATAATGACAGAAGAGGATAAAGAGCTTTTGCCAGACGAATGGATGGTACGAGTTTGATAATTGTATTCGTGATAAGTATTCGGAAAGAGTCGATTGCAGATAATAAATCTTTATAAGGTTTACATGATTTTTACTGTGTAAAAATTTGTTTTCTGAATAGAATGGTGTTTCAGATAAGAAAATGTGACATGTATAAAGAGGAATATAGTGATTGCACTAACATCAAATCACGCTTCAATCAGTACTTCATTTTTGGTGAAATGCTGGACTGTTCTCAATGGAAGACTGATCTTCAAAACTGTAGAAAGTGGGAAAATGAAAGAAACGAAACAGCTTATGTACGTATTTCCTATGAAAATCGAATAATACAGAATAAATGTTACGTTTTATCTTTTCTCAATAGAAGGAGCTGGTAAATAGTGAGTCAAAACGAAGACTCGAAAGACTAAAAGCTCACTATGGGAACGATGTATGGAAAAAGAGAGATAAACCTCCCAATGATTGGAACAAGCCACTACCAGAGTGGATGCAAAAGGAGCAAGAAAACACCTACCTAAATTACAAGAATAACGAAACCAAAGGTGGTACGGAGAACAATATGGATGCCGGAATATCTTTTTGCAGTATATCCTAGCAGAAAATAATTATTAGAAATTCTATCTTGTAAAGCACATGTAATATATTTGTAAAGTAGAAAAACAAGATTCTATCAACGTGTTCATACCTATGACAGTACATTGACTAAACTAAAAGCGCCCAGACATATGAAATTCAAACACCACGCCAGAAAAAAAAGAGCAGCAGACGCCATCTCTTCAAGAAACAGTCCCAACCAAAGAAACGAATATAGTACACATGTGATTTAAGCCCTCTATGTATTACTAAAGACTCCCAGTACGAACTTCAACATAAACACACAGTCGTACATACGAAAGTGAAAAGATGAATACAGAGAAAAATGAACAAGCGTCGTCGTGATAATCAATGTGAAAATGACGTCATGAATGGGCCCGTCAATCGTAAAGTATAAATTACAACTCGTAGTATAACAGAAGTGAAACGTCGGAGAGACAAGTAAGACGCAGACATCGGACATCATATTAAATAATTGGAGGACCATAAACTCTCGGCCATTTTAGCCATGCGCAGTGAATCGAGCGTAAAAGCACTACGGACTTGTCGCTGCTCGTTCGCAGCCAAATTCACGGGAACCGTTGGAAGATTGGTAGAGAAAAAAGAGAAGGATAAAAGAGTAGCATTAAAGGAGCAAGAGGAAGAAGACGCGGAGGAAACAAGAAGGGAGTGTTTTGAATGTGAAGGAGAATCAGTAACGTGTGTTATTTAGGCGCCAAGTAACCTCTATGCTGTACTAATGAACGTATCAAAGTCTCGTTCGGTTACTGGTGCGGGAGTACAAGTGTACGAGAGAACATAGAAATCTATTACAGGAGCGTGATTTGAATGAGTGTGACGTAACCAAAGTACAAATAGCGCATATCAACAACGAATATTTTTTCATAAAAGATACAACGAATGATAGTGAACTGTATTTAAGTTTTACGGGAATAAATCGCGCTCGGAATCGCAGGGACGCTCCACAGTTGTACACGGTAAACGGATATACTCTCGTGAGAATAACTCTATTGTATTATTTTATCACGTATAGCAATTCCCTGCACTCGGTACGAGGTGTCAAGTGTTGTGTTTGTTCCGTGGCAGTTGAGTGCGTTTTTCACGAATATTCGCAGAAGGTGGTTGTAAACTAGGAAACATAAAAAAAGAAACAATGGCTTCCGATTGTGTCGATGGTGATTACCTGGGTGCGTATCGGTGTTTCTTCACGGATTTTCTTGCCAGTGTTAATCCTCAGGATCAACTTCCAGTGAGGTTGAGCAGCAACGACCTGACCGAAGCAGAGATCGTTGGTGAGATCATCGACGTGACATTGCAGTATATCAATCAAAAGTAAGTTTTTGTACGCTTTATAGTTTATTTTAAGCATATAAACAGAAATGAATATCTTGGTATCTCACAGTCCATTGTTCGTTCAATTTATAGATAAAGGACATTATTATCTAATCCTAGTCAGATGTTTCTCTTGAACCAACGGAGAATTCATCATGTCTGCATATGTACTCACAGAAACATATAACATTGCTCTTAACGACTTCACGGACTTTATTCTCTTTATTCTGGTACATCCTGTGACTCGTACATTCCCGGTCTTATCTCTCGTTACAGACAAGGCTTTTTTCTTCAATTGCTATCTTATTTATATCCATGCCTACCCATGTTCTTTCATAATGTTCAAATCTAATTGCATTTACATATTTCTCCCTTGTCTTTAACTCGCAGACGAATCCTATGCATCCACGCGATCGAAGAACGTGTTTCTACGGTTAATTTATATTCCACGCATGAAAGCACAGTTCGCCTCTACCCTGCATAGTCGCAGGAAAAATAGGGGAACCGGCAAACCATGTGTACGTTTTTCTTTTTTCCTTTCTCCTCGATCCCCATGTGAATTCTGGATAAATCTATATCTAGCACGTATCCTACTTACAACGGAAAAATCGTAAGAACAGAACATGGAGTTCATATTTTTAACTGATTGTCTCTTTTCAGGAACCTTTATAAAATATATAGAATACGTCGACCTTGTCCCTTTTGATATCGAGAAATTCTATTTATCGCAGTTTAAACCTAAGTAATCAAAGTCTGTGAATCATTTAAACGGACTAATGGTGAAACGTTGAGGATATGGAGTAATAGAATGTAAGAGAACAGTTTAATAGTAAAGGGAAAAAAAAGATATAGTTAAAGTGGGCGGGGTCGGCGCTCGCGCTTTCGTTTGTTCCAGTAAAAGTGACGCCTTTTCCGCTTTCTTTTTTCATTTTTCCCTTTTATTCTTGTTTTGTATATTTTTCTTGGTCCCATCCTCGCGCAAGGAGTTGACACCATGAAGCTATATATTACTTTCTAATAGCAACTACGGGTGAGAATGGGGAAATAAAATTATCGGCAAGGAGATTGATATGATCGGATGGCGTGCGTTCAATACTTCCGGTTGAAAAGAAATAATTCATGCTATTGTCTGTGTTTTATTTGATCTTATGTTTTCTTTTTTGTCTTTCTGTAATCAACAGATGGAGATCTTTAACGTGGGCGAGTAATACACGGTTTCCCGTGGATATGTTATTCAGTGGGTGTTACGAGTGACTCGACGGCAATGGAGTAATATTTATTTTTGCAGAGTTTGTAAAAACGAACGATTTCAAGAGGTCATTAACTTTTTTTACGTCAGCCGCTTGAAATATCGTTTCGCCACATGCCCGCTCTTCTCGTGGGACATAATCTGAAATTAACAAGATTATTGCAAGAGTGGATCTCTGGAGAGCTTAGAATTTTGTCAATGTCATAAAATTATCACATGGACTGCGCAAATGTCCATCCGACGTATATCTTACCAGGACAACGCCTTCATCGGTAACTTCATACTCTCTTATTGTCTGGCTACCATCCGGAAGAAGAGATAATGTTACCAAATTGCCATTTGCCAAAGTAGTTGTGTTCTAGAGAAAAGGAGAGAAGAAGAATATCCAATTGGCTGTTATCAAAGCTGGACAAATATAATACCTTGAGAATTTCGCCAGAGGGCATAGACTCCTCGTACTCTGTATTTAAAGTAAAAATACTCTCCACTGTACGTATCATGGAGATCGTACGAATAATCCACTTATCACCATCCTGCTTGATCTCAAGACGTGGGCTGGAGGCGCTCATCATCTTCCTCGCGATGTAGGGAACTCCTGCAAATACCACAGAGGATTCAATCAGGCCACAAACATTCTGGCCGCGTATCACGCAGTCCTGACAAGGATCTCAAGGGACAGAAATGAAGAAGACTCAAGATATTGTATACAGAATATATATTGTATAATATGTATACCTACATAATAATGAAATGATACTGCATCGACTCTAGAGATTGGTGGTGTATGGTCTCTTGAGAGTGAAGAATGATTAAGCTTATTACTAGAATTAATATGATGATAAGCATATTACATAAACATATTGATAACACTTTCGCAACACTTCTTGAGTATACTGTAAATGGAATTATTGTTCATGAACAACCTGTATCTGACTACCTAGTTGAACAAAACAACGGATGAACAGTCTTTGATGATTCATGCGACTAAAGCGCTTCGTCGATAATTACAGTGAAGGCGTAATTAGTGATAAAATTATTGCGTAGTAAGTGAAATTTGATGGATGTCTCTGCTGAATTGTGATGACTGCTATGAGCACTTACCGATGGCTTTGAAATATTCGTCGATATTTTCATTGCGTTCATGCTGGTATGTTCCTAGGATGCGTGCCATGACGATGATGTTGAGCAGACTCTGATATGGCGTCGAATGAGATATTGGATTTGTGTTGCTTTCCCTTTTACTCTGTTGGTAATATCTCTCGACTGGAACTCCCTGTATATACTCTGGGATGTATGCTATTATGTTGTCTTTTCTGGAGGCCTCCGGCACTGCTGATGTTTTTTTATTCACTGGGAAATGGGTTATGTGCTCTTTAAGATTTCCACTCTCTGTCTCTCCTGTCCATATCTCTTTTATATCTAAATCAAGATAAATAACTTTTGATCAATCTACACTGGGTTTGATTCGGTAGGTGAGCTGGCTGGTGTTAAACTGTATTATGAGTAACCATTGACAGCCTAACGATTAATAATAATGAATTGATTTTTCAGGAGATTATTAATTTCTTTATGTTATTCTCATGGGATAAAGTCTTCCATAGAGATAGACTCATTTCTTCAGAAGTTACGTGTAATGCAAGATTTGAAATATGGTTACGGACATGTGATTACAGTTTTAAATGATTGTGAGAGGTTTTGTTAGTTTTGTTATTTAATTCTCTGCTATCTGAATTCTATTTAACTTGCTCATTTTTTGTTTCAGATCTTGCCCACCGAGCTTACAGTCCTATATTGTGCGCCTGGTGATACAAGAGATTCAGACTCTTTGTAAAAAACAGCCTGAACTCTGCGGCTGGAAACCTGAAGAGAACAGTACGTGTCCTGTGAATGGTTTAATAGTTCAATAAAACTAGTTAGGATTGACTAATTATTTCATATCTTTAAATTTCTAAAGTAACTGTAATTTATCGATTAACTCTGAACATAGATCTTATACCGCAGGAAGGGAAAGATTAAAATGTTTTGTTAGACCGTAAATATTAATTTTTCTTTTATCCCTTTTATTGTTCACAGCATACGCATCACTGAAACTAATGCAAGCAGTGACAAGCAAGGTCAATGAGATCTGCTCACGTTATTTGGACAATAGCAGATTAGCATTATTACCTCCTCCACCATCTACCCCAATGCCGCGGGTTTCGGCATATTGTATTAAGAATTGCAGAAGAAAAATGGAAGACCGTCACGTTGTATTACACGACTTGCACATCATATTCAGTATTTCGGTAAGTTTATTCTAGTATCCTTGTACTAATGTTCTCATGGATTTAATAAGAAAATGTAATTAATTGATTCTTAATCATTGACAGGATGACTCTCCGGCCAGTTATTATGCAGTATTCGACGGACACGGTGGTCAAGAAGCAGCTGCTTATTCTTCTACCCATCTTCATCAGTATTTAGTGGAAAGCACGTATTATCCCAAGGATCCAATTCGTGCCTTACGCGACGCTTTCGTTACGACAGACGCACATTTCATTGAGAAGGCGAATAAATATGTAAGCGACAAGTAAATCGTTGTTTGATCAAGACTTTATTTTAAACATCAATATTACAGTTTTTTTAAAAATATTACTTCTTTTTTTTGGCAGAATCTCAATGGTGGTACTACTGCAGTTTGTGCTTTATTGCTCAATGGCAAATTATATATTGCATGGGTCGGGGATTCCCTGGCGACACTGACATCTCACGGCAAAACGCGTCACCTCGTTAATCCGCATAAACCCGATCGGACGGTAAGTGTTCCTCGGGAACTATTCACGGAGGATTCTCCTGTTTCCGATTTTTCTAAATTTTACTGCGCACTATATGATCGTAGAGTATTATTTGCTCGTACTTGTCGCTGTGGATACGAACGCGCGTCGTATTTACGCCAGGGGACGGCGCTCCAGGATCTACCCAGATAAGTTTCCTGTCGTGAATATTCTTGAAGAGGAGTCCACGCTCCGGATCTATAACCGGGACGTAATTATTAGATTCGTTGAGCAAGGTGGTGCCCATTCTCCAGTGATAATATCCAAGATCGGTAGGCTGAGGCCAGAGTTTAATTCTTCCTTGAAAAAATGGACGCCAGTCTTCGTTTTCCAGTCGTGACTTAAAGTCTATGTAGCCAGACACCTCGAAATGGAATCTAGTGTAGTTGCGTACGAATATAATAGTCGATAGGACACCGAGTCTGTTGGATCTTTCACGAAATGCTAATTGCTGCTCGAATGGATCACTTGGGGTTAGAAGCTCCGAGGAAAGTTCGTAAGCCTTTTGTACGGGAAAGAGTAAATTCTTGACAGCACGTAGCCGTGCGTTGAAGGAGTGTTTATCGAGTGTCTCGCCGGTGCATCTGTAACCCAATTCGGCGACCTGACGCGCCACCGACGTGCTTCTTAGATAGAAGAGATCTTTGGGTATCACTAGGGCATCCAGGTACTCGTCGTAGCTATCGAACTGCAGAAGACGACGGTCACCGTCGATTCGTGTTCCTAACGTGATCATGATTTAACGGTGATACATTTCACAATGAATTTCGCGATGACAGGCAGCCTCGGACTGAGACAGACAAGAGAAGCTCGACTGGTTGAGAAGAATCGTTGCACGTTGGGAAATGTCGAAAGGCCGAGACGCCTCGAAAAATTTCACGGGAACAGGAGAACTTCTCGGGCGTGACAAGAATCATTTTTAAATATCGTTGTGGATCTGTCAGTCTCTGCGCGATTAACAAATAATTTCCTTGTTTATTACAGGACGAAACTAAGAGAGTGAGCGACATGGGTGGATTTCTGGTGCATTATGGGACTTGGCGTGTAAATGGTCATCTTAGCGTTTCCAGAGCTATAGGTGAGTCATTAAATTTATTTCTCTTCCTATTTCTTCACTATATTATTATATAGTCGTTTAAACGTCATGCCTCTTGTTCTTTGCTTTATATAATTTAAGGTTAAGTTGTGTAGCGGCTGATGAGTGTACCAATAACCACCTTCATCAACACAACAACTTGTGTGCGATGTCTGCCAATTATTTCACTTTTAATTACCACTCACATCCTTCCTGGATGTAAATGCGTACATGACTTAACGACTTGTTATATTATTTTAGCATTTCAATCAGGAGTTATTAAGTACCAACAAAAAAAAAACGACTGGTAACATATATCATCGAGCAACGAGTTTTCTCTTGTAAGAGACTGGCAAAAAATTTCACCATCGTTCCAAAATCCTGAAACAGGACTCGCAATACGCACGAAGAAGTACGATCGCCCGTCAGTCATAAACTGGAAAGTGGAAACCGTCCGCACGAAGAACATTTTCTTACGTCCGAAAATAATATGAGGAATTACGCATGTCCGTGATTTCTTACCTTTCTCCCAAGAATTCCGAGTACGTGGGGTTTGGTCTGTTGTAAAAACAGGATTCTATGAATGGATTAAAAAAAAACGGGACAACTGGGTAACAAGCATACAGCAACAGTCCATTGAAGATCTAAATTGACTTGGACAGTCAAAGTCTTGAATTCTTGAATTAAACATCGAACGACAAACGGGAGATCGTTTTTGTCATTAGCATTGATCGATGATCCCATGTAGCGTTTGTCGGCTGAATTATATATCGGCTACCAGCCAACATTGTCTAAGCTGTGAGTATCGCCTAGAGATTTTGTTCCTTGAATCGTGGAGCCTAGCAAGTGGCGACACCACGAAGTAGCGGAAGGCACAGGCAACTCTTAGTGGATCGAACGCGGTAGCCTGGGAATGGGACGCGTGGAGAAGTCTATATATTTGGCCAGCCGTAGAAGGAAGAACGATGAACTCAAGGAAAGCGCACGGCGTGTGGATAAGAGGAAAGAGAAAGAGATGGAGGAGGAGTACGTGTACGCGTAATAGAGGATGTTAAAAATGTCAGTGAGTATATGGAGCAGAACCGTAAACGTTCTTGCCATTCTCCGACGAATGTACATTCCTGTAAAACGGCAGAGAGACGAGTTATCTCTTTCCTTTTCTACGTAGCTCTCTCTCTCTCTCTCTAGCTCCTCACCTCTTCCACGATAAGTCTCTCAGCTTCTTGGAGCCTCTCGCAGCGTCAGAAACCGTCAAAGAAATTCGCCAAGGCTCCCCACAACAGCCGCAAGGAACGTCCAACGAGGAAGAATGGCCACTGGAAAATAATGCATCAACGAGCATTGCTTTCGTCAAATGAAAACATTTCCACGTCGCGAGCGTCGCGGGATTGCGAATAAAATAAATTGTATTAGGCCTAGTAATATGCCGGCTATTACGCATATTAAAGTGGTCTAGGCGAATGTAGAAGTCGAGGGTCGACGAACCGTGCGATATCGCGAGGCACATCAAACTGGATTATACGCTCCATCTTGCGAGTTAAATGCCGATTTTATCATGTTATAGCACGTATAGAGGTGCATACTGTAACAATGACTGATGAACGTGCTTGCTTTTTTTTTTTTTTTCTTTATTATTATCGCCTTCTCGACTACACTTCCGTTCTGGATTTTCACTCGAAAATCCGGATTCCACGTGCCGATTCGAGCGCGATCCTTTCGCAGAGACTGGACACTGCTAGTTATTCTTAAATTTTTAACTTTGTAAACGCTCTCCAATGCGAATTGTACCTCAGGGCTCGACTCGTCTGCGACGAGGCCCTTGCTGTTAAAATTTATATTCTCTCTCAAGTGTGACATAATCTTTGTACTACGTGGATCGGAGCACGCTGCGGTTTTGCGGCTTTTGAAATTGAAACCCTGCTCCCCGCTTGGGAATACAGACGTCCGGTCGCATGATCTTTTTTTTTTTAACGTTACAAGTATCTCATGACCATACTTGATTAATTCATAAATTACAGTAGCACTCGTTTCCAATAGACCAAGGCTGACCTGTGTGAGGATAATGTCAGTGTACGATCGACTGAGTCAGCTGGTCGTTCTATGATAATTATTTGTTGTTTGGTACAATCGCTCGAGGAAGCTACGTCCAACTAGGGTAGCTGCGGGTCAAGCAATGCCATTTACGGTTACGTGAAAATTCTGGACGCGTGTCGAATATCCTGTCGGTTCCGTTCGACCACTGGCTGACACAATAATACGTGCAGCCATGCTCCGAGCTCTACTCATTGCTTTACTGGGTGGTACCCTGGGCTATGCCTGTTTCGAATAGTTAATGGGTTATCAATGAAAATGAATATTGCTTATCAGCAGCTAAGTGCACTGGCTCATTGATCTGCAAGAAATTAATGCGAATCGTGAAGATGGCCCCGTAGTAGGGTCCTCGTAAGGAATTACTTATGGCGTTCAGCATCGAACTAACATAGGACAAGACTATCTAACGTAATAACCGGAAGCGCCTACGCTAGTTTGACGCCATTATTTAAATTAGCCTCGCATTCATTAATTAGATCATTAAAGTTAATTATAACATAGTGGAATACTGATTCCGTATCGCGTGCTTTTTTTTGCCCTCTTATTTTCTATTTTAATGTCTCAGAAGATACGCCGTGGCTTACCGATTCATGTCCAAGGGTCAATTCACAATCTTATCCTTCGTGCTTATCATCATTTACCATGTTACGTTAGATCGTTGTAGATCCTCGATTTTTGTCTTATGGATCTTCTTGTCTTTTTACTTTCAGGCGACGTCAAGTACAAACCCTGCGTAACGGCTGATCCGGAAATACTTTGCGTCGATCTCAACGGCACCGAGGACTTCCTGATCATCGGCTCCGACGGCTTCTGGGATGTGATCAACGAGGTCCATGCGTCTCATAGAATTTATCAGGCCGTCCGGGAGAATCCTTGTGAGTGAACATTATTTTATGCTATTTAAATTCTTTTTTTTTTTTAACAAACTCGACAGCTGCCCGCTGACTGCCACTAGTGGACAATCAGGATTCGTTATGACGTGCTGTGAAATTTTCTTGAGATCAGACAAACTGTTCCGTCTCGTCATACGATTACTAGGAAGAAGTCCGTCTCCGGAGTCTCAGGCTTCCTTGGCTCCGTTACGCTCTGTTTACCAAGACCCAGGGCCGTGTTCCTCGGGTGCATTATGTTTGGACGTTTTCCTGTGCGCTCCTACGTTATCTACAGAGCCGTGCCGATCGGATGTGCCTGTCGATTTTGAATGGGGTATCAGAATTTTCTATGGTCAAATGACTCTTCTTATGGTTTTGCCTGTTTCTTTTTTCTTTTTCTTTTCAAGTTCAAACGCTGACCTCGCTAGTTTGGCCATACTACCTCGATCTCAGTTGCACTCTAACCATGAACGATCGACTAGAGTGCCTTGCACTCTGGTGCTGGAATTATCCTGCTTTCCGGAGTGTAATCGTCCTTCCAGTCTGGCTGGTGATCGTTGGAGGTCTTGAAACTACGGTTGCTTTCCAGGAATCGTCTTACCGACTGATCATGGACCTGGTTTCTTTTTTCTTCTTTTCTTCTTCCTTCTCGTTCCTTTGGCTTGCTATTGTGAACAAGAGGTGGGTGGCGTGTCCAGCTGATGGCACTGGGTGCCAATAAAAAGTCCTGGACACTTCAATGGACTCTTATGCTGAAACGTTCATTTCTACAGTTCACGTAGAACTGCTGAGGGAGAACAAAGAAATTTGTGCGACTCACTCAGAGGACTTTTGGTACTTGGGTAGATTTTCTGACGACTGGAGGAGAGGTTTCTTTTTTTTTTATTTTTTTATTTTTTTATTTTTCCATACGTCTAATACTTTGAAACGAACGAAGATGGGTGTACCTGTAATGTAGATAAGTGCATCCCTCTTTTGCAGACACCTGAGAATAGGGCACTGGCGCAGAGGGACCCTGTCTGTTTCCTTTATTATAGACATATTCACTCGGTACGTTACTTCCCAGCCATTAGAATGTACTCGAAACTCTGTTGCGCATGGCGAAAGCTTGGAAATGTCGCACGCGTCGTCTGGATATACTTATGATGGCTGAACATCGAGTGGTTGCTTGAATGAAAAGAAAAGAAAAAAGAAATTGAAGAGTTCACCTGTCGGCATTATTTATTATTGGAAGTGCACAATGAAGAAGGCAGTGAGAATTTCTTGGGCTGTGGCAATCATGATAAATGATGAAGGATACCTTGTGGAGACTCGGGTCGCCGAGTAGCGACCCTAACGAAGACTGCTATTCATTTATTCGCAGGGTGGCGAGACTGACGGAAAGAGCGGGGCCAGGTCCTTAAGGCTGCTTCACATGGCTGGAAGAGGACGTAGCTTGTTCAAAAGTCTTTTTGACAATCATACGTGCGAGCTCACCCAAAGCAAAGCTCGACTTACGTCCTACCGGCAGGGTCTGTGGTCTTGGACCTTTTACTACTTTTTTGCCAATAGTCGAGCTGTCAAGAAACGAATTTAATGAGATCAAGAGAGAGAGAGAGAGTTGGTATAACCAAAGATAGAAGAGAGTCCGGACTAGAGAGTTGAGAGTCTTACCGTAATCTGTTCATCCAGCGATCCAGAGTCCGAGCACAGCCCTTTCCTTCTTCCTGCCTGAGAAACTGAGTCCCGGGTCCACCGTTCACTCATTCGTCATCTGCTGCCCAAGCAGGCTGGCCCTCGACCAATTCATCACGGGTACCAGTAGTTTTCCTACAACGAAATACAAGTTTTCATAAGCTGTGCGCAACAGGCTTGTATTTATAGTTTAACCTCCAACTTTTATTAAACATTTTCATATCAAATTTTTATCACAACAGTGTTTGCGGTTCTACTGCGGTGTTGCATACCAAATCAGGATTTTATAGTTAAAAGAAAATTATTATTTTACTGTGACGTGTAGAACAGAGGATACTAGTGTGTTTTCAGTGTCTAATTCGTCGAGATTTTGGTGAGTCAACTTTTTTTCTTTCTTTTTTCTTCAATAATCACTGGGTCAGTGTATTGGTGTAAATTAAAGATAATTAGACCCATGTTGATGGATAGATCTTACAGGCAGCATTGCCTGGAGTCTGAGGTATCTACGTTGGTGGGAATATCCTTGAGGCAAAGTAATTATTAAAATTTAAAAAAAAAGAAAAAAAAACGTAGAATTAAGTTAACTCCCATCAAGATCAACTTTTTTAAATATAATTTTCGCATTCTTCTTGTCTGAACTTTTACTTTTTAATATTAAAATTTCTTCAACGACCTCTACCTCTAAGACCGGTTGGTAGCACTGGAAGCAAGAATAATTGGACTTCCGACTCGACTCAAAGGGTTCCTCATACTCGTCACGTAATTTCCCCTTGCGAATTCATGCGGTTGCATAAGTCGCAACAATCTCCATCGTCTGGCTTCTATCAGCCCTCTCTCTCCCTCTCGTTGAATCTCCATTCTCATCTTCCCTGGCTAAAGTATCATCGAACCAGGTAAATCATTAACGATCCTCCCCAAGGGTGTCGTCAATTTTTCACGCAGCTCTCGTACGCTGCTGCGCATGCAATTATGCAGCCTGGGAAACGTGACCGGTATCGTCCAGCATCGTCCCAGGAACCCCCGTCCCTGAGGAAGAAACAATAAGCAGAAGATTCGAATTATAATCGCCATAATCAAGTAAACGGATGATCATTCAAGCGTCCGCCCATTGACGGACTTCCTATCGACGAAAGAAAAGTGCAAAACGAAGAAGAATCCCATTGGAGAGCAGCTGAAAGGACATCGCGAGAGTCCGTAAGCGCGTGGCTTCTCAGCCTGAGAAATAAAAGAGTCTCGAAGAAGTACCACGCGTCCGGATATCCGGTCGCGGATATCAGTGGTCGTCGTTATATACGCGGTTGTCAGCTTTCGCACAATTTACAGCCACCAGGCACGGCCAGGCAGTCAGCCTGGCAACAGCGCCGCCCCTGGCCAGCACATAAAATATCGCAATAAAGCATTAAACAAAGGAATCCGAGAGGAGCTGAAGCAAGACCGCGGTTACTGAAGCGAGACCCTGGCAATTCCAGCTCGAAAAACTTAACGATAACCTTGTCGAAGTAGCCGAGTAGTCCTTAGCTCTTTGATACTGTCAATAAGATATTGTAGGAATATATATGTATTCCTAGGTCTGTCGAGTCAGGATACTCCAGTCGGAATAGAGACAGGATTAATTTAACTTGAAGATTCTCTGTAGTACATAACCTCTACGTGCTCGCTTCTGTAGGTAGACTAATCTCACATTTCTGGTTGCGTTTATACACGGTGCTGTGAATCATCCGTGAGACTCTTTCTGTATACATATTTATTCTGCTACTTCTTTCGGTTTAGTCAGGGGGGGCTCGCTTATACGCCTGATACTCGGTTATAACGTTGAATACTGTTATAACCTGGGAGAACAGAGAGTCCTCTTTCAAGGATAGGAACACCGAGTCTCGTGACTCGAGTCCTGAATGGCCGTTCCCTCTGCGCTTCTCCCGCCTTACCTCCTACGTTTTTACTCCTGGCAATTACACGCTGAAGAGCCGGCTTCTACGTGCGTTAATCTTTTTAAATATTCCGCTGCTTTCGTCGCTGCGCTTTATGTAATTCGAGTAACATGTAATTGTGTACGTATAATGAAAATGCCGTGACGGGCCTAGGATCGTCGAGAGCAGTACGGCTCTTGTCCGCAGGGCGCGCCACTGGATTAGTACCTTGCAAATCGTCTTGTATACTCACGCGCCGCGTTCGTGCTGGAATTTTACGAGTGAAAAAAAATTACTCGTAATCTCCGACAGAGGAATTAGGATTTCTCACGCGGAGGTTAAACTAATTGAATTTTAGTATCTGACGTGGCTGACTTATTTTTTTTTTAGTAATCTTAATTTATAAATTTTCATTGATCATCGTTTTTTTTTTGACTTGCTTAGTTGGCCCGTTCGATGCAAGTCTCCCGAGACAATTGAAACGACGTGATTGCCAATTCCCATTATGAATTTCCGCGAAGGAGTTTATTTGTTTTAAACTTACAAATTCAGCTGCTGACGTGCCTTCGACCTGTCTTCGTTCAAGGATTATGTAAGACTTCTGAAAATCTCTTAAAATCCAACCTGCTGACTCGTCAGACACAACTTTCTTGTATACCTACAAAGGATTTCATTACGTTGAGAAATTATTCGGTAAACGAACGCGTGATGGTATTTCGAACCTTTCTGGAGCTTCGATCTTTTATCTTTTTCTTTATTTTCTAAGTCTATAATAACTCCTGTCACGCACGAACTAAAGACTTTCTAACCTCATGATGAATTCTCTTCTCCCACCTGCCCCCTATTTCTCATCTCCTTCTTTCTCCCTATCATCCTCGTTGTCTACGTGTCTATTATGCTGCGAGTAGTGCACTTGAGAATCACTGCTTACTAAATTCACTCATCTCTCTCCCTCTCTTTTTCTCTCTCTATCCTCTTGTCTTCCCTATCTCCCCTCTCTGTCCCTCCACGAGCGAGAATCTTCATTCTCCAACCCTACGTTTGGACTCTCACGTATCTTCAAAGTACCAAGTAATAAAAAGTGCCTCTTCTGTTGAGCACTGGGAGTACAGAAACACGTGGAACGAAGAAGGGCGAAGAATCCCGAGTGACAGTAAGGAGTGGCAGAACAAAAAAAAATTGCCATACTCCCACCCGGTATAATAAGTGACACAAGGGAGTCACTCTTATTATCGCTGCTTAATGCCCCGGAGAATGACCGCTTCTTTATTTTTCATGACCATAACCTCCCAGGGTAACCTTAACGGCCCTTCGAATCAGTTCGGCCAAGTTCGGCAAAGTTCGGCTTAATTCGTTATCCGTCAATCGGACACAGTCTAGCACTTACGAATCTTGAGAATATTAACGCGAGGCAGGCTCATTGAATGAAGCTTGAAAAGTTGGATTCTACTCGAAGCACTTTTTACGTATGACGCCGGCTCCATCTAATTATAGATCCAATGGCCATGGCAGTATACTGCACGTAGCATCCCTCGCGTAGAGGTGGGTACTCGTCCTCTGACTCATGTCACATTCCATCCGCCATTTAATGGATGAACATCATTTTTCTCGAAACGCTCTCTTACGCTGGCATCTAAGAATCAAATGGAATTACTTTACGGAATTTTACGACAGGTACCCAACTTCAGGGTCTTGGTGATTGCGTAATATCGTCACCTGATATTTTCGAGAGTTATTGACATCGAGGATCGGACTGTTGAACGTTATCGATTTTTATCACTTTGCTCTTCTCTGTACTTATTAGAAATTACGTCGATAGTCAGCACGATGCACCGAAACGTGCAGAAACCACCGAAACTCCAGCACCTGTCTGAATACAGTGGCAGATGTCGAGTGACCGTTGAGATCGAGAATGTTCCACAGCCGTTGAAAGAATTACGAGGACGCTTTAAGAGAAAGACAAAATTGACTTTAAACTAGTCTAACCTAACCTAAGAAAAATTCAATGAATGTCTTATGCTTTTGGTATCTCTTTTTTTTTCACGACCATGACGTACAGGCAGAAAACGTTCCGTCCTGTAGAGAAAAAAAAATCTGGTGAAAAAAAAAGCCCAAGTCGAAGACTGTTTATATTTCACGCATGCCTCCTAACGTCATACGTACCATCTGGTATGCTTCCTTTTCGATCGTCTACCCGCCACACCCTCTTGTAATCGAGTATTCTATGGCTTTTTAAGTCCCATAGTCATACACCGTGCCACACGCGGCAAATGAGATGCAGGGCTGAATTATTATTTATATTTAATCCACAATTTTCGTCATACAAGTTTCAAATGAAAATCCATAGTCATACACCGTGCCACACGCGGCAAATGAGATGCAGGGCTGAATTATTATTTATATTTAATCCACAATTTTCGTCATACAAGTTTCAAATGAAAATCCCCGTCTGAATTCAGTATTATATCCTTGGTATTACCGTGTTATGTCTCTGGCGCGTTAATCCCGGCGGGTCTGCTTCTGCGTTCACGCGAGTAGACGTCGGCTGAAGAGGTTAGATTCTCATACAAATTTTCCGAGTGTCGCTCGAATAATGCTCGACTGGTGTGTAACAGCATAGTTTGCGGTTACTCGCAATGGGAAGTTAACGTTACTTTTTCTCAGCGATTACTCGGCCTACGCGTAGCGAGTACAGTATGCCCTGGCAACAAGGACGATCACAAATAAGTATGACTGTACCTCCGTGACAATCGTTCGCAATAACTTCTTTGAGGTTATGTATCTGTATTCGTTGGGACTCCAGTCTTTCGGCACCTACGACGTCAGCTGGATGCTCATAGAACGAAGGTACGAGGCGATGGGCTTAACCTCAAAGACAAAACATGCCATTCCCACAGCCTGGGGGAACAGACGCTCGCGCATGCGCACAAGTCACTCGAGGACTCCCTCGCGCTTGGGAATTGAATTGTTTGTCGCACTTTTCGTGTTACGAGTGACACGCACGAGTCGCACTCTATCCTAATTAGTTACTCGCTGACTCGGACAGTCACTCAGTTGCCTAGAAGATTCACCATTGATATATTACCGGTCATTCTTATCCTGCCTGCCCTAACGAGACCCGGGGCACATTTATTTTACCTCGAGGAATCATTCCCGCTCCTTCGCTTCCGTCTTGGCGCATCGTCATTATAACTCATGAAATTTCACTATCCCAGGACCCTCTCGTTCGAATATTTTTTCCCCCTCAAACCGTTCTACGAACGATTCCAAGATCTCGATGCCGCAATTGTTTCCGTAATAAATGGTCATTTCAGATAAGGTCATATTTTCTCCCTCGAGATGTCTATCCCTAATGTACATTTATTAACTTCCGGCTGCAACGATCTCCCGCTGAAATTACACACTCGCGGGTGGGATTATGGGTTTTCTCGAAGGGGTACCGTATGCGCGTCTCTGCATACAGACTTACCGTAACCATAGAATATATAGTTGGCATAAGAGGGGAGAATACATGAAATTTTACGTGCATATATCTAACGCCAGCTAGAAGTTCCTGGGAGGTATCGATTACAGTCGATGGATTTACCGAGTCTCGTTCTCCCATAGGATCCCAGATTGAGGTATAAGCTTTCCAGTGTTATTGTACGTGGGACGATAGATCACGATCGCACAGGTCTAAAGAGCGCGGGAATATTTGAATTACTCCTGACTTATCGCGATGATAATTCTTTTCGCGTTAACTTCGCAGCCTTATCGCTTGCAACGTTTATTATCGGACAAATATTTTACATCGGAAACACGTGTTGATCCCCTTACGTGTTTATATCGCAATATTCGCGACAGGCCCTGTCACTGGGACAATGCCTATACCTATGATTCTCGTTATTACAGCGTGAGTCAGCGAGAGCCCGTTACCACTGAAGCGAAACCCATTAAAGATTGGACAGTGGTGTGGCGTGCCGACTTTGTTATTATCCACGCTGCTCGTTTAATGCCTGCCCCGAAAGCCAACGAGTAATAACTCTGTGTGTATCGCGTACATGCGTATCAGCCACTATATATATATATCGTACGAGCAAACGCTCTCATACCGGTTACGTTATCCGATCGCGGCGAGGAGGATCCAGAGGAGGAGTTCATTTTTCGTTTTATTCGGTTGGCCATTAATTATCCTCATTAACCGTCACTCCTCTGGCAATCGCTAACAATCGATGTATCGAGCGATCGATTTTCGTATGGAAAATTTGAAATTTTCCCTCGCATTAATAATTCTTCAGCCATTACCCACAATCCACCTCGGTGTTAATTCGGCAAGGAATGCGGCAATTAATTTAGGTTAGGTTCTCTTCTGGCAACGTTGAAGATAAATACGGCACGGCAATGACACGCCGCGCGCTTCACGGGACTGAGAAAAGTCGCGGGAATCTTCCGTCGGCTGAAGCGACGAGAGCCCCGGCGGCTGGTGCAACGGATGTCAAGGATAGACGAATGACGCGGAGGATTCTTCCACCGAGCGAAGCTCGGGCGCAGGTTTGTATTATATCCGTGGAGTAAAATCGCGGCGAATAGAAGAAGAGGCAATCACCGTACTTGTCTGCACGCTTCGACGATTTACTTCCAGCACTTCCACCTCTCTCCCGGATGTTACGTCACGTCTCAGTCGCGCGACGACGAACCTTCCTCGCTGCTGGTCTCTTTCGAGAGTCGCGCTTTAACCTGAGCGGAAATTCGCCATTTTACTTCCTCCTCCTCCTCCTCCTCCTCTGCGCCTAACCTCTTTCGGGATTGCTTAAACGCTTCGAAATCATTTTCGAGAACTCTTTACCCGTGAGCCTCAGCGGTAATTGCATCCCGACCAATCAGCGGCCGAGTCTCGCTGTACATTTTCAATGGATATTTTAACAGGCTTCGTACTTCGTCTACCTACATCACTGTATATATGTATACTCGATCGGCAAAAGTAACTCGAGCACCGGATAACTTGCGTTCACGTTGGAATTGGGCCTTGTGCAAGAATCGGTGACTCAGTACTTTTTAAGGTTTTGCTCTTTATTTTACTTTTTTCTCTTTACTTCGCTTTTTCATCGTCTCTCTCGATTTCGCGTGTCTTGTCTCCTTATGGCTTACATAACCTCCCCACGTATATTTCGGTCTGCTGTTCTCTCTCGTTAACTGCGATGTACATTCGGTATCTGCGTTTCTCACTGTAACTCAACGTTTTACCTTTCTACTTGCAACGAGCAAGTAGAGGTACGGTAACTACCACTATTGCCGTACGACCACACTCTAGATAGTACCGCACTGTACGTGTGTAATGGCGCATGATTCATCTTTGTACTGTTTGTAAAATAAAAATATTTCTTACCCACTCACGTGTGGGCGATTCAGGATGTATCTTCCTTCCTCAGTTGCCAAGGGGCGCCGAAGAGAAATATTATCGGCATTCGAGTCAACGTTTCTGGTCTTCCATCTCGATTCGCTTCCTTGGCATTTACTTCCGCTTGGCGCGAGGCGCCATTTCGTTTTATCAAAGCGATTTGTACCCTGCGCATTAGCCTAATTAGCATCCCGTGACGCGCTGGGCGGTGGCTCCCGGTCTCTTCGTGTTATTAACTAAAGGTGGGTTCACATTAGATTTCTTTAATTACCTTAAAATATATTTACTCGCACTGTCCTCATTACTCACCCGTATATATTTAGGTTATGCACGTACCGAACCACCTGCCGCTGTCGCGCATTTAGATCCAGGCTGACTTTCGAGTTTCGCGATCTTCCTCGCCATTAGAAACTATCCCCGAGGGAGTCACTGGGATACGAGACATAACCTCCTTGACTGCACGTTGCGTATATATAAATAAGCAAGGCCTATGTACATAGGTACTTATCTACGTAAAATAAAGTGGACGTTACAATACACAATGAGGGATATCCAGGGGGTTCCCCGTCCTGTGCAGTCAATCCTACATAATACATCGGGGATAAAGGGGGATATTGTCGCCGATTGTGCGTAGACTTTATTGTAGCAACGGAACGCGTGCGACATTCAAAACCCGGTGCAATAGTCTATTAAATCCCTAAGGTAAATTCACCGTGCATTAGAAACAAGTATGGAAACGTTGCTGTTTATTTGCTCAATCTTTGCTTTTTGTATTTAATTAATTGACCGTTATCGGCTGAGTAATTCATAAATTATACTCGGGGATAGTTCATACGAGCCTGTCGGCTCTTACAGAATCGAATGATCGAACGATCGATATCTCTGCGCGGTGCGTAGCTTCGAGTATAACTCACGGGGTGGCTGCTGTCAGACGGTCTAGGTATATATAGAGGGGGCCAAGCGATGTTCCTAGGGGACCAATAGGGGGCGAGACGAAGCCTCCCCAATGGGGGTGGCGGCGGCGGTGAGTCACGGAGCGGGGGCGACGGCTCGAGTCTCGACTCTGTCAGTTCATCGCGAAACGCCACGCCCGACGTGCTGTTGCACTTTTCGCTCGCAGCTCCTTCCTCTGTATTACGTGTCTACGTTTTATCCGGCCGGCATAAACCGGCGACCTTTTTCGTCTCGGGATCAGCATTGTTTCTTAAAAAGCTACGCTGAACACGGTAAATCACACGGTTACGTCTTAAATTCCGATGTTATTTGTTTGTTTTATTGTCGATTTTGGTCATAAATTTTCATACGGACATGCAATGTTATAAGTGTTGTCTCCACGAGAATCTCTGAATGACGATCTTCACGAACGGATCACGCCGCTGTTCGGTAACGTAGAAAGAGTGAGGGAGAGAGAGACTATAATTTAATTAAGATGTTTTTTGCTCGAGAAATCTTTGATAGACTCGTACGTAATTCTTGCTGATTATATTAATCGTAGTGACACAGAGAACGAGAATAATTTACGTCCATAAGTACGTATATATCGACTGGTATAGATAGGATTTGCTCGTTACGACTATATATATATATATATATATATATACATATATATTATTTATGTGATGTGGAATCGTTGCACGACTATTTTTACCAGTATTCCCGCACGATGGAGAAAATAGACGGATGAGTAAATGGTGAATCGTCATGAGCTATGCGAATTCATATAGTGTTACTAAGTTTTCTCTTTCGGAGCTTACGTGCAATTTACCGTGCAATTGGCGCGTATCGCGGATCCGTGCGATAATACAGTGTACGAGGGGACATTTCTCCTGATCTTATTCCACACGATTTGCCGTGGCACGATATTTTCGAATGCGTCCATGTGAAACGAGCCGTGAACAGGCTCGCGCCAGACGGGACGGTCAGGGCCGGCGAGACCCAGTCTGTGCCCTTCTCGTCTAGCCCAGTGTAGTTTCACCCTAGTGAAACATAAACTGCCGCTGCTGCTTCTACTGGATTCTAGTGCTCGATGATTCGTAGAAACTTGGCGAAACGTCCTCATCGATCTCTGTGTAGAATATATTTATTTTCTCAGTTATTCCCCCTTTTTTCATTCTCCCTCACTCATCCGCAATTTTCTTTTCCATAAAAAAATTTGCCAGACAAACCATATAGACTCGGTGGCTGAAACAGCAGATACTTGTTTTGTCGGGCGTTTCCATTTGCAGGATCGATAAAAGTCCTCTGGTGAATATATCTCTCTCTCTCTCTCTCAGGAATAATCATCAGACCGGGAGGTTCTCTCTGCCTCACTGAATTCCATTCGACTTCGATCCCATCGAGCAGTCACTCGGCTGAGTGCACCAGACTTCATGACTCGCAATAAAAAAGATCCCGGTCTGAGGTGTACTTAGGAAGTTTTGAAAAATTCACCACGTCACTTACCCCGCGTAATTCTGTTAAGAGGTTCAAGCATCGCCGTGGACTGGTTACACCGGGTGGTTTCTAGTCTGACCAGAGCCGTAATTTAATATTTCCTTGTAACGCAAACTCCCATACCTATTTCAGACTCGCGCGAAACACATTTAACATCGTGTTCGGCCAGAGGAGCAAACTGTTGCACCAGAAACTTCTTCGAGCTTTAAAACGAAGGACACTCGCTCGTCTCACATATACCGCATAACTTCCTCACTCGACTGTACTGTTTTAACAATTTTCTCGCATAAGGCATGCGTAATACGTTACGTGGAAAAAAGTGGAGACAGAAAGTTTCAGTGTCCTCTGTACATATAGGAACGTATGTAGATGCACTGTAGAAACGGTTGACTCATCATACGGTACAGCAATACGTAGATAGGGACACATTAAGCCAATTTGCGGCGGAACGAAAGATCGGAGCCGCAAATTACTGAGGAAGATAGAAACGTGGAGCGCGTACGTTAACTTCCGTAGGTAAAAGATTCTGCCGGATTGGCCGGTAATTCAGCGTGTCTTGACAGTTGTCAATATTAAGGGCTGGGACGAGAGCATCTGTCACGTAATGACATTCTCGAGCGGGGCGTAGTACCCTGGTGTCGTCTCGTGCGCATGCGCGTGCGCCCCTTGCGGGACACGTGCCGTACTTTGATTAATGCGACTCGGTGGCTGCCTAGACGTCTCATTGCTGAGTCCATACATGTTAATCTTGTCTAAAGCCTACGGTAATATACATGCATATACAGTCGAGAGGCACTTACCGACTGCGCCTTAAGTTACGTTAGTACTGGTATATATCCACGTTGGTGATAAGGAAAGGAAGGAAGGAAGACTCGCGTTTGGTTAGGTTGGCGCCATTGAACATTACCCAGAAGCCCTTTTCGAATCGGCGCTCGCGATTTCTCCGTGCGCGTCGATCTCGTCTGTTTCTTTGCTTTTGGAATCAACTGCCAGGGGACATTCTCGGGAAAGCGGTTTTTCTCACTCTCTCGATTTGGCTGTACGTTTAATTTATGCATTTATACCTGTCGCTGGGGTTCTCACGCTTCGTGGACGATCGAGCGACACCGACGGCGAAGAACAGGGATGAAAAGTGGGTAGAGTCCTTCTGTCGAGTAATGGCGGACGGGTGGGAGGGAATGACAGGAGGTTTTTTTTTTCATCTTGACGCTGCTTATAATTTTAAAGTCACGAAGCAAGCGTCATCGACTAAAATGGTTTGCTTATTTCGATGGCGAAATGTGTGCGAAAGTCGTTAACAGTTGCGTTGCTATGCCGAAAGAAATATGTCTCTCTGAGTCACGCGAGAGTAAGTAGTGTCGGTGAAGGTTAGGGTGGTGTTTCTTGAACGATACGATCTGCGAGGTCATTCGGGAGAGATACGGAGAAACACGGGGTTACGAATCTTCATCCCGAGTCTACGTGAATCACTCGGAAGAGAGGACTTGCATAACGTATCTGTAAATATTTGTCATTTACTTTCAACGACGTGATAAAGGAAGCTGCCCATATGTGAGCGTACATACATATATCAGAAGCTGATTGTACAGTTACGCGTATTACCAGATTCGCATATAGGGTCCCTGATCATTTTCATATGATTTCACGCTTCTGTAGCAGGGGTTGCAAGTGGAATTGATGTAACGGGGGTCGCAAGTGAAATCGGAGGATGAGCTGCCGTGTAGCAATTGGCGCTCTTCTGTTATCGACCGATGTTCAAAATTTTACCTTTCAAAAAATACCTTAAAAAATTCAGACACCTCTGTCTGATTTCTCATGAAAATATCGTAAAGAAAAAATCTGAAGATGTGACGAGAGAATTCAAGGGAATAATTCGTCCAAATGGGACGTTATTATCCCCGTGAATTCCGCACGGATATCGAGTAGCGACCTTGTCGGCATGTAGACATTAACGAGTCAATCAACTCGCACGTGCTCGCCATTTCCTAGTTATCAGAAGACACTTCGACTATACGTTGCACTACATATCGGACTATATCATTTTACGAACGATGAAGACAGAGAGACTAGTGTCCCGAGTATTTGAATGTAACGTATGCGCTAATAAGGATCCGTCGGTAAAGTAGATTCTAGCAGCGTCATCTATGAATTCGTAGTTGACATCTCGTCGCGTAATGCAGTCGGGGTAGCGTAGAGAGAAGGTTTGTTGTGTCTAGCTCAGGGCAGGTAGGACGGACTGACGGATAGACAAATAAATATAGGAGACCCTCGTTACCTGGACAGTCTCTGTAGACTTTGCAGTCAGATTGTAAAGTCGACGGCGCAGGCGTTCATCTACTCCCTATTCAGCCGAGGTCAACGTACCCCATTCGAGTCTCAAGCCCATTCCGTGTCGCAATGGCCGTAGAAAAGTCGTAAGTTCGCGTGTTTTTTTCTTTCTTTTTTATATTTTAGACATCACACGGTCTACGTTATCCCGAACCTCGGCTTCTGTATAACGTATAACCTAACTTTTGATTTACCGGTTCTGCTTGTAAATATCAGCAATTCACCTTGACAGTTTTCAAACTCACGATACGTGAAACTAAATAGGTGCTTATCGGCGATCGTTAAGTCGTTTGATTTTAATTGAAATTTCGTTTTATTCTCTTGTCGTAATATTGACCATGGGCATTTACTTGCGTAACCCAATTATCGTGTCTATTAGATTAATACGTCAGGACGTTACCCTACTCAGCTGATTATGGGTGTTTGCATCAGAAAGGTCGGTCCATAAATTACAACCCTGGCGAAATGTTTGCATCCAGTGGGGAAGAGTCGGGGAAGACGAGCCGATATTCATGAGAATAAATTGCGAGACGCAGCCAAGCGCGAAGCATGATTTATGGGGAAATTGGAAATAATTCAATACCTATTGTCTGTCAGTCTCGCGGTTCTTTGGTCTGTTGTTACAGATGTAAATGACAGGTGCCGAACGTATATAGCCTCTTCGCGAAGTTATTCGCGTCGAATATATCTTCAAATACAATTTGTCACAATGGACGCCTCTGACTACCAATTAAAAACTATCGATAGTCGCTGTATTCATATTTTTGCTCAGCTGTCAAATCTTTCTCTGCATATACTTGTCTCTATCGTATAAATGAATATTACACGTCACTTAGATTTACGTACCTCGGTACGAGTATTAACGCGAGTTCACACGAGCAGCATCTCTTCTCGGCTCCTGAAACTATAATGTTAGGACAGTCATAGCCGCCTGGCACGTGGAAAATGGAAAGTAAGATTGTACGGTGCGCATAAGGATTAAGTGGGAGTAATTTTATTATCGTTATCCAGTAACGTTACAGATATCATACGGCGGATCGTGTTCAAGGTCAAGGTTCAGATTCTCAGTGGTCCATAGTCATTGTGAAAATCGTAAAAATGTATTTATCTTTATTTATCTTGAACGCAATCGAACGGGAATAATTGAAAAAAAAATTGTCTTATATTTGACAGATGTAAACGACGATTGTAAAAATATTATTTCTCTGATTTCAGCTAGTGCAAACGTCATAGCCGAGAAATTGGTGCTCGAGGCGAAGTCATTGAGGTCGCGCGACAACATCTCGGTGATCGTCGTCTTCCTGACGGATCCCGTGGAAATAAGCTCGAGGCCCGACGATTCCCATGAGCTGCTCGCCAAGTCGAATATCTACGCGACGTTTCTTCTAGAGACAAATCCGCAGTTTGCAGAGATGACGGACGCCTATTGGAAGCAGCCGGAACTATTGGGCGAGGAGAATCGTTGCTTCTACGAGGCACCGAGCAACGGGAAGCACGCTAATAATGCGCCCGATTACGAGGACGAGGACGAGGACGAGGATCTTGGTCCGGAGACGAACGTAGACGCGGTGGACGAGGCCACCGAGAAATGCACGAAGCTCGAGGATCTCTCTCGTGAACTTTTCAAGGAAAAGACGGACGAGAGATTCGAGGTCACTCGGGACGACGACGACGACGACTCTCCGCCGTCGCCTGGAATCAGTGAGTACCCTTGCACCAGGTCGATCTTTATTATCTGTGACTTATGATCTTCTAGTGGGATCTTTGCGTCGTGGACGTTGAGAGGGAAGGCGTGGAAGCGGTGAAAGAAAATTAAAGAGAGACAGCATGGTGTCACTTTTGGATTGGACACTTTTTATTTGGAACGACAACCTCTCCTTTGGTACTGATACCATTTTTGGAACCGAGCCGACTGCTTTTTCCGGAGTCTTCTTCTTCTTCTTCTTCTGCTTCTCTCTCTGGTCTCACTGATATACGTACTTGCTTGGTATCTGGTCAGGAACTATCTAGAGGGTCTTTAAGTGGCTCTCGGTGCGACCTAGTCAACCGTAACGTTCGTAAATCACACTCGGATAATTTTCGATGGAACTTTGCAAAGGACTCTTTAAGCCTCTGGACCGAAGTAGAGAGTTGGATGTTGCCTTGGCGATATACCGAAATCTTTAGCCAACCGGTTCTCGAGGGAACAGGATCCGCACCGAGTATCTTCAGAGGAATGGCAAGCCTGGGTATGGAACGAGGGACTGGCCAAATATTTTCATTTTTCATATTCTCAGTCATCCTCTACCTGGTTACACGGAGATAGCGGTGTCTGCACGTAATATCCGTTAGAGGGAACCACGTGAAGGCAGCTTTTGTCGAAAAATTACGGAGGAGGGAAATCAGCCGTTTTGCACTTTTCTACATCCAACGGTTGTATCAGCCGTCTGGCTAAGCCAGCCTGGAAAAATGGCCCCAAGCGGCATTGGGTTTGTCTCTGTAATCCTGGCTTTGAAATCCACCAAGAGAGCGGTAGTTGGTCCTATCATTTTTTTTCCTCGTTGCCATATACGACTCTCACGAGGGTGTTGGCACGACGGTGACGGTGTACCAGAATGGACTATATTATAATTCTCCACTCGCAGTCGGCCGCTGACACAATACAAATCCTCGGGATATTTCATTCGATTTTTCTGGGGATAAAAATTTCTAAAGCCCTCGGCTCCGGAGGTTCAGTCTGGAGCTCTCTGACGCCCTCCTGGTCTTTCACACGTGGAAATCCCTCTTCTTCTGGCTCACACTTTATATAGCGTGGCTCTTTCAATTTTTACATTCCTTTCCAGGGGCACACATGTCCCTCGTCTATACGTGCATGCCGTCACGGTCGCACGCGAAGCACCGGAATAACTTCCCGCCGTTCTAGGCTTATATACGTACTACTCTACCGCCGTACATACTTTTATGTATATCTGGACGGGAGTGAGGAGCATTCGATTCCTTTTTTTTTTCTTGAAAAATTAAAAAAAAGAGCCCACGAGAACTACCCACTCGGTTAGCAACCGCACACGAATTAGTGTAGAGGAAAATTCATGCATTTTTCCAGGCACTACAAGGCAAGCCAGCAGAGATTGCCTTTTGAAATATTTACTTTTTTTATTTTTTTTTTTTCATGAACGAGAGTGACGGAGTAAGGCAGTGTAATATTTCCAGAGCACGAAGGTAAGAGAGAGAAAGAGATAGAGAGAGAGAGAGAGAGAGAGAGAGAGAGAGAGAGAGAGAACAGCTTCGTCTCGTTATTCTAACCTATTTTGGTACTTCCGCACAGACAACGAGAATCCTCGTTGCTCCTCGTATCTTCTGAGCCTACAGTGTACAAGGAGAAGGAGGAGGAGGAGGAGGAGTAGGAGGAGAGTCTACTCCATCTTCTCGTAGTGACCAAAAATTCACTCTATTTTCGTAAAGCCTGGAATCTTGTACATACATCCCGTTTTTCCCGTTTTCTTTTCTCTTTCTTCACTTCGGTTCTTGTTCTCTCTTATCTTCCGATGCTGTCAGTATGTTAGTTCCCGGCGCTCGCCGCCAGCCGTTTAAGGCGTTGCGATCGCCCGGCTCAAGGAGCCAGTAGTATTCTGTATCGAGAAAAGGCCTTTTGTTCCCCGCTTTTTTTTCTGTATTCAATCGGCATGTAGCAGCAGTTGAATTCCGTGTATGGGTGAGCAATCGGTGTAGTGCACAGGTCCGCATTAATATGGATGTTATGTGGGATGGCTGAAGTCTTATTCGCAGGAGACCGGCCCACTTTCTGCTACTTTAGCTTTCACCACCTTGTGCCAGTCACTGCACTTCCTGCACTGATTGTCGTCTACCCGCGAATCAGACCAGATTCGTTACTTTTTTTCTCCCTCTTATCCTTGCGTTTCCTTTTTTTTTTGATTTTTAGTATTCAACTGAGTCCGTTAGTTCACGTGTTCAACCCGGTGATGCTTCACCCACGTCCTCGCTGTTTTTTTTTAAATTTTTTTTAATTGCTCATTAATTACTTAATTACTACAGGTGTACCGGGGCGGTGTAGTATCAAAGCCATGCTCTCCTTCCTCCCACTTCATTAAGTTTACGAAGTCACTTTCAAAATGCCGAATTAGCCAAGCGTAAAGCTTCCCATATTTTCACACGTTGACCCCGGCGCGCTTCGTTAAATTGACGCAACAGGCAGAGAGCTGTGCCGGGTTTCCGGGAGAAATACCTAGCTACGTGAGAATAGCGCGCGCCGTCGCTGATTCATTCTCGGAAATATGTCGGTAAAGTCACCAGCACATATTCGCGATACACAGTCGTTCTCTGTCCGGTCGTATTCGGTAATATTTTTGACTTTGATAATTACACAGATCCTGCTTTCGTTCCTCGTAAAGGCCAGAGTTTACCTGTAGAAAGCCGACGACATTTAAGCAGCCAGGCAACTTGTTTGGTTCGAATGTAAATGGCGCCATCACTATTGACGTCGTACGTGGAGAATGCAAATATGGCACGGCCGAAGTCATGCGCAGACGCCATAATCCTTGTTTCAAGTTTCCAATATATCGATACGCGCGCGAGCTGCCGAAAGAGTGACGCGAGACTCGAGAGAATATATCGTGAGCGACACGTCAAAACGATAGACATAAAATGGTTTATAACATCGTGAGGTAAAATTTCAACGCGTGCGAACTCTCGAGCACGAGGGCTTTGTGGGTAATCCTCTACATAGGAAGTTTGTATTTGGCGCCGAGTTATCCGAAAAGACCGGCCGGGTAAGTCCTACTTCGCTATTGGCTGCCGGCAGCGCTCCGGCGAGCAGACATGCGGGGAATGGACCAATCGGCTCTCGGCACAGTCAGGGCGCTACGCCTATGGAAGGGATTCCGGCAGTTGGACCTGTGTCTGCGCGCAGTTGTCGTGTGCGTCTACTTTCTTCGCTTCTAACGTTTTTACCAAGTGTCCTTTTACGCTTCTTCGTTCTATTATTTTACGGTGTGTCCGGTTATAGATACGCGTTCCCGTCCGTGCGACTACGGGAAACAATTGGTGCTAAACACTGTGACACTTAAAGGAACGTACGGGCGAGTCCCGTTGAAATCAGAGAAGGTACGTCGTCCTCTGTGCCGGGTGAGCTCGTTGCGAATTTAAACTTCTAACGAAGCCTACCCGGCGTATCGTCTTCCCTCCATTCCGCTGGCGCTGGCTCTCTGTCTCTCTTTCTCTCTCTAAGAATGACAACTCTTCTCACTCTTGACGGAATTCTTGGAATCCTTTGCAGTACGTTACGATAACCTCCTCATATCCGTAACGGTTGTCTGATGAGAAGTGTATCCTCTTTCAGGCATCAAATTAAGATTGGCCGTCCGGGTTAGAGCACATTCACAATCTTCCTTCTCGTCTACGACAAGAACAGACCGATTGCACTGTTCCTCGTTCTTATTCTACAGACGTATATCTTGTGTTCATTCTATGTATAATACGTGGGTTATATCCTAGTGTGGTCAAGTGTATATCCGTCGTATATTCCAGAAGTAACAGATCTAACCTAACGTGCCTAACGGATCGACACAGTGACACTGTGTCAGATGCTGCGTAATACAATGTAATTACCACCCCCTAGAGGTTGTAAGCTCAGACGGTTCAGAGCCTATGGCTAGGACAAAAGAAAAATGCTGACAAACCGGGTTCTTCTCGCGTGACGCATTTTCCTTGTTAGATGCATGCAGCACTGTTAGGCGATATACACGAATCCTTGCAGTGGCACGCAGCAGAGACATTTTCAAGGAGTGCGTGTAGGCGTGGTTGCGCGTTTTGCAGCTACCTGAGACCGTGGCCAATAAACTCGGTATAGCCTACATAAATATTCCATTATGACGCAATAAATACAGAAATCGCTTAACGGTGTCATTGGGAATTTCTTTACGTTTGTAAATATGTGACTGCACAGGTTCTTCTCTTCTCTCTCTTTTTTTCGTGCTCTTGTATCTTTTATCTCTTCGGGATATCTACCTGTGTATACCACGACTCTCCCTCAAGGTAATAATTGTATAACCCACGTCTCTTATAAGTTTTATTTTTATACATTGGCCTTTAAACTAAACGAATTATTACGTTATTTCCAGTAGCCGATCCACTAACCGTTCTACCCAGAGGCCAATAAAGTTCTTGTCGGTTCATCGAAAAGGAAGGCATTAAGCAATTCCAAAGTTGTCTTCTAGGAGTCGCACTTAATACGACATTAATTCTATGCTCCTTCAACTGGCCTGCACATAGAGAGTGCATATTCATTTCAAGGTTGGCCCGTGTTATTTTTAGAGAGTATTCTCGCCGACGAGCATAGGAGAGGATGCTTGCGAAGAGGCCCTATCTTTCTTGACTTTAATCTAAGAAGAAGAAAGACAGTTGGCAACAAGGGAATTACGAGATCGATAAACGAAGATGATTCCACTAGTTTGTTAACCCTCTTCTGAATCCAGTGGCACAAGGTCAAGTGGACTGCACTTTTCCGTCTTCGGATTTCCTCGAAGCACCGTTAGCGCGAGCTACAAGACCGGCCCTGATAAGGTCTTATCGAGAAAAACTTTATCGCATCCGCTTAATTCGACTCTAAACAATAGTAACGTGCACATTTACTACTTGTGACCTATCGAGAAACCGTTTGGGATTCCCGTGCCGGCACTTATCGTCCTTAATTGTTTGATTTACCTTGTGTTCTTCTTGTTTCGGTACACCCACTGGTCCGATGAGAATTCCCCGAGGATCCTGAAAAGACTCGATGACAGCTGTGCAGTTCATATCAGTTTTCCGGAAATCACTATTGCTTATCGGCGATAACAAAACAATAAGTACCACTGTCATTTAGATAAACGTACAACCTAAGGTACTTTGTTGGTATAGATATATGTCTTTCTTCTCTTCTACGTATACACGTAACACCTATTTCTCTAATTGATTACGCATTCGCGGTACCCGGCCTCCACATGCTACTCATTCGTTTACGTTTCCAGAAAAGTATTTGCGATCGTCACTTGGGTGTGAGGATTCCGCTCGCGAGAGAGACAGAGACGGGTGGATATCTCGTAGAGGCTGGAGCGAGAGAAAGAGGGAAAGAAGAGAGAAAAGAGAGCTCGAGCAGAAGGCAGCTGTGCTTTCCTTACGTAAAAAGCAAATGCCCTCGACGTCCCTCGTCTCCTGGAGCTCTCGCATATTTTTATCGTGACGAGACAGTTACGACGCTTGTTTTCTCCTTAATTGGTCGGTGGATTGTTTACTCATAACAGACGGCAGATAACGCTAAACTCTAACACCGATCTTATCGATGCACACGCCTGATCCAGCATCTTTGACTGGAATTATTGATTTTTATCACGTGGGAAGGCCAAGGCGCTTACTAGGGGCGAGGATAAAAGTCTGCGAGGATTCAAATGCAACCTCTTCGCAGCTCGTAGAATCCGGTGGGCTGTCAGGACTGAGAAGTCTGAGAGGAGAACAAGCGGGCCTTGAATAGCGGGAGCCGCGAGTGAGACTCCACGTATAAAATTAGCTTCCCGGCTGCCGGTATGCCGTATGCGTGAGAGGAGGCTGCACGCCGAGGTGGAGACGAATAAGAAATGTAGGAGGAGGAAGAGCAGGATGAAAGGGAAAAAAAAAGAGGAAATGGAAAACAAAACACAGGGTTGTTACCTCGCTGCGGTCGCGCGCATTTAAATCCACTACGTCTCACGTCCTCAGCGTTTCTCTTTGTGGAGTCAGCAACTCCTGAGGCTGCTGAGTCGAGAAGCTGGAGTGCACGAGGTGGACTTGGTATCGCTGCCAGTAACTTACCCAGTAAAAGCTGAAGACGTTGGGACAGTCCTGAGGTTTCTTCTTCTCTCTTGCTCTTCTGGAGCCATTGTTACCATTTGCACGGTTCAATTAAACTCCCATACCTTCTTGGCACAGAGTATCGCACCGGTGGTCTAAATCATCCTCTGCAGTTGACGGTCATTGGACCCGGTGCCAAGGTTCTCGGCCTAACCCACCATTTGAGGAAATCTTGAAATTCTGTTTATTTTCATATATTCGAAACCACTACCTCCAGAACGGATTCTGCTGTTTCTCCATGGCGGATGCATGTCTCGTTAACCAGTTTAAAGGGATGTTAACACTTTAACGTGGACGTAACTCTTTGACGCTTTACGAGGATGGAAAATTGATGGATTTACTGGAATCCATATGAGAAATGGGTACTAGGAAATGGGAAGTGTGATATAGGTATACGCGGGCTGGAGTTGATGTAGGTGCTGAGGTGAGACTGTTGCTATATGGAAAGGACAGGTGGGTGGCGACAGGGCCGGCTGAATGGGGTGCAATCGGGCCTCTGGACTAGATCGATAATGCATCTCTTCTTGGCAGGCGTGGTTGCTCTTAGTCATCGATCGATCGTTCGCCGGGGTGACTGGGTTCTCATGTCTGTCGCTTCTGCTGAGAGATTGCATCGATCAATTTCTTTTAGCTGAATCATTTTCGAGCACTTGTACCAACGTATACGCGCTTAATTGAAGTCATGTTGAGAATCCCTGTTTTTTTTTTATTTGCTCTCTCTCTCTGTCTCTCTCTTCCGTCTCTTCAATTCATCTGGGTAAGGGCAAATTCCTAGTCGGCTCTCTGCGGTTCATCAGGGATTTTTCCCTTGACGACAGACAGTACCCTGCACGTTCAGCAGGCACCACCCTGACCTGGAGTAAATCGATAGTGCATTCACTCCCGAGGAATAAACGAATCGTCTGGGATTCGTTGATTCTTTTTTTTTTTTTTTTTAATACTTTTTTAGTCCACGGTCTTTCGTCTTTTCACCGCTATCATATTTATGAGCGAGTGAGTTTGGTAGTGATTGGTGAACTTTATAGTGAAAGGTGTGCCGTTGTATTTTTTGTTTATAACACGATCAATCTAGATAACGTTTCACAGTGCTTCGTGCTGGATAAGACTGTATTAATTTTTATTCGAACGATTTAATATCGCGCGTTCTTGTCCGTTGAAATTATTCGCTAGCTTGTCTGATCGTCTTTGATGATCTTATTGGTAATTTTTTTTTGAATTTCTTTTCCAGAATCCAGTCAACATGTATTGATTCCTGAGGCGGATAATGTAGCGGATAGCGAGGACTCTGAGGACGAGTGGAATTATTATAAAGTCGACCCGAACAAGGAAAAGGATTCTGCTCCAGATCCTGTTAAGGAGAGTAGTGAACCTAAGGACGAAATAAAGGAGAGAGAGTATCCTGTGTCTCTTGAAGAAGATCAGGAAAGACTGCCTGAAAGGGAAATAGAATTTGGTGGATCCGGCGACATATTCGAGAAGGAAAAGGAAGCTGATTCGCCTGAGCTTATTGAAACCGATGTAAGTTTCTTCAATGTCATGGTATGTTTGTGTTCTGATTTTGGATTTTCAATATTATCAATAGATTTGCCCAGAGGAAACTTTACGAGAAGACTCTGCATCTACGCAGCAGCAGCATCAAGAAGCGCTGGACGAGATGGATTTCCAATTGAATCCAAATGCGGCTGAGTTCGTGCCGGTTTCACCTCCCAGACCTTTGCAGCAGAGGTTGAACATCGGGCCAGACTTCCCAGTGTCAGGATCGCCCTTGAAGAGGACACCCACGATGGATGATATCCCAGTGCCAAGTCAGGAGGAGTTCGAGGAGGAGATCTGCCGACGACCCAGCGAGGTCGAGGAGAAGGAACCATTGACTACGGAGAATCTACAGCGTACAGAGTTCACAGACTACCTCGTGGATAAGCAAAAGGCTTCGGGTGTTCCTGGTCCAGGTTTGGATGTGTCTGAGATATCCTCGACCAAGGCCGAATTCGGGGATGAATCGTCAACTAGCTTTATGACTGCCACAGACTTCCACAAGACTGGCGTTTCTGTTATGGACGATTCATTCGGCGGCTCCGAACGTCAGGAATATGATATCGCCCGCGACCCCATGGCCATGTCATTCACACCGGCTGATTTCGAAGCGGCTTTCGAGAAGAGTGTCGACCTCAATGCCGTTCACGATCTCCACGACGCCGACTTGGTTGGATGTCAGAATGGATTTGTTCCTGAAGATCGTCCTGTGGCACAATCACCAGACATTCATCTGGAGTTGGCTACTCTCATCACGCCAGAGACAGATCATCCCCCGCATACGGAACCCTTCCCGGATCCTCACACTGACAGTCTGCTAGACGTTTCGTCGCCAGCCGATCACCAGGAGGTTTTAGAGTCTACACTCATCGATGGAAAGGAATCTCGGACGCGAGATACATCGAAGATTCTCGATATCGAATTGGAGAGGCACTCGTCGACTGATCAGAACTTTGAGATGCAAGTAACGGAACAGACTTCAGAGTCAGGCGCTCCGGTGCCAGAGTCGGAGCTGTTTAAGCTAGAGGCTAGTCCGGTTCCTGATTTGAATCAGGATCTGGCGAAACCTCTTGGTAATGGTGTTGATTTCGATTTGCATCAGAATCCTTCTGAAAGTGCCGAAACTCCAGATATCATTACCATGGAGGCCCAGGAAGTGCCGGAGACACATCAGCAGGATATCATGGATATTCAGAGTCTAGTCTCATCCACTCAACAGGCTACACCCGTCTCACCTGGACCGGATACGGCAGAGACTGTATCTCCTCAACCATTGGAGCCTGAAATCTCCTCACCTATATCCCAGGATGAGCAGATTTGTACCTTACCACGAGAGGAGTCGTACTCATCTTACTTTAAGACTTCTCCACAACCTATCCCTGTAGCACCTTTCGTTACAGAGAGTCCAGAGTTGAAAGTCCAAAGTGAAGAGACTATTGAAAAACAGCATGTTGCTCCGGAAGTTGATGTCATGCAGAATCCTTTGGACTTGAACGTGCAATCAGTGTCTTCCGCAGACACTATCAAGTCGGAACTCGAAACCAGTGGTGATATTGATTTCGCAGAAAACTGGAATAAAAAATTCGAGACTATCCAGAATCCGTTCATGACGGAAACGTTCTCCTCGCCTCTAGCAGATGCTGTACCACAAGAAGCGCCTGTACAAGAATGTCCGTTCAAGATTAGCCAGCATGATTCGTCTAAAGAAGTACCTCCTCAGGAAATTGACAATAAAGTTACTCAATCAGAGGACCATCTCTTATTTTCTATTACTGCCGATAATAAGGGACCACAGGAAAATGGAATTCAGCAGATCGAAGTTGCCAAAGTAGATGAACTCACGCCCAAGCACGGTATTATTGATAGTAACTTTCACCATATCGAAACGCACAAGGAGGATATCTCGAGCAAGATATCTGGGCTGGACCTATCCGAGTCTCTACAAGAGTTCACCGGACTGGAAAAGGAATTGGAACCTGAACAGATCGAAATTGAAAAAGTAAACTCTCAACACGTATCGGTAGACGCGGCAGAGGAAGCCGTTGAGGAAGCAATTGTTCCAGAAGTTGCTGCAAAAGAAGCTGCCAAGCCGCTCGAACCAGTTGCACCGAGTGTACACGAGGAGAAGGTGATCGTAGAGGATGTACCAAAGGATACACCTAGTCCAGGAGCAATTCAAGAAATAGTAACAGTACCCAAGATACCCGAAGTGAATGTAGAGGTTCCAAAAGACACTCTACCGTCAGCAGCAGCGGAACCAGCTGAAGAAAAGTCCCAGGCAGGGACTGCGGTAGCAGCCGTAGCTGCAGCAGGAACGGCAGCAGCTGTGGCAGCGACTGCCGCGACACGTGGGACAAAGACAAGCAAGGCAAAACCAGCGCCAAAGGGTACCAAAGCTCCAGTAACCTCAAAACCTGCACTGAAGTCCAGCCCGACCTCGCCAGTAAAGAGTCTAACTCCCAAGACAACGAGCACTGCCGCCAAGAAGCCTCCACTAAGTACTGTCTCCCGTCCTAAGCAGCTGGACGCTAAATCGAGCCCATCCAGCACCGTGACTAAGACCGCACTATCACCCAAGCCAAACCCCCCGAAGGCAGCCTCGTCTCGTCTCAGTGCGACCGGGCCCAAACCGAAGACAGGGACAACCACCAAACCCCCGGCACCATCCACAGACAAGAAAGCGACACCCAACGGTGACGTGAAGCCACCTGCTAAACCTGCAGCTTCCAGACTGACCGGTAAGCCCGCGGCCAGCACCACGGCGACGAAGAGCACCCTAGTCAAATCATCAACGACTTCACGACCGATGTCTGGGACATGTGCCCCCAAGCCCAGACCCACGTCTGCTGCACCGGCGAGCAAACCACTAACCAAAGGTACCACCGGTACCACTTCAACCGCAGCAGCACGTCCAAAGACTGCTCCCACTACCAGCACTGTAACCAAGACACGTCTGTCCGCCACCAGCTCTCCGGTAACGGACAAACAGATTAAGGAAACAGCAAACAAACAGATTTCCTCAGCGCGCACCAGCTCCGTCTCCGCTACGAAAACTGCTCGCGCTACCGGGACTACCACCACGAGTAGCAGCACGAGCAGCACTACTATCAAACGTACGGCGGGCAAACCGACGACTGGATCGTCTCCGCCGGCAAGGAAACCGGCACCCATCACCAGACCCGGAGCCAAGTTCTCAGCGACCACGAAGCCGAGCACGAAGAGTTCTGTAACGGCTGGCAAGAGCACGACGACTCAGGTCATTCAGAATGGCGTCTCCGAGCTCCAGGAGTCGAAGACGACAGTGACGACCACGACAACGAGCAATAACATCGAAGAGGACGTTCCCAAGAAGGACGTCTCTCCCGTCGCTCCGCCGAGCGACAATCAGCTCATCATGGCCGCTGATTGAAGAGGCACCTTTTTCTTTTCGTCGAAGAGCGAAGGGCGCAAAGGGAAACTTCGTTGCCCGGAGGAATCTTAACGCGAGAACAAGAAAGTAAAAATGGGGAGGGATACGAAAATCCAAGGATTGTGCGATCGTTTGACGGGATAGGGACGGAGGAGGGATTTTTGAAGACAAAAATGAATTTAAAAAACGGAAAGCTTAAAGATAGGAAGAGTGTGAACGTTCCCCAGTCGTATACAGAGAATCTGATTATTAGCTTGCGCCAATGTATGTTGCACCAATAGTTTTCTTATGAGTTTTCAAAGTTTTGAAGAAAAAAAACAAAATGCAAAAAAAAAACAATGGTAATATCCGACGCATCCACAAGTAGTAGATAGGGAGAAACTAAATCATAAATTTCTATTATACTTACGTAATAATAAAAATAATATATATATATATTAAATAAAAGATCTATCTACCTGTAATAAGGGGAGAGAGAGCATACCTACTACAATACTATCGCTTGACTGCTTCGGTGTGCTGTGACAGATGCATTGGAACTTAACGTGAGATGAATAATGGGAGTGGATTTAAAGGAAAATGACAAAAAAAGAAATTGAAATTCTAATTATTAAACTTCGAGTACTTGGCATTGACCAGGAAGCAACGACAGTACCAAGATTTCGAATAATTTTCTTAGTGTGTATATAATCGGGCGTTATCCATTACGATAGTTGTCGAGTATTCGCTAAGGAAAACAAAAAAGAAGGAATTATTATTGGCTGGAGATCGATCTGGTGCTCATCCGTTTTTTCGTTTCTTAATTTTTTTTTTTTTTTATATTCTGACAGTTTCATTTGTTTTCTTACATGAAAAAAGAATCGCTCGACGCGACAAACCTGTAATTGTCATTCGGTTGACTTGAAATACAAGAAAATTCTTTTGCTTTCAAACTTAGTTGCCCTTACGAGGGTGCGTGTAGCGAAGGAGAAGTATGTACGATAAAGATTGAAGAAAAGGGAGGCGCGAATTGGTAAAAAAAAATAGAGGAAGGATAAAAAGTAAAAGGGAAAAAAAAACCGGACAAGAGTCGCCGGGTATTACTACTACCTTATTATTATAACCTAACAATGCTGAACGATTTTTTATTTTTTAATTTTATATGTGCATTATATAATTGATAATGTTTAAATAATCGTACTTTATAACTACCTATTTATTTCTTTCCTTTTTTTTCCTTCTTTTCTCCCTTTTTTGTTCCTATTTCTGAAGTTGAGTACATATACGGATTCGTCACCAACATATTATATACGTACGAACATCTACTGTACAGCACCTTTATGATTTAATGTGATAACTTTATTAATAAATAAATTCGAGCAGTATAAAAATATGAAGTAATAAAGTTTATATGGAAAAAAAAATGAAAAAACTGAAAATGACTCATGTGACTGCGTTTCATTGTGAAACTAACCTCCGTACGACGTTTAATCGTAATAAGGGAAATTCGTGTGAATTCGATTGAAGATTCGCGTGTAAGATTTTTGTAAATCTGAAAATGAAATGTCAAAAGTGTTTTGCCAACGTGCAATTGTCACGAGATGCATTGATTGAATCCTTTTTGAAAGTTGAAAAAAAAATTATTGCCCGTATCAGCCAAAGGGGTCTGCGGTTTGTTAGAATTTTCATAAGCTTTTGATCAACAGCCTGAACACAGGGTCAAAACAAAATGGAAATACGCATAAGAGAGAAAAAGCATTTTTATAATAAGTACGTTTCACGAGTTAGTGAGAACTGTAAAAATATTTGTCCCATCGCCATTAGAGCATTAACAGTGTAATAGAGGTTAAGTACTTAGTGGCTTTTATTCTTAAAAAATCATTTTGTATTAACATTTAACGCATGAGTCTTTCGACTCTTCTGCATAGGTCAGACGATTTGGGCTTTTGTCTTCTCAATGCATTTCAAATCCAATCGCTAATCAAATAAGGGTCCTGAAGTTCTTCATTCAATCCAGTCGGGAATCGTGCAGCCATCCGTTTCGTTGAGATCCGATCGATCGAGAAGAGGGGAAAAGAAATGATAGACGCGGAAGTCGATTAAGTTTAATGGAGGGACGAAAGAAAAAGTCAACAAATCGATTCGATCCAAATTGACCCTTTGGGGAATTTGATTGCCGTATTGAAACGTGCCGGGTCGGTTGGTTCACTTTAATCCATGTTCTTTGCGACATTAATTTGTTCCCCTTCTGTGCCTCCTCTCCCTCCCCCCGACCATTGAGTAATAATTATTGTCTGCCATTGTGATTCCAGTGCGAATTTTCAAGAATGTGTTATAAATCCAACGTGAAATGAATTTCGTATCGAGGTTTATCTTTATTGACTATTAATTAAATAAAATAATAATTAACATCCTTACTCAATTGTATCTGAATAGCATTTAATTGGTTTATCTCCTGTTTAAGAAGAAAATTTGTATTTTATTTTTTATAAAAACCAGGTATTCCTTGGCTAATAGAATGATTTACTTAGACCGTAGTAATTTGAAAAATATTTATTCAATCATATATAATAGTAAAAAATAATAATTAAACAGTCGATTTTTCTTGTACCAGACATTTAGATCCTCTTGTACTTGCGGATTCCGACGATCGGTGTCTTGTCGCCAGACATACGCTAAAATTTACCACAATCATAAATGACAAATCTTTAAGTTTATTTATCTGCAACGAGCTCAATTTTTTCTATTATATAAAATAATAGATACGATAAATGCCCATGCAATTGGATTGAAGAATTATAATTTAGCAATTTACGACCATCGACTTCAACATGACAATGTAATTATGTGAAATTAATTATATCTCTGGTTATCTATTTGCGATAATCAAGCGGGTTCTAAATTAATAGTATATCAAAAAACTTACCACTGTTATACCATCATCACTGAATTGATAAGCCCGGATGGTTTTGGTACCCCCTTCTGTCTCGGATTCGAAGATGAAGTTATCACCTTCCTTTTTGACGACGCTCTGAATAAAAGAAGATCAGAGAAAAGTCAAATTTTCAGTCCAAATCCCAGGTACAGTTCATTAAAAATATTATTTTTAGGAATTAAAACTTTTCTCAAAATCAGGGAAGACGCAAGTACCTTTAAGGTCAATCCATGGGGAAAAACTTCGTCGAAGGGTTCGTTCAGCTTGAATTTGGTGACAGATGACTTTCCTTCATTGTTAACATCCATGATCCACTCGCCGTCGTTTTCCTTGATTTCAATGACAGGTTTGCTCTTGGCAAAGACTTCAGCCTTGGAAAGGTCATCACCGGTTCCATAAGCCTTCAGGTATTCTACAAAATTCTCGTCTGCGACGTGTTGGTACTTTCCGGTAATTTGCACCATCTTCACTGATAAATTTTTTATATGGAACTTTGAAGGCTTCCTACTTTACGCTTGACTACGACAGTCGCTTAGCAAGTGACTTGGTAACTGATACCATCCTGTCGTAGGCCTGCAGCTTTTATACGGATCAGCGGTGGTCGATTGTGAAGTGTCGTTATCTCGAAGAGACCGCTGTTGATCCTTAGATTATATTATCGCTAGAGGGATTAGACCCTGTTCTGTGTAAACTAAATAAACCGAATCATAGTAATGAGATGGGAAGTGCAACAATGGGATTTCATCGTATCAGCCTTTTATACCTTAACTCTCCAGTAGTCAAATCGCGAACGCATGAATCCTTTTTCTTTAATAATTTTATGACTCATAAAATCACAAACCTCAAAAACTCATTTATAGGAACGCAGACTGCGACCAACGATGCTCGAACATTGGCTCCCGGAGGGTTAATTAACTATATATAATTAGATCTGCGTTACTGAAGAAAGTTCGATCAATCTATAAGAAAACGTATGAAAGATTTATTTGAATCGGCGCGTTCCTTCCTTATGGTATATAGCGTATATAGTAGAAGGGACTCGTCTTATAATAGCTCGAAGGGTACCGAAACTCTGACATATAGGAGTCTGCATTGACAGTGAATTGGCAGTGATGAACATGCATCAAAGGCCTAGACAGTAGTGAGGCTCACGTGATCTTGCTTTGATTCAACATTGAATGAACTTTATTCTTGCAAAGAAGCTACAGTCTGCAATCTTTGGACAGTAGTGGTGACCACCGACGATCACCGACGATTCAATTAACGACAAGTGACCCATTATAGTTTCTTACTCTATAGTGTGGCATCTTATTCGATAAGTGCATACTTCTCTATTGCATCAAGCATATATTCAGGAGTTACTGAGAAACAATCAAATGTTCAATACAATTATGCCGTTGATATAATCTCTACGTTCCTTTTCTAACTCATGATTACTGTACAGAGTCTTGACGATCTGCCTGTTGTCACCACCCGATTGTGTCTCTACTTAACATTACATTTGACCAAGATTCTCTTGATATTTGGACTCACAGATTTGACAGATAGCTGAACACTAGTCTTTTTGTCTTCGTCATGTTTATTACAAGCTTGTCGCGCCCTGAAAAAAACTAAGATGCTATCCTATTAATATAGGTATACAGTGAAAGATGTATCAGTTATTAACAGATTGTATTTTACCATTTTAAACCTTTGCAGAATGCGTTTACTTATGATGACTGCTGTTGCCATGGAGGGATTTCATAGTGATCACATGTGGTTATGAATTTAAAGACAACTTCTGAGATTAAGGAATGATAAAACATGAGAAATTGCTTTGACACTTGTACCTGTGACACATCGGCTGAGTAATCTTGTTCGTCTTTGCATGATGACAAGGCAATATAATTTATAACTGAAAGTTTGGAGTTGATCTATCTTGAAGAAATTATTAAACAGATATAGACTTATAGACATTATCAAGAACTGTACTCCCAAGTAATCTAGATGTGAACCTCACCTGTGCGTACCTCTGTGTTATGTAATATTTTTCTGAAGATTAAAATAATCTATTGATATTACTCGAACCCATTGGACCCTAGAGTCCAATGGATTGTTCTCCTTCTTTTTTAGACTGTTTACATTCTGGATTACTAAATATATCTATAAATTGGACATATCCACTCAACCCCATAGTAACTATCTAGGATTAATCTTTAATGCTTGACTTCTTTATTTATGGATAAGCTCTTGATAAATGTATCCACAAGATACTTTTAGGATACCCCACGTGCTTTTACAACATGTACTACATATAATACTATTACTGCAGGACTATTTAACGGAATACAATATACACTTATAATTACAATAACAACAGCTTTATTTACGACGATTTTTAAGTACATGAATACCTTTGGCATTCGTAGAAGTGTCATAACGAACTTCTTTTTTAATGCAGTCAGTCGCTACACTCAAATACAAATGTTCATTGCAAATACCGAGATTTCTATTTCCCACTAGAATACCATTCCCAATATTAAAAAAGAGAAAATTTAACTAATATCGGAGTGCCTTTCAAGCCCTGGTGAAGCAGACTGCAATGTTTGCAGAACCTTGATAAGTTAACATCTTGCTGACCGGCGCTTTCGAACCAACACTGTTCCGTGTGTGCTAGGGCTTTCGAGTCGTTCGGCCACAGCACAGCAGTGACTGGTGAGCAAGGTGTTAAAATTTCTAGACATAGCTCCCAATCCTGAAGTCACGTGTAACCATATGAATAATACAACTGCGGAAACTTCAACATTATAATTGAAGTAATAATAGAAAAAATAAAAATCATTCGCAGATTATATCACAAATTGGGATACAAGTCTGAAACTAAATTACGTGTTCTCATGTAATTAAAACTTGACTCGCTTTTTATGAATTACATTGAATCTGAGTCTTGTGTACAATGTATGCATCTAATAATCATGAAATAATAAATAAGCTATAACGTTATTAGCTATCTTTAATAATTTAATAAGCTTCTACTCTATTCTTAATAAATTAGACGGGTCACAATCTGAATTGTCGAATGAATTTAACTCAGTGTAGACGGCAGGTAAATTGTACATGATATTAAGTACGTCTGGTAGTTTGTATTGATAGCTTTTCTGTGATTGGCTTAGGCTATAGCTTACACAGACAAAATAGTAATGGTATGAAAGCTGCGATAGCTACAAAAACTGGTAACATCACCGAAGAGTCATCAATGGAATATGGATCTGGTGTTCGTGGGCCACTGGTATGCCTGCTACGGACAGTTGTTTCCTCCTCATCCTCCTGCATACTGTGATACTCTTCTGGTTCCTGAGGTATTGGCCCCAACTGTGGAACATCTGTATACCATATTTAGAAATAATTAACAAATGTTTTTATGTAAGTAGATTCTTAATTGCTTACATCATCACAGATGGTCTGCAAAATTATCTAGGTCAGATATTTACCTTCGATCTTTCCTTTCACTACAGCAATGGCATTTACTTTTGGATTATCCCGATACCCCTGAAACATACATTAATTGTATATAGATATTTTTCAAGCATATTGGAACCACAAGATACTTTACCTTTATAAATTCTACTCTTATTTTACCGCCGAGTATATCAGACTCTTCGTCGTTGTATATTAGTTTTCCTTTTTGTACTTGAAATGGAATGTACTCATCGTGTGCTATTCCACGACCAACTTTTTCAAAGATATCCAAATCCGTGACTACGGTATGATCTCCATTAAGTACAACATCGAATACCTGTTAACGAAAGATAGAAAAACAGTAGTGTAGACGATTTTACACAGTGCAAAGAGATACAAAAATATGTGCAGCATACCTTCATATTCGGTGAGTTAAAATAAACTTCACAGAATTTTAGTATCATCACGTACTGGCCATCCTCACTTATTGGTATATCATAACCAAATGTACTATGGTGATAACGTTCGGTCTGATACAAAATCTGATCCACAGCATTGACCCGACCAATAATAAGTTGCTTCCCATAGTCCGATGCAGTTCCAACTTTGCCAAATAAAGGATCTTTCATGTACTGCATACCATAACTATCTGTATGCGCCTCACCACCAGCATTTATAGCATAAATAACTTCCAGACAGTCTGCTGATGGTAGACACGAACCAAGGAATAAAATAAGCAATGTAAATAAATAAAATGACCATCGTTGAGTATTCATCTTGAGAGTGGACATATCAGTCAATCCTTTGGAAATTCAGCTCTTCTGGATTCTTGTCAATTTCATAACTCGTTGTTGCCGTACCAGTCGGGAATAAGAGGTTAGACAATTTATTAAACATTTAACACTCACGCTACAACATTTATGGCCAGTGAACATTCGAACCTTTTACTTCGATAGAGAATTACAACATTTGACTATAATTCTTTATTAAGTGTCTTATGACACGACAAGAGCTTATTACACGTAGAACAGCTCTAAACCGTAGCTCACTTTGAATTCAATAAAACGATACGTGTCCAATCTAAGATAAGAGCATGGCGGTTTCGATAAGAAAACTTAAAATAACCTCATAACTAGCCCACAAATATATATTACGCAAATATTGGTTTTTGACTATTCCTAAAATATCGCAAGAATCGAACTCCAAGATAAGTTATTGAAATTTTACGTTTTAAAAATATTTCAAATTCTATTCCATCAGTCGTACATATTTCGAATCTATTTTTTTCCAAAAACCAACATTTATTATTATCATTTTAAATAACTAATCATTCCCATATACTTTTTATGAAATATAAAGTTCATTTGGACTTTTCTCAAAATATCTTTTTTCACGAATTTTATTGGCAGGTGTGTAATGCGCGAATTTCCAGCGTGTGAACTAAGCTTTGACCGGAATCAATAACCGCTGTTCCCACCGTTTCAAGGTTGCGATTAAAATTGATGTTAGCACAGAACATCTATTAATAAAATGTCACGATCCGCTACAGCCTTGGGCCACGAAGGGTTTCCTTTTTCGATGATTCCCGAAAATGAGCCATTTTCTGTGCTTCGGTGAAATCTTCTTTCAACAATTGAGTCATCCATGACCAGAATTGAACTTTTTCTTATGACCAACGCATAACTGATGTTTAACGTCAATGAAGTTCTGCGAATTCCAGTTTAGATTACGCGATGCAAATTCTCAATTTCATCATATATTCTCTCTCGTGATGAGAATCCATAGCAGCGACACGTACGCTGCAAACTGCAACTTGATAACAATTTCATATCTTATTGTTAAGATGTATTATCGAAATTAATCCTTATTCCAACCTTAACAATTAATTCACGCGCTTGTTTATCACTGTGAAGAGCGATTTCAATTAATTCTAAAATTAACTTCAACCGTTAGCATCTTTTGCCAGAAATTAGAAATATTGTTCTATTTGTGTGTGTCATCGAAATAAATACAAACGGACTTAAAACTGTGCCATGTCTCCGAAATAACTTTTCAAAGCTCTAAGAGGTCTCAGACATTGGTCTCCTTAATTTCTTCCGCTTGAAAACTGTTTTCTGTTTCTTCCAAATCTTTCAAGGAATTAGTAGTGCCATCGTGCCATTGCCATTTCCGTTAATGGTATGGTCGTAGGAGCTCAAAAAGGCCTTACCAAGGCGCAGATGGCTTTCTCAGCTTGATTTTGAATACAGTCTTCTTTGTGTACGGTCCAAGGATATCCTTGCACAGTTCAGGGACCGTTACAACCAGTTATAGCATACCTGACTTTGGTTCTCCTCGATCCTCCTATTTCTGTTAGCTCTAAAGAACTCAACAGCTGCCACGATTTTTTTTCAAGGCAAAGAAAAATTTTGATCTTACTAAATCATTACGAACTTGAAACGGTATTTGATTTCTGAAAGGAAACGTACGAATTAGGCACGAAATTGGATCGCACGTTGACCCAACTACATATTCATAGCTCTGCCATCTATGATATCTGCACTGTAGATATAGAATGTATATACAATTATACACATATGTGTATCCATAATATCTCTCGGGCGTTTCCTGCTTCGGGTTATACATATATGTATAATCATTCATTTACCAAAATGTTCATGGCACTTCGAGACGCTGACTCATCTCAAAGCGAACATTTGGCATTTTGCGAAATTCGTATCACGATAATTTATATCAATATCGATATTCAAAATATAGTTAATTATTGGGAATATGCATTAATGGATTAATATATATTCGTGCACATTTTAACATATAATCCTCGCGAAAATGAAGACCAAAGATTACACGTGGCCCATTCGTGAAATATCAACGTCTATCGTTAACACATTACGCATTCGTTTAACGACGAAAATCACATTAGACACATAAGTAAAAAGTAACCTTTATTACTTTCCCAAAACGTACATAAATGTGTAGAAAGGATGACTCCCCGATCAAAACTTAAACATGACTCATGATAACGCCTTTTATGTACGTTACTACAGATTACTCAGTCTCTCTATTCGCAATCTTAATCTATCAGTTTAAAATTTATTTCTAATAATTAATCAATCATTTCGATTATTCATTTTAGTACGTAGCCGTATAAGCGTGCGTTATTCGATACTATAGAGAAATAATATATCGTAAAGAAAGGATATACCTTGTGAGAAAGAATCATCAGATAATCAGATAACATCAGATTAATAGATATGATAGTTCGTTCTAGAAATAAGGAACTCCATCTTTTCTTCTTGGTTTCTTGCTTCCTGCCACTTCCTGTCTAGTCACGTTTTATTTTGAGCGGACTCGATTTTATTTCTTTAGATGGAGAGATTTACTGCGATTATCTATATTATAATAATAGAATACGTATGAGAATATATGCAACAATAATTGCACTCATGCAATAGAGTTAATAGGAAATAAATTAATGTACTGACTAGTATAGTGAAAAAATTCGATTGAATATGGACGAAGTGGGGATGAAGGAAGCTCTGCCATTGGTTAGGAATGTTCTCTAGGCGGGAAGAACATTCCAGAAGCGTCCTTTCCGCAAATAATATATACGGGCGAGGTTGAGCAGCGCTCACTCACGTTGCGAATCGTTGTACGGAAAAGTTCTTCGTGTTCATTCTTCTCAAGTAACTAACTATATAAAATAGGTATGTGCACGCGTTAATAGATATCACAGAGAGTCGTTAATTGCTTTAAAGATTAATAATATCGTATTAATTTCCTTCATGTAAATTGTGTAAACGCGTGTGCCTACATTTTACAAGAAATTAACGAATTTTCAGAAAGAAGCCATGGCTAAAGCACCCGCTGTCGGTATTGATCTTGGAACAACCTACTCCTGTGTTGGTGTATTCCAGCATGGAAAGGTCGAAATTATTGCTAACGACCAGGGTAATCGCACCACTCCCAGTTATGTGGCCTTTACCGATACCGAGCGTCTCATCGGAGATGCTGCCAAGAATCAGGTTGCGATGAACCCTAACAACACTATTTTCGGTATGAATCTTATTTTATGTTACTCAGTCCTTTACTTGTGTTTCCTCTGCTACATGGGGAATAAAAATCAATGTCTTGTTTCTCGGTCGCAGTAGGGGTGGGGGGTAGATGGACGGTTTGCCGCATAAAATTTGTGGTAGGATGAAATTAATTTTTGAAGGCAGAAGTGATGTTGCCGTTTATATAGTTTCTTTTATCTTGTCCTATTTATATAAGATAAATCTCAGTGAGTCAATTATGGAGGTCACGTTGAATTCAGAGCCTTGCCTGTCTCTCCCTCTCTTGCCTTTTCTTGGTGTCCTTAAGCTACATGACTTTGCAAATACAGAGATTGTTTTATTATTATTTTTTTTTACAATTTGTGAATATCTTTATAGATGCCAAGAGGTTGATTGGACGTCGTTTCGAAGATGCCACTGTTCAAGCTGATATGAAACACTGGCCATTCACTGTCGTTAGTGATGGTGGAAAGCCAAAGATCGAAGTACAGTACAAAGGAGAGACGAAGACTTTCTTCCCAGAAGAAGTGAGTTCAATGGTCTTGGTGAAGATGAAGGAAACTGCTGAGGCATATCTCGGCAAGACCGTCACCAACGCTGTGATCACTGTACCCGCCTACTTCAACGACTCGCAGCGTCAGGCAACCAAAGACTCTGGTACCATCTCAGGCCTGAACGTATTGCGAATCATCAATGAACCCACTGCCGCTGCTATTGCCTATGGTCTTGACAAGAAGGCTGCTGGCGAGCGTAATGTTCTCATCTTCGATCTTGGCGGTGGTACCTTTGACGTATCCATCCTGACCATCGAGGATGGTATCTTCGAAGTCAAGTCTACTGCTGGTGACACTCATCTTGGTGGTGAAGACTTTGACAACCGAATGGTTAACCACTTCGTCCAAGAGTTCAAACGCAAGTACAAAAAGGACCTCACCTCCAACAAGCGTGCTCTACGTCGTCTGAGAACCGCCTGTGAGCGCGCGAAGCGTACCCTCTCCTCGTCTACCCAGGCGAGCATCGAAATCGATTCTCTCTATGAGGGTATCGATTTCTACACTTCAATCACCAGGGCTCGTTTTGAAGAATTGTGTGCCGACCTATTCCGTGGCACACTTGAACCCGTGGAGAAGTCCCTGCGAGATGCCAAGATGGACAAATCTGCCATCCACGACATCGTACTCGTCGGTGGATCTACTCGTATTCCCAAGATCCAGAAGCTCCTTCAGGACTTCTTCAACGGCAAGGAGCTGAACAAATCCATCAACCCCGACGAGGCTGTTGCCTACGGCGCTGCCGTTCAAGCTGCCATTCTTCACGGAGACAAGTCCGAGGAAGTGCAGGATCTTCTCCTTCTCGACGTCACTCCTTTGTCTCTTGGTATCGAAACTGCCGGCGGTGTTATGACTGCCCTCATCAAACGAAACACCACAATCCCAACCAAGCAGACTCAGACGTTTACGACCTACGCTGACAATCAGCCCGGTGTATTGATCCAGGTCTACGAGGGAGAACGTGCTATGACCAAGGACAACAATCTTCTTGGAAAATTCGAACTTAGTGGAATTCCCCCTGCACCACGAGGTGTTCCCCAAATCGAAGTCACCTTCGACATCGACGCCAACGGTATCTTGAACGTCTCTGCCGTTGACAAGTCTACTGGTAAGGAGAACAAGATCACCATCACCAATGACAAGGGACGTCTTAGTAAGGAGGACATTGAGAGAATGGTCAATGAGGCTGAGAGATATCGTAGCGAAGACGAGAAGCAGAAGGAAACTATTTCAGCTAAGAATGGTCTCGAATCTTACTGCTTCAACATGAAGAGCACAGTGGAGGATGAGAAACTTAAGGATAAGCTGAGCGCCAGTGACAAGCAAGTTGTCCTGGACAAATGCAATGACATCATCAAGTGGCTCGATGCCAATCAGCTAGCTGATAAGGAAGAGTACGAACATAAGCAAAAAGAACTTGAAGCCATTTGCAACCCCATCGTAACGAAGCTGTACCAGGGCGCTGGTGGCATGCCTGGAGGTATGCCCGGTGGCTTCCCAGGAGCCGGTGGTGCTGCTCCAGGAGCTGGAGCTCCTGGTAGTGGTGGAGCATCCGGACCTACCATTGAGGAAGTCGATTAAACTAATTCTCATTCCATCCGATCACTGCCTCCCTATAATTCCTTCGCAAGTAACGGAAAATAAAACAACATAGGAGAATTACTTAATGCATTTTCAATAATCCCTCAACTTCTATTACCTTACTCTCAATCTCGAATATTATAAAGATAATTGGAAAAATGTTTAAATAATCGTCTTTGAAATCTTGTTCCATCATAGAAATTGCGTTTAATTCTTTGTCCTTGTAATCTAAAGGTCTAATGTGACGCTTATAATGAATTTACAGACCTATTGATTACGATATAGATGTAGCTAAGTATTTTAATATGATGCAGTATGCATGTGCATAAAATATTCTACATTTTTCCATATTTCTCAATGTTTGTTCCGTGCTGTAGGAATAATCTAATTTCATGAAATAATAATAGAAGAGAATTCTGTTATTCCTCTATTGTTAGCAATAAAGACTGCTTGATTATTTAATGAATTCAATAAAAGTTCATGAATATAATTAACACTAGTGAAAAATTCTTGTTTTCATCGATTCCATATCACCTGAATTTTTGATTTCCAAAAATATATTTTTACACCCGGTACAGTGACATTTATTTGCTGTGAACCATTTCAATATCCGTATTAGTACATGTGTAGCTTTGATGAAGGCTATTTTGAGCTAACCTAAATTTAGATGTGTCGTTGCATTTTACAATGATAATGGGATTAATTCGTAAGAATACGATGGTCGATGAAAAGTTAATTGCCTCCATGGTTTATCGTATCGGTTGACATATAGAAATCAAGTAAAATCAAGGACAAGTAATTCAAGTGAATTTATGTACATCATTTATAGGTTAGAAATACGTACATAAGTCCAAATTGTTAATAGAAATATTAACTGTAACCAGACAATAACAATGTCTTGGATAATAGTTTTTGGTGTAACTTGTTTCATTCTATACTGCAACTTCACCTGGTAAGACTTTGGTACTCTAGATGTGCATCCATGGATAATTACATTGATTGCATTTTCTGTCTCAGGGTGATTCCTAGATTCCTAGCATGGCTGGTGAAAAGGAGATACAAAATTCATCTACGTGTCGGGCACATCGCCCTTCCTTATTTTGTCTTACGTGATGTTAATGTTTCCAAAAATGGATTCACAGTCGTAAGCTTGTTTTGTAACGAATCACAGTAATGTACTACTATATGACTTACGTTTACCAATTGATTCTAGCAAGTAGAAGAGATTAGTGTACGTAGCAGTTTATTTAGCAGTGATGTAGCTAAATTGTTAGCCGTGGTGATGCGTGATGTGAGGATCAACAAGGATGTTCCTGCAGAAACCCCATATCAAAGGAAGAGCTCTGACGAACCTTTGGATTTTCGAAATAGAAAGATTCCACCTATCATTATAACTTTTGTTCAGGTATTTGAACAGAGCACTTCTATCACGTAGAAACCTATATTGATAAGGAAATTATTAAAATATCCTCATCCTTAGTTCATGGCTGTGCACGTGGAGAACTTGAGTCTCCTGGCACTTGGCAATGGCTGGCTAGCCAACGGTAGTGCAGAAAGCCTCAGTCTGGATGGAAGCGTAGTGCACGGTGCTCGGACACTCCTGGCATCAGCAGCTGTAACTGGTGGTGCTATGAAATTACTGCGACATGCATCGGATGCTTGTCTTTCACAGCTGAGCTTTGCAGGAACCGTCGAGGCGACTCTGAAGGCCCAGGGTGAACTCTCGGTAGAGGTACGAGATAACTTCGGTGTAAATGTTCTTGCATAAGGTGTTGGAACTTTACAGAGCCGACGACCATCCAGTTATTGCGCTAGTCGTCATATATATCCTATATCATATGCTGTGTTACGTTTTATCACCTACGAATCCTAGTAGACACGTACTCGGCACTCTTCACGGGGAATTCTGATCTTCTGTCCCTTGAAACACGGGCTGAAATGATGAAGTCGCGGTCTCATTTATAGAAATTATATATCGGCGTGACACAGACAGAGGGTTCTGGAGGAGCTGGACTCCTACAGTTCTTGAGGGACAGAAAATCGTTAACACCCGCGGCACCGTGTTATGATGCACCTACTCAGTCACCTGGAGATCTACTGGCCAGGTTAGCCCCGATATTGCCCAAGGTGAGGACCAAGGAAATCACTTTCTTCGATGATGCTGGAAAAACTTTATCTCCTCGTGTTCTCCATAGTACAACCATCAAGCTATAATTTGTGTCTCAGAATTTCACCCTGAAGATGGGTAGCTCATCCGTTGTCGCTGGTCGAGAGGATGGGAACATTGTTGGCTTGGAAGGAATTATGAAAGGACTTCACGTAAATGCCAGATTTCAACCTCAGGGTCCGCAAGTTCATTTGGCTATTAAATTGGATGGGTTTTCCGTTCGGGGGAAACTTCCGGTTCTCTCCTTGCAGTCCTTGTCAATCGATTCAAGAGTACGTACTCCAGTTTGCAGATGTAGTTGACTTTTTCTTAATGTTAAAGAAAGTTTTATCATCTTAATGCAGATGGAGGACGATGTTTTGCAAATTAATACTCAACTGAACAATCTCGCAGTGACGTACGATCATAGAGACTGGGAGTCTCTTCTGTTCAGTGGCGGTAAAGACATTCCAAAACCGGATGTTAACATTTCCTCTACAAGGAAGCTTCCGTGGTTGGAAATACGGGCAGATACTGAACTGTACGATGGAAATTTGATTGTCAAATTGCCTGATGCGCAAGAGGCAGCGTGTGGAGTAGCTCACATCAAATTCTCTTTCCACAGAATCGCAGGTAATACAAGGAATTCCAATTGAAAAGATAATACAAAAATTAAAATTATTTCCTTCATATTCCAGAGAATGTCGAAGAATGGAATACCGAATTAGCTATTAAATCTCTGAGGTGTTCCTTGGACGGTGCTGATGTCGGTGTACCAGAAGATTCTCATCATTGGGGCAGTCCTCTTTCCGTTGGAGTATTTTTAGCTACCACGCGTACAAATGCTATTGGCATTGCATTAAGCGATTTAAGAACCGAATGGAGCTTGAAGCTTGCAAAGTTTTTGGAGCAGGGATTCACGTAATGTTTTTAAAATCCTCTAAAAATTGTCAAATGCCACAAGGAATCGACAGGTAATCTTGTGGAATTTTAGGTATTGGAACGACCGAAAGAAATCTAAGAAGCAAAAGGAGGAGGATCCCCCTGATGCGATTCAATTGAACCTTAAAGCCTCTAATTGTAATTTATTCTTTATCGCGGAAAATGATCGTACGTATATTAATGTCTCCAATTAACGGCACTTTTAACAATCTATTAACTGGAATCAAATCATTCATTAGTATCAATTATGGTGCGACTGGATTCTGCCAGCATGGAGCACAGCAAGAGAAGATTCGTTGTGGTATCCGACGGTCTCAGTGCCATCACGCTAAATAAGAACGAGCCCATTATTTGCAAACACGCTCAAGCCCTGACGCATCCATTTCTGGCAATTCGAAAATGCAAGTGCGCCATTTATTTAGACGCCGTAAACATGAGTCTCGATGGAATGAATTTAGCATGGAGTCCGAATCTGCATCTGCGTCTTTTACAACTGTGGTTGGAATCCGAGAGTATTCGTTCAATCATACCGAAGAAGTCCAGTGGTAATGCAGTTGATGGCGGTAGGGATTTACTCACTGAATGTCTCGTTCCGATAGTCCGGCCAGGAACCTGAGGTTGATCGTTTTTCAGGAGAAAAGAAACCAAAAAAACCTTTGGACCTATTAGCCACCGGTGGCATCACTCTTTCTATTGATATATCGCCAAGACACTTTTTGGAATTGTCTTCTGATCAGTTGCGCTGGTCTCAGGGCGAATGGAAACTCAATTTTGTTCGTGTGGCCTTGGACCTGGCCGATATAATTACGATCGAAGGATTTGAGTTAGTCAGGCTTTTTGATAACGAGGAAGTAAGAATCGAAAGACAGCACAATGAAGACTTTGAATTAGAGTGGAATAACACGTGGGCAGTAAATATTGAATCTGCAAAGGCCTGTTTCCCGTACGAGCATCAGTTTACTGAAGCTATACAAAATGAGCTCTTCAGTATTAGGAAGTGGCTCAAGGAGATACACTCTTCTGGGAAACCTAAAATTCAGTCATTACCAAATGACTTGGTTATAAAGGTGAAATATATTTTTGGACGAACAATGACAAATTCCCGGTATCTTGTTGAATTCTAATTTTTATTTTATTTTCAATGTACAGATTAAAGAATGGATCTTTGAAGTGAGCGACGATCCATTCGAGGTTCGCTTGAGAGACAATTACGAACTCCTCGAAGATGAGTATAAGGAGAGTTTGAAACGTCAGTCTATGTTGGATGCAAAAGTCCAGGAACTTTGTAGAGCGCATTTATTATTGCCACAAGGAAAAGTCGAGGAACTGTACGCAAGTCTCAATAAGAAAAATGCTGAGATCTACGTGCAGAGATGGAAACAGATGCAGCGGGCTGGTCCGGCAAGAACGCGACTCTTCGCTTGGACCATGCAGGATTTAGAAATTGTAGCATTGGCCGATCCTTCGATAAATGGAACTGAGAGAGCTACCAAGGCTATTCGAGAAATGGATCCAGAGACACCCTGGCCAGAAGATGGTCTTGAATTTAACACTCTCTGGGTCAGAGGTATTGCTGTCAAATGCGCTGAGTGGAAACTTCAACTAAGAGACTTTCCGCAACCGCTGCTTCTCGTGGAAGGTCTCAGTATATGGGGTAGACTGGCTGGAGGTGAAGCACTTGCTCCACCCAGGGCGCGACGGACAGTAAGAATCGAAATCGGCGCCCCCTGGGACGACATCGTCGTGGAACGTGGAATGACATCTTTGAAATACTATCATGATCTGAACTGGGATATAGATAAATTTCGATATGCTTTTGGTCCTTGCTGGGAACCAGTGATAGCTCAGTGCAACTTGAGCTTCGAGAAGATAATCCATCCCTCGCGAGATCCTAGTCCGCCATTACCTTTTTGGGATAAGATGAGGCTAGCTCTCCATGGAAGATTAACTCTGTGCGTTAAACAATTAACTGTACTTCTCCATGCATCTCTGGATCCTTACAATACCACTGAAGAAATGGAATTGACCTGGTCAGGCTTAGAACTAGACTGGACACAAGGTAGAATCATCATAAAGGGTGATCTTGATGTCTACGTTAGAACTGCCAGTAAATACGATGATTGTAGATTACTGCATCTACCTAATGTCAGACTTAGTATTAAATTAGTTTGGGTCTGCCTTGGTGATCCTCGGGATCATCATGCAGCAATACCTTGTGCCCCCGATAGACTGCCAGAATATTCCAGTAACCAGGAACATGATTCCTTCCGAGCATTCAGATCTCAGAATCTAAACGTCAGTCTGTCTTTGGAAACAAAACCAACAGGCTCACCAGCCTTGACCAGTGCTCCTACTGCATTGCTCTATGGCAGCACTCTAAGGTGGTTCGAAAATTTGAAATTTATACTTTCCGGTGCTACGAGACCTACTAGAAAAGGTCCCCTCTTCAAGAATACCAGACCAAGAAAGAAGCAGCTCAGTAGACATTATCGAAAGGTCAGACTGACTTTGGCATTCCATCGTTTTCACGTTAGCTACTGGATGTCTTTTGCGATGCAGCGAGGTTTTGAAGTGACTGGTGGTAGAGTGGCTTGTAGTTCAGAGCACAACTTATCTCTTCATCCTATAGAGGATGGCCTCTATCACAGGCCTAGAGCAGAATGGTCTGTAATTTACATGAACTGCGAATTGAGCGACGCGGAGATATGGTTGAAGAGTGCACTACAAGAAGAGGAGGAAAGTGCTTCACTACGTCAACCTGTGGAAAAGTGTTACTGTCTCAGTGTTGCGCGCGTTAGTTATGGCAGGGAAGCCATGGTGACCGGAGTCAGTGGAGACACGCCTACTCACAGACTGGTTGTCCACGATTTGAAAGGCGCCTGGACCAAAACTAATAGGGACGTAGCCTTTGCTCTTTTTGATTCGTTTATCAAGACTCAACAGCTTAAGAAGAATCTCTCGACTGCATCCCTCAAGGGTTTTCATCGTGAGAGCTCCTCGACACCGCATAAAAATAGAATAACCCGACCGGTGGACACGCAGAGCACGCCGACCCAGGTGACCCCTTCGCAAGCCACGAAACCCCAGCAGGGTGAAGCTGCTGGGATGCTCCAGAGATTAATAGCAGAAGCTGCAAATAAGCCAGTTGCGTTCAGTGATGATTTATCCGAGCAAACTAGAGGGCAGCAGCTGCGGGGACTCGCAGCGTGTCAGCAGGATGATGTTTTGCACAAGAACTGGCTGAGTAAGATTATTTTGTTATATTATGTAATCAGGATTTTTCAGCGAGAATGAAGATGTATTAATTTTCATATAACAGTTGCCTTAGTGAACAGCCAAGTACTGCTGAAAGGTATTGAGACTCGAGGTTACGTTATCTTGTCAGCCGCCAAGGCTGAAATATTGCAAAGGGTTCATTGTCCAGTCTGGCGTGAAAGAACTCTGGTTTCTAAAACTACTTGGGTAGGCTCTTTGGAGTGCATGCAATATTATGCCACTGTCAGTGCAAATATCGATGACAATATAGATGACAACATTATGTGGCTAACGCTGGACAACATACAAGTATATCTGATTTGATTTTGATAATTTGTAAAGTTTATTTAGTTTCTGTTCACTGATTTAATCGTGACGTTACAGGAGAAAGATTCTACAGTAATCGCTGAGCTTCCAGACGTTCCAGCCTTAGTGGGGTCAGGTCAGAGTGTCGGTGGGGTTGTCAGTCAAACTGTTGGAGGTGGTGGTGGAACACAGCATCAATTACAGCGCATAGTATCTCGTTGTAAATGTGAATTCTTTTACGTGGGATATGGTCAGGTCTTGGATGCTGGTTCTCTGGACGAAGTTCCTCTTCCACCAGGAGAAGAGGTCAGTCCTTGGGAAAGAAAGGAACATTCCGCTGCAGATGCTTTTACATTAATGCATCACGACTTGGATGTCTGTACCAATTCACTGCAATACGCTATGATCTTGGACATTGTGAACAATCTTTTGCTGTATGTGGAACCTAGAAGAAAGGAAGCTCTGGAGCGTCTACAGAGAATGAGATTCCAGCTGCAGCTTCATTCCATAGAGGATCAAAAACGACCTATACAACAGCTGCAAAATACTGTGCGTGGGCTGGTTGCTAAATTGCGAAGACTGGAGCGTGAAACTTATTTAGTTCAAAAAGCTCTTGCTGACGAGTCGAGTCCTGAACTGTTGGCTGAAATGGAAAGGCTCGAAGATCGCGTGTTTGAATGTAAGGAGCAACTGGCTGCCAAAGCGGAGGAACTTGATGTGATGCTGAGCTGTTACAAGGAGACGACAGCACCAGCAGCTGCGTCAGCTACATTAAAAGATAAACCAGCTGCAGTTGCCCGGGCTGCCGAGATTTGCTTTAAACATGCTCAGTGGAGACTCACGGATGCGGATGGTCAATTGGGTATAGCAGATCTTATTCTTACTAATTTTGTTTATACGAAAACTAGTAAGACCGACGATTCTGTCGAGCATCTTCTCGAACTTGGTTACGTCAGAATGACGAATCTTCTGCCAAATCAAATTTATACGGAAGTCTTGACACCCACGGAATTGCAAAGTAACATGCCAGTTGACAGGCAGAGAGCTCTGCGTGTTTTTTGCCGAGAGAAAGCTCCCGTTGCTGGAATTTCAGTCAAGGAGCATTTTGAGATCAACGTCGTACCTCTGACTATAGGTATGAACACTTTGTTAGACAGCAGTAAATTCAATTCTATTACTTGTGCTAATACTAAGTGATTTCTTTTAGGATTGACCAAAAAGTTCTTTAACACGATGTTGAAGTTTTGCTTCCCGGAAAGAGATCCGGAAGGTATCGAAGAGCCCCCAGCGCCACAAAGAGATTCCTCTTTTTATGTTCCCATTGAGAGGAGGGATGATGTGGAGAAGATGAAGGAAAGAGCTGACAAAAATAAGTTGTTCATTTATATAAAAATACCCGAAGTACCTGTTCGTGTTTCATACAAGGTAGGTCACGCAGATCACTTTAGGATTCATCGATGATGCCATTAATATTCTTCTTCGCTTCAGGGTAACAAGGAAAAAAATTTGGAAGATGTAAGGGATTTTGCACTAGTCATTCCCACCCTGGAGTATCACAATGTAACGTGGACGTGGCTTGATTTACTTTTGGCGATGAAAAGTGATTCTAGACGCGTTATACTGAGTCAGGCTATTAAGCAGAAATTGCAAATAAAACCTAGAGGACCTCAGGAAGAGTCTACACCTCAAGAAGAGGATAAGGCTCGTCTTCTCTTTGGCGCTCGGCATCTTCCTGGTGATGCTCGGAAGAAGAGTGTTTTTAAGTTTAAATAACATTTTTTTATAGCTAGACTCTTGGCAATTCGCAAAAATTTCGCTTATTGTAAGCCAGGAGGATGTCGTCAAATTCGAATGAATGATTGATACTTAGAAGTAACTATTTTTTATGTGTCCTTCGAAGAAAGTTAAAGTCCTTTTTGAAAATTATACTAATGTAGATTTACTTATGGTTTTGATGCTAGGAACAAAACTTGGAATTGCTATTACGCCTCTCAGTGAAATTCCAATAATTCAAATACAAAGTACTGAGCCTTTTTATCGTTCAGACTGATTGTCATTGTTGAAACTTTAATTGCACAAATGTCCTAATTCGTGGTAATTAGAGGATTATTTTTCATGGCCAGTATTTTTTGACGGTATTATATTTACTGCGACAGTGCACTGGTTCGCGAAGCAACTGTACCACCGGCATTAAGATAACAGGAACGCGTCGTTGTATATTTTCTTATTGTCAAATTTTAGCACTGCGAACGTAATACAGCTGGCTGTTTATTTATTCCTTAGTCTAGAGTACGTCTGGAGAATCAATTAAGTCGAGTAATAAAAAAAAAATTAATTTATAAAATACCACGATTCTTTTATTGTTCTGCCAAGCACATCTTTTGTTCTTATTCTTGACAATGAGTTTCTTAGATTAAAGGTGGGTCCAAATTTTTGTATAGATATTTTAATATTAGTGGGAGATAATTTAAGAATAATTCTCCATTAAAGAGACATTAATTGCACTAAGATTAAATGATTTCTAATAAGTACTATTATCATACTGGAAGTATCTTTGGACATTAAGGACAATTTGAGTTCTTACATAGAATTTGTATGTACAACTTAACAACTATTTATGATATTTAAAGTGTGATCAATGGAGCTTCTGCATTTCTTTTGGCATGTCTCCATTCATTGAGATCAGCTAACACTCTTCTCCCATATGCAGTGTGCAGTTCCCGAAATGTTACTCTCGTTCGGGGTATATTTTCAGTTCTTCCAGGTGCTGATCTAACACTTTGCGAACGCTGATGAGATTCAGGTCGGTTAAAAGGATTATGTCTATGCCTTGGTGGTACTTTTGGAGATTCAGGAGGTGGTGTAACAGCGACAGTCTCCTCCTCAGCAGCATCCAACTGTCGTTGCAGTTCGGCAACCATCAGCTTCATATAATCATAGCTTGCACAAGCTAATGCTTTCATCCACTGTTCCATAGATTCCTGAAATACATATATCATTAGCACCATAATGAAAACATGTACATTTGAAGGACTAGATCAATCTTAACTACCTGAGAGTCTGCACCCAATGCATAGCTTCTGTTGTTGGGTCCATGAAAAACTATTTTAAAACCAAATTGTTCCTCGTCTTCAGCAAGTTCAATGGTGCATCCTTCAAGTACGATCATTCCTACTGGTTCCTTATCGCCACGACGATCAAAGTAAAAGAGAATGTTTCCTTTTAAGACAAACCATCTTCTTTGATATCCACGATTGACTTCACCACGTTTATTGAGCCAGCCTTCACGATCCACCGGGGTTGCGGATGTCGCGAAGGCTACCATATTTTTCTCATTTATTTTCATGAGTAAAAACTAGATTTTTCACAAATTCGTAAAAATTTACACACGACTAATCCTGTAGTTCGTGTGATACATTAAACGTCATCCACCTGTCAGACGTTTGTAATGCTGGGTCACGTTAGGTTAGTTCAACTCAATTTCTGCACAATTAATATCAAATCGATACGAAATGCAAGACATATGTCGGAAATAAATTTGCTTAAATTTCGTAAAAATTTTACACGTGGGTTGTCAATGAAATAGAAATTTTGCACAAACATGAATCAGCTGACGCCCTAGTCAGCCAGCCGTTTTAGCAGAAATTAATAAGATGCTCAACGCCAGAGTACGGAGATACAATGCTACGGTTTTAGGCGGTACCAAAATCATGCCGCTTAATCGTAACGGCAAGTCTGGAAGTAGGATCTTGTAATCATGGCCTCCGTCGACAATGCGAATCCCGACGTAGCCGAGCTAAACGTGAACACAAGCGCGTAGCTTGGCGGGAAGAGGTTCCCCGTTACTCACCGTTGGTTCCCAAAACAATCCTTAGAACGAGGCCGCTCATTAAATATTGCCTAAATATTTTTTTCCCTTTCCAATCTTAAGTTCCAGCGCACAGTGAATGCACGATAAGATTAACTATGCTGACAAAAGCACGCACCTTATTCCTGCCTGCGCCGAAGCGCATGGCGCGACTAGCATCTTTAATAGGTATTTTACAAAAAAATATTTTTTGGAATAATTGACGTTACGATCTCTGAAAGTTTCTGAATTTTCTTATAATTTTTACATAAGACCTTACAATTCACATCATTAAAATCTTAATTAACGATTGACTAATGTCTCAATCAGATTCGTCATCAGAATTAAGTGCATAGGATACTGGTTTCCGGGCGCGACTCGCCGTCTTCCTTATTGGCGGCGACTCTTCGATTATGTCCTCGTCTGTCTGTGATTCTTTCTTCTTTCTCTTCTTTACCTGCTGCGAGGACTGACAAGTTTTGTTAGAATAAAGTCACTGTTCATTGTAGTAAAGGTTTGGTATAACTTTTAGGAGTATTACTTACCGAGGCTACTTTCATGTCGAATATGTCTTCCGAGTCGGAATCAGATGACTTTGACTTCTTTTTCAATCTCCTCTTCACGCCTTTGCTACCACCGTTTTCTGCTTTCTTCTTTGGGGCGGCTGCTGTGACATGAAATTTACGAAATTTTTTACAATCATTCTGCTTTGCCTTTCCTTTCGGCTTCATTAAAGAAAGATTGAACTTTACATTTCTTCGGTGGTGTTGATTTCACTGATGATTCTTCGTCCGAAGTTATAGCTATGACTTTACTGGGACTGGGTTTGGAATTGTTGATTAGAGAATCGAAGAGTTCTTCGGAACTTGCTGTTATGGGGATAATCATATAAATATATCTATAATAAATAAAGTACAGATGGTCATGATTTTTAAATAAAATAACCGACTTACGTTTTGGTGGTGGCGCCTTTTTGTCAATTTTAAAACCATCATCGGAATCGCTATTTATTACTGTGGCAGGCGGTGCCGTCTTCTTTTTCGGTCTATAAATAATATCAAAGTAATACGTAAATTTTTATGTAGAAATAGTTGTAACACAAAAATAAAAATGTCCATTACCGTCGCTCTTGTTCGGAATCGGACGAAAATTCAATGTGCTGGTCAGTATCCTCTTCTTCGCTGCTCAACGTGTAATTTATTTTGGCAGCTGTGAAAATAATCACGAATAATTGGCAATACTTTTATGAACAACGCGGAGTCAGTATAAAATTTTTTAAAAGGTAAAGCAAATCATACCAGCAGCTTTTCTGCGCGTAGGACGTGTCGGTGGTGGTGAAATGCTGTCGAAATTAATATCATCCATTTCATCGCTATCATCCTTATCTTTATCCTTTTTCTTATCACCTTTTTTAACAGGCTTGAACGACAGTGTAGATTGTTTCAAATCTAAGAAAGGAACAAATTTATATGAAAAATAAAGTTCAAGAACTCAGGCGAAAGCATTTGTTGAAATATTTTGATTTACTCTTTTTGTTAGTGATTTTCTTCTCAATCTTCTCCGGGGAATTTCCAAGTCTGTCGTCAAGCGGTTTTGCGTTACCCTCGACAAGAACATCGAACTCATCTTTCTCCTCTACGACCTCCTTTTTCGTCTAAAATTCATACTGGAGTTTATCAAACACATACATATAAATCCTATAGACTCCACTAGTCTTTTTGACAATTGAATAAACTTACTCTGGGAGCTTTCTTCACTCCATCCTTCTTATCCTTGACAACGATGTCTGCTTTCTCTATTTTCTTTTTCAAATCAGAATCAATGGTCGGTTGGATTCGCCTGGTGGAGTCATTCTTGTAAAATTTGGTTGGTGGTTTCTTAGTGTTCTTCTTGAACTTCTCTTCCTCCTTTCTTTCCTTCTCTTCAATCTAAAAGAATCATCAATAATAAAGTTTTACCACGTACAAAGAATTAATTCTGGTAGACCCTACTTTGTTCAATTCCTCCAGGAAATTATTCAAGTCCTCCTTCCAAAGGGATACAGGCGTTCGAATCTGTAGCCTTTTCAGTTCAGAAATCTTTTCATCTCGCTGACGTAGCAGCTCATCCTTTCGTTCCTTAGTTAGACTCCACATAGTCATCCCAAGTAGATAATCATAGTTTTCCTTTTCTATAGTCGGTGCGTCTACTTCGCCATCAGCATTTTCAACTGCCTCTTCCTGTTAACGGAAAACCCATAGATCGGTATTAATTATGCATACCATTTTATTATAAGAATGAGTTTGTTGCGCAAAGCTCCTACACTCCACTTTACTTACTTGCCACTCCTTGCATTGTAAAATGGTATCAATTACCTGTTAACGTATATGCTCGATAGCTTGATTTAAGATTTCTAAAAACTTACCAAGACTTCTTCACGATTCTGACTCAATTTCCAAACCATCACGGGATCGGAGTCGTAATTTCGTCTGACGAGTTCAGCTATCATATCAAGCTTCTTCTTGTTCTCTATCACCAGGTCGCCGTCGCACTTCTCCAAGATAAATCTAGCTTGATTAGAAAGTTTCGATGCTTCCGCCTGCAGTATCCCCTCTAGGTAATCCTTTCGCTTGTGGTAGCCCTCAAGTCGTACTTTGAAAAAACTTTTCAATATTTGCAAAACATTGTCGTACTTCTTCAGGCAAAGATTCTCATCGAATGCGCACTGTAATCAATGAATCTTATGAATTTATTTTTGTTACTTTCCCTTAATACCGAAACTAGTCCAAACTCACCATAGACGTTATACTTGTGGTTGTCTGCAGTTTGAAAGCCTTATGAAGACCATCTCGCTCAAGATCAAGTAATTTATCTTGATTCATCATTACTATGAAGTGAACTGCAGTGTCCGTGTTGTACTCCTTATAATCACTGAAGAATAATTGAAACAAGAAATATTAATTAATTGCGAATAGTTCAAATAAATGTTCTATAATGATCATTCAATGACTAATTACGTAATTATGGCAGGAATTTTCTCGGAACCATGTAACATGGGTTCCAGAACGGATTCCTTGTACGTTTGAGTCCAAGTGCCAATGGGAAGTTCAGTAATCTCAATTTTGTCAGGTCCTATAACTGACACTTCTCCACTGATAACGTATCTGTAATCTCCACAGCTCTCTATGCAACCTTTGAAGTTTTTGTAGTGCGGAATCTGCGAAAAAAAGTCCAACACACATTACAATTGCCTACCATACGAGAAACGGAATTATTGTCCTCCAAGATTTTTACCATTGGCTTAGGATCACCACCGTCCATCATTCTTAATAAATTATCGACAATTTCTCTAGGATTGTAATTCGGAATCTTTGTCATCCATCCAGTACCAATTCCGTCAGCTCCATTGACAAGTACCATTGGAATGATTGGCAGATAATGAACAGGTTCAATTTTTTGGTTATCGTCGTACTCGTGTTTCAAGAGAGCGTCATCGTGCTTGTGAAAGATGAGACGTGCCAGAGGACTGTAATTGAAATTAATAATGGTCCTCATTGGAATAAAGATCCATGAATATCTACGAGCCAAATACATACCTGAGCATTGTGAAAATGTATCGAGGACTTGCAGAATCCTTACCACCCGTCAATCTGGTACCAAACTGACCAATGGGTTGAAGCACATTGATATTATTACTGCCAACGAAATTCTGAGCCAGATTAATTATAGTAGCCATAAGTGACATTTCACCGTGATGGTACGCCGAGTGTTCGGCAACTGATCCTGCCAGCTGTGCTACCTTTACTTCACGTTTGTCATTACGTTTTAGACACGTGTACAAGACTTTTCTTTGACCTGGCTTAAAACCGTCTATCATATTTGGAATGGAACGCACGTTATCGTAGTTACTGAAGAGAACTAATTCTACATTTATGAAATCCGAAAAAGACACAGCTCGCGTATTCTTTTCATATAGGTATTTCTCGCCAAGACCGATCTCCTTTCGCCTCTTTGTCTCCTCCATGTGATTGGTCAGCCAGTCTTTACGTTGATCGACGCATTTCTTACTGAAAGCCATTATGATGTTCTGATCGTCTTCATCTCCTTTGTATGTAAACCGGATCCTGTGTCTGGCCATATTCTCGAAGTACTCCTTTGCCTCTTTGGCAGTGGACGTACCCAAACCTGGTTTATCACAAAGTTATTGGTACCGTTGTTAAACTTGATTGAGAGAAGACACGTTTCTTTCGATAGAACTTTATATAAAAACCTTTGTAGTATTTGATCTTGTACGTATGATAGTTTTGCGTCTCTTTTTTCCACGCTTCGAATTCCGGTAGAGAGAAGAACGATAGCTGCTGACTTCCTTTGGTTGCTTTCACAATGGGAGTGATGAACTCTTCGACGAAATCGAGTTTCAATAGTGACGGCCAGTTGTGATGAATGAAATTGATCAAAAGACCTTTGATGTGTGAACCATCCTATGTATGATTAAATGATGTATTAGTACGTTGCGCTACGATTGCAAGAAAGCGAACTTTATTGGCAGGAGGTGAAGTTACTCGCACCCGCACGAGTGTGACAAACTTCACGATCTGCATACAATGTTCGCTTTCTCGCACTCGTATCGCAAAGTACTATTTTCATTGATTCATTATTGGATGTTATTGATGGCGAGAAAAATATTTATTAACCTGATCCTGATCTGTCATTATCATCATTTTTCCGTAACGGAGTGTTTTCAGATCTTCTCTGGTCTCGTACTTCTTCTTGTATTGAAGCCCAAGGATTTTTATGAGATTGTTGATCTCAGCGTTTTCTAAAATCTGTTTGTGAGTTGCTTCACGCACGTTTAAAATTTTACCTCTAAGTGGAAAGATTCCGTATTTATCACGGCCTATGGCGGAGAGGCCAGACACGGCCATTGTTTTAGCCGAATCTCCCTCGGTAAGGATTAACGTACAATCCAAGGATTTAGCCGTACCGGCGTCATTGGCATCCTCAAGTTTCGGTATACCTTAGAAAAAGAAATTTTTGGTGTCATCAAATTATTCTTATGGGCTGTGGAAAGTATCTTAATCGCGTTTTATACCTTGAAGCTTTCTTTGTTTAGACTTGGGTCCTAATTTTTGGAGTTGACTGTCTGCCTTAAACTTGGCCCACGTAAGTACAGCTTCGACGATACCAATTTTTGTAATCTGAAAATTATGCGAATTATTTTATTTTGATGTAAAAAATATTTATGAAAATCAGGTAATAATTACGTACGTTCGTAATGAATTTCTCGGGAAGCACACATTTGGAACCGAAACTCTTTGCCTGTAGAGTCATGTGCTCTTTGGTCTGAGAGTCAAACGTTGGATTATTAATGAGACAATTAACAAAAACCCATAAATGATTTTTTATTTGGAATGGCTTGACGGCGACTCCACCCTTGTTTTTCTTCTTTATGGTTTCTGTCAGCTGCTTTACAATTATGTCTGTAACGTGATCCACATGTCTGCCACCCTATAAAGCATTTGGCATTAATTTCTTTCTCGTAATATGTAAACGCGCCTTTAATACTCGTAATTTTTGGCACCTTCGTTGTAGCGATACTGTTGACAAAGGACATATGCTGGAAGCCTTTATCTGACAATGTTACAGCCACTTCCCATCGTGGACCGCCAGATTCATAGACGACTTTCAGTGGATTTCCAATGTCGTCCTCTTTGCCCTTGATGTAAAGATCGACGTAATCCTTGAAATTCTTAATAGGAACTCTTGTGCCATTTAGGAAAACCTTTACACCCCTTGTGGAAGCAGCTACGTCAAACGCTCGCCTGGACATTAATGCCACTATGTCGGCATCAAGAGATTGCATTTTGAATTTTGTCAGGTCTGGTGAAAAAGTGACTTTAGTAAAATCCTCGCCGAAAAATTCTTTAATTCTTGGTTCGCTTGCTTTTCCCATATTGTTTCCCCAGGTCTACAAAAAACAGAAGAATTATCGTACCTATATTTTTCAAGTAATAGTTTGATTGACATTGTATTCTTACTTGTTTTAAACTTTTCTTATACTCCTTAGAGGCCGTTTCGACTGTAAAACGGTGGCTGAAAATATTGCACAATTTTGCTCCGTAGCCATTTCTGCCACCAGTTACTTTCTCCTCCTCGTCATCATAATTTGATGAGGTTAAGAGATGTCCGAATATCATTGTTGGTACATACATATTTTCTTCCTTGTGTATAACAACAGGAATACCTTTGCCATTATTCCATACAGATATGGTATTGTTCTCTCTGTAAATACATTCGTTAAAGATAGTTCACAGATTTGAATGGTTCTGTAATTAAATAAACGTACGAATCTATATCTATTTTTATCATATCCATATGTGAATCACGCTGTTTATTATCAGCCGCATTGACAAGTATTTCATCAAATATTTTATAAAGTCCAGGAACATAGCTGATCTCTCGTTGAATCATCATTTCCTTTTCTTTATCATATATCCACATCAATTCAGTAACTGGTTCAACAGAACCAATGTATGTGTCAGGCCGTAGCAAAATATGCTCCAGCTGAGATTTCTTTTGATAAATGCCTTCGATGGTTTTCTTTTTAGAACCGCCATCGCCACTACCATTTTGAACAGTAGAACTCATTTTGTTAAATTGTCGTTTTACACGTCTGAAATAAATTGAATACAATATTACAATGACATTACTGTAGCAAATCTTAAAATAAATTTCTACAAATTAGCATACAGAGATATGTTTCATATTCTTCTTGCACATTCCTATTTACATGTACAGTATAATAGTGTTGAAATTAAAACTCCAGAAAACAACCTGTCAGTTATATTTATGTCAAAATTCATGGCTTTAAATATTTTTCGATTATATTGCAGACATATGTCTTTCGCTCAAATTGGAGTACCAAGCAATATACCGAATGAGTATTCATTAAAGAATATATTATGCATCATATTAAAAAGGTCAAACAAGAGTTAACAGAACGAAGCAAAAAAAAGTTCCATTCAGGTAATTTCGTACCCTAATAATTTTGTCAATATATGGCGGGAAAATGCCGCCATCTAATTGGCCGAAGGAGCAAGGGGACGCCAGTTTATGCGAGCACCTGCCTTTCGAAAATTCACCCTATATGTGCTTGTTATCGTCGAACTACTGATAGAAAAAGAAAAAGTAGTTTTCCAATTCAATGCAGAGAAAGCACATCTCCTCGGAACCCACCTTGAGAGATTTATTGATAAAAATACAAATCCTCTGGTAGCGTCGTAGGGGATATCAGAAAATCTTATGAACACAGAACATCCATCAGCGTTGAGAACGCCGAATGGCACATCACAGACACAAACGTTTCTCTTTCCTAGCTCTTACAATGTCTTCTGATACTTCGTTACTTATTTCGAGCAAATCATTATTCTCAAGCCTACAGGAAACCGCTAAAATAATGGCGTTTTCTCGCAATCACAACGGAACGCTGAACACACGGCAAACGGATCTCTTTTTTAACGAGCGGCCGAACAGTTAGAGTCACTTTGCCGCCGGTCAATTCCTGTTCCTAAAAGCATCAAAAAATTCTGTTTCCGCGTATGAATTTGAAAACAATTGCAGTTGCGAAAATCTTAAATCTAAATTTGCAAAAACCTGAATTTAGACTGGTTATCGTTTCCAATGTATCAGTAACTATATTCATTTATAATAATTGCACAATAGATATTTAATTTGTAATAATCCATAGTGACTATTGACGATGACAGGAAGTCATCACTAGGCGTACGATTAACGTGCTTATCTTTGAAATTATGTTCTGCTCGTTATTTGAATATGCTTGCCATCTATATTATTCAAAAGACAATTTCCGTTTGGCATTATTATATATTTTTAAATTGACTCTGTATAAAGTATGACGATAACTTTTTAACAGTATCAAGTTCTTGTTCAAATAACGATAAAGTTTGCATATATCACGTTGTTCCCGTTCTGAGTTTACTGTACGAATATTGATATAGAAAAGAGAGGTATTTTTAAAGAGAGCAGGTTTTCGTGAAATTTATAGATGTATGACACATTTAACGTCAATGTGTATAGGCATCTATTAATAAATCTGTTACAACCAAGACCTAGTGAAATATTCAGAGCTCCAAGGCTGAGTAACAAAGTGAGTTTGTCATCAACGAGAACAATTGCACAAAGTCTAACAGCGGGAGTGACATATATCTATACATCAGGAGATGAGGATAAGATAAAATAGTCAAATTATATCTTTATAACGCAACAGGAAGATTTCTTTATTATTGATCTATATGGAGAAGATTCATCCATAAAAAATATAAAAATTGAAGAGAACGTCCGTACTTTATCAACGAAATACAATCCAAGTGTGACAAATAGCTGCGCGTCGCCGTGCTTGAATTTTACTTCGGTATCGTCGTATCTCAAATCGAAGGTCTCTCTCGTTCGGTGTAACAGAACATAACGGAACTTTTAATGATCCTGGCAATAATGAAGAGTGTCATGCTTGCGGTGATTTCACGTGGCATTGGTTATCTCTCGACTTTTGTCTTTCGGGAGTCCAATCCGACACTACACCTATGGCCTGCAGGAGCAGCGCTACAGAGGCTCCTACTTGGGGAGCAGAGTGCTCCGTGCAGAATGCTCCAGGTTGACGTGGAGCTGGAAGCTGCTCGCTGCTGTCGGCCTCATAGCCGCTTCTCTCCGTCTCCGTGCAGGCAAGGAGAGAGGAGAGAGAGTAGATGGGTAATAAGGGATGATCCCTGACTGGCGCGCTACCTACGGACGTTGAACCCTTTGCTTCCGTCAGGTCCGGTAGGCATGCGGACGACGTTGCTTGGAACATTGCTACTTCCTGAATTGGAAGGCTTTGGTTGGATCTTATTCACTTCTGGCAGTAGTTTTTCCTCTGGATTTCTTTCCTCCCCAAGAATTCGTTTACGAGCCTCAGCGTACTCTTGCTCTCTCTGAAATTGCAATTAGATAAGGAAAGTGTTGGACTGCCGGTTAAAAGATGTTACAATTGAAGAAATTTTATACCTGTTTTAAAGACTTTATAGGCTGCTTTGGTTTATTGTCTCCATTCGTCAGTGGTCCATCTCCACTTCCTTGCGAGTCTCTTGTTGGCCTCTTTAGTATTTTCACTGTTGGTTTTGGAGGTACATATTGTGATCTCATTGCGTCATCTCCCAGAACTACCATTCTGGGACTAGAATTGTGGTTTGTTGTAAGGCTGGAATGTATTAAAGCATTGGATTTTTGGACGACCAAGAAACTTTTCTGTTCAAAGATCATTAGATTGAATGCTGCTAATGAGAAACATACAGAAAGAGATAAGAGTGATATAATTATTTAATAAATATAAGCATCAGCATTCTGAGATTCACTGATGTATACACTATACCTAGGGCTTTCGATTTCGTCCAGTCCTTCCAGGGTATTTGTCTGAAGTGCACTTAATGCTTTATCCAGTGCCTAGAACAAAATAAAAATACAAGCACCAATTATAATTCCATCTTTCCACATATTAAAAAGTTTTTTTTGAAATTAGATATAAAATCTAACATTGTTTTCAATCTCACAATACATTCCGTTTGAAGAATTTAATAAATTATATAAATATATTTTTTTTTCCTTTTTTTTTCTTGATACATAATCTCGTGTCTACCAAAATTTGTTAAAATATACCATGAGATTTGGTAGCCACAAGGGAAAAATTTAAACTGTTCCTTTGATTAGATACACTTAAATGGTTTCACAGTTGAAATATTGGTTAAGGAAACTTCTTCCATTATGCATTTGACACCAATTGGGTTATAACTCCTGGAGGAAATCGCACGCCCAGTCCTTACCCCAGACTCAATCATCTCCTCCCAAGTCTCGAAGGCCTCGTCTATCGTTGACATGCTGCGGTCAATGGATTTCGGCCACGAAAAACGATCCTCAAAGGATGGAGTGTAAGAGCCAGCTTTGCTCGCGTGAGCCTCCCAGAGGATCGAAACGTACGAAAGACCTCCCGGAATTTTTCGTAACGTGAACTTGCCACGATAAAACTTGACAGATTGGCCAACGTAAAAAAAGTCAACGTGCGGTTGACACAAACCAAGCAATACCACCACTCGACGCGCGGATCGTTATAAAGTAGCGGCAGCGTTTCCACCGATACACGTGTAAAGGAGAATAATTAAAATTATTTAATATATCTGGCCGCTGGAAGAGTCTCGTCACACATATCTAATACTTGATATTGGGTATGAAAATGCAGTTAATTGTTAGGAAAAGATGTACCTTTCATCTCTTGAACCTTATGAACTTCCGGCGCTAATGCGGCCACTGCTGCTGCGACGTCTTGCGATGTTAATAGGCGCCATTTCTGTGGTTTTATCGGTAAAGAAGAGGATTGCTACGATCTTCTCAGATCTTTTTTATAATCTTATCTATATTTCTTTTTTTACTCCTAGCTGTGTAGTTACATTTGACACTTGCTTTAAAGATTATAAATTGTATATTTATTTGAATTAAATAAATGTCTCGTTAATTGTTGAGTTTGTGAAGGTATCAAGTATCTTTCTGTACATTTCTTCTGTGATATTTCAATAAAAGACTGCACGATGACCGATATCGAATGGTAAATAGCATTGATTTTGTATATATTTTATTTTGCAATCATACATCTTTTATTTATCAAATTTTATTTCTTGCAGGGTTGCACGTTCAGTAGATTATGGATCAGTAAAAGTTCCATTTATGGAAGAAGTGACGGATCATCCCTTAAAGCCGGTTATTGTTACTGTAAGATTCTCTTTACACCAGTATGGGGATAATGCATTAACTATAAATTTCTGATATATTGTTTATGTTTTTAGATGATGGATGGACGCAGTGGAATTAAAAGAGGCGCTTTGCGTAGTACTAGTACCGGCTCATCAACAGGGACACCTACTCCAATACATACTCCATTCCAAGTACCCAACCCTTTGACTGATCCTTTATTAAACCACTCTTCCTTGGATGGTTCTGATCCTCTTACACAATTCGCTCGTGAGGACTTAGATCCTTTATCCAAGATGGCTGCCGACGAAGTAATTTCTTTCAGATGTATAAAGAGCTGATACAAGAGAACGGTGTATTCATGGACTTCTTGTATTTCTTACAGTGGGATTACTCTTCGAATGCTGCAGCTGTTGGAAAAAAGTCAAAGGATACCATGGATGAATTGGTACAGCCTTGGCTAGCAAGACGTACTGCAATATTGAACAAATATACAACATCGGAGAAATTATCTATAGTAACAAGTTTCTTACCAGGCGGAGAAAAAGGTACAGTAATAATTCACTGATATCTCAAAACAAAAGATTATTAGAGATGAATAATGTAAAACTTCATTCCGAAATTAGTGATTGTGAAAGTCCAACCCAGTGGTACTTTAGTCGATAAAGTTAGAACAAGATTGGAGCAACTTGATGATTTTGAAGAAGGCTCTGTGAGGCAAATGATGGATCTATCGCAGCAGGAATACACAGTTCGCATAGAGCAGTTAAACAATGAACTCGTGCAAGCTTGGCATTCTGATCAACGAGTGAAAGCTTTAAAAATAGCAATACAGGTTCATTGATAGATCTTTTTTTCTTCATAAAATATATAAAGAAATATAACTGACATGGAAATCATCGATTTCCTTAGTGCGCCAAGCTGTTAGTGGATACATCGGTCATTACTTTTTACCCCAGCAAATTCGTACTCATCACAGACATCTTGGATACCTTTGGTAAACTCGTTTACGAGCGGTTGAAAAGGAAAGCTGAATATTACAAGTGATGTCTCTTTTATATTTTTAATAGTTATTACTACTCTTATCATCTGAACGAATATTTTTTATTTTTGTAGACCAGGCAGCAAAGTACCAACAAGCTTACCAGACAATTTCACCCCGGATATTGTTACGGAAGTTGCTAAAGAAATTTGTCGTAATTGGTTTTACAAAATAGCCTCAATACGCGAGTTGGTACCACGACTTTATGTGGAAATGGCGATTATCAAGTCGTATAGATTTTTGACAACAAGTGAATTTAGTACTGCCCTTTTGCGAATAACCCGCATGATTCGTGGGATTGGAAATCCATTGATAGCGGTTTATGCAAGATGCTACTTGTGTCGTGTTGGATTGGCACTCAATCAATCTTCAGACTTTGAATTCGCCAAGGAAAACTTCTATGACTTTCTAGCTGTTTACGGTCAACTGTTTAGTCAGTCCTTATCATATGATTTAAATGGGCAGAGTATATCCCTACATACTTATCTTAGTCTTTATACTCCTGCGTTGGATTGGATCATGGAAGTTATGGCAACTACAGCATCCGAGAATCTTCTTGATGAAATACTTTCTCGAAGCAAGCAGCAAGCTAATAGGTAATAATTCTTGTAAAAAATTTCATAAATACATGGAGTGTAATCATTTTTATATATTTTTCCACTTCAGTGGATTACTGTTGAACAGTATCCTTGCAACTTTCAAACCAGCATACATAGCAGCTCGGTCAATGGAATTTGTTAATTTAATTGCTGGCTGTGAAGATGATGGTAATTAATGGCTTAAAATATTTTTAACTATTACGCTAGTATATTTAGCAGAAGTTAGGAGAAAATAAATATTTTTATTAACAGGATTTCCACAATATCTTTTGTATCGCAGTCTGGGTGAATGCCTCGTAGAGGAAGCACCACCCAAGAATGATTGTCGTCCTGTCTTAAATACAGTTTGGCAATACGTACTAGGTCTTAAGGATCCTGCAAAATTTATGCATTGCTCTGAAATTTGGATACAGTTCACAGTCATTCATTTTTCTGTACGTATTCCGAATTACAATTCGACAACTCCCCGCTGATATACATTCTACCTTTACCTTCTGCAGATGCATGAATTGAACCTATTCCTGGGAGAAGTGATCAGTCATCTCAGTCCGAACAGAGCTTTCGAACATTATTATTCTCAACTGCAAACCATCGTAGAGAAAATTGTTGCTCATACTCAAGATTTTGAGTCATTGCTCACTATGGTATGAATCTGTCATATTTAAGAAACTTATAGAAATTGGACTAAATACTGAAATCTCTTGAAAGTACCTTCTATTAATTGCAGGAGAATTTTCTACCTCTGATTGATCTTTTTCATAAGGAAAGCATCAAGGTCGAAGTATGCAAAACCGTGATAGAAGGTTTTAGTACTCAAAGTGGACCAATAACGGATCCAATAATAATAAGCGCCCTTATGTTTATCTCGAGAATAATGCACGACTCGGTCAGGTATGCACTGCAAGAATTAAACTCAAGATATCTACCTCCTGCACAGGAAGAAAATGCAGTTATCCATTTGTTTGCAATGCAGTGCGCTCACGGTGGACGATGAAAAGCGACAAATTGGCAATTTAATATGTGGCCTAGTTCAAAGAGTCGATTACGGTCGGGACTTTGAGAAGCAGTTGAGCTTTTATGCAGAGGCCAGGGCCGCTTTTCCCAATCTCGACTCTGTACACATACAGCTGGTACAGGTAGGAGACTATTCTGGAAATATATATTTTCTGCATGCATTATTTGCATAGAATTAGTTTAAGTAGAAATTAAATCACATTCGGTACTACTTCCAGTGTGTAAATAGATTGTCAGTCGATACAAGGAAAATTGTCCGTGGCCATCATACTAGAAGAACCTCTGCATTTGTTCGTGCTTGCGCAGCTTTTTGTTTCATCACCATTCCATCTTTAACATTAGTGCACACTCGACTTCAGTTGTATCTTCTATCGGGACAAGTGGCCCTTTTAAATCAGTGCCTTGGCCAAGGTAATTCTTGAATTTTTTTTAGGAATAAAACATACTACGTGCCAGATAATTCCTTTTAATTTTTATTTCCTAGCCGATGCCTGCTTCAAGGCAGCCCTTAGCTTGGTTCCAGAAATGCCAAAGACAATAGACATCGATGGAAGACAAAAGAGCTCAGAGCCATACTTGGTTTCCTATCTTTCTAACTTTCTTTCTACGCTACTGGTAGTTCCCGTAAGTAAAGAAACTACAAAAGCTGTATCGCAGAAATATTTTCCTTATCAGTATTAATGACGGTCGTTAATAATGATTTAATAGGACAGCCCTGAACATGGAGTGTTGTATTTAATGCGAGGACTTTTAAATGCTGTGCAAAGGTGTTTCGAACAGAATGCTACGACAAAGTTCTATCTCTACTTAAGAGTACTGGATCTGCTGTCGACTGTCACTCAAGAGACCTATCCTTATCACGTTGATAAGGTACAGTAGAGATACACCAATCAACTGATGTATTTCAGTAACCCTTTGAAGGATGGTAGTAGTCAGAAGTATCACCTTGTAACTGTGTAAAAAACAGTAATTTACATCCGATTCATAATCAGCGACCTCAATAACCCATGAACATGAATTTTCCTGCGAATTAGCCTATTTTTTACCACTCAACTCCGTTATTATGAATTTCTGAATATTGAGTTCAGATTCATAATCAGCGACCCCAGAAAACTCCGAGTAGCAAATTTTAAGTAAATTGTATGGAAGGAAAAATGTATGCTTCAAAGGGTTAAATCAATAATATGCTTATGCAACTAGATTCCCAATGTCATACATTTTTAGGTCGACTCAAATGATAAGCTGTACGGCTCCGATAAGAAATTTATCGGAGAAGTCAATAAAATATGTTCGAAGGTTCTTGAGGAAATATTGAATCACTTGAAGTACCTCGGCAGTACTGATCAATTAGATAAACAGTCGGCCTTGGCCTTTGAGCTGTTTGATCGCATAATAACACGTGCAGATTTACAAGATTCGGCCTTAGCAACTATTGCAGTGAATCTGTGGAATTTATCACACAGACATGGTTCAATCGACCCCAAATTATCGGTAAAAAACGTTATCCGAATAATGGTTTAATTATGGGTTTTAATTGCCAATTTGAGCTTATCTAATTAAGTTTTTTTCTTTTTGTCAGATCCCAACGATACATTATATAACTCGAAGGAGTCATCAACCACACTTTGCCGATATTCTCAGGAAAATAAAAAAATAATTGTGGTACAGATTAAACTCGAGCATCCGGTATACACGAAGGATCTCCATGGTATGCAGTGTACAAATTGTATTATAATCGTATATCAAGTTTCATTTAGAAAAACATGAGAACACATTGAAACAAATTAGATATTTCATAAACGGAAGCAGACTGTTACGTTTTTGGCTTTGTGAAAGAATAATGCAGTAAAATTAGTTAATCCTAATTCAACAGTATTCCTTACTGAAATTTGGATAATAAACTTTGCACAATACAGACTGGACATTTAAATAAAGAATCGTTTATTGATTCTCAAAACTTCGTAATACTTAACCAATAAAAAAAAATGGCGAATATTTTACAATACAAAATACCGTCACGGTGAACTGGATTGAAAACTGTGAATGACAAGAAGCGTAATATTATATAATAGTAATCGTAAACATTTTATACAATGTTGCGTTGTGACTCTATAAGAAACAAGTGTATGACAGAAATAAAGGTTTATAAAAATAAATTAATGCAGCAGAATATCTTTTGAAGACATTTTCAGCAAGGCTAACGGCAGTCGTTGCTGTGCCACACGTAAAAAAAAAAATACTAATCCACAGAATCTTATCGACATTCATTTTGGAAGACAATATTATCAGTGTACTCTTTGACATTGGAAGACAATAAACTCGCTCGGCTTGAATCATTCCGTTCAGCCTCGCGTTTATTCTTTTAGAATTGAGCGTAGCGCGTCCAAAAATATATCAGCATGATATTCGTTGAACGTAAGGGCCGGCCTCAATCTTACAGCTTGGACTCCGCACCCACCGGCCTGAATGCCTACAAACAACGAAGGCGTTATAGACTATTTACCGAGCAACCATAATATCTTAATGGAATGTGTACCTTTGGCGTGAAGCTTGCTGATAACTTCGTCCCGACTTGCAGGTGTAGTGCAATCAAAGGCAATAAAGGTGCCACGACCGCGAACCGAGTTAATCTTGCCCGAGACCTCCTTTTGAAGATCTTTTAATTTTCCCAAAGTGTAATCGCCAACGCGTACCACTTGATTTAAAAGATTTTCTTTTTCAATGGTATTCACTATCGCCTCTAAGAGTATTAACTTGCTGGGATCTCCCATCCAGGTGTTGTATACACGATACGACTGTTTTGGTCTGAAAGAACGAAGAGATGTGAAATATTTCCCATGAGGTTTTATACAGCATGGATAAAACCTTTTAGCAATTACTTTAAGTCAGGCGTGTGATAGTAGCCACCTAGTTGCATCTTCTTACTGAACGTTACTACGTCTGGTGGAGATTCTAAATTAAAATGCTCGTGGCACCACATTTTCCCAGTAGGACCACCTCCTGTCTGAACTTCGTCTATTAGCAAAGCGGCACCATGCTGGAGAGAAGGACAGTTTCAAAAGTTATGAGATAATTTTAAATCGTACGTGCTAACGTAACCTGGATATACCTTGCTTGAAACTTTACGGAGTTCTTGAAAAAACTCTGGCGACGCGTGATGATCGCCACCCTCGGATTGGATCGGTTCGATTATAATACCTGCGACCGGAATATTCTTTTCCTTATCATACTTTACGATCAAGTCTTCAATCTAAAAAATATTCATTGTCAGTAATACATGCTACGGATAGATCCTATATTATTTTTTCAATTAATTCATTTGAGCATTACTTCTGCAAGACATCTCTCGTCTTCTTTCTTATTCTCCCTAACATTCTCCTCCAGTGGATATTTGTATTCAGGGAAGCTTGCAATGGGCCAATCGAATGCTGGAACATCTATCTTATGGATATATTTACTGTGAGTTGTTGACAGTGATCCTAAGGTTCTCCCATGGAATGCTCCTGTTTATATTAGAATTAGAGATATTGAAGTTAAGGTAACATTTTGTATTGCCATATGAGTATGTTTACCTTTGAAAGATAAAATTGAATATCTAGGACTACCAGGTGATTGATTAATCATACAAGACTCCATTTCTTCTCTGGTAAATGGTGCACCGTGTCTCTTTTTGTCAGCATACCATATGAAGATGTTTTTGAAAGCATTCTCGTTTGAACAAGAGCCACACATCATTGTAGTAATCTGAGTTAGTCCTGGTGCAGCTACCTAGGTCAAAAAGAAAAAAAAACTCAATCCAGAGATACATAATAGTGAATAATATCATTAAATAGACTTACTCCTTTCCTCAGTAAAACATTCTTCAATCTTTTCGGCCAATCGCGTCCTGGAAATGAGCCCAGTGCTGGTCTGTTTGCTATTATTTTATGATTATCCGAATTAGCCACAGCTCCCAATATCGCCGGATGGTTATAACCCAAAGGCATTGAAGAAATTTGCATGAACACATCCAGCAAAACATTTCCATCGACGTCCACCAGATAGTTACCAGTTGATTTCTCATAATCGGCAAACAATTGCACAGAGGCTGCTTCCTAAACATTTAAACAAGTCAGAACTCCAATAATTTTTGTACAGCCTTGAGCTATATGTGTCTTAAGCGTCATAAAAACATTGGCGCACAATGAATGTATGTTGTAATTCTTTTCCATCAGGATTATGTCATCGTGATCCTTTTTTCTTTCTAAGTGCATGCTGTGCTTCCGTTCTTCTCTACCTGCATTGTATTTAATTCTTGTAGTAGACGACGGGATTCGGGTCCTGGAATTTCTGTAGTCAAAGCAGGACGCTTTGGCTCGCCTGCTAAAGGACCCGTCGACAGTGTCTTGCTCCACAACGCTCCATGGCCTAAAAATGCAAAGAGAACAAATTTAGAGGAATTATATCGCGTCACTAAAGGCAAAATAAATATAAATGCAAAAGGGCGTATGAACATAGAATTTTTATGAGACATACACCCTTTTATTTTTTATCATGCGATATTTCTATTACTGATGATTGCAGAGTATCAGGCAGTTATGCGTAATGCGTGCTCCCTTTTAAAAGCAATTGAAAGATTAGTCTTATTGGTGCCAGTTACCGTCAATTACTTTTCCTTGGTAATACTACCAGCAGTAGTTTTAAATGAGTTATTTGTTAAATTGAAAACTGAATATTTTTAATATTCAAAACGAAACGAAGATCATATCCCGTCTCTCTCTATTTCCCAAACAAGCAGAGTATCTTGCATTTATGACACCTGTTCTTGAAAAAAAAAAAATAACGATATGTTAAGATAATATGACAAGTAGTTGTGATATTCCGACGATAACAAGTTGTTTTTCACAATAGGAAAAGTAACAACTGATAATCAAAAGATTGTCCTGTAGGTAATCTGGAATTATTATATTCAAAAATAAAAATACTTGCATAATTTCTACTTCAATATTTGCTTTCGTAAAATTCTTTACGTTCATTCGATATTTACTCAGTCTAAAAATACACTGACGCTGAATCTACTTGGTCCCATTTTCAGACACTTTCAATTTCGATAACTTTGTAATCTTCATAGAAATATATACAGTTTTAGACAATCAAGAACAGGTCCTATTTTAAGCCGGTCGTGTTTTGGAGCAGAACGTTGTAGACAGAATCGTTTTGGAGCGTATTGATTTTTTGAACGTAGTTTTCTTTTAGGTACAGTGTCATTTAAATTGTTCATGATTGCAGATACAAATAATTAATCTGTAGAAACAGTAGTATCATGTTACCATTGATGATCTGCCTTGTCAAGGATCCTTTGCTAAAAGCAAGTGGAGATTTGCTGAGGAACATGATGAGCAGTTTCGAGTAGACAGAAGAGTATGAAGATTCCAACGACAACGTTTACTTTCAAAATTGAGACACAGGAGTTTACAATCCAAACACTAGATAAAACTGAGATATTTTCCGTGAAAGAGTGGCCTCATAGAAAATTAAAGGCCAATTTGTTCTGATTTGCGTAGAGAACCAACCCAGTGGACAGTCGTCCGAAGATTATTGGCGACTACTGCTCGTTTAAGAATGCTGGAACAAGATAGACTAGTCATGCGACTGTTTGGATGTGACATTTATAATAAGAGTTGAGTAAACATAATTAAGATGTCATTATCTTGCATGAGATCCTGTTTGAGATGTGCTATACTATTTTTATAAATGTATTATATGAATATTGTAATTTCAATGAAATTATACTTATAATCTATTTTCGAAATACAGTTTTCGATATACATGAAAAAGTATGTAGTATCTTTTTTTGTATCAGGAAATTCTTTGTGGGATCTTTTGCAAGAATTTATTGGAAGGATTTAAGAGTAATTCTGGACATTGAAATTACTTGTGGAATGTGCAACATTTTTTACATTAGAAACTCCAGATTCAATATACCAGGTGACTCAAGTAGTACGACTGGCGGGACATCATGAAGTATCTTTTCGAACTGACAGATCAAAATACATTTTGACAGATTAGATTTTTAAGTGATGAGAATTATTTATAATGGATTTCAGTCTTATAACGAAGTCTAAAATTCTACTTATTTTAAACTCAACCAAATTGGAGGTTTAGATATTGATAGCAAACTCCCTCTTAGTAGACTGATAATTTCTTACAGCTGACAGTAGTAAATTGTATATAACCAAGTTTACTTTCCTCGTGAGTTCTAATGGGTTGAAATCAGGTATCAGAGTTTAGTGCCATCCTTGGCAACGTCTGTTTTTGTTGCTGCAGTAGATTAGATTGGATAAAGTTGTATTAAATTAATGAAAGAAGAATATACGAAGGTAGATTAAGTATATAAAATAATGTTCTCCTATAAAATGGTACATGGGATAAGGTTGAATTGCGTTTGTGTTCTTGGCTTCTTAAGCTTTGTTATGTTCCACTGAGTTCACAGAGTACTGTTCTTAAATTTTCCAGAAGAATATCCACATGATATTCACCAAATATTAAGCAGGGTCTTAGTCTTATTGTTGTTTTTCCACTTTCACCTAATTGTATACCTACATAGGTTGAGGAATAGGTGTGATTATAGTAGCTCCATTTATATTTTATATTTGGTTGAAGTATACAACCTGTTCAGGTAATTCTACCTTTGCAGCGGATTCTGTACAGGACTTCGTCCCTTGTTTCCTTACTGCACATGTCGAATGCTATTATAAATCCACGTCCACGTACAGAATTCATGAGTTCTGGAAACTCGCACTGAAGTTTATTAAGTTCAGTTAGGCAATAATTCCCAACCGTGCAAACATTATGCAACAGGTTTTCTGCTTGTATTGTTTGTAATATAGCTTCCAGAATAATTAGTTTTTCAGGATCTCCCATCCAAGTATTAAATATTCTGTATGGTTTTCTAGGTCTTAAATATAAATACTATTGTTAGTTAATAGAGCATGGATTTTTTTTAAGGAGAGTACTGTAAACCTCTTACGTGTATTCACATGTGTGATAATATCCACCAAATTGCATTTTTTTACTGAACGTAACAATATCAGGTGAGCAAGGCAAGTTGAAGTACTCGTGACACCACATTCTTCCAGTTGTGCCTCCTCCTGTTTGCACTTCATCCATGACCAGTGCTATATTATTCTATACAAGATATTTTCATTATCTTAAAAGACATAGGGTGACACTTCTAAAATGGGATTATTTACTTTCTTTGTAATGCATTGCAATTGTTGAAAAAATTCTGGTGAAGCATGTTTATCACCTCCTTCACACTGTATTGGTTCGACTATAATACCTGCTACAGGGGAAGTGCTATTGCTGTTTTCAATAAGTTCTTCAACCTCAAAAGTATATACAAGTGACTTATTACAAAATCCAAAATGAAATTTAAAAAATACTTATAGTAATATTTGAATTACCCGAGCAATGCACTTTTCATCTTCTTGTTTATTTTCACCCTCGTGTTGCTCTAAAGGATACTGATATCTTGGAAATGGAGCAATGGGCCAATCTAGCGTTGGTATATCAATTTTGTGAATATAATTTCCATGCGTTACAGCCAATGCTCCAAGTGTTCTTCCATGATAGCTTCCTAACATCAAATGATTGAAAAGTATGACTTAGGAACCTCTGAAAATTTCCCAAAGTCCATACCTTTAAAAGACAATATGGACAACTTTGGACAACCCGGTGGCTTGTTAAAAGGAGCTGATTTCTTCTCTTCTTCTGTAAAAGGACCTCTATTACGCCTGACATCTGCCCATTTTATGAAAACAGCTTCCATAGCATGTTCATTCGCACAAGCACCGCACATCATTGTAGTAATATTTTGCAATCCCATAGGAGCTACCTATGTAACCAAATTAAATTTTAAACAAATTTCTACTTGCAGTTTGCACACAGTAGGTTTACTAACATCTGGTTTTAGCAGAATATCTCTCAGTTTGCAAGGCCACTCCAACCCAGGAAATAGTCCCAGTGCAGGCCTGTTTGCCATAACTCTCTAAAAATATTTGATTTATTATAAAGGAGAAGAGTCATCAATAACAATTTTATGTTAACTTGATTTCCAGGGCAAGACAGTGCAGCAAGGATGGACCGATGATTATATCCAAGTGGAATTGAAGCAATCTGCATGTGCAAATCCAGAAATACATTTCCATCCACATCAGCCAAATAGTTTCCAATAGACCTCTGATAGTCAGCAAAGTACTGTACACTTCCAGCTTGCTAAAATTGAGCAGTACAATTCCAAAATGGAGAAAGCAACAGTTGTAGGCAAAACAAATCTCTAAAGATTGCGTATAATTAAGTAAAATTAAACCTGCATCTTGCTCAATTCTTCAAGAAGAGCTTTAGATCTCGGTCCTGGAATTTCTGTTAGCGTAAAAGGTTTGGCTGGCTCTCCAGGCAATGGACTTTTGCTCGCACTGCATACTTCCGAGAATGAATTTTTTGCATAGTACAATATAAGTGGCCTCGCGCGAACAAGCCTTACATTCTTCCAAAACATCGTTAACAACATCCCTCATAAAATGCCTCCAAAAGAAAATATAAATTATACAAGAAATAGTACATACAAATATGCAAGGGGCTTTACTAGTGACACATGTCTACAGTTTCTCTTGTTTTCACTACATTCATTTTTTTTCTCTGAAAACAATGGAATTCAAAATTACACTTTCTTCCTCACACACTCTACAGGGGTGATGATCCCGACTAAGGCTTTTTGCACTCACTTAATCGCAAATAAAATAAAAAGGGGCAAATTAACACATCAGACACATACTTCTTACTAATTTATATTGTAGTGCAATAAAAACAACAAAGTTTATGATTAAAATTAGTACAAATATATTTATTATAAACTATGTAATATTAGGTTCGGATGAATATAGTTAGGTAATCACACTTTGTTGCTTTTTTTTGTTTTCTCGAATGAAAATAAACACCTTATTACATGATTAATAAACAGTGTAGGGTGGATGGGGAAGAGGGCAGCAGATTATTGATGATTTTAAGAATAGTTTTACAGATTTGAATTCCGACCACGACATCCGTGGGTACAACAACATAATAAAGAAGAATGGCTGCCTGAATTCTCTTCCCCGTATTTGTACGCATTTTACGAGCAGCTCATCAGCAAGGAATAATTTTTCTTTCTTTTTCTTTTCTTTCCAAGATGCAAAGTTATTCCCTAGCCACTCATAAAAGCCATGCGATATCATTAAGGAGCCCTTCTTATTCTTGTCTTCGCTGGAAAGGACTGCGCGGCGAGGCTTAAAAATTAAAGCACAAATGTGCTCTTGAAATCGTTAAGAACGAATTCCTCTTGTCTCCGTTTCTATTTTTTTTCTTTCACTTCAAGAAAAATGGCTCGACTCCCTTACACGACACACGTACAATTATATTTATTCGTTTCTTTCACTCACTTTCCGTCGCTGTCATATCTATTATCGCGGCGCTTTCTTAAGCTAATAAAACAAAGAAAAAAAAGCGAGTATAACGTATCACGAATATGCGTACATGTATGTCTCCAGGAACTACTATGGCGCAAAACGGATGAATTTGCAAAGGACTTTTTTTAATCTGCTGTTCGCGTACGAACCCAATCAGAAGTTCAGTCCCAATACTGTTGCCACCATGTATAAACCTTGGTGAAGGTAAACATGTAACTTCATCAAGATACGGTATAGAACTACAGTAACCGAAAGTCGGAAGTAAAAAAAGAAAAGACAGATGGAGCGCCAGGTTTTTGCAATGCCGAATTAAAAATACTGTACAAGCGTGTCCATCCTGGCTTTAATTTTACAAACTGTCTCTCTTTCTCTCTCTGTCCCTCGTGCAAGTTGTTACAAATATTCTTTTATCTCTATGGAGATAGCAGAAAAAAGATTTGCCTAAAATTAGAGTACGTCATCATTGTTATCCTTATAATCGTCATCTTCATTGAAGTAAAGAATTTGGATTGCTCGTCTTTGAGGAAAAGGGAAAAAGTTGACCAATAAAAAAAGCTATACATATAATATATATATATATATATATATATATATATGTACTTGGACATTCTATTAATCATGAGATTTCTCGTATGTTTAGTAAAGGAGCTCGACATACACGAAACGTATTGATTTCCGGGTCGCCGCTGTTGAATTTTCCGTACAAACTTTAATTCCGGTGGGTTACACGTTTCAATAGAAATTCTAATGGTTAGTAACGAATTTTTGTATCTTGTCTTGATTCTTTTTTTCATTCTTAAATCACTTGACTCCGAAGCCGCTTGAATAAAGAAATAACGTGGATTCCTATTTTTCGATTCTCTAACACTTTACTGTATGTCAAGTCCGTGAATGGTATTTATTCTACAGCTATTAAGGTACGTATCGCAATATTCTTTGAGAATACATGAAAACTCAGAATGCAACGCGTTTCTTTTTTCTTCATCGTATTTTAGTATGCTGCAATAAATCGTCAATAAGACGGATTGACATTTCCGTTGGCTAATAAAAACAAAAAAGAAGTTTATCTTGGTTTTCCTTTATGATCCTCGGTGTATCCTCGTCATCGTCGTTGTTGTGAAGTTAATTAATATTTTCAATTAAACGAAGCTCTTGGTATTCGGTTCTCCTCTTTCTTTTTTAACCGTCTCTCTCACACAATCTAGCTGTATTATTTACAAAGCAGAAACCATCTGCCCACGCCTTACGACCTAACATCATATGTCTCGTTTATAAACAATTTCATAGAAAATTTATGTGATTAAAACAACGTAAGTAATAATAATTACTTGTGAGCATAATAAACAAATTTGTACAATTTATTATGCGCGTCCTAATGGTCTTACAGCTATTTTACACGTGACCCAATTCTTTTTTGTTGTTTTCACGAGGGAAAAGGGTTGAAGATGATACGCGATACACAACGAAGTACTGAAGAATAGGGGTTGATGGGAGGCGACAGAATTTTGCCTTTTTTCTTTTCGTTTTTACTTAGTGATTTTCCTGCAAGACAAGAACTTCTCACTGTAGCGCATCTTTTTTTCCCACTTTCTCTACTCTCATACACGCACACACAACGCCGTTTCTTCCTTTCATACTGTAGTGTCTTTACGATCGCGTTTAAATCTCCCGCCTAAGTATCGCCTGACTCTCGTCGGTCTCACAAAAAAATATTTCAGTATCATTATTAATTAACCTTTTAAACTCCGTGATCGACACTTTAAGTGCCCAGTGGGCACTGACTCAGTATTATACCTGTATCTATTGTATATAACATGCATATCTATACATACATGTCCACCAAGTAGATGTACAATAGTAGCGCCGTGTGAATCGTTTCCATTTTTATTTCTAACCGTTTCATTGATTTCAAAGCGAGTAACGTATCCGAGATATCGCACGACTTGTAATCAATCGCTGTAACAACTTTTTACAAAAAAAGAAAAAAAAAAGAAAAATAAAGGACAAATTCTATAAGAGATATTCGTCACTCGTGAAATTCAATGTATATCTTCTACATTGACATAGAGAAATTATGTACGGAGAAACACGTGGGTCGTTTCGCCATCTTTCCCATATTTGATTATGTACAATTGGCGAAGATGCGAAAAACTGTTTGAAAAACGTAATCACATAACAAAGCAGATGAATACTCGAGTGACGTAAACGTTGAAACTTTCACGCGAGAATGGTCAGACTGTCAAATAGGAGCTTTTTGTTCTTTGAATCAAGATAAATGTCATTGGCGATACAGCGTGTTATCGAAGCACAGAAAGAAAAATAAGAGATACACGTAAGGACGAAATAAAAGACTCGTAGGATATCTCGTAACTGGGATTATTATCCATTGAAGGATGGATCCTGATGCTTCAGGAGGTCCGATTGATTCGGAATGAGTTTTCGAGCTCGTAAGAAGGTCGTGTTTTTATGAAGTTTAGAGTGAAACGTTCACACAACTCTAATAAGTCAACGTATCTGTATGGGCTAGCCTTACGTACTTATGTCTATTTCGAGTCTCGGTCTCTTCCTCGTGTACTGGCACAGATCATTTCTGGATACACTGCACTACTGCTCGATAACGGCGACTCGTTCTGTCACGCATTTATTCGCGACTCGACGTTCTTTACAATTGACGACACCCAGTATAAACGTGATCGCTCATTTTCCTTCGGAGAACTTTTCCCTGAGACTCTTGATCTTGTGGACGAAGTAAGTCTCGAGAGATTCGGCGCACTTGAAGAAAGGCGACTCCTTGGGATTGTAGTAGCGACAGTTGTCGAATATCTTAGTCATGTCGCCAATGAATTCACTCAGTTTCTTGTACGATTTATCGTTTATTCTTAGTTCTATGGTTTGTAGATCTGTAACAATCATAAAAGTTTAAAGGATTATTTTTGCGACTTCACCGATACCAAGAGAAGCAGTGCATAGAATTGAAACTTACCCATGGGTTCCTTTATAACTTTGTAATAATCAGGAGCCTCGTTTGGATCCACAGGTTCCATGAAAGGCCAAGCACTCTTGTGACCCTGCGAAGCATAAGGATGATTGTTAATTTTCCATACAGTGAAACCTCGGATTTTTTAAATCAGTCGGGACTTTGCTGCCTCTCAAATTTTAATTTCTCCTTCAATCCCCACTTTTGATTGAGAGGTATAACTTTCGAGGTTTAACCGTATTTTACTTGGAACCGACCAAAGATACGTTTAAAATTTCCTTCTGACCTGTATCTGCTTTATCAGTTTCTTCAGAAGATCTAGATCCTTGGCGTTAAGGTTCTTCATGTTTGCGAAATTAACTGAAGAATTCCTCTGGCAATTGGGACAAACGTACTCGTCGATATTGTCAGCTTCAGATTGCAAAATACCAACGCAACGTCCATGGAACCAATCCTGGCACTTGTCGCAGCATATGTAAAACCTTAAAAGAAAGAGAAATCAAATGAACGTAACCTAAAAACACAGAGTATGTCCAAAGCATACAATTCCACGAGAACAATACTCACTGAGATTCATCGTAGGGTTGTTTGCAAAGACAGTAAAGTTCCTGGGTGTCTCGCGCGTGTCGGCACTCGGTGCAAACAAATTCCGACAAGGATTTGCTCATCTCTTCAGTAATGCCAACGCAATCACCATGGAACCAGTTGTTGCAGAGATCACACCCAACGTAAAACCTACGATCAAGTATACGAGTGTAAAGAAAAATGTCTGAGATAGCGCCAAGACAAATTGCACGAGATCAAACGATATTCCAGGTATGTTAAACGTACTTGGTCTCGTCGTAAGGCGTTCTGCAGAGACAGTAGAGCTTCTCCTTCTTGATACGGTTAGCAGCAACAGCAGATGACGCACCAGGTGGCGTTGTACTGTTACTCTGGGATCTATGTTTCTTTGGTCTACCGCCTCTGGTCGGTGGACTGACGTGTTGCGCAGCTTGAGCGTTGGCTTTACGTTTTGCACTCCCCACTTTAACCTCGTCCTGCTTGTGTCTCTCAGCCTTCGTCCTGGTGGCTAACTCGGCCGATAGGTCCTTCTGCGACGAAACGAAAGGATTAGCCTGTTTCACCGAGATCAACGTGGATCCCTACGACTTTGGTCCATTAAGTATTTTCATTCTGCACCAACCTGTATATCAATTTGCAGTTCCTTTTCCAGTAACGCTCTCTTCTTAAGTATGTCCTTCTTAAGGAGTTCCTTATGCCTAAATAGCAAAACTTGCATTCGCGAATGGACCTGCTGCTTTCTACGTTGCTCCTGCGTGTCCTTTATCTTTCCAGCTCGATTTTTCGGAGAGGATTCGGTATCCAGTGCTTCTGACAGTTTATGCACCCTGCGACAAACAGCGTAACAATATTTTAAGCCCAAATACCGGCTGAGCACTGACCTGGACGCACTGGACACTGCATTCATAGTGCTTAGCACGCGGAGCGATGATCAATCGGTCTGATTGAACATCTGGATAATTAAAAACGGATGGATAATAATAAAAGGATGAGATGACTGTGGTGATGAGTAAAATAAAATAGATAACAAGATGGTTAGTACTGTCAATAGATTTCTTGTTTTCCGTGTTATGGATAGGTTGTTATTCGGGGATGTTTAATTCACGACGGCAGCACGAAAGCAAATAAAACTTCATGTTAAAGATTAAAAAGACAAAGATCTGTTAAATTTTGAAATGTATATGCATGTTTAATGATATTGTCAACTGACGGTAAAAATTAAGTAGTGTAAACAGATAATCCTTCTTGGTAAAATGATTTAAAAGATTTAAAAAAACATATGTGTAAGAGGATAGAAAAAATGACTTAAGTTCGTAGATTAACAAGATCAAGACGAAAGAAAAAGAAATATTGTACAATTATCGCGTCGATTATTTTATTTTAACGTATTCACTCACTCTTGATCTCGTTTTCTCGTATAACGGGTGTCCCATCTAACTAGTCAAACACGGTTGTAACCACGGACTCACTAAAACTTCACGCGCTTAACAAAATTTGGATTCACTGAAAATTTCCTAATTCTAAGTCGAATCGAGATCTCCCGAATAGTGAGAAATCACAAGTGTTACTTTGTACAGACAAAAACACAACCCTATACGATTCCTTAGATGGGATACCCTGTATTCACACACAAGCATTCCACGCTATCTCGCTCACTCTCATTCATTCACGTTAATGTCGTCTAAATCAATTGCTTAATTATACTACTAGTCGAAATTCGTAATGAAAATTTGTTAGTTCACGATTGACGTCAATAGATCATCCTACGACATTCCCTTAAACAATAATGGGATAGTAAGTGAATAAGGAGGAAAAAAGGGGAAATAAGGGGTTAGATGTTACTATGGAGAACAATGAGATGTGAGTGTCTAGTAGAAAGTGCATAGTGCATTTCGTCTTTCTTACTTGGACAGATCTCGGTACTCTTGCTTAGGAACTGGCTTTTTCCTGGGGCTTTCGATCCAGTCGGTGTCCTTGTCGTTCACCGTCGAAAGGGTCGTGGTGGGCGTCGTTACCGATGGAATGTGCGAGGGTGCAGGCCTCTTGCGCGAAGGCGCACGTGGTGTCACCGTCATCGTCGGGGTGTTATGATGACCCTGGTGGCTGGCGATTGAACTCTCCAAACCTCCTGTTGCACCTGTTCCCGCTGTGGTTCCACCCTTCATTTGTTTCTCTTGATACCGTTGTAGCTGCAGAAGCTTCTCCTCTATCTCAGGATTCAGATTCTCTTGCTTAAGAGCATTCTTTATCGCTGCAACACGAACGATACAAAAGTTCAATAGCAGTTAGAAATATTTTCTTTACTTTTTTCTCTCCTAATTTCTTTTCTGTAATACGTACTTTGTTGTATGTAGTCCGGAGTCAGAATAAACTTATTGGACGACGATTGATTAGCATCTTGAGATGGTTGTTGACCATTGGCCATGCTAGTTCTCGGAGTGTCCGCAGCATCCGCAGTGCTACCGGGTCGTCCAACCTGTTGCACGACGACCTTCGGCTTCTCCGGTGTGCTTGCTGTCGCTGCTTGAGATTGAGATGGAATGGTACCTGAATCCATTTGAGATGCTGAAACAGAAAGGTCACATAGTAAATTCACATATATAAGAAGTCCACAACGAATTTTTATATTAGAAGTAGAAGGATTCTCACAAGTTAGCGGAGGCACTGTCGCAGATGGTGGCGACACCATAGGCTGTTGCGTCTGTTGCTTCGAAGTAGGAGCACTTGGTGTACCTGGAGTACTAGAAGTTTGATTGGTTTGTGCTTGCGGAGAATACGTTCCGGGCGCTGGTTGAACAGCTAGATATATTTTGGTAGGTCCCAAGACACCCTGCTTTCCGGTAGTCGCTTGGGCTTTCAGTAATTGCTGTTTTACTTGTTGCTGAACCATGGCTAGTTGCTGGGGAGTAAAGTCAGCACCCTGGAGGCCTTGAAGAACGATCCTAGGCCCTTGCGTCGTTTGAATAACCTGTGCCGTGACACACTTGATAACAGTGCCCGGAGGTTGACCTGCCAACAGTGACGCTTCGACGCTTCCAGGAGCTGGCGCCGCGGGTGTCGTATTCGTCACAGCTGGAGTGCTCGGTGTCGTGACGGTAGTTGTATTGGAAACGGCATTACTATTGGGTGTTTCTGCAGCCTGGGATACAGTAGGCGATCCTTGAGACGTTTGTGCCGTAGCTGCAACAACAGATGCATCCATATTGAAATTCAATGAATTCAATTAAATTTTATTATCAAAAACTTGTCTGCAAACCTGTTTGCGTTTTGGTAGGCGTCGCAGCATTCTTCACGATTATTCCACTGTTAGCTGAATTCAATTGTACAATTTGATTGCCCGTTGGTGTACTCCGTATCACAACCTGCTGGCCTCCTATGGTAGCCAGTTGGGCCTTACCGGAAGCCAACTGTTGAGCCAAGTTGACATTGTTCACTACTATCTGATTGGCATTTATTATCTGACCACCGGTTGTCATCACCTGTGTAAAATATAATCATTAAAATACCGTCAGTTCTCGTCGATCGCAACGCTTACTTCCGGTTAAAAAACGTAACGTACCTGAGCTCCCGACACGATCTGTCCAGTGTTCGCAACGACAATTGTATTCTTTTGAGGTTGAACACCCGTGGCATTAACGTTGACCATTGTACCCTTTCCTCTTTGTGTAGTTTGTACAACTTGCTGCTGAGCCTGTTGAGGTGTTTGAGCTTGATTTGTAGTAGTCTTCGTAGGTGTACTCTTAATGGGAGTCCCAGTGGCCGCTGTTACTGCCTTGCTTGCATTGGAAGTACCAGCTGTCTTAGCAGCACTCTGCGTTAGACAAGTCACAAAGTTACTACCAGTATTAGAAAGAATAACCCTATTTCTCTGAAAGCTCACCTGCGTTGTCGTTGTTCCCGTGGCTGTTGATGTCTGCTGGGTGGGGGTTGTTGCTATAGCCTGACCCGTGTTCAACACGTGAAGCTTTCCATCAGGCATTTGTACCAGTTGCTGACCAGGCATAAGACCGCGCACCTGCAACTTTCCATCTGGCCCTCGCAATATCTGCACTCTTTGCTGCACATGTTGAACGGGCGTGTTTCCGGTAGCTGATGAGACAAAAATTAAATGTTTACGAGCATTTTTTCTCACGTTGATCTCAACAAGCAAAGCAAAATATCCTCGAGTGATTTACCTGCCTGCCCAGGAACCTTGATAAGTGACTGTTGATTTTGCGACTGAGCCGTCTTTGGTAGAATGCTAGTCGGCCCGGAAACCACACGAGTCGTTCCGTCCGAAGCTAAATAATAACAATATATAAATATTTCATTAATTCTAAGATACTCGTGAACCTGCAAAAACTCAGTACTTACATTTCGTCATATAAATACGACGGGTACCCAAGAAAGTCTTATTCTGCGTGGGCGTAGTGAGTAGCGAGGTAAGCTGTGACTTTCCTTGACCAGCATTGGGACTGGCAGGTATAGCAACTTTCGAGACGACCTTCACAGTACCGTCTGTGATAAAAAAAATCGAATTGAAGAACGCGTTGTAAATGATCAATGCTCGATCATATAATTAGTAAAATAATGAATAGTAATACAACGAGGATAATACCTGGACCGGAATTCGCAGTGACTTTAACGAGCGTGCCGACTGTTGTTGGATTAGCAGGACTCTTGAGCGTCTCAAGAGCACGCTTTTGCTGATGAGCAGCTCGCTGTATGCGAAGCTGCTGTTCCATCTTCTCCTTAATTTCCTCGGGGGTGGCTTTGCCACTTACCAGCTGATCACCCAAACCCGTACCTGACCCTGTTCCTCTGTTACTACCCACCACGACATTCTGTGGCACGCCAGACCGACTCCTAGTAATAATCTGGGCATTAGCCTTCTCTAACCTAAAGGGGACACACACCAAGCGGAGGGTTAGTGTTACAGTGGTGTTAAGCAAGGATGGGACGGTTGTGTGAAAGTAGAGCCACATGGTACCAGGATCCCAACATCGTCAGAATCCAGACCATGAGATCGCCACAGTACGCGCCCCAAACTATTTGCCATAAAATACCTAGAATCTTAAAATGGATCTCTTCGAACGTTCATTACTCAACTGTCACATATTCATTGTATAAAAAGCAGACAGAAACATGTGAAGCAAATGTTACATCAGAGATCCAGATACAGTTTCATCATTGTCTGATAATGCACTGCTTACCTATCACCATATTGTTTTATCTCCCAGAGCTCAAGTTTGTCTTCGTCGACCCATTCCTCGGTCACCTGGGGCTCCGTGCTCTGGGGTGATTCAGGACGTTTTCTTTTTCTAAGACCACTTCGTATCGACGTCACCTCTGTTACGAATAACATTATAGTTGTTATACAAAGTCGAAAAATTCATTACGTTCTTGGTTCTTTTTTCACTTACCTCGGACTTGCTTTGGTAATTCCAGAGGGATGACTACTTTTCTTCGCATATATTGCGTCCTATCCATGAACTGGCCAACGTGTCTATGCTTCAGAATTTCTAAAGACATGATCTCCGTGTCTGTTGTTATTTGATGTTTACCATCAGAGGACAATGGTTTGGCAGCCATATCGTCCCAGCGTAGACAAGCCCATAAAATTCTCAATTGTATGGCTGCTGCGGCCAGAGACTTCAGACCCACAGTACGATATAACCAGCAAGTTTTAAATAATGGTCTGGGACACGGGTATGGCCATACTGACATGTTAGCCTAATGGAATAAATAGTAATTGTTTAGTAAAATGAAAAACTTCTTGGTCTTACTTGGGCACTAAATTTTAGTATGTAAAAAAAAAAAGTGAAACCTTGGCCATGTGATGGAATCCTTGCACTGGGCTGCGACCACCAACACGTGCTAGTTTTCGTAGCTCGTGCTGTGGTAAGAGTAATATACTGCGATGCTTAGTTTTAGTACAGAATGTAGAGCAGAGAGGATATTTCACTGGAGTTCGTTTTTTCCTTCGATCTGCTAAGGAAATGGCAACCTTCTTCAAGTAAACTTTGCCTTCACTTGATTTCGCTGAGTAAATTCTTTCTGTACCGTCGGCATTTAATTCCCGAGCCATTGTACTTCTCTGTACGGTTCGTCCACGTCGGTTAACGATCATTGTCTTGACGCCCGCATTACTGAGATTACTAGGAAGATAATAAGAATTGTAGGAAGAAAGAAAAGTCACGAAATGCGAAAGATTAGATCGATGTTAATTTGTTACTTACCTTGTTTTCACTTCTGAGGATACTGCAACGGAATTCTGTGACGTAATACTCTCCTTGGTACTTTGAACAACACCATCAACAGTTTTAGTAATTTGTTGAGTCGTTGTTACGCTAGTTGTCGTTACAACGTTACTGGTTGTAGTGACGACAGTTTCCACTTCCACAGGATTCACTTCACTGTCCAGATCCTGAAAAGTATCAAGCCGTAGTAGAATATTCTGGGTACGTTACCAGGAATCATATTGTTTAACATTTACTAACCGATGGAGATTCCAGTTTAATCCTCTTGGCAGGTTTCGTAGGTCCATCATCAGAATCCATAGTTTTATCAAGATTCACATTGGTAGCTTGAACTTCTTCGGTACAATGAGTAGCCAGTGCCACAGCTGATTCCAAATCCCTTCGAATAGCATCCTTTGCTTCGTCACCAGAATCAGCCTTCGAGCCAGCTTGTGAATTTTGAGAAATTGAACTGATCGCAGTCGAACATACATTGCCTGATGTTTGATTATTATTTAGTATGTTAGCTTTACGAATCAACGAGATCATTTCTCGCTTCAATCTGACTTTCTGTAGGCAAATAGGCGAGTAACAGGTAGATGTCAAACTTTGATTCCCCAAGGTGGTTTTTCCTGGTGTAGTCATGTTGCAATAACGAGAATAACAGCTACCGTTCTTTCCAAGACTTATTATATTTGCATATTGATTCCTCACTTGTTGGATACGCTTGCCAATGGCAATCAGCATTTCCTTTGCGGACGGAGAGATGCTTTTATTTATTTGCTTTCCAGAAAGAATATTTTGGAGGGACACGTCGGCACCGTCGGTATCGCTCTCTTCGTTAGTCTCTATGTCAACGTCAGTTTCGCCCTCAGGAATCTTTTGATTTCCAGATTGACTGACGACTTCTTTCGTTCTCTCTGACTGAATGAGTTTTCTCTGCTCGAGAACCTTAAGGTGAGTTCTTCGAGCGAGAAAATCATCTATTCTAGTCTTTCTTGCAATCTTCGGATAATGCAGTCGTCCCGGTGTGGTCAGAGCTTTAGTGATGTCAATTTCTTCGAAGCGTTCTATGGGAGGGAATACCTTCTCTATTTTCATTCCGGCTAATATCGACAGCTTCATCTTGGATTCCTTATTAGGTTCTGTTTTCGGTGTAGTTAATGTATCATCTGTATCTTTCTTCACTTCGACATTCTGTTCCATTTTAATGTTATCGGTATTGCACTCTTTCTTAATCTTGACATTTTCACTAAATTTACATGGCTGCTCTTCTTCAATTTCTTCCTTGATCCTCGCACTGGTGTCTATGATTTCCTTCTTTAAATCCTTTTTATCTTCCTTCTTCTCCACATCCTTAGTCCCACAATATTCCTGAATCAGGAAATCGTACGTAGGAGGATCCAGAGCCAGGATCTTAAGGCCTCCTTGATCTCTGATCTGAACCATAATTTTCTGCGGTCCTGCTCTCAGGCCCATTTTATTCATGTCAGCTACTTTGTATCTTCTACTAGCCGATACCCAGAGCCAACCCCACTGACCGTGTACTCTGTACTCCTCGCCTTTCTGCTTCCACACTTGATGCTTAAGACCCAGTGTGTACTTGACGAAGTTGTAGGTCAGACGATTTCTTTCTTCCTCGTCTTCCTTTTCCTTCTTCTCCTTCTTATCTAGTCTCTTCTTCTCTTCTCGTTCGAGTGCGGTTACTCGTTGAAGCTTAACGTGACCAAGTTGATCGTGCCAAACACTAGCAAAGACCACAGATTTTATGCAGGCCTGAAGTACGATGAGAGCACGCGCAAAGTCCCTAGGATTTACACAAGCTCCCACAGCAGTGGTCCAGGGTTTCCTTAGCAATGGCCAATTGGTGTGCATATAGGGTGCCTGGATGCTGCTTTCAAGCTGAAGGATAGTTTGGCGCAACGTGCTAACAAGAAGAGCACGAGTTCCCGTCAGGCTGCCGACCCATTTGAACTCCGAGGCCTGAGTCAGTGAGAATTTGTGAGACAAGTGCCTCTTCTTGTCGCGCTCCTCGTTCCTCTGAGCTTTGTTCAATGCTATGGCGTTGGTACTGTACTGATTCACATAGGACTTGTAGTTGTTGTCCATGCCCAGCTTAAAGAGATGAGTCCCGGATGCTATCTGGTGGGCCTTTTGGCGAGTGAGTCTGGTGCCATCGCCTTCTTCCTTAAGCGTCTTGTCCAGCTTCTCCAGTTCCTCCTTGGAGAGAATGGCCGTGGAGCGTCTTTTGAGGTCATCCATGTTGAAGGTACGTGGCTGTAGAGAACCTGTTTTGGACCTGGTTACGATTGTGTGTTTCTTGCCTAATAGAAAGCAAAGAATCACGATTGCAACGGGGGGAATAGTGTTAATGGTTAATTCGCTCTGGGGACTATAAATAACACTCACCATCCTTTCCAATTTTTGTGGTCCCTTCCTCGCCTTCCAGGAGGTCCTCTTCGACTTCCTCGGATGATGACACGGAGGTACTCGTTTTTGTGTTCTTCGTGGACAGGTCAGCGTTCGAGGCTGTCAACTCAGAGTCAACATTGTCTACCTCCATATTCTCTCCTGTCGACTCGGCTGTATTTTGACGGTCCGCCGTCTTTTCGGTTACCGATGGCTCCTCATTTTGACCAGAGACCGCTGCCAAACGTTCCTCCAGAGAATCCGTACCTTCGTGAATTCTTCTTACCATGTCTTCAGCTTCTTGACGTTCTTTCTCCTTCCTCTCTTCCTCCTCTCTTTCGCGCTTCTCTTGGCGTTCCTTCTGTGTCTTCTGTATGAGGGCTGCAACACGTAGACATACCGGTGTTCATAAATAGTGACAAAAAAGGTCTACGTCCAATTCAATACCGGCAATTGAGATTGTAGTGTAAAAAATTCTTAAATGATGAACATCAAATTACTTTACCATTTTCCACTTCCAGATAAGATTTCTTGTTTCCCTTGTATTGATTTGTTATCGATTCGGTAAGCTGCATTTGTCGGACGATCTCGTCCTTGTAATCGGATAATTCACGATATAACGCAACTTCCATCTCGTTACGATCCAAGCTGCTCATCAATTCTTCGAATTGCAAAGGCGTGCTGTAATACCATACGTCTCCATCTTCGCTCTCGCTGCAAAGTATCAAGATTCATTTAATAAAATTAGGATTTGAGAATCCGTTGTTTAATTTCGCATTGCAATTCATAATAGAAAACTCACACGAAGACTCTTCTCGCGAGGAACCAGTATTTACGTCCGTGACGATCAAATCCCAAGTGTTCTTGACGACAGAGCAGACCATTTTTCTCGACATCCGGTATGCAGTCGACGACACCAGTTATCTTGTGGGCCTTGCAGATGCTGCATTGCCAATCTTCGGTGGGTACGTCGACCAACGGTGGCTCGACGCATTCCAGATGGAATACTGCTGGACAGGTCTCACAGCACAACAAATCGCCAAGGCGATGACAAACTCTGCAGTGATCGTCGTAGTGCATATTTCCTGAAATTATTCCCGTGATCCCGTTGTTATTTTTCTTAGATGTTGAGTGATCATTATTAATAGTAAATTAAATTGTAATTTTAGACATAACAAGCATTAGGGATAAGAAGGTCACAAAAGAAAACCTATGAATAACAGATCAGCATGTCATCTGTTAGTACTGTCTTGCTGATCGAACATAAATGAATAATTGATCATGTGTGAATGAAGTCGATGTGTTAATGAAATATGATTAACAATCATACCTTCGTGTAGCAAGTCTTCTCGCACTGGATTGGTGATGAGAAACTGATCCGTGAGGAACTGTAGTACCTTTATTCGGTCTTCAATGGCCGTGAATGGGTATTCACAGGTTGATAATATATTCAGTATATTTTGATCAAAGCCCTTGTCACTTTCGACATAGGAGCGTAGAACCTCTGGCCAAGTCATTGGATCAACGAAATAAAGGCTAACATTGACAGAGTCCTTTTGATCCAATGGGCCAAAATGCGTTTGTTGGGAGTCTTCCTCACGTAAAAGGGCCTTGATAAGCATTATGTGTATCTCGGCAAGTAGATTAGTCTGATCCTCACAGACAAGAGCAGCACAAAAGTCTTCGAATCTGAATGAGGATAGCCGTACGAGCGTTCGAAAGTGCCTAAGTACCTCGTATACAGAGAGGGAAGGCATAACTAGTTCCTTAGGAACGAGTAAATCGTCAGAAGACTTTGGTAGGACAAGTGGAGGCAACTCGCGATTCTGTAGCCATAAGGGCTCTGGACTAGGAGGCCGCTGCTGACTGAGTAAAGTCTTGCGCGGTGTTCCACTGGTCGTACTGTAGCTAGAGAGTGAGAAATCACTGTCGCTGGATGGATCTGGCTCCTCGATGCTCTCAGAGGATTCAACATCACTGTGCAGTGGATCCTCCTCGACCTCGCTCTTTTCACTGGATTCATCTCCAAAATCAGAACCATAATGGTATTCGGAATCATGATAATCTACATTGGGATTATATCCACGGCGTTGGTAAGCACCAGAGGCTGAATGTCCACCCTTTCGTGAATGCTTATCTCTTCCACCGCGAGATTTACGACTGCGTGTGCTACGTCGGCTCTCCTCGCTCTCCACTGGAGAAGAGGCCCTGGAGGCGGTCGGAGTGCTGGGCTGCGAATTCGGTGTCTCGGAACCCTTGTTTTGCAAGTATTTTGGTTTCTTCATCAGATGGTACTGGAATTTTTTGGGCCTCTCCATGACGACCGACTTGGGAGGCCTCCCACGCCGCTTGGATCCTCGCCCCGTCATTGTTCCTCGCGCACTGTCAAACGAGTGGCACTTACTTAACACGTGGTTTGTGAAAACGCGCGCTTGTAAACAAATACAAATGACACCGCAGCAACGAAATGGAACCCATGTTTGTACTCTGATCTTTGCGCCATTTTTCGGCTACGGTCACGTGACCAAACACAATTTTCCCATGGTATTAATTCAGTAAGCGCGCCGCGAGGCTTATCCCCCTATGCAAACGTTCGACAATTGCTCTGGGCCAACAATAAAAAGACGATTTACTACCAATAACGACAAAACGAACTACAGAATAACTCAGTGACGCGAATGCGAGGGGACTTTACGATAGTGGGTACGTTCTGAGAGCGATGTTCCAATTGGCTCAACGGTACGCCGCCATGTCGGCCCTCGAGAGCATCTGCCCGGGATGCACGCGTGAACGCTTCGAAATTAGGGCGTTTTCGACCGTGTCGCAAAACACGACCTGTCGCACTTATTTGCACAATTCTCTTTTCGGTTTTACCAGTCGAAACGTAATAGCCAGGCTTTTCCACGTTCACGTGAAACGTATACAGGATCCAATCACGTTCACCGTAACTACCGACATTCCTGACACATCAACAGTAGGTGGCGGCATAGGCGTTTGAAAAAAACGCAATTCTAACCGCAGTTGCATGAAATACCTTTTGCGGCGGTTTATATCGACACGCGCGTTAATGACCTGACACTGATTTTCACGAATTTTCATTTATTTCAAGAATACGAATATTTTTAATAGGATTAACAGAAGACGTTAACCGTTACCCGCGAAACGGACGCAAATCTAACCTCAGTTCTAGAGAAGCTTCGGCAGAGGACACCACTTACTACCTCGCCGTTCATATCGTTCTCGAGCGAATTCATTAATATTTAATCCTCGTATGGATAGTCGATTACATTTTTTCAAAGGAATCGTCTCTCTAACGTAATTGTAAGTATTTATTGTCGAGAAAAGCGAATTTTCGTTGCAATTGTGCGACTCGTGCGCCATCTGCGCGCACAAAAAATGAACACAGAAAGAGGAAGACCGCCTGCCAGAATACGACGGAAATAAAATGGCGGATATGATGCACTTTTAGGGAGTCTTACAAAATCAAAAGATAATCACGCACCTCACGGTTAAACAATAAACCCTATTTTTATTTTAATAAAGACATTTGAGCACTCACAGCATTACCTTCGTTACATGCAACGTTATTTCATGTAATTTATGTTCTCAACTTGACAGCACCTCACTCCGCCATATTAGCTCGTGCAAAGTACATTTCGATGCTCTTTTTAACAATAGTTTTACCCTCCAGTTTTTGACGAAATTCAACGCAACAAAGTTACTCGAAAATTCTATAAACATTATAACTTGATGGAAAAGCCTTTTTTTATGTATAATTTATTTTGTTCAATTTGTCACTTGACAGCCCGCAGCGTCTTAGGCGCCACCTTTCCCCGGGAAAAGCTAACGGAAGCGGTTGTACAACACTAGTTTAAATTTCAGTGGCTGTACGAAGGTAACTCAATTTAATAATTCCAAGTAATTCCCATCGTTCGAAAAGCCTAGATCAAACAAAATGTCGAGTAGGCATACTCATGAAGTTTTTCGTGAATATTTCATCACGAGAGAATATGCATAATCGGAAGAAATTGGCAAGGATCTATTTATCTGCCGCCCTCTGTACCAAATGGCGCATCATAGGAGAAGCAGCGCAAGTATAACATGGCCGCCTAGCAAAAGCGAAAAATACGAAACGAAACGACCGCGTTGCGGACAGGGAGGGTATTGCGATACGCGAATATAATAGAGCTCATATAACGTTGCAAGTAAGAAAAATGAGCGGTGGTACGACGATGTACACGTTAAAACCAATTATTTCGCTGCCGAGTGAAACGAACCAGTCAAAAACGATGTACAGAATGAAAAATATTCATGGGGAACATCGTGAGCCTGACGACCATGCCAGCCACGAGAGCAAGATAGTGTCGGGAATCACAGAGCAGGTTATCAAGTTTTTGAAGGTTTTCGTCATTTCCATTATTCGCATTTACGTAGCCTAAGGTGCTTCGAATTCAGCGGATTCCTTGCGTACAACTCACCTCCCAGTAGACAGCCATGGCTAGCGGCGAGAATGTGTTTCCCGTAAGAATTAACGTGCACGGCTCCTCCCGAAATTTCCACAAGCACTAATCGCGATCGACCAGGAATATGGTACTGCGAGCTTGATCGATGTTAGCCACCCCTCCAATTTTTCAAATTGCATGATCAAAGTCGCACAAAACGCCTTGCAGGCACGTTATTATTTTATTCCAGATGGAGGAGGCAGGTAGTGACAAGTATAATAGAAGAATACCAAGCTTACAAAATTAGAACTGCACACAAAGCAGTAAAGTACTGTTGTATAACCAAACATATGTAAAATTAACCCAGAAGTAAACCCTTTATATCAGATGTGTTAAGACATTGTATATTGTTCATGCTCGCTGACAAGTCCAAAAAACAAGTTTTTCACTCATAGGATTTTTTTTCACAGTCAATTTTTAATATAGAATATTCTTGTACAACAGATATTAAGCCTTGATTTTATCTTATATTTAAATTGTTGTCCTATCAATGTATTTCAACTCTATGTTGAATTTGAGATGATCAAATCAATTTTTTAACATTTTACGAATAGCCTCTTGGTTCCCTGTCATGCATACTAAAAGAGCTGTCATTAATATAATTCTTGATTAAGATTTAATATTTATTGAGAGCACACGACTGACAATAATGTATGTTTCAGGATCCTCTGCCAGAAGTTGCAATTCTGGAGGCCAGACAGGAAAAGATCCTAGCACAACTTGCACAGCTTAAAGAACAAGTATCGAGTCTCTGTAATGTTCTAAAGGAATCTAGTCAAACAAAGCCTACTGTGGTCTCTGGCAGTGAGGTAACAACATATAAATTATTCCCTTTCAATCATAAAGTCTGATTCATTACGCTAAACTGCTCTATTTCATTTTTCAGGAGACCATTAGAGTATACATTGCAGTTAACGCAAATTCAACAAGACCTCCTTACTCTCTTGTTGCTCTCCAAAAAATTTGGACCCAAGCAGACTTGAGAATAACAACTCACGTTCATTCAACCGTAGTAGACGCAGTTCCGGAATTACCAATCTCTAGGAAGCGGAGCATTAGCAACATCATCATCAACACAGCACTCATATGGAAGAATGGTAAGAGAGCAACAAAATTAATTAGTTACATCATAGAAATCATAAAAGAACAACTTCTAATAGCCGTGACTATATCCTGATGTTTGCTAATTATTTTTAAACAGTACCAGAGTTGGAGCTTGTGCTTTCTCCAGTCAGAGGACATCCTTTACTGGGAGAGGTCAATTTGCTCAGGTATCTCAGTAGATTAATTACAATTTACAATTACGAGAATATCGACTGTCCCGGTGAAATCGATGCGATACTCGATCTCTGTCATCGTCTTCCTTACGAGAACTCATCGAAAGAGAAGCAAGCTATTTTGTTCGAGTTTAGTAAGAAATTAGGAAAAGATAAATGGTTCCTTGGCTTTACGGATACGAGTATCGCCGATGTCGCTGTATGGTCCACCATTAAGCAAATTAATTTCGGCAAATTGCCATTGAATTTGACTGAATGGTTCGCAAGATGCGACAAGGTCTTCCTTAGTACTTGAAATGTTCATTATCTAAACATTGATTTTGTACGAATGAAAATAAAATAAAAAAAAATCCAATTGACACAGTCTACAATGTTTCAAGAAATCAAGAACTTATCCAATATAAAACATCGTCATTATAAATGCATAAATTTTTATTAAAAGGGTAACATACGTCTAAAACAGAATTCGCGGTACAAATGCATGATAAGTCGATCAAAGTTTCTCCTTTCGCAAGATTATATTAATATTTAATTACAAAAGTAAAAGGTCGTGATATAAATAATGGAAAAATTTGAACTAAAAAAATTTGTTGGCAGTGTTTTCGAGACACTTTCGTGTTTCCCGTATTTTGTGTGTGTATACATATATATATATATATAATCTCATATATATATATACTATATTCTTATCAATTATAGCTCTTTATTACAACACCGGACGGTGATTTTCATTGAACCTCGCTAAAATTATAAGCAGTCAAAAGCTACGCTGCCACTTGGTGATGCGAACCTGGAACACGATTCGACCCTCGAAAACAATGGAAGTTTAAAAAATGAAAAAAAAAAATAGAAAGCAAATAATAAGACTCGTAGGCGAGGCCGCTTAGTTTCCACAGTTCTCCAAGTATCCAACGTCCTCGTACAAGATCGACATTAAACATTACACAGTATAATTATGATAAGTAATTAAATCAGCCTTTTTCTATTATCCATTGATTGGTCCTAGAGAGAACGTTTATCGTTAAAAGTAACTCTATAAGAAATGCAAAATAAGATCGTCCAATACAGCTGCCAGGGATTCGTTTCCCTCGTTATCACTAAACTCATGCACAGGAGAGTAGTACTAGAATGATTTAGTTCACGAATGTCCATTTATAATAGAATTAGCGCCGCTACTTGAGAATCTCTTAATTTTACCTGAAATAGATAATCTCGGACGCGACGACAATCAAATGCCGAATGACTATTTACAAGAGCTTAACGGGATACCTCAGAAATTCCTGAAGCAGATTCGTTTCGCGTTAATAGGGTCTGGCGCGTGAACCTAACTTTTACTATATTAATCCTATAAACCTTTTGATCGTTTGACTTTCACCCAGCGATTAAGAGGCCGACTTTCTTCAGGGGCCTCCACAAACGTCGAAAATATTTTTAAATCAAGAAACTTTACATAGACTTTTTTAAAAGTCCGTCATATAATTTAGTCGTGATTATTCTTGGTGATTTTTCCTTTATTCCTTTTTCTATAGTCCAATAGGAAAATCGATATGACGTGGGATGATTAGAAGTTCTCTAGGATTAGACACAGACATACTGTCCCTTAATAGTAAAGTCCTTAGAGTGAAAGACGTATTGATTAGGTCGTATAAGTATGTATGCATATAGGGTGTTTTCTGTGGAATCAAATAGCAATGGGAAGCAGTGTGATTTGAAACCGCGACACGGTGTAGTTAACGAAGAATTCACTGTGATTGTAATGAGAGAAATATTTTTGGAGAAAGAAAAAAGGTTTTACGGTTAAAAAATTTCTATCACACCTATGTCTTCGTGTTTTCCAGAAACAATCGCACCATATTGTTAGCATTTTATGATTCGTTTATGACTATAATTATTATGCAATGAACAGAAGGATGTTCCTTGAAAACATAAGAGTGCCAGTAATTTGAATAAACTAAATGAAATACTGTATAAGAATTGTCGATAAACCCTGTAAAACCATGATTGATTTCTTTGTGACAAATGGAAGAAGTGCCACGAGACCTCCTTCGGAGTGTGTCATGTAAAATGACGGATCGTCGGATTAGAGTGACGACGTAATAAATAAAGCATCGTAGTATCAAAAAGTGTGGACATAAAAGAAAAAAAAAAATAGAAGAAAACCACAAGAATCTTGTATACTTTCGAAAATGTTTAGGAAGCTGGCACACACGAGGCTGCCAAGTAAAATAATAATCATCATCAACATCATTTTTTGGTGATTTCTAATGGGAACAACCGTAGCTCGCATCATCGATTTAAAAGTAATGCGCTGACCATCTCGTTCCTATAAAAAAGACTATCTAATATTTTTGCACCTAGATACTATTTGCGGTAGCGACTTGAGCTCGTTGCTTATAAATCCGACGGTTGTCTAATATAATTATAAATAAAATATATGTAACAATATATCACAATACGAATATGACGTGAGCCTTAAGATCATCAGAGCTTTAGCTTTTGCTTCCAACGAAGGAAGAAAAGCCAAGTAACATCTTTCTATTCTGGCGAGAACGCTCGAATGTTCCTCCGCTTGTCATAGTCACTTCCTTTCTTTCAGTTCGCGTTATCCTTATCAGTACTCACGGTTCACTTAGGCACGCACTATCTGATAACTCTTTGGAGTCGGATGAGGAATCATACGAAAGACGAGAAGCCTGGTAGAGGCGCTCTGGACCTTGCCATGTTGTTCATGATGATCTGTCCGCCATTTAAACTCACAACGGCGCTGCCTTCCGGTTCGGAGTCTGTGTAGGATGAATAATTCCTTACAGGCTTCTGACGCTTCCAGGATTGTCTCAGGGAGTCATTCACGTTTGCGTAATGATTGACGAAGGAATGAGGATCCGATTGGACGCTCTCGTTTTCACTCTCCGATCCCTGCATGGGGCAAGAGAAGAAAAATAATTATTTACACAACTTATAGATGACTTTGAATTTACTGTATGTTACAAAACGTTGGGCTACCTGTGAATCGGTCGAACTAATCTCAGAAGGCTTCTCGGTCACGCTACTGTCATCAGGATTCTCATCGTAACCCTTCAGACTCTCTTCGTCGCTGTGATATGCAACGGATGCTGGAGATGGTCTTGGTGGAGACTTCCCAAGCATCGTCGGAGGTGGTGGATGCATTGATTTACGTGCCAGGGTTCCTCTCTTTCCCAATGTACCACAAGCACTCCCAATATTCATAGTACCTCCACCGGTTTGACGGGATCTATACAATTCTAAATCAGACTCCTGCCTGTCGTCTATATCCATTGCCATTGATTCCTCCAGAGTCTTCTGTGCCTCCTCTGCAAAACGATTGATCCATCATTACAATTTATCATTACATTCATATCTCAATCATTGCTGACACTTACGTTTATATTTGTAACTTTTACTCTTCACGCAGAGTATGGCTATGACCATTATAATAATTATGACGGATGCTGCAGCAAGTGCAACCATGAACCACGTTTGCCTATAAAATGGTCTGTGTTGCAAGTATCCATATTCGAGGTACAACTTTGACGGTGTGAGTATCTGTGAGAAAATAACTATTTTTAATAACTAATAACAACAAAATAAATCATCAACTTACCGCCTCGTTCGAATAAGCTGGGTAACTTATTCCATATCGATTGTACGATATCACACGGAACAGGTATGAAGTTGATGGCAATAAATTTTGATAAGATACAGTATACTCGTTTAGAGGTCCATTGCTGCTCCGTACAATAGTTTGCCATCGGGTGTCATCTATAATCGAAATAATTACATTGTCATAGGTGTCGGGCGATATGAATCTTAATCAAATCCCAGAAATGGAGAATGGAGAGTTACTACTGGTTCATCTATAAGATGGAAGACGCTAATCGCTACGAGGATTTACACACAAAACCCACTCGACATAATTATCCTCGTACGGTGTGACAGTTTTCACAAGCAACGACACTAAATTTTCTGTTAAACCAGACTGAGAGTCACGATGGGATGATTCGCATGATGAACGGCATTAATGTCAGCGTTTAACGTGAACGAGGCTGTCCCGTTATTCAGCATTAGAATGGCGAAGACGATGGTTGGATTAATGAGACAACGGACGGTGGTTAATAATGTGTATCAGGCTGAGACATTGGGATTTTTGCGGGTTTGCTAATTGATCTTTATGTAATTAGCTGGGAGAGAATTACAAGACGCGTCGTGCTGGAGAATTGTCATGCAATCAAATATGCAAAATGCTATCCTCTGCTAATAAATTGTTAATCAGACCCGAAAAAGGCAATTGGTTTGCTTCTTTATTATGTTTTTTAATTTATGATATGCATTGCATAAGTGATTGATCACCCGGGGTTTATGTATATATATTATATGCAGTATTATCTAAATGCGACAAACTGACGATCAGCAATTTTTAGGTGTATTGACACTTACAATGCTGCCAATCTTCCATGGCTGTTTCGTTATATGAAAAAACAATATTAGTGTTAATATTGAATAAAAAAATTATCAGTAACCTAACCGTGGTATGAATATAAATTATAGAGTGAGTTGTGAAGTTTAATAAGAAACAATAATTCCTATGTATGTTTGATGATAACTACAACTTTTTTATCTTCTTAGGATCACTCGTTGTCGAGCTTGTAGATTATTTGTTTCTTACCTTTTCTCCTGGTCTCTATATAGTATCCTAAAATGGGTCCTTTTCCTGACGGTCCATTGGTCCATTGTAAATCCACGCTGGATACAGTTTTCGTCAGAGCAAGATCAGTGGGTGCCACTGGCGAACCTTCCTGGGGTCCGGTAGTGACGTTACCGGAAGTTGGTGGTCCGAAATCTATTGTCTGTGCGCGAACAGTGAAAGTGTACGTGACTTCCTCCTCCAGTGGTTGAATAAGCAGACTAGTTTCCGTGACTTTCTGCTTGACTTGCTTGCTGAAGCCTTTGTAGAGAGAAATGGGAAAGATTTCATGAGACCAGATTGCAAGTTAATAATACTGAAAGTTTGTCTGATAATATTTTCAAACGTACGATCGTTCTGCTCTGCAGTCTCGTAAGCTACAATGTATCCTACTATGTCGCCGTTTCGCATTTTTGGTGGCTCCCAGGAGACGCGCATGCTGGTCATTGTTATTTCCGTAAATTGTAGATTGTACGGTGGCCCAGGTATGTCCTGCTTCGTTCTTACAGTTATTGGGGGTGATCGTGGTCCGTCGCCAGCAGGATTGAATGCCAGGACTTGAATTCGATACTGTGTGTACTTGTCCAGGAAGACCAGACTGTGGGTCAGATAGGAGGCAGGTACAACTTCTATTTCTTCTTCCTGTTTCTTTTCTAATTCTTGTGGGGAGTCCGTGACGAGATAGAAAATCTGTTCAAGAAGATTAAAGCTTTAGTTTTTCGTTATAACGTGACAATAGGAAGCACCTACCTTATATCCTAGTAGGTCGCCATTTTGCATATTGGGTTGTGGCGGCTTCCAGCGTAAATTAACTTCAGTCGATGAAATAGACTCTGCTTTTACGTGCTGGGGCTCTCCCGTAGGGACAGCTTCTCCAACGTAAACCGTAACTGGAGGACATGGTGGACCTTCGCCTTCGGAATTGAATGGCAGAACCACGATCTCGTAGTTCCTGTCCTCCGTCAAGTCACTTAGTACCATTTTAGTTTCCTAAGATAAAAAAGGGAAGGTTATTATATCCTCTGCTGTTTATGAATTTAGAATTATTTTTTAAGTTTTTACAGTGATTCCCATTATCTCTTCTTTGGGCGTGGCTTGAAGTGCCGTTGGGAAGTCAGAAACTGGTTGATAGACAACTCGGTATCCTCCAGTCTTGTGATCTCCACTCCAATAGGTCTCGTCTATCATGTTCCAGTGAACTTCGACACTGGACGTCGTTATCGGTACAACTTTCAGTCCGGTGACCCCGCGCGATGGGGCTGTAGTAAAAATATAATTATTTTTATGTACTTTATGTCTGGTTATTTGTAAAAGATGTATGAGTGACGTACCAGCAGGTAGGGTCTGAACTTGAATAGACTCAGCACTCCATGCGGATGGACCTATGTCATTTGTAGCCTGAATGCGAAATTGATAAAGTGTAAAAGGTTTGAGGTTGTTTGCTGTGTATGACGTTACAGAAGGATCCACGCGTTCTGGGATAGTTTGGAAAGGTCCTGAATTCTCAGATTGTTGGACAGTGTAGTATCTGTTGAAAAAAAGAATCCATCAGGTTATTATTACACTAGTGGTATAATCTTAGAGAGAAAAAGAAAGTGATGAATTACCTTAACGGAGCAAAGCCATCTCTTCCAGGTGTCCAACTGAATGTAATCTGTCTGCTTTGCACCTGAGATCTACTGACTTGTGGGACCGAAGGAGGTTGTGGACGTTCTCTATTGTTAGTAGTCAGTACGAGTGCATAAGCAGTCTTTCCCCATCCTAATCTTGTTTGCGCAGTCACAGAAAACATGTAGTATTTCTCAGACTCGAGTCCAGTGGCCCTGAAGAAGAAAGAGAATTTTTTAACTCGAAGTACCAAACTGAAATATACTTTTGAACTACGGTCATACCTAAATGTTCTGTCGGATGCTGGAAACTCTTTAGCGAACTGAAGATCTTGACTGCTATTCAAGTAAAACATTACTTTGTATGCTAGGATTTCACCATTTGGATCCTCTGGTGTGTCCCAGATGATGCGTGCAGTAGAGAAACTCACATCAGGAAATGATACATTCGAGGGTGGTCCAGGAGCTGCAATTTGCATTTCATTTGAACAATTCACTCTATCTTACTGATATACACTCTTTATTTTTATACTAACCATCCTCAAAGGTCTGAACTCTAACAGGAGGTGTGCTCAAGGCTCCATCACCAAGTCTCGTATATGCCAGTACTTGTATATGATACTGCACGAACTTCCGTAATTCCGTGAGAGTAGTGGTGAACGTAGTGTTACTAGGAATATTTTTATATTGAAATGGTGATCTACTGTTCGCACCATAATAAACCTTGAAACCTTCAATCTGTCCATTTTGATGTTCTATCGGTACGTCTCCCCACTTTACCAATATCGTGGTAGATGACGTTGCGTTGGCTTCGACGTTGACCGGTCCAAAAGACGGTACTGATATAAGTGAAGCAACGTTATAACCAATTTCTTTTAGTATTTATAAATAGATACAGCAAAAAAGTAGATCATAACCAACCAGATTCTCGAGTCCTTTCAATGGCCTTAGGACTCGAAGCAGAGAAGCCAACGTCATTGTAAGCCTGCATAACTATTTCATAAAGTGCAAATTCCTCCATATTTTCAAGAACGTAAGAGTTGGCGGTGTGATCCTCGATACTTATACTCTTTGACTTGTTAGTTCGTAACTCTTTGTATGATATATTGTAACCCCTTGGATTTCCATACCACTCGACCTGCTGTAACGGCTGGGAAGTTAAAAAGTTTAAAAATTATTCATATCCTATCTCCCCGCAAAGATGGAACCATTAAAAATGCAATACTTTTTAAAATGGAAACTTACGATCCACCTAACGCGAAGTTCAGTCGCGCTCATCGCCCTGACTGTTACGTTCCGTGGAGGATGAGATGGGGATGCTTGGATAGTTTGAAACTCCTTCGTGGGTTCAGAAGGTTCTGATGCACCTACTACGTTGTTAGCTATCAGTCTTAATTTATATTGCATGAAGGGTGTCAGTCCTGTTATCGTTATAGTACTGGCATCCGGATCAGAGACTTCGTACACCGTGTACCAAGTGGTATTGCGCGTAGTTTGAGCTTGGACGGTCCATTTAATAATCGAAGAATTCCCATCGAACCCAGGAGTAAATTGAAGGACCACAGAGAAAGCCTCTATATTCGACAAAGCTAGTTTTGTTGGGGGTTCTGGCAAAACAGGCTCTACGCCCGACTGTATGGTAGCCACCCTGGGCTTACCTGGACCCATGGACGTCCAAGCTACTACCTCAAACCTATAGTGCGTTGTAGCCTAAGCAAAGTAAAGAAAGTAGGTATACATTGATAATAAAATTTCATATTTTTCAAATTTTACTTCATGTCTTTTTCCAACCTACCTGAAGATGTTCGACTTTGGTCGACAAGGTGTCAGCAGTAAGATTCTGTACCTTGAGGGAGTCGGGTGTATCCTTTATCATATACTTTAATTGATAAAACCTCAGGATCCCATTTATCTCACTAGGTGGACTCCACTTAACAGTAAGCTCTCTATCGCTTATGTCGCCGAACTGAAGATTCTCGACCTCACTGGGAACTGCATGAGTAAGGTCCAGTGAAACGTTACTTTCAGACAAAGTTTTATAGACTATTTTATTTCTCTTATCTATTACACGTACCATCCTCACTAGTCTGCACTTCCACAGGTGTGCTTTTCTCACCGTCGCCCGGATCCGTGAAGCACAGTACAGTGATATTGTAGAGCGTATATTTTTTTAGCCCACCTATCACAGCACTCTGCTCTGCCAGAGGATCAAAAAGACTTGGCGGCACCGACGTTGATTTATATTCATTCTCTTCACTGAAATTACCACCTGTCCATGCTTGTAGCTTGTATCCTTGATTTATACCATTTATCTTTTGTGGATTTGGTGGCTTCCACCATACTCTTATGGCTGTAGAATTCACAGCCTTAACTCGTAAATTTGTAGGGGGTGCTTCGGGTACTGAAAGTATTGTAGAGAAAAGAAAAATAAGCGATTGTACAGAAAGAATTTGAATACGTAAAAGAACATAATTGACTATTACTTACCACCCTCCTTAGTTTTGATTTTTAAACCTTCCGTAAAGACTCCAACGCCTTTATCGTTATAGGCCGCTATCTGAACAATGTAATCTTTCCAAGTGATAAGATCAGTTATGAGATAATTTCTCTGGGCCTCGTTTGTTATATTTTGACTGGTCCATGGATTTTCTAAATACCCATACAATCTGTATCGTAGAATATAACCTAGTATGTGACCGTTACGATGTTCCTCCAACGGAAGTTGCCATTGGGTTATTATTTCCGATGATGACCTTGCAGACCCAACAAAACCAAGAGGCGGTCCGGATGGAGCTAAATATGAATATTCCACGTTAAGAAAAAGAAAAGGCAATTATTCTATTATAAAAGTTTCATAGTCCAAATGAAATCACGTACGTTCCTGAGGTAGGATCACCACGTTACTAGGATCCGAATGTGGACCTTCGCCCACGCTGTTCTCAGCACTAACTCGAAATTGATAGGCAGCTGCGGCTTTCAAATTGTTCAACAACACCCATCGACTTTGCGCCGATACGTTACTGTATTCGGTAACCCAGTTTAACAGAGGATCCGGTATAGGTCCTGGAAAGATTCTTAGATCAGTATTCCGTGGAGCAACGAAGTTTTGAAATATCCAACCAAACTTACCAAGCTCAGGGACTTCTCGTCTCTGTACAATAAATTTTATCGTTGGGGAATTCCCGTCAAAACCAGGTACCCAACTGACGTTTATAGTCCTCGCTGATATTCCTTCAACCCTGACGGCCATCACGTTTATCGGAGCAAACGGAAGTTCTATCACGCTCAGTCGCGCAGTGCGCGTTTCATTTCCACCTGGTGAAACTACGGAACAGGTGTACTCGCCCACGTCCGACGCCCGGACGGCTGCTATTTCTAAAGCTCCGTCGTTATGCATCTTCACTCTTGGACTTGCTCTGGTATTGATCACTCTAAAAGAAACATTAATAGAGTTTAGGGTCAAATTTGGAAAAGCTTTTTTTTTTTAATTTTTCATTACTTACTGTGCATTATGGAACCAGGCGATGTCAAAAGGTACGGTAGGGTCACTCGATACTCTACATTGTAATTCTGCAGTAAGTCCTAATAATACTGATATGTCTGAAGGAGGTTGAACGATTTGAGTACGTACTGTAATTTAATAAATTGTTACGTCTTAATCAATTCTTCAAGATTTTTCTAGCAGCGCTTACTATACGAATTATAATTACCAAGTACACTAAGGTAAGCAGATCCATTAACGGAACCAGCTTCGTTGGCTCTAATGCAAGTGTATTTTCCTGCATCGTTTGGTTTTACAGCTGCAACCAGTAAGTCGCCATTTTCTACAAGTTGGACTCTGCCAGCTACCTCAACTGGAATTGTATCTAGAATTAACAGAAAATAATTAGAGATTTAATAAAATCCAGCTCAGCAAAGGTATAATTATTATCATCCTTCGATTAGTTGTCAGTACCATTGTAGATCCATGTAATGTTTGGGACCGGTGCTGCTATTGCTCTACAAGTTATATTAGCATCCTGGCCATCTAAGACAGTCAGATTCTTTGGTCCATACTCCATTACTGGTATTGATGCTATAAAATACAAAATTATTCTTAGTTGTTGGGTACCAAATAATATTTGAAATAGCATGCAGCGTACCCTTGTAATCATCTAAATTTATCCATAATATACTTTTGTATACCCAATCCCAACTTTCGAGAGTATTATTTTGTTTGTAATTACTCTGGAAGTACTATGGTATATAAATTTATAAAATATGGATACTATACTTGTCTTCGTAATATCCCCTTTGTACAGGTGTCACAAATTCATATGTACATCTATTAAATTATATAGCTATGCAATAACATTAATACAAGTTTTCTATATCTATCAATCGTGACATTCGTACATTGTTTTCTGCGTGTATTTTGGTGCCATTAAGTAAAATTAGATATTTGGTTAAGTAAAAAAAAAAAAGTCATGGTGATCACGCACGAATATAATTTGTACATGATTTGCCCTGCGATAGTAAAAGTAATGAAATTGATGTTTGGCATGCGTTGGTACATATCGTGATAGGAATATCGAAACAAAAATCAGTCGGGTGCTTTAAAAAAAATAAACACAGTAAACCAGAGGATGCAAAATAAAATTATTAAAAAAGAAATCGCAATCATTTATTCTCTGATGCATTGCGTACGTAATAAAAAAAAAAATAATGCAATCAACTTCCTACGCAAACTTTAACTAACTAAACAAAACCACAATATTGTCGACTAGTTGACTAATTAAAAAAAAAAAAAACAATTGCAACAATCGCACGAAATTCTCGAGCACTACGAGATCAAATAATAATGGAACGATACTGTCTAGTAATACTGTTTAAAAAAATAGATAAAGATAACAATGCTAAGCAAAGAGAAATAACAAACGTGGCGAACTCTGTGTTCTCGTCAAGCAAGTGCCTAGAAAAAGACTAGAGGTGTGATGCGCCTGCTACACGCTACAGTATACAAATTTTAGCGCCATTATGGCATTTTTTTCTTACTGTCTGGATATTGAGAGAACTTAAAGCGCCGTTCAGACTGGCGAACCCTGACTACATTATAGCCAGCTGCCCAGCGGGCCACTCTGTTCCTGATACCGGTTCCCATTCCCTCTGTCCCCATAAAAACACATCAATGTACATGTATGTATAACGTACTGAGTGCATTTGGTATGTTTCCTCATGAATTAAAGAACACGGTCCCAATAGTCATTGCACATTAAAGGATGGTCAGGACCTGGTGGATACTCACTTTTGGCTTTGAGCCACGTGTAGCTCGACGCTTCACCAGCATCATTAGAGGCAAGACATTGGAACATGCCTGAGTCGTCCATACTTAATTTTTTAATTACCAAAGACCCATCTTCCTCCATCTGATACCTAAAGTTGGCAAGGGAACAAAACAAAATATAACGGTGACCATCCACGACACCTTATCTAGATCCTACCTTGTTCCCAGTAGATGATCTACAGGTTCAGCATTACGAAACCAGCTTATCTTTGGCGACGGAACACCGAAGACGTCGCAAGACAGAGTCACTGTGGATCCATACTCGCTAAGAGTTTCACGTTTCAATTCAGTCCTAAACCATGGCTTCTCTGTAAAAGCAATGCAACAAAGGCATCAAAGTAGGTATGAAGAGAAACGAAGGCAGACAGACTGAGCAGTGGGTGGACAGGAATGAAATAATCGGATTTACCATGCACAACCACATTAGCGCTGGCATTAACCGTGGGATAACCACCGCTGCGTAAGTCCACTTCACATGCGTACACTCCGGTGTAAGTTAAATTCGCTGAGATCAGTACCAGGGTCCTGTTCCAGGGATCATTGAAGCTGAAGGATATCCTGGAGGTTTCAATGGGCATACCATCCTTGGTCCAGAGTGTCCTAAGCTCGTGTAGAGACCTAGAGAAGAGAGTAAAGAGATAAAATAAAATATTGATCAGTACATCAAATTCCTCTTATGTCTAAATTGCATTACCTGGCATTGGCGATACAATGCAAATAAGTGACTTGTTGATCCTTGACGATCACCGTGTCCTGTGGCCTTACAATGATGGTAGGTGCTACCTCTCTGTTGGGATCACCGGTCACTTGTAATTTGAAGAACGGACTGTTCTCTTCCTTACCAAGTTGAGTATTGATGGCTCTAGCCCTGAATAAAGCAAAAGGCTTGAATTACCCCTGTCGAAATAATAATCGATCGCGGTCTGATTTTTATAGACACTAACCTATAAGATCCTTGATCGCTCTCAGAAACGTCAAGTATAAGAAGCGTGTGCTGAGTGGTAGCATATTTAATATTGTAATCAAGAGTTCCATTGGACGTGGACCATGTGACTTCAGGTGCGGGATGACTCTCGATCTCGGGAAGTTCGAGGATTGCAGCCTCACCAGCCTCCACAGTGACTGGCCTCTCGGTAAGGTCCTCGAACACGCCCATGTCTAAGAAGTAAAAAATAGGAATAAAAATCTAGACTGAAAAATATGGGAAAACTTCATTTTAGCGACACGCTAGTCTCTTGGTGACGGAGATAAATAAAAGTAAAAAAAAGAAATAAATAATAAATAAGTAAGGCTCCTCTTACACGCCACGGAGAACATTATTCTCTCGCTAAAGATGGAACCAACGTCGTTCGTAGCTACGCAGTAATACACGCCCGCATCCTGTCTGCGCGTACTTTGAATACGAAAGTAATGTTCTGAAGTAAGCTCGTCGCTGAGGGGGACTCCGTCTTTGAACCACCTGTATTTTGGTTGTGGATAACCTGTAAATGAAGATTTTCATTGGTTAGGATTCTAATCGTCTGCCGATAGCAGACAGACAATTTTGTCATTGTTAAAAAGGAATTCATTGAACCCAGTTTGTTCTCCCATAAGGTATACAGTACGTATAACATATTCACCCTTGGTGCTATCTAATGCTATTACTACAGGGTCACGCTATCAAGTTACGAAGTACCAGGCAGCAGGGATAGGGCTTCATCTGGCCACCACCTCATCCGTCGGCCATACGATATTTCGCAGGAACAATGAAGCAAGACCAGAAGCGTGCGAGTCGCGATGCGTATGCATCACGAAATTTTTCATATTAAACCCAGAACCTTTGTTGATCTTATTTTTTTAAAATAAACTTTAACTATAACTTACCTATCGCCTGACATTGCAGGAATTTCGTTCGGCCTTCGCTGAGGATATTACCGCTACTCGAGGGCTGGGTGCTGAAGCGTGGCCCTTGAAGTGGTTCTGGTGGAAAAGAAAATAATCAGTGAACCCATTGCTTCCATATGCCTAAAGTAGGATATCTAATGCATAAGGCTTTTCGTATCATCATAATTTCTCATCCGAATGCGTTCCAATATCGTAGAGATTGTCTTGCACCATTGGCAATTCTAATACCGGTAGACGATATCGAGAAATTTGCATTGTACGTTACGGCATCGTATTGTATGAGAATATGCATATATTTTACAATAAGAAAAAATCGGAGTACAAGATCCTAGAAGATTTACTGGCTTATGTTTCCTTAAGATTTCAAGGGAACGAACTTTCTGGTCATCCCAAGAATGTTCAAAGGATGCCACCGGGTAGTCATGATATTCCAATATGTGGCCATATGTGTACATACGTACATGGAACACGTGTATGCACGTGCTCCGGGATCCGGCTGTTCGCATTCTTTTCATCTTCCACTGGAGCGGGCAGCCGTTCGATGGGAATGACTAATATGCCGTGGAAGGCGTACCTGGGACTAGTACGAAGAAGACTAAAGGCCTTAATAAATTACTAAAGTAGCGTCGTCCTCGTAGTCAGAGGTTGTAAATAAAAAAATAAAGATAACAGACAAAACTACCTAGAAGGAGAATCCGTCGTAAAGGATTCGACGACCTCCAGACAATATAGACCCTCTGGAAGAGGGTTCGCTTCGTTTCTCCCTCCCTTGCTCTTCTGGCTAAAGTAAAGAGAGCCAGCCGACATGTTTAGACGCCTTATAAACGGCGCCATAATATTTCGAAAAGTTAAGAGGCGAGCTCCGTCGATAAACAAACCATAGCGGCGCTGCTGCGACTCTGCAGCACCGACCGTCTCGAACATTGAATTCCTTTATCGATCGTAATTCTAATCTGAGAGCGCATCGTTTGCACGTGTCACGCAACGCCGCGAGGTAGAAACAACCTGTAGGAAACTCAATCCGCCAAGGGAACCAAGGAAGAAATTACGGGGCTGAACAAAATGGTGAAAAGATAAAAATATGAAACAGTTTTGAGAATGGCGAATCTGCTTGATCTAGTTCCTCGTGACAATGGAGTCACGCTCATGCATCCGTAAGGTATAAAGGAGGGCCTTTTTCATTGTCATGCCTTCCTACTCTACCGTCCTGTGCATAAGGTAGGAATACATAGGTTATGTATTGTAGGGAAGAACGTAGGAAAAAAACTAAGGGCGTTTATCTTTCAAGCAGAAGCACTGAGTATCCCTTTTGGCATCAGTATTCTCATTAACAGCCCCATCCACTTGAAAGCAATGCCCTGGAGAGGGTTAATAAGTGGAATATGTAGGGTATGCATACACGTGGTATTGCTCAAACCTGCAGAGTGCGCAGCAAAACTTCATCCGAAAATCGATAGTCTAAACGGTACTTGAGGTTAATGCAACTGATGTTATGTGACAAGGGACGTCTTGGCAATGCTCGAAAGGCCGCTGTTTTGCGTCTCTCTCACCTCACCTTTTGCGTTTTGTCGCTCGACCCGACTTCCTTCCTTTCCTGAGTTTTTTCCCCCTAATCCTGTATGCGGTAGCCGCAGGACTGTGGGGTTTTTCTTCAATAAAAAAAAAGCCATGGTCCTCCATTGGGCCTAAGAAGACAGGACTCTTCTCTTTTACAGAAACGGAAAGAGGGAGGGAAAGCACAGTGTCGTATCACCTCAAAATACATTTGAGAAATTCCGATAAATCATCTCAAGAATCTAGAGGACGATTCCAACCTAATAAACGTAAGAGAATCTATTGCACAATATTTTTGAAATGTCTTAGTCCAATGATTCAATACTATTAGTAGATAAATAATATTTGTATGTAGAGCTACGAGTATTTTATTCTAAATTCTATTATTCACCATCAGGTTCCTATAATTGCATCGGCGTCGTCATAAATCTGGCTGCACGCAATATTCCGGTGATAAATTCTGCGGCATAGAAGAATTAGCCCACGTTGCTATGTACGTTACTGTATTAGTCAACCCCTATTTTGAAGAGCGCAGCTGTCACTGCAGCGACGAGGAACAGGAGAGCATACGTTACTCTGGAAAGGGTGAAGAGGGACGCTAGAGTAGGGCTTGTCGTATGACGAGTTCACTTAAGCTTGGTAAATTAAAAAATTCCATATCCAAAAATATCCCCGATCTTTTAGGTTAACGTTTTCAGTAAGGCCAATGCCTTCTCGACATATTCCTGTAGTTATACAGTCGGTCACGTACTTTGCATTACGTCCCTATTAGAAGAGCCCCGACGAAGACGAGGGCTGGCGATTGGCACGAGTACTCTAGGGATGTTTTCAAGCCTGCAGCTGCCCCCCAGAAATATCATGCGGATCAAGGGCACGCATGGGCGCTTCTTCAAGTGACGACAGAAGACTGTCTGACGGACGGTAACCAGAGGTAAATTTATAGAAAAATTCTATGCCCTGAAACTCTGTTTACTCAACGTGAAAAAAAAAGAAGCCAGAGGAACTTCCTCCATAATACCATAGAGTATAACTTAGATTCTGAATATTCATAATCGATTATATTATTCTCTCAATTAGAAGAAAGAAAAGACTGTAATACTTTTAATGAAAACTACTTTCATTATTTACTATCTTATCCACCGCGTTTCAAAGCCTCACAGACAGTAGTCATAAATCGGTAAAGGAGGATCAGGAAACGAATTACCTTCACTATTTATTTCCTATGTATTCTTATCACTGTCAATCTACAGTAGTTTAATCAATACCGGTGGTCACGTTATAAATATATTCTTTAAATCACATAGCACAAGCCCAAATAAACTTGAGGAAAAGCTGCACCGAGTAAACATCGCTCAGTAAAATTACAGCATAAGCGTGACGAGTTTAAGCAAACACTTTGGAATCGGCTTACGGCAATCAGCACGTACGTAGTCAGATAGTCAAGTACAGCTGGTCAGTGTAAATGAAAATATTACACGTACGTTAATCACGTAACGTGCTGCGAAGAGGAGAAAGGAAGTAAAAAGAAAAGGAGCCAACGCTGCAGATTTTATTGTGGCAATTCTCAACAAGGATCCTTACTTGCTGCAACTTCCTAACCTAAAATGCAATCTGGCGATTCATATGCAACTTCCCGGAGCACTCGTTCAGGGATTTCGTAGCTCCCGTGAAACGACGAGGTTGACCACCTGCAAACTGCGGCGCTTCGGGATTCCTATATTGAATAGGCAGTGGCGGCAGACAGGCAATGCCAGGCTGCTACTGCTAGCTGCGTTCCCGTAAGACGCAATGCGCAACGTTTTGCGGAGTTTCCGTCGGTCGAACGGCGCACACGTATTGCCAACCGGAAATCGAAGTGAAACTGCGCTCTAGTCAAATATGATTTTTGCATCTACCTGTAGTTGCATCTCCCTTCGACATTGTTTATCGTGCAAATTGCCATTTCTTTTTCATTTATTTCACATATCTCTCTCTCGTTCCTATTTTCCCAAACGATTTACGCTCGGCAGACCGCGTTAACGTGACGAGCCTCGAATATATTTGCATGTGGAGAGAGGATATAACTGGAATCCTTCCGCAATTTCATCTTATCTTTTATCTCCTCTTTTATTTCCACTGAAAAAAGTACATATATACGCGGATCTATATATTTATAAGCTCAATTTCGTATATAGGTCACACATGCATAATACAATATAACGCGTGGAGAGTTTCTTGCAAAACTTTTCCTTTTTTAAAGAAAATAATAATAAACGATTTCTTTAATTTTTTTCATCAGATATTTCTCTCTCTTACAGTTACACAACAATGCAGTATCCTGCTCAAGAAAAACTCTCATCCCAAACCAGGACTTATCTCGTCCAATCGTTATCTGGACCCGGTGCAGATAGCTGTGCGGTCGAGCATGTACGACTGAATTAATAGGATTTTGTATTATTACAAAATTCGAACTGCGGCTAGGAGACGACACAATTCAGCAGGACTGTAGCTCCGTGTTACCAAGTTACTTGGCGTCGATCCAGCCTCCTGAAGTGAAACGAACGAGTTTCCTCCTCGCAGACAGGGTCAAGAAGCGTTTTGTAAATTTTAGTGGGCAATTTCTATCCCAGACTTATCGACCAGGTGTATCTACCTGCATCACTTCCGGATTGTACCTCAAGACGAATGTCCTCCTCTACGAACATCCGACTCGCATTTGCCAACGGGAAGCATTGGCCATTGACTTTGTCGTCGAGTCCAGAGCCATTGTGAACGGTCATTTGGCACGAATAATTGTCAATAGAAAAAAGAAGGAAAAAAAGAGAACAAAAGTCCTTGAGCAATTTTTCCCAGAGTTCTCTTCAAATTTGGCCACGTGCTGCACCAGGTTCTAAATGCATGAGAATATACCTAGTGAGAACATCCAATGGAGGTATTGTCCTTGATAAATAATAATGCACCAAGCATATGGCGCAGAAGTGCATTCTTTTAGGATCCATTCAAACGGCCACGTGGATCAAACAATATGGTATAACTAAGTATTCTTAGGATTTTAATAACTATAAAATAGCTCAGTGCACTGGACTCAATGACTTTTATAAACATTGCCTTACGCACAGGCTAATGCGGTTGCTTCTGCAGCGAACAGGTTACAGTGCCATCCTGGTTGCACACCTAGCGCTACGTGAATAAGGCCTAGCTAAGCTACGTAATGAGATGGGAGTTGCGGTGAATTAAGTTTAAGAATTCTATTAGCACTATAGGTAGACTATAAGCGTCACTCTATGTATATGCACTAGCTGTATGCACCAAGCATCTTGTGCGAACTCAGCGAGATGCACCGGGTTCAGGATTCACTGACGTGTATCTTATTTACCTTACGCTGCACCAGGGATGCACTTTTCGTCGAGTAGATTCTAACCCGAAGCACATAATAGCCCTTAGCCCGTACGTGGGTAGAACTTAATCGTAAGATCACATTGTAATGCGAAGCGTGTTCTGTATTTTCGATATGACTTTATTACTGCAACAAGTGCATTGACATCTAGTGCATAAAATATGCATATACTACTTTAATGAACCTGGTGCTAAAAAGGATAATCGAACCGATTCAACGCACAGCGTGAAGTTGCCCGTGTCTTTCTGTGGTCGTTATAATACACCCCTTCTAAATAATGCATCCCTCCGGGATGCACATGCACTAGGCTCCGAATGCATAGGACAATAGGGTAACTGTACCTACAGCTGTCAAGCCATGTGCCACCGCGTGATATGCAAATAGGTGGTTTATAAATGTCCTATGTTTTATTTAGAACACTGAAAAACATCCGTACTCTGAGTTGCTGTGAACTCTGCGGTGTATAATTCAATTGAACCACAATGGTAGGAGGGAGGTGGAGGAGGAATTGAACAGATATAAGACTTATCAGTGATAACTCGAGTGCAGGAGGAATTTTCAATGTAAATCCAATTGATGACGTAGCCACTGTATACAGAAGAGGTATGTATAACTTCCTGGGGTGGAAATCCCTCGGAGGGGGAGTCGGTTTAGAAGGGGGTCTGATTTTCTTTAGAGACCCTTATACACGACTCAGACTCCCTATCTGCTTGTCGGCCACTTCCGTTATGACAAGGGTCCTCCAGATTCTTTCTTCCGGTTGTGGGTATTTTTCATCTCGATTGACACATCCTTCAGGAAGATTTCGAGGAAATTTTTGAATATTATTTTCTCTTGGATTTTTTTCAATTTTTTTTTTCTCTTTTTTTTACAGCCACCTCGTGGAGCACCGAGGAATGTGTTGCATGGTCTAGGTGAACACGTATTCTGGGAATAAGAAATTAAACCAGACGTAGCAAGTGTCTGTCTCTCTGATGCACTTGTACGTGGCTCATGTGTACTCCAGTGTCGGATTTCCTGGCTAAGAATTAGTCTTTAAAACGTTAAGTCCTCCCGAGAACAAAGTCGATCCTCTTGCGGATTTACCTGGAAAGTCGACGTGGGAGTAGTTCTGGAGAAAGGAAAAGAACGTTCAAGAAAATTCATGAAGAGATTCTAATGCCCGTACGAAATAGATATGTAAAGCGAAGAGGATAGTTTGGATTCAACGCGACCCAAAGAAAGGAAGCCCAGCGACTTTAATAGGAGCCAAGTGAAGCTCTTCCGACTTAGTTATAAGATAAAAAGTATATACGTAAACTTTTGGGCGAGATGGTAGAACGATGGAAATGCCTGTGGAGTCGTCTGGAAAATTACTCGTAAAGTAAAGTCCTTCAGGTGATTTATGAGGATCGAGAGAAGAGAAAGAGAGAGGACCGAGTCAGTTATGTCTATATGCATAAAAGAGTCAGAAGAGACTTTACCAAGCTTGAAAATGTGGAGAGTGTCAAAGAAGATCCCGGTGGTCGCTATGTTTGTGGTCTGGTCTCTTTCGGTTTGCTTTGTCAACTACAGGGAGAGTCGTAAAGGGAGACTGGAACCAACCAGCCAACCAGCCCATACTTTCATACCTTCTCAGTCAGTCTTTTTCCTGTCTAAAAGAAATACCAAGTGCGTCTTCAATGTGGCATAAAGAGGAGGGATAGCCCGGAGGACCTTTGACCCTGGTGGGCCTTAAAAAATTTCCTTTATACCTTAACGCTGCCTCGGAGCATTTTTATAGTGGGTAGATACAATCCTTCAAGTACCAACTCACGGAGCTTGAGGATTCGTATACGGTTTATTAGTCTTCTTAAAATTCATTATGCATTGGCTCAATTATATCTGATCATCGTCTAAACATAGTACAGACGCAATCCTTGACCTTTACTACAGTCAGTCCAAGAAATCAATTGAATGAGTCTCCCTCTATACGTTTCATAGAAATGTATCAAAACGACTCACTCGCTGTCAGTGAGTAAATGGAGAAAGTCAAACTCGTGGAAATGACAGACAGCGTCGAGGATCTAAGATCGATCCCCTTTCTTACAAGCAACTTGCATTACCGAACAGTGACGAAGATGAAAAATTGGAGGTCGTTCGCGCGTGACGCTTCGACGATTTCTACAGAGTGACTGTCATCTGGATTGCGTATTAAGTGCAAATCGATTCGGGACCTGCGAAAATCCTGGGATAAATTAACCCACAACGTGCTAAGAGTAACTTTAATTTCAAACAAAAATTCTTTTTCACAGGAACATACGTGCCATTTCCACTCAAGGATAACAAAATAATTGAAGTAAGCGACCGCACGAATATTTCTTCTGGTGGAAATGAAGAAAACAAAATTTGACAAATTTTTGCTGGAATTTAAAAAAAAAGTCATCTTCATGCTGAGGTAAGCAAGAACGATTAAAAATGTTAAACTCCCTCCTACGCGTTAAACTCACAAGACTCGTACGGTCCTTTCAGACTTCTAAGGACACTCGAGCGTCCCACAAGGATATCCTGGCCAAGAAGTGTAAGAGGAGCAGCAGTGTAAGTGGATGAAGAAGCTGGTGTACGAGGTTAAAGAAAAGAGCAGATCGGCGAGGTAGCAGGGGAATAGAAGTAAGAGGAGTGAAGAAGATGGAAGACGACGAAGGATAAGTAGGAGAACATAAGAGAGAATACCAGAAGAAGAGAGTGCCTTGCCGTAGGCGGTCAGTGGCCTCTGCACTGGCTACCACACGAGACCAAGAACTCCTCATCGGTGCCCCACTCTCGCCTGCCTTCCTTCCACGACTGGTCCCTAGGGAATAATAATGGGAATTATGCTAAAGGCGTTCTTTCATAAAAACTTGCCCTTTCGCCTTCTTCTTTTATTTTATTTCTTTCTCTTTCACAGATATATCATACCGAACGCCGATATGGCTACTTTCGTAATAATTCCTACACGCGTGACTTTCCTTCTCTCATCCACACTGTGTCGTCACATTAAGGAGAATACGTATGGGGCCTAGTACCGATATCCATATGCATGAGGTATATGCGTCTAGTATTCCAGGGCGTTGTTCTAGTCTCTTTGGAAACTTATGTAATTCAGAAATCCTACGACCATTAAATGGATATCTGAGCTGGATTCGAAGTTAATAGGGATTTGGTAAAGTCCTTTTCTATCTAGAGGAAATTAATTTGTGAAGAGAGAGAGAGAGAGAAGAGAGGTGAAATGCTCTGGTGAAACTTGGCGAATTCTCACGGATGATATTGTCGCCTCCGTTACAAAGATGGCAAAGTATCAGAGGTGAAATCATGTAAAAGCAACGTTAAAGTTGAGAACAACTGTTTCATACGATTTACGGGAGTCCCGTGAAACTCTGTGCTACCAAACGGAAATCTTAACTGGTGCAACAAACTCCAAGGCGCTAGACTGGGAATAAAAAAGAAAGGTCCGAAAAGAAGGAAGCAAAGTATTGTCTTGCGAGATAAATAAAAGAAAAAGGAATTAACTTCGTTCTTCAGGACCAACCGAATGTCTCGAGCCAACTGTGAGAGATCACGCAATGGTCATTTTATTTTGGTTCTTGTACATCGATACCGGTACACCTGTACAATCAAGATGGATAATTTAAGGTGCGTGCAGGCCTCTAATGACTTCCTGAGATTTCGTGAGGATTTGTGAATGAAAAAGTTATGTAAAAAAAAAAAAATTACAAAATTCTTATACCCACGCAAACGCTGATATAACGAAAAAGTGTACCAGGTCTTGGCTGCTGGATTTTCCAAAATCCAAATTCAGAATATCGTACCTGTACAAGTGTATCAGGTGCTTAAATAAGTACAGAAGGGACATACAAGATACAAACGTGTACGATGGTAATGAAGATGATGGTTGTAGAATGTAAGGAAAAAGGAGGAAGGGCATCCGGTCGACGAGAAAGAGCATTCAGACACGTATGCACGCCATCCTCGTAGAAGGGCACCAAGTGCCCAAGTACCAGTGAGCCAAGTAAGAGGCGACAAAGCTAAGGTGCTCTAAGTAATTACGGAGGACAGTGAGTATCTCGCGAAACCAAGTAAATACTAAGAACACTGGTTTAACGGAAGTTCCTGACTTTTCATGAGGTAGTCACTTTTCCGTAACGTCTACAGGTACCATGATATAACAAAGAATCAAATTTCATCACTACTCCAATCTTGATGTCGATACCACCGATAACCTACTTCGATTCCATTTCAGGTATCTTGTCCAGGATATCATGGTTGCCACGGACAACCCAAGATCCCTATACAGACGAATAGAAAGGACCAACCACTTGTAAAAGTATCTGACGATTTAAATATTTCAACTCCAGTCTCTTTATCCCTACGTGTGGTTAACGAGAGTGTCCACGTACACGTAGCTGCAATGGACGCTAAACTCACGTCGTCCTCAACGTTGACTCCAAGCCATCGCTTCCTGCGCTGGCAGCCGGACGACGGGCCATGTACTGAAGGGAGAGCAGGTACGAGTCTGGCACTAGGGAACAGAAGGGAAAGAGAGATAGATATAGAGGCAGAGAGAAAGAGAAAGGCAGGCAGGCCTTAAAGTGTGCAGAGGGCCCTATAGAATAGTTAGAGTGGAACTAGAGGCCAATACGGGGGAACTGCTCTCGAAGAACTGGAAGAAGAAGGACAGGCAAAGGCCCTTGTCCTCCATTGTACCACGTTTGAGCTGACGCCAGTGATAGATACCTTTCCTGGCATACACCTAGTAACTACCACTGCTATCATCTTCTACACCCATAGCCTGTGATACCGTCATAGTGCCTTTTACAAGTGTACACTTTTGTCCTGGGTATAAACGTGCACGGTTTTATAGAAAAGATTGACATTAAAGCCTTCAAGCACTGGACGGTTCGGGTTATCGAGCCAAACTGGAGTATATGAAAAAAAAAATCGTTGGCCCCTTTTTCAAATATTCACAAGCATGGCCTCATCATCCTTTTTGTTTTCTTCTTTTAGCAAAATTACTTTCCCATGCAAAGTCATTACCTATGTGAATATTACATGAAGAGGTACCATTATCACTTCAGAAACTGACATGCCATTATTGCAAATACATACTGGACCTGGGTATGTCGTGTATTTTATTTTTGTTTTTATTTCACAGTAATTATCTGTTACAGAGATATCGTACAAGGATGTTAATCGAGAAGCGGATAGGTCGCTGGTATTGTTTACCAAGGAAAAAGAATAATGGTCCGCTCGAAGAAGCTGTTTAAGTAGTTTATAATTCTGCGTCCGCGAAGGTGGTGCAGTGCGGTATGATTGAAGGGTTGAACCTAAGGATCATTGGAACACGAGAGAACAAGTGCCAGTCGTTAATAATAAAAGGCAGGAGTCGTGATGTGTGGATGCACACGCGACGGCACGTGCTCTGGACCACTCTTCAATCTCATTCTCTAGTGCTATCTCTCCCTCTTGCTCCATTATGCTCCGTCTCTCTTGATCTGGCGCACACGACTCTCTCGTAGTCATGTAACCGAGATGGGAGGTCAACGCTTTAACTTCGTTCACACAATTGGGACGGATTAACCTCGTAATAAATCCTTATTAGGATGGCTCGCACGCCCTTGTCACTCTGTGAGACTCGGTTGGCTGGCTCATGCAGATTTTAGCGACGCTTTCTAACAGTTATCGAATTTACTACGGTTATATCTATGATTAGGATAGCAGTGTTGGATGATGGTTAATGATGATGACTCGCATTATGAATTTGTACTGTCAGCGTCCTGGAGCATAGTGGGAAATGGGCGGAACGCTTCCAGAAGAGTGTACTCAGGAATTTTATGCTGCTGTGGGAATGGGATGTGATGCCGTTGCCTTCTGATGTGTGTGTATACTATGACGTTATGGTCCAGGAAAGTTGAAACCCTGTGGAAGGAAGATTTTGTTTGTAAATTCATAAGGTCATCATTTTTTTAAGGAGTATATACAATCAGTGATGCCTTGAGACCTCATTTTTGTGGATCGATGAGATGTTTTGAGGGTTTATGAATTTTTGAGACGCGTTGCGCAGAGTGGATCATCTTTTGTGGGATAGATCTTATTGGGAAGCACAATAGGCAGGAGAAAAAGGAGCCAGGCTGAATGGATTGAAATGTTGAAAAGGTGCATCTTTGGCGAGACTCCGAAAAGCAGCTAAAGAATCTAAAAGACTGTCGCATATAAATCACCGACCGTGAAATTCTACTTAAGCCATCTGGAAGGGAGAACTTTACCCACATACTGGGTTGGACTGACGACCTCGTAGTTACGAAAGAACTATCGGCCCAGTCAACCAGTAAACGTATTTCCTGTCCGCATGCCATTACTATGATGAATCATAGAAAATCCCTGGGAGCTATTATATCGTTCTTAGCTACGTGAACTTGTTCATTTTCTGGGGTCTTGTTGTACTTTTAGCCGTTTGCAAAAGTAATGGGTAAGATAACTGAAGCATGAGTGCTTGCACGTTGCGTGGATAAAATTAACCGGAAAATAGATAAACGTGCGTATGCTCGTACATCCCTGTATCCGTTGTACGTCTTTATGCATACAGAGAGAAAAAGAAAAAACGAAGAAGCTTCGTGTCATAACTGAAGGCGAATTCGAGCAGGTTTACAATGCATCCATAAATAATACGCCCTATGAAATACCATGGACCTCAAGTGGTCGGCATGACAACGCTGCAACAATGTTAATGATAGTGGCAGTGACGACTATTGACTTAAGAGAGCGGAAGTAAGTATAAATACATTGAAAATTGACGATCATAAAGACCTTTGATATTACCTACAAGATTAATAAAGAAAAGCCGGGAAAACTTACCAATTGCGCAGGCGCTTCCGGCGAACCAGAATACGAAATAAAGAGCGGCAAGAAAAGCGACGTTCCACTTGGTCAGGAGGACTGGCAGATTGGCCAGGACGCGTCGGCAGGGTATCTCCATGTTACTTGACAGCTGCCAAATATTGGCCTGCCAAATACACAAGGAGCCAATGGAACCGAGGAATTGTCAAAGAATCAAACGCGTAAACGGCAATACCGGCGAGTTCTCCTCATTTTGATTCTTTTCCTTCCTTTTTGGACAATTAACACAATCCCTATTCTTCACTTTTTCACTATGCTTCTTTGTCGGACGAAGACAAGACACGGGATGGACAGTCGCGTTTTGGTAAGATCACCACCATTTCTTCTCACTCGTTGCACTGCTGCATTTCTCCCTGGAGCACCAGCTTCCCAGGAACTGCTTCAGAGATTAAATGGAATCTAGTCTGGTTGGTAGCGCAAGAAGATGAACGCGACTAATTACAACAGCTTGGCAATGCGCCAGACGATCTGTAACTATTTAACAGGGTCGGTCCTGGTAATCAATCGCACTGGATACACACACTCACTTTTCCTATTGTCTAACTCACTTACTCACTGACTCGAATTTATTCTTCGACTCGTAAGAATCGCGTGTTCAAATGCGGAGCGAATACTTTCAGGTACTTTCAGGATAGTCCACGCGTAACATCTTTTGCACAACACTCCTCGTACTCTATGTATAAAGCGTGAAGACTGTTAATCGTCTACCACCAATGTGACCGGAGAACGCAACAGTAAAATAGATTTAAAAAAAAGGGTAGTAAATAGAGAACTTGCAAGGCGCGAGAATCTCAACAAGTGCAATATAAGTACAACGAAGCGTATAAAATCGTTTTAAAGAAAAAGAACTTCACATCGCACCGGGCTTCTCACGCGGATGCTTTGTCGTGCACGAAGAGTTTGTTGTCAGTGTTTAACCTGAGGATATCACCGATACAACAAGTGTTTGTAGTATTATTATGCATTAATACCCAAGAGGTTCTGTCTTACATTCATCAGTTATTCTTTCATTCTCATTTACTAGATACAGTATTCGGTCACTGGTTCTTTTTTTAAACTCCACGAGTCCTCTTCTTCTCTTCTGGGCCCAAAGGCATTCAGGCACATTCAGGTAACGCAGCACAAACGGTCACGCTCACCTGGTACAACCTGGCAACCCTGCCAGATTACCTGTTCACTCGGATAATTTCGTAAAAACGATTAACTAACGGAAATGCGACACAGAAATTTATAAGGATCATCCGAAGTTATGGAATACAGTCAGCTTCACTTTCACGAACTTTCAAAAGGAGCGAGCAAGAGCACGAGATCCGGCAGTCTTTACGGAGTTATAAAGTTTTGTTGACTAGCCGTCAATCGGCTCCGTTCACAGAAAGGAATGCAAGTTAAAATCGCGTCTCGGCGCACGAGCAACCGCTGTGGACAGTCTCGGCCAATCGGCGCCTAGTGTAACCACCGTTCAGTTTAGAGTGGGGAAAATCTACAGATATATTCTTTTGGGCATCGTATTGCCATCTGGTAGGAAACCGCTCTGTCATGCTTTACCTACAGAGTCGACCAGACACGCAATGGTAGCAGCGTTGACTGAAGAGATAAGTAGAATGGATATCTTTTTACGTGACATTGTGTCACGCGGTTTTGGGATGTCACTGACAACTACTAACGTGCTTAACCCAATGTAATTGATCAAAATCGTGAGGCACAGAATATACGGAGATATCTAGTCTGATTGCATATTTTAAACATATGTTTGGTCATTTTAATTTTCTAAAAGAATAAGATTTTTCAATTTTTCTCTCAAACTTATGTCTGGTAGGAAGATGCTGATTTATTATTGACAGACCAATAATAGACTGTTGTGTTGGATCAATTGTTAATCAATGTTTTTAAATTATTGTAATCTAAGTGAATTTGTGTAATTCAGAACGGAATTTTCAGAGTTAACAAATTCACACTGGACATGTGTACCAATAGCGTTTATTGATGTTTGATGTTATGTACGTGGTGGATGTCACACATTGATACAGTTTTAATTGTACAAAATTAAATTAGAAGAAGAATCCAAGAATTTTTCCTCCAAGATGTTTCCTTCTTGCCTCTTCATGATCCATGATTCCACCGCTAGTTGTCAAGACAACGTATCTGAAAGAAAAAGTATTATGTCTGTGAACAAATATATGCAATTCTTTACAGAAAAAAAATAGTAATAGGTTATCCATACCCAAACTGACGAGACGGCAACAAGTTGTTGGTCCATTTTTCAATGTCTGAAATGGGGACATCAAACCTGGGAGAAATAACCCCACATTTGTTTAGTCTTCCAGTGAGGTTAACAACAACCTTTCCACTGCGGTGATCATCAACAATTTCAAATTCCCCGATGTAGCCTTGATAAAATAAAAGAAACAATAAATTAATATCGAGATTGTACCTAACAACTCGTGTTTTTTATTGTCAGTGAATTTTTAAGGCATGCATAAATAGTCATCAGCGAGAACTTACCATGCTTCATCATTACTGTGAGGAATTTGACAATTACTTTGGAGCACGGGCGAAGAAGCACTTGCCTTTTGCCACGCTTCTCTGCATTGTTGATGGATTTAAGGGCATCGCTGAGAACGTTCATACGCACCATGGCTGAAAAACCACATACAAGGCTTCAAACTTCATCGAATAAACATATTAACGAATCCTATTAAATCCATTAAGTAGAACAATATATGTTTCAATTTTATTTTCAATTTCTTTAAGTAAAATCACAATATAACACTATTCACATGTCACTATGTGTCAACGAAACATAACCTTAATGACTGTAATTGAGTACATGATTTACAAAAATTATATTTAAGTAATAATACTATAAAAACGAATGCCTTTTACAATGTTGTCATATATTTAATTAAAGAAATAAAGTGTTAAACATAATTTGATTGAGCACGAAAGAATCATGAGAGCTGTTACTCCGGTCACTTGATTCGCATCTTTAATTTTTATAAACACATGTATGCAGACACAAAATATAAGTGGAGAATCGCGGTAAATAATGAGCGGTATATTCTTTATCTGATATTCATTCTCGATGGGTTTCAATAACGTGGATTACCTGCGATTTATATTTTGTTTACCGTCGTGACATACACGCTAGGTAATCACAGGAAAAAGAAAGGTTACCCAGCCGTCCCTGTTACAGGAAGTCGTATTTTCAAGGCGCGTCATCGAATATCAAAAAACAGTTCGTCTACTATCCTGCCATCTGGTGGCAGGAAAATAGAATATACAGCAACAATCCATTTGATCATAAACTTCTATACATAAGCCCGTAATCAGAACTCACTCTTAAAGTCAGTAACAGCGTTGCTTTTAGTTAAAAGCACGGTTAAAAGTCACTAAGAAAGAATTTAAGATCGCTCTATCAGAGATGAGTACGGAGATGCACAACGCTACAATTGTTGCGGAGAATCTCTGCCGGCCAGGCTATACGGTTGTGATCACTCTCAGCTCGGCTACGATGGGATCACACACTCAACGATGGGATATGCATTATCGACGGAGGCGATGATCACAAAATCCTACTCCCGGACTCCCAGCTTCGATCTAGCACCAAGCTTTTGGTATTGCCTGAAACCGTAGCGTTGTGGATCTCCCTATTGGGTGCTTTCCATTTACATGACTTTTGTGTCGACTTGTGTCAACTCGTGTCGACTCACGTCGACTCTCGAAAATGAATAAATGGAACACTCTCGTAAACTCACCACTCTAGCAGAGTCTTTCCGAGTCGACTTGTGTTGCCGACACACGGCGACACAAATCAAATGGAAAGCACTTTTGGCGACACAAGTCGACTTGTGTCAACTTGTGCCAGTAAATGGAAAGCACCCATTCATTTCTGCATTGTGCATCTCCCTACTCATCTCTGTCCATTTGGATAAGTTTATGATTCTGACTATTTAATAAAGCAAGTTTCCAATGGCTTTATAAAATACAAATGTTTGTACGTTTTTAAATTTAGGATTATCTGTTTAATTTCTTATTACTACCAATCTATCTTTTTTTTAATGTCCAACAACTTTTGTTGTGAACCATGCTATTTTCAATGCAACGACAATCCGAATGATGTTTCTTTCGCCATTGGACCTAATCGGTAAAGTAGAGTAGGGAACGATCGAAGGCCGTAGAAGCATCGAGCGAGAAGGAACAGTGGTGAATTGCTTGAGCACTTGATGGTTCAGTGGTTTTGGTTTTCCGTGGATGTGCTTTGGTTGAATTCGAGAATAATATTCGGAAAGGCAGACCTAATCGAGGGAATAATTTCGCGTTTGCAGCGTACAATTCCCAGGCAGTAGTGCATGTCAAGATTCTATCACACAGCTTTGTCATGCTGTCAAAATTGACGAGGACGGTCGAGTTGACGGGAGATCATCGCTGACATGGAGGTTCTCGAGAATCCCCTGCACGACGGGCCACCTCTACTTGGAAGGCTTCCCGGAGTTTCGAAAATAACGAAAATATCAACCGGTGCTGATATAAGAGGCGCACGGTTTTTCAACAGACTGAATATCTTTTAACATCACAATCAGCTGTTTGCTGATTCACTCGCTTGCACTGCCGTTCTGTGTTTTGGTGCCACTCGACCTCCTAGGATTAACTTGCAAGAGGACCTTGTGACCTCGATACGGAAAGTCTACTTTACACGATGTCCTCGACCTCTAGTACGTCTGCACAGGTGCTTATGAACAAGGGAAAGCGTGGAGCTGCAGCCTATATACATGCCGAATGCAGCAATCCAGCCATCGGTACAGGATGTCCACAACATCTCAACGAGCTCCTTGATATTCTTTTGAATCCTGGTAAAGCTATAGATGATTGGGACACTATTGATTGGTGCAAGTGGCTTATGGCTGGAGGAAGGACACCGGATGAGTTTGCCAACACTGGTTTGTATATTTGCATTTTAAGATTTCAAGGACTTTACTTCTGCTTTGACTAACCATTTTATGGATAGCTTACCAGACACCATATTATTGTGTTTAGTTTGCAATATGATGCAATATTTCTTATGCTACTGTAATCTGATAACAAGATGAACATAAACGACACGAATAGCTTGTGCATTATCATATTCATTTTTAATTTTACATGGTTTACTACTTAACAAAATATACTCCCAATTAAAAGCATACTTGAATACAGTAATAAAGGTGCTGTACTTCAAACAACAAAAATTATTGGAACCCATAACTAAATTCAATTGTTTGTTTTGTCATAAAGACCTTGTATTTTGTCTTTTTGGCACCGGTGATCATCCATATGCATGTACGTGAACATTTGTCTCTGAAAAGAATTGACTAGCTTAATATGAACAACTGAAATTGGATGAAACAATGAAATTCCACTGAAATCTTCAATTTTCTTTTGAAACTATAACTTTATGTACTTCCATTTGAACTCTTTAAAATGCTACATTTGCATGAGAAGGCAAAAACACTTACAAATCAAACAAATTATTAAAAAGTCCACTCTGACATACTACATAGCCATAAACGTTTCTATGTATTGTCTATTGATCCAAGGTCAATATTGTATCCCTACTTTGTTTCTAGGAAGCTCGAAACTATGAATCACATATTTATTTTTATTGTACGATGTAACTATGATTAATACATAGAAGCTTTACAATGACATGGCTTATCCAGTATTTACAAGCAAGCATAGAGTGAATGAACTCTAGTGAACCTACCTCAGGAAGACAAACACCTTGATAATCATATTCCTTGTCTTTATTTATAGCAAGTTTATTTTGATTCCTTGCTGAAAGCTGTCTCCAGAATAGTATAACATATCAATAATATCATAGTATTCTCCACTACTGCCACCCACATATTTTCTTCTGTTTATATAAGATAAAAATCTGTAGCAAGAACCAGAAATAATAAATGTAAAAATGTTCTTAGTGTTAAATCCCGTTTACGAGACGTACCAAATTATAAATATCTATCCGCCAGGGCCAAGATTTATATTAGAAATTGAGTAGAAAATTTTTTTCACGCGTTTACTGTTTTTCAGAGTTTTACTTATCTTTATTCTATATTTCTTCTTCTATCGTGTTTTTCAGTAAGAATTTATGATAACGCTACAACCTGTGGTCTGGTATGGACGCCAAATTTCGTAGCTTATCGATGTCGCACCTGCGGTATCTCCCCCTGCATGTCTCTATGCACGGAATGTTTCAAAAACGGAAATCATGATCATCATGACTTCAACATGTTCCTAAGCCAAGCAGGAGGAGCTTGCGATTGTGGCGATACATCCGTCATGAAGGAGACTGGGTGAATATATAACAAACATATGAATATAATTTGAATTCGACAAAGATTCCAACAACAACATTGGCGTCAAAATTGTTAAGTTGATCGTAAAATTTGCTTATCTATCTTTCAGATTTTGCGACAAACACGGGCCAAAAGCTGCTGTAAATAAATCTGCAGCTCCCTCGGATCTCATGTGCGTTGCGGAGGCGATGATGCCAAGAATAATCCTTCGACTTATACAACACTTGCGTGAAAATTGGTAATTTGATATCTAATAATGGGATATAAAAAAAAAAAAATAAGAAAAAGTTGAACTTTTTAATCTATATTGATTATACGTCTTTCAGTAAAGTGAGAGCTTCGGATTATAGAGTGGCTATACAAGACGCCGACGCATATTTAACGATGCTTCTCGATTTAAATAATATGGGAGCGCTAATGAGGCACGTTATGACATCCGCACTAACGAATCCACAAAAATATCGAGGCCTTATTGATCCCTCATTATCGTCGGGTCTCTCAGAGTACGATAGCTACTGTCAGGATAGTAATAAAATTTATCAGGATGCAGTAAAGTCATTGCCCAATCCAGAGCCACCAGATGAATACAAAGGTACGTATTAGTTAGAAAATTCTAATGTATCATGGGTACACCTTCTGAAACTGTGATTAAAAATTAATATCATCAAATACAGAGTGCGCATCCCTACAAGAACATTTAGAACACACGACCTTCCTCGAGGAGCTAGTATTCTGGACGGTAGCTTACGAGTTTCCCCAGAAACTTGTCTGCCTCTTGTTAAATATGCTGCCCGATCCGGATTACAAGGAAGCTCTGACGCGGGCTTTTGTGTTGCACTACAGTAGAATCTCGATGATGCTAGAACGTTCGACGGACCCTGATACACTTAGTAATCGAGTCGTTCACGTCAGCGTACAGGTACTGTAAAATGCCCAAGTACCTTTTACAAAAGAATACGAGAATAAATAACGCTTGGAGTATCCGATCAAACTAATTATTGAAATTTACAGTTATTCAGTAATGAAGATTTGGCACTGAGGATGGTAGATCAATTGAAATTACTCCACGTGATGGTGATAAGTCTGAAGTACATGATGAGTAAAATAGTCATACAGAATACCTTGCACGGTAAGACAATTATAATTTATTTATCTATATCTGATATATGACAGATCTGAAAGCGTAAAAAAAATCATACCGTCTTTTAGATCCTGACAATAACTTTCACTATGTCGTGGACTGCGGTCGTCAAGTCATGAAGGAGCATTGTTACTGGCCTTTGGTCTCTGATCTAAACAACGTCTTGTCGCACAAGCCGGTGGCTGTTCGTTTTATGAGCGATGACACCCTCCTGAAGATGTGGTTCGACTTTCTCTCTATGTTTCAAGGTAACGCCTCTCCGAAATTGATCTTCATGTTAGAGGAGAGATCATTGCCCCAGGGGGCAATAACTTAACCCACTAGATAAGTCTTCGAGTGTATCGCGTGTTTCGACCTATTGGGAGAAAGAAATGTTTTAAAAAAGAAAGAAAGGAATCGCCACTCCAATAATAAAAAAAACCAGTGTAAATCACATTTGATTCAACAGGTATGAACGTCAACCAGAGAGAACTCAGTCAACATGTGGAATTCGAACCGAACACCTACTATGCGGCATTCAGTGCCGAATTGGAAGCCAGTGCGTATCCCATGTGGGCTCTTGTGACCCACTTGACAGGTCCAGAGACTGTGGCACTCAGTCGCAGAGTTCTGTCATTCTGTCTGACTGCACTTCAGGACTGGTTGGACGTCGTCAATTACACTTATCCTACTGTGGTAAATATTTATTGATCTCTTGCCACATAGAAATCTCGATCAGAATATGACTTTTTTCTTTATCCTTTTTTTATCCTCGTGTTTCAGAGCGACAGCCTTCAGGTGTCCTTTCATCTTCCGCTGCACAGATACTTTGCAGTTTTTTTGTGCCGCGCGGTGAGACTGCAGGGAGCTACTCTCCATGAACTCCTACCACCGACGGACATGTTACATCTGATGATGATGCATCCGCTTCGCGTTCAGGTGAGTGAACCTTACGGATTTTATAGATGAGAGCTAACTCTGGTCTGGACAGTGGGAGAAGTCTCATGGGCCGTGTTGCGGGGATGACATTGTAAAAGAATATATTTATCTAGTGACTTTTTTTTTCCTTTATTGCTCAGTATATTCGAGTGATAGTATACGTTGTCGATTAGATTCGTTCACAGTTATGTTATGCGCCGTACATTGGCAATGTTTAAGTTGTACTTTTAGATACCGTCTAATCACAGAATATTACTTGGACTAATTTAAAATTAACTAATTAATAAGACACTCGAGAATTTGTCGCACACTAAATTATCCTTACTTCCTTCGAAGAGTATAAAGTGGAAAATATCTCTTGAATTTCTCAATATCTGTGAGCTAACGTCAAATTCAAATAGAAAAAAAAAGGGACAGATTAAACGTTGCGTTCACTCACAAACAATGGTCATACTGTTTATTAACATATCAGTTCTTTATTTATGGCATTATGCAGTAAAACTTAGTATGTCGGATACAATGTCGAAAATGACAATTTTAATTTACCAAAAGTTATTTGAATTACGTAGAAAGAAGATAATAAAAATGTTTTCCCATTCACGGTGCTCGTGGAGATTATCGCTCACTGTCACGACGTTTTGTTTTAAAAAAGATACGAAAGTCTGTTTCTTTGCTCATTCGTCTGTGAGGATCAAACGTAGGACCGATTTTCCTTTTAAACCTCGTGAATATCTATTTTGACACAGTGCATTGCAGAAGACCCCTCTTTAACGAGTAATTTACATACTTTCTGGTTCTAAAAGGGTCTTCTCACTGACAACGGGCTTAGGCGGTGGGAATTCGATATTCAAGTGAGGCGAAAAATTAAACGTAAAAAGTTTCGGTGCGACGAAACCGCCGTAACCCTCTCTACCCTTGTGAAAGATTCCTACACCGGAAATTGGTACAGCAGGATGTGGCACAATCGGTTGTATGTCTATAAACGGAATGGTTGTCTGAGCCACGTCCTTGGTAAGATCACTCGGTGCGAATTCCAAATACTGATCCGGCATGGAGTCAGGAACGGATGGTGCAGGTGAGTGAGTCGGCACGTCTGGTTTCTCGATCTTGAACAAAGTCCTGCTCGCAGGATAAGAAACAAATTATTAGTCAATGTCATCGTTCTATATAATTAAGAACATAGGTTCTGAAATGGAATGAAAAGTGACGACCCCATTACCTAGGATTGGTCAGGGACGCTGCTGTGTTGTCGTTGCCATGCCAAAGACTTCTTTCAAGCGGTTTTATTAGCTTGCCAGTCGTAAAGTTGAATGGCGTCAGTAGAATTTCCAAATTTAGATTCTTACCAACCAACCTGAATCTGACTCCTGCGAAGAATAATAGTGAGCTATAATTTTCACTACGTAAACTCACAATACCACTTTTTAAAACATCAGAGAATGACTCACCGGTAACCAGATGTTCCTCTTTAGATCCATGATACGTTGTCGAGGATGCGTCTAGGTCATCCAAGTCCAATGCCCTTTGGCTCCAACCTAACGTATGGTAATCACGACCTTCGTGGACGTGGCGATCCGAAATCTTATAATTCTCCACAGGTTTCCATCCAATGGTCTCGGATTGTATACCGCCACGTGGTAGCAGTAAACCTTGCTGTATTTGAAGGTGGATGATCTGATTCTTCTTGGTAAACTTAATGCCCGTAATAACCCTGGATCCGTGTATCAATGAAAATTCATAAGTCTTCGAGACAAAAATCCAGCAGACCTCTTACGTCTTATCCTCACTCACATATTATTCTCAATATCCGCAGTGACGTTTCTCAGATTGAAGTAACGGTCCGAGCTGGAATTGTGGTCGTCGCAGAAACATATGCAGTAGCTGCAGTGCCAAAAGAGCCAGCGCCACCAGCTGTCCACCTTAGTAGTCCCGCTGGCGCAAGTTCCCTTCTTTCCTAACGTACGGCCATTTTCATACTCTATGTACTCGTACCGCCTATTGCTTTCCCGTTTCTGTTCAAGAGTCTCCGGGTTATTATCCTGCGATTACAATTCATCCTGTCTCCTCCAGTTTACTTACCGAAGGGCAGATCCACATGTCGGAGTCGATGTACTGACAATTGTAAAGCATCCCGTTGCATCGTCGCTGACGTGAACAATACTGATTCTGATAGCAGGAGTAAACTTTTTCGGCCGTGTAGTAGCCGCAATTCTCACGGCAGGTTTGTGCGCTGTTCATGTCGACCTCGTTCACGACAAAGCCTTGCAGGAGCTGCTTCAGTTCCGTGTACGTCACGTCTTCGTGAAAAGCAATTGATCTAATTAACATTCGTTGTCGCGAGCTACCAATTTACTCTTTACTCACTTTCCTCGTGGATGGACGGGTCGCATCTCCACAATGCTCTAGGGGCAAAGGTCATGGCCGTCTTTACCTCTCGTAGAGTCTCCAGAGTTCTTAACATGTATTCATTCTTGAGCAGCTGCATCTCCTCGCTGAAGTTGCCTATAGGAATTCGAGATGAAATTATTGAACAGGCTCGTACAGTGAATATTTTAAAGGATAGACTTACCTTTATTATACATCTTCAAGAGTAACCAGGAAAATTGCATCATTGCGTATCCCTTGATCTCGGTCAACGTTATTGTTGTGTATAGGCTGTACAGTAACTGCTGGGGCGATTGTTGCATGTTGCAAATTTGCGAGGAACTTTCCTGTGTGCAGAACAAAAAAAAATATATTTGTTAAATATGTAACACAGTATCTCTGGTACACAACAGTGACCCCAGATCAGTTCCTGGAAAGCTATGAATAATCTGTCCAGCACGAAGGCTGTTTCACATGGTACACAAAATAATTATCTGTTGGGAGACTTTGCAGCTTCCAATGGCCACTTGCACGATACTTGGGTGTATGTATATATACACTGTCTACTTAATGACAGTAAATTAAAATCTATTGCCAAGTCAAAAGGCTATGAGAATCATGTAAATTTGGTCTAGTGCACGATTCGAAACTCTTGTGTCGCAAGGAGCTTTTAGGGTTTCAAATCTGATGGCTAATTTCGGGCTAATTATTTTTCGTTGGTGATCGGTGTACCTGGTAGGCCGATACGAACAGTTTCTGGTGCACGATGAAATTGCTAATTCGGTCAAGGGCAGCTGGTATGGATGCGCTGACGTCGTGTAAAATCGTTTCCGCAAAGTTGGTCCACTGTTGGACATTAAACGGTGCTCCGCTTAGTACCTGTCCTTGCATCCTACGAAAAGTCATATAGAGACCGTCTATGGTACGTTTCTCGGACTTGACTCTAGCCCAGAGCCAAAGCGAGTTCAGTGAATCGACGTGAGTCTTGGCTGTGGCCGGAAAATGCTCGTCCAGCGAATCGCCGAAGTCATTGTAGGCCTTTATTATTTCCAAGTAAGTCGAATTCGTCTGTACGTCGTTCCAGTTGGATGCAAAAATCAGAGCGTCCAGATCAGCCTCGAGTCCGAACAATTTTTGCCTGTGCGTGTCTATTAACGAGTACTGCCTTTTGACGGATTGTCCTACCGCCAGGAGACACAAAAGTCCCAGCAGTCCTTTCATATTTTAAAAGGACCCTATGACGATGAAAATAATATTCTTCTATTCTGGCTTTATATATATCTGCTTCTCTCGAGTCTCTTCTTTATCAGTGTTTAAATATTTAACTTTTGTCGCACTGCCAATTGATAACCCCTGGGTACCAGTCGTGTTTTCCCTGTTGACTGTCTTGCCTTACTTTATGTGGCTAGTAGCAGCAGCAGATACAGTCAGGTGGATGATGCACTGGGTGTTTGGGATGCTTTCTAGAATTAAAGAATTTTGTCATGAGAGCCTTGACTATTTCTAAGCTTTGACTGTGAGAAATCAGTCTGTAATTTCATTGCTTTGAGATAAGACTTCTTCGAATGCTTTCAAACACTTTGTGCATTCACGTAAATATGGTGCCGAAATTTTGTTTAGCTTCTCAAACGATAACTGGACTGATGCTAACCGGAAGGTCGTGGTTTGTCCATCATTACGAAATTATCCCAGAAGCCCCGATGACTTCCGTACCGTGACTCTCCGACCACAATTTCAATCCGGTCTTTCATTATCCAAAAATGAAGCATGCAAGTGCGAAATGGAACAAAGAAAAATATTGTATCGTGCAAAAATTTTGCTCGGATAATTTTCAATTGAAATCAATTATGCTTACAACCAAGGGGAACGTTATAGCCTAAGCCTCCCTTTCTATTTGACAGATTGCCTGTGCACTTGAAACTTTAAATAAGTAACGGCGCAAATACTTTGGAATGCCACAGTGGATCCATTACCTATTCACGTAGGCTGTCGTATAAATCCCAATCCTGACCAAGGACACATTCGCCTTATCCGTACCCGTTGCGTTGAACGCAATCCCAAAAACACGTTTACGGAGAAGACGGAATCCGCGCGCTGTTCTCCCAACAATTATTTCCCTTTCTTTTCCTTTCGCCTCGCTCGACCAATACGCTCGGTGCGCCAGCTGGAGGCCTACTGAACAGATACTGAACACAGAAATTCCTTCTCAGTTCTCTCTGCATTGCTGCTTGTCTCTCTCTCTCTATCTCTCTCTCTCTCATCCACTCCCACAGTCGTTCCATACCATATAATATGTCCGTTAAGTTTGCACGTTGAGAGACTGTAGTGCGCATACTCCATATGTATATTCTGTAGGCATATTACGCTTTCTCTCTCTCTGTCTCTCTCTTTCTGTCCTCCTTTGTTTCTCTTTGGGGTTCCTGGTCAAATGCAATGTAGGGTCTGACGTGTAGGTACGGAGGCTCCTATGCTGGCTGATCGTGAACGTTGACTAAGGTATTAATCCATATTAGAGGAGAAGGTTGAACACTCATTTGTGTGATGGTTGATTTATAAATTGAACTGGTGATAATTTGTGGAGTTCTTAGTGACAGACATTCAGCGTAGGATCACGACTTTTATTCCTCATGAATTTCTACCACGTAGTTCTTTTGATGCTACGTTGCGAATACAAGCGAGGATGATTATATTACTCGGGATATTAGTTCTTAGAAGGTTTGTTGAGCTTGCATATCACGAAATATGATAGTTCCTGGGGTCCAATAGCACGTGCAGAATGCACCAGTAGCACGCACGTGGACAGCACGACTAACTTATCATAGCTCGTGTTTTATTTCAGGAGAATAATTGAGTACGTTGTTTTAGCGTTTTCTTGCAATGTGTATTATTGCTTTGATTTTCTTCTCTTTCGTCGCTCTGTAACCACGCAGAGATAAAACCTTGAGTCGCATTAATCTAAATGTAGATATTTGATTGCGTGCAACTGTAATCTTTTGAACTCCGATTCAACGGACCTATCGTACTCTATAAATCTCACTTTCATTATTCGTCTTTACATTCCTTGCTTTCGTGGATGTGAAACTATGAAAACTTCTACTGTAAATATCGTTATCCTGAACGTGAATTTTCGTCCATTTTTACTGAGAGAAAGTGTGTGGATTAAACAATACATTGGCGCGTGAATGCGTTTAACATTCTTTTGTTTGACTGTAGATCCGTAACGGTTGTCATTAAGGGAACAATACTGTTTCTTGAATATCGTGGTGGTTCTTGCGAATACCACTGACAACAGTAAATATATACTTACTCGTATTCGTACAATTTTCAAATGATTAGGTAGCAATTGAATAATAATTCCCTACAGAATCTAATAAACATAATTTCGCAATAAATTAACGTACCTTGAAGCTTTTTGTCAGAAGTTTTAGAAGACCCGGATCGAGTATACTATATTGATGAGAAATAATGATGTGATTAATCGTCTTGAGCATATCCGGTATAGCACCGTAGCTGGAGGACACACAGAAATCCGCAAACTCCTCCATGGTGTATCTCTCGTAATTCTCCAAGGACTTAGAGTAGGCAACGTATCTCTGGTAATAATCGTCCATTCGTGAAATGAGCTTGTTCAGATCACGCAGCTTGTCCTCTAACTTAATATTCTCTGGCAAAGCGGTTAGGATCGTGGCCAAGAGAGCTTGGCTTCTCTGGGACGATCTTTCTTCGAAGGCATCTATCTTGTTAGAAACCAATGCAATTTTATTCATTAAACGTTGCTCTGTCCTCTTCACAAATGGAAAACTATTTTCCTCGCCATTCTCGTTTGGTTCTTTCGGTTGTATCCAGTGCACAGACTCTAAAATATCCATCACTATCTCTCGACCGAATTTTAACATTTCCGCCACATCGCCGAAGTCGAACTCGAATCCCGCGCCACTGTTGAGCACCAGGAACACGATGACAATCGTACACGGTAACCTCATGGCGAATATTTAATACCGGTAAGCACACTATTTAGATCGATCAAAACGATCAATCATGGCCTCTCTACACAGCTGCCTCAAGGAGTACAGATGCACTCAATCTAAGGTCGACAAACCTTCCACCCCAGCTCAGTGGACAGCAACAGATGATGAGCAACGCGGTTCTCAGTAGTGTTTGCTCATTTAAAACTGAAACTCAGTCCACTATAACCGACCATCTGACGATCGTTAGGACCATGGTTAGGAGTGACACTATTTGGCCCCCCCTAGCTTTGGACTGTCTGGTCTCAGAGGATTCTTGCGATTGGTTCACTTTCACGGGAATCCCCTGTTTGCCATCTACCGGAGAACCTTGGCACTGCCGCTTTTATGCAGGGACGATTCTTAACTTTGAGAATACTGTCCCACATAGATTCTCGATACGAACTTGATTTTAATGACTCACTCGTCTCGACAAATACCGTTATACAAACAAATGGCATGCTTATACTGTTATGCGTTCATATCCTTTCACAGGAATTAACGCACTTTTTAGGATTTCTCCATATATTTTTATACCGGTTTGTAAAATGAGTCAGTCCCTACCTGCTCTTTGTTACTTTTTCTTTTTGTTATACGGGGTTGATCCGTTGAAAATTTTATTGGACCCTTTGTGTGGATCATTAAATGATAATTCTCCAATTGGAAATACCTATAGGATTGGAGGTAATCACTTTGTCCCGATACAATTGCGGGAATTGAGCTTGATAGTGAGATCGTCACTGATGTATTCATTTGCTATATAGATGTGATCCTTTGAGCGATACGTCAATGAAACTATATTTTTGTTTTACAGGACATTTCTTTCAATAGTAGAACTTTTGGATAAGAGTATGAAGATGTATGATTTTTTTTTCTTTTTGTTCACAGGTAGCATTCTATGAAATTCTACATGGACTCTGGGTCCGCAATGGACTTCAAATCAAGGGTCAGGCTATGACTTACATTCAATGCAATTTCTGCAACTCCATGGTCGATGCAGATCTTTATCTGTTGCAAATATGTGCTACAAAATTACAGCCAGATGTTTTCTTAAAAACAATAATTGAAAAGTACAGTATTCTTATGAGAGGAATCACAGTTTTTAATTAGCTCAGCACTTTTTGTAATCTATTTTCTTCTGTGTTCTTTCTTCAGATTCCATGTCCGTGAATGGATGAGTCTTAGTCATTATCCTGCTCCACAAAATGAATATCTTGAAGGGGAACACGATACTCCTATGCTGGAGAGCTGCTTAACATTTCTGGCCACGTTGGTCAACGTGCGAACCAATTTGGGTAAACATACATGTTACACTTAATTGAGACTGACTGAATTATCATACAATTCCAGTGATCATGCATTGTAATTCTTGACAATTTTAGGATTATCGGATCCTGAGACATCTTACTTAGAAATGGTAACGTTACTCTGCATGGGTGACAAGACCCACAGTCAATTGATGGAGTTGATGCCAGAGCGTTGTGGAACGACACAGAACCGTGACTTTGAATCTGTACTGGCTGAGGTACGTTGAGATTGTAGTTACTTTGTAAAATTTGTGATTTCATCAAATAGTTGTGACTTATGATATATTTCTCATAATAGGTAGCACAATATAGAGCACCCAACCTAGAGGCTAGTGGAAATATGCAACAGGGTATGTACGGTCCAAAACCTCGTGTCTGGGATGAACTCTTCGACCCTCTACATGTTTTACTGCGAGCTGTGCACAGAAGAGATTTCCAAATATCTATGGATCGATTCACTGAATAGTAAAATAATCATATTTTAATACTCTCTCGATATGATATTTAGAACTATTATCTACATAAGAAAATTTTTCTTAAGCGTGAAGCAAACTGGTAAGCTAAAAAGCAGCGCCACCCCGTGGCCACCGTTCCGTCATCCTGCTCCTGTTTCTGCCGAATATGATGACCCACGATTAGTTTTACGTTCGAGAGTCTTTCATGCTATGATTCTGATTATCTTGTACAAGGCTGTCAACGGTCACAATATATCAGAACATGTCATGGCTCTGACAATTTATCTACTGGAAATGGCTGTGATGACAGCGGAAGTGCCTGATAAGGATGTAAGTCAACGTTTTGACATGTGCTCTGTTTAATATGCTAGAAACTCTTAGTATTTTCTAATACAATATTTTCAGGCTAATCCACTGTGTCAATACACTGGTGGAAGCTCACGTGTTATCAAGGATATGGACCTGTCTGGCTGGTACGAGAGTGATAATCTTTCTGAGAATCTCAGGACTATAATACCCCGTGTTACTCTAGTTCAAGAAGCCGAACCTAGTAGTTCTGACAGTATGTATACAGAATACTGTACTTACTTTGACCTGACATTATTCCCTTGACAATATTGAAAATTTACTTTCAGGCGACTTTGAATGGGAAATTCAGGGCGAAATGAGTGAAGTATCGACTTCTCTCATGCTCAATGATGGAAATGACGATGGTTCGATGACAGTTCTTGCTCTACCAGCAGCTGATTCTAATACAGGTAACGAAACGATAGCTTTCCCATTGACCTGTCAATTCTAAATAATTGTTAGAAAGAATATCGTTATCGGCGACCTTAAAATAATCCTTTCCAACCATTACCCATTGCTAGTGCATTGCTCTAGGATTTGATACATAGAAGTCACGTGACAGTGTTTCGGATATTATTAATTTCCCAGCAAGATCCCAAAGGTAACAAAATAGCTTTTTTAGTTTCAACTTTGGTTAATTGTTCTATAGTCGGGTATGATATGGCTATTGTACCTGAGGATGGGATCGTTGCTATCCCTCGTGGAAATAGGGAGGATGACTTAGTACCGTCTCTACAAAGAGCCTTGCCCCCATCTACCGAAGAATCCATGGCCCTTGCCCTTAACGAACCATCTCCTCCACCAAACGGTATGTTTTTTCTTGATGTTTCGTAATCGGACCGTTTACTTTCTATAATCTAGGTTAAAAGTTCATTCAATCTTGCTGTGTACTGGCCAGAAGCACCAAAACCACGTCTTCGTAATGTTCACGTCAGTGGTATACTACCAAATTGCTTTTTAACCTTTTGGCGACGTAAACTTTAACACATTCCTACGTCAGTCTAATCATTGCTTGAGCCTTAAAAGATTTTTTTTCTTTTGCATAGATATGGTTGGTGAACAACCAGCTCTTCCAGCCGCTCCTCCACGCCCGGCAGTGCTGGCTGGAAACGAGATAGTCGTGGCCCAACCGATGTATCCGCGTCTCAGTACGTCAGGTGTTACCACTACAGAAATAGTACCGTCGACTTCGAATGCTCATAAGCATTTCAAACGGCGCGATCCCCAGGTACGTAGATTACTCAAAGATCCTGAGAACCATGAATCTTCGAGAAACTCATTAGATAGATGAGGCTGACAATCGACAATGTTGTATCATAAGGTTGGTCCTGTGCAACCCCAGATGGTGAAGGTCGGCGAGAGTATAATTTCTCTCTTACTGAAGCTACACTCTCAACTCTCTGGAGTACCGGATAGTTACAATCCGGACCAGCCTACGCAGATGGAGAACGAGGCCGGTAGCAGTAGTTCATCCGCGTCGACATACGAACCCCGGATTGGCGATGGACCTTTCTTCATCTCGCAACTCCTCAAGAAGATCGCAAATCTTGATCTTGCTTGTAAGGATAACATCAACGAGACTAGAAATAAATTGTGGCCACGTATGCAGGAGTGCGAGGACGAGCAACGGGCAAGGGAAAACAGGGAGCGCGAGGAAAGACGACGTAGAGCCAAGGAAAGACAGCAGAAGCTTATGGCAGAGTTTGCCAATAAGCAGAAGCAATTCATGGAGAAGGCTATGGAGACAGGCAAGTGTTTTTTTACTTTTGGTTTGATCCACACCCCTTTTTTTAAATCCAATTACAAAACTTATTCGATTCTTTTCAGACGAAGCCGGAGTCTCTGGTATGGATTGGGATCAAGAGGCTGGTCCTACCAAATTAGCTAGCAAAAAAGAATACGACTGCGTTATTTGTAATCAAACAACGCCAAGTAGTGAAGACAAACCGATGGGTCTCGTCGTTTTGGTTCAGGTAATTTTGTTTTTCACATTTGAAAATCAAAATCTTGAAACAGTCCTGTAATTGTAAATTAACAAATGTCTGTTATAGGCTACAAGTGTTATTGGTCATGAAAGACGTCAGGAGGAACGATTAGTTTTACCCACGTCAATCGCCGACCCATCTATACCAAAGGATACGCGTAGTAGCTCATTCGATTACAGAATGGACCAGATGAATCAACATTTTGATGCGGTAAGTATTAAAACCTCTTAAGCCATAACCTTCTCGTTATAGCTTAGTGAGAATTATCAAGGAATCAATTTTGTCTTTTAGTTCTCCTCCTTACTGTCTGTCAATTTGGGATGGGAAGGTGGTGTCCACGTACAAACCTGCGGTCACCACTTACATCTAGACTGCCTAAAGTCATATTTACAATCGCTTCGCGGTCAGCAGAGACAGCAGAGTCTCGCAGTAGATCGGGGCGAATATCTCTGTCCATTGTGTCGACAATTAGCCAATTCAGTTTTACCGCTTTCGCCTCAAATCGGCGAATGCGCCGCGGTCGTTCGTTCACGTCATGCATCCCCGACGACCATCCTCTCCGAGCTGAACAACTTCCTCAAGGAGATACAACGAAATCCAGTAAATATATTCCTCGGAGTCACATTGAAATTGTCTTCTTGCGTTTTCCAGTCTAAGAATCATCGGTATCAATGATCTTTGGCATCCTTGCAGATCTCGTCTAACTTGGCCGTGGCGATGGGAAAAGCCATGGAGGACATGACGAGTAGCGCGTACTTAAAGTATAAGCAAAAGAACTGCACGCCTAGTCACCAAAGCTTGTTCCTTTTCGTAACTTCCATAGCCAGAACAAATTTCGAAGTTGAGATCGTACAGCGGGGCGGCTCGCTCTGTGTACCTCGACCCAGTACAATGCCCTTGACACCTAAACGCGACTGCATAGGTAAGAATTCATTGACAGTTTTAAGAACGTTCGTTACAGTAAAGTATGTCATTTACTTTAAATTTATTGTTCATACAGTTGCGTTACTTCATGTGTTGGCGATGCACGCGAGAGTACTGACTACTTGGCCGGTACATCACACCTGGCAAGAACTGGCTGGATTGCCTTTGGATCCTACGCCCCTTGAACTGACACCACTTCAGAAAGAGGTTCCTCTGCTTCTAAAGGATCCCACGGCTCTTCTTCTACAATTTATTTTACTGCTGCCGCTACACTTGGATCAGAGTAAGAATTCGTTTGATTCGAGACGAGAATAAGACTCTTTCGAACTGTGTTTGAACATTTTGTTGCGTATTACTTGTTACAGCTTATTTCTCAAGCGTGGTTAAGGTCGTTTACAACTTGCTGTACTATCAGGTAATAGTACAAGTGAGCTGCAGTATGACACAAGCCGAGAGAAATTCGATCCTGAGGCGAGGAAAGACTGGCGACCGTAATCCAAAATCTTTGGAGGCTGTACTGCACAATGTAATCAGTTACCTGTCCGAGAGCAACTTGTACAGCAACACTAATATTTTCGGCAGCCCCTCTACTTCGTCCTCTACTTATTGCTTCAGGGTGAAGACTCGGATCGAGCAGCAAGTCAGTTGATACTCATGCAAAAGACTGTAATCTTTTTTTTTACCTCTGCTTCTTCTCTCAAAATCAAATTTATTTTAACGTTTAGATTCAAACACTATGTCTACCCTTCCTGAGAGTAGCAGCGCTGCTTCGGTATCATCTCTACGAACAACCTATACCCTTAGTGCAGACTCCCCAGACGGAATTCGTAAGGCTAGTCTATTATTTGGAATTGGTTACCGAAGGTATGGGCTGGGATAGTTTCAACGCAGCTGTAGCCCTCAACTGGCAGAGTAACGAGGCTAGCGTCCAAGTGCCCAGGTTCTGGTGCGACCAGTACATCGCCCTGGTCAATCGCAACGAAATGGTAGCGAGGAGTTTGATAGTCGATCACCACATAACGTGGCAGATGCCCAAGTTGCTCAGCCTTCCGCGGGAATACGAAAAAATCTTTACGGTACTTATCAGAAAAATGAATCTTCTAATATAAATGGATCCTCACACTTCCGATTGGGTAACAGATGAAATAATAAACATCTCGTATCTTTACAGTATTATCACGAGAGGCAATGCCGCCAATGTCAATCAGTACCTCAGGAAATTAGCATATGTCTCTTGTGCGGTACCATTGTTTGCCTCAAGCAGAATTGCTGTAAGCAACAGAATGTCTGCGAAGCTGTGCAGGTAAATATAAAAGAATTTATTGCTATTCATAAAATTGATAATGCCTTCTATCGATGCAATTATCCATTGACCCTTGATCATAGCATGCAATGGACTGCGGTGCAGGAACTGGTATTTACTTGGTTGTAACTTCGACCTACATTATCGTGATACGTGGCAGAAGAGCCTGCTTATGGGGATCCTTGTATCTAGATGATTTTGCAGAGGAGGATAGAGATCTGAAGTAAGTACTTGGCTTACGTATTGACTTTTACTTTCCTTCGATTACTTTGGACTTACCTCGAATGTCAAGTTTGAGTATATTGTATGTCTAAAAAATGTTGTAGCTTTATGAATGAAGCATGAATGCAAATATTTCGTTATTGTTATTACAGACGAGGAAAACCTTTGTACCTAAGCCCAGAAAGATATCAGCTATTGGAGCAGCAGTGGCTGGCTCACAGATTCGATCACACTAAAAAAACCTGGGTGTGGCATCGCGACGCACTGTAGCCCAGCATTTGGGACAAGGACGAAGCAGGAAAAGTAAGAGAAACTCGGCGGCTCGTGAATATCATTTAGGCACAAAGGGACACCGAAGAGTTCTTGTAATTTTCTTTCCACTGTCATTCGATGTCTCATCAACAGTGGTGTAATGTCCTTAAGGGTTCGAATAGGAAAAAAAAAGAAAGAAAGAAAAGGAGCAGAGAATTAATGGAATCGAATGAGTTAATGATTTGCCCTGAGATGATCGACGGACGTTATATTTATTACGACGTAATTGAACGAATCCTAGGCATAATAATTAATCATTGAAAATATTAATAAACGCGATGACAACACGAGTCTGGGCTAAATTGTTGATAGTCGATATTATAGTTCGCAAGGATGGATTGTATTAAGAAGAAAAAGAAAGAACAAGAAATGAATTATGTTTTCAACTTTACTTTGTACATTTTATTTAAGCATATAAATATATATGTATACATATATATACGTAAATTACGTCCTAGTAAAAAGAAAAGAAAACAAAGGAAACAGCTGATACTTATTTAGTTACTAATTAACGAGAAACGTAACCTCTTCATATAGAAGCAGCCTAGACGCATTATGATTCATCGATTATAGATTCCGCGTCTGATAAAAAAAAAGCGAATAGGGGAATATCCTTGTACTCGATTGATACGTAATTATATTTCATAGTGTAAATCGAGTGCCCTCCAATTAATTAATAAAGCTGGACCTTCGGACCATTCACGTTATTCGTGTCTTTTTCGCTCTCGCGATTCTTCACGGGCAACTGATAAAAAGCTCCTACGAATTTTTTCTGTTTGAGAACATTGTACTCGTAATGAGGCCGGCAGCAGGATTTTTCTTCTTCTTCTCTTTAGTTGGACTTCACTCTGGTGGATGATTTTTTTAAAAGCTATAGAGCTCAAGGCGCGTGCGTGTTGAGAGATGGATAGAAGGGAAAAAAGAAAGAAGCAAGTAAAATTAAACCGACGTCTAACGTACTTTCTAGATTGTCTAACTCAAAGCAAAGACTGATGTCTTTTAAAAATATCTTCTTACGTTTCAACACTGACGTTTCTGGTCTCGTGTCTCGTTCTTTTCGCTGAGTTTACTTTTTTACATCATTTTTTTTCTCCGACCCCACCTTCAATAATTATGCATTTTGCTTCGCATCGAGTCGCATAAAAAAAGGACGAAATAATAGATAAAAACAAGGGAATGAAACTTTAGAAATAACAATACCTCTATATTGTGACTATTATGAAATCCTTGAAAATTGTAAATTCAACGACGCTTGGAATTCGGATACGATTAATGCTTTGATTATTGTCGCTGATTAATCGAATTAATATCCCCGTGTAATTAGATGGGTGCGTACTGTATCTCTGTTTTTTTCATTTTCTTTAAACGTAAAAATAGTGAAAAAAAACTTAAAAATAGTAACGGGGAACGAGATCTTTATAGCTGATCGTAAAGATCGTACAAAAAATTGACAAGTTGCGCAACCATCTGCATTATAACGAAGTAATGTATATATATATACACATTTATACAGCGCACGCAGATATTCAGCAGTCATTCATTTAATTTGTTCTCCTTCCTTTTCTTCTTCTTTCAAATCTCATTTCTCTTTGATGCATTCATTAATTGTTACTATGATTTAGTCTTGGAGTACTGACTGTGGCAAAAGAACAATTATTTAATTATATCTCTCCTAACGACTGGACTTTGTTTCTAACGATTATCTAAGCTCTCGAAAGTGTAAAAGAGAACTTGTATAACGTAAGAATAGGCAAGATTTCTTCTATTGCTAATAATTGGATATGATGAATGTAATAGTGACTTATACGTTTTTTTTTTTTTTTTTTTTTTTTTTTTTTTTTTTTTTTTTTTTTTTTTTTTTTTTGAAAAATCATTTCATGTAAATACGTATTCGATACCAGAGTGGTAATCACGTCGTTACATAATATTTCACGGGAAAAATGATTGGAGTTGATCTTGTATATAGATAATTATTTTTTAGGGCTGCTGTTGCTTAACACTTGGTCATATGAAAGGTAATTGCATCACGAGAAAGGCAGCTATCAACTAAGAATTATAACGAACTGTGTTTAAATGCGTAAAGTATAAACAACTGTACCAAACTATTTGAAAAGTTATTTTATCCCACTCTCTTTAATCCTTCGGGCCGATTACGAATTTCAATGGTGAACGTTAACGTGATTTTATGTGTGTGCGTAATGAAGGTCAATTACTTTTGTACAATATTTTATTCAGAGAATCCAGTACATTGCCACGAGATTATCCACTTTAATTTTAAACGTTACGCATCAATTTGACAATTTTCTCAGCGTTAATCTCGTGCGCGTACATCATCCTTACATTTCTAGTGCTTTTTGCGCCGAGTGGCAAACCTAACTCTTTTTTTTTTATTTCTAATCTACTTTTTTCACTTTGAATAATAATCTAATAATCCATGTGAACTTTCAGGTAAAACAATTCGAACGGGGCTACGTATTTCAAACTAACAAAGAATTTCTAACGTTGGTTATGATCGACGCAATTTTAAAGTGATGAAAAGTTATCAATTACGTAAGTCAGAACGTGATAGTAAGTAATAATAGTCAGTAATCTAAAGGTATTGAACATTATTAGGTTACACGAAGAACATAGTAGAAATAAAGAATAATGATGATTAATATATGCAAACTTCTGAATAATTCGAAGTAAAGGTGCTTTCACAAATAGTAAAAAGAAAAAATGAATTTGTGGAATATCCCGGTGGTTATAATGTCGCTTACAAATTCTCAAAGTGATACAAAGTAAAGAAAACAGAAAGGAACTGTAGTATTATTTAATCGTTTATTGCAATTGTATTTTGAAAGGTAACAATTTAATTAAATTGTACTGAAATTGTCGAAGATCATGCGCTCTTTGCTGAGACACTTAAAAGAAATTATATAATATTAATTCTTAGACTTTGTTGCTTCCTCGAGGGATTTCACGAAAAACTAAACATTTTTTTTTAACGAAATAAAAAAAACCTGCACTGTTCCATAATCAGAAATTATAAATATACTTGTTTGCGGCAACTGATAAAGCTGAGTACGCGGTGCTGAGGCGTTGTAAGATTTTCATTATTCTTATTAAATTTTTGTTGATTTTTTTTTCTCTATTCGCGACGGATAAAAAAATGTATGCTTCAAGATACAATTCATGTAGAATCGACCGCTGAACCACCTTTTGCTTTTACGTTAGAGGAATGTAAAACACCACATCCAGATTACTATGTGAAGATCAAATTACATAATGATTTTGTAACATACATATGCATATTAATAACCTTGTCCAGTTTTTTACGTTAATCACTTTCACTTTGAAAAATAATATAACCAAATTACATGGCGCTTCTCTTCAACTTCCTCAGTACTGACCGCCCGTTTGCTCTTGGTATACTTCGATAACATCATCATTCTCCATCTCCAACTAAAAGTAGGAATTTTCGTTAATACTTTTTAGTTTTATAATGCCATTTCTAATTATACTATTTTTGTCACATTGAAAGTAAACTTAGTAAATTTTAATAGCAAAGATACTTTAACTGTGATGTTAACGTTAATAATAGGTCAACAAATATTACATGTGACTATGTGTCTTATTCTCAAGTACGTTAATAACCGAAAGATAAAATTCACCTGCTTTGGTGTTTCATCATCGTTGATCCTTTTGCCATCAAAAAGAAACCTGAGTGAAGTCATTGGGACACCCTATTTAAGAAAATCATAATTAGAAAGAATGCACTGGTACACGGTAAAGAAAAAAAAGTTATCAACAAGTGACTTCATCCAAGCAAAATACATGTAAATCTTAGAACTTGTCTTAATTCAATCAGCAACAAGTTTAACTAAGTATCAGACAATAAGAATAACATGGATTAAAGACAAAGTATTCAAGGATTGTTGATGATACAAACAAAAAATTGAAAAGTTATAATTGTACAGATGTACCAGTACATGGATGACAATGAAACGCAACTAACCACACGATCGCTGTATGATTTCTTAAGCTTGCCCATCTGAGTGGTCATCTTTACCCTAAAGTGAATTTCATTGCTGTCCTGAAAAAAAACGATGCACAGATCAGTAAAATACAACTACACGAATCCTGTAAAACGAGGAAATGCCCGTTACAAGAAGTTTAATAAACTTACGTTTCCTACGACTTTGAGCTTGATGTATTCTGAATTCGCGTCTCCAGGACCGGCTTCGGGTTTTTGTTCCTGAGTAACACGAAGGTTATAGCGGTTAATTCAATCTCAAAGGATATATCGATGCATATTGATTGAAATTATATTAACAAAATTCTCAATGGATAATCGACAAATCTAACAAGCTTACCTGGTTATCAGACATGATGATTAATTATTACAAATAATATTCTTGACCACGCGCCAGAACGGCAATCAAACACAAGCAAGCAATATGGCGCCACACTTTTGTCAGTTTCACAGCCTTCTATGCGCGAAATAAAATTTCTAACGTTCAGATAGGCTTTACGTTCGCAAAGCGATCGTCTCAGGACCGGAAAGCTTGTCCTTTATCGTATCTGCAACAAAGAAAACAAGGACGCTTGCTAAAGAAATTTTAAGAATTAATACAATAATATAATTCCAAATAGAATTTACAAACCAAAGCAATCTTACTGTTGTACTTATTCGTTAAAATTTATATCGAAGAATAATGCTTCATCTGTTCAACTTATTTGTAAATCTTTCAAGGGTTTCATTACAAGGGCTTCCCTGGAGTTATTAGAGCTTTTTGTCCAATTCAAAGTAGTTTGGCTGGGATTCAAATCTCTCGAGCTTACCAGGCTCGTTTATACGGTTTGAACATTGCTTGTGAACTTCGCTTAATAGTTTCCAGGCTGCTTGTGCTGCTTTGCGAAGATTGCTTCCCAGCGCACTTAACCCCAGTAGTGGGAAGCAATAGTCAACCAGTCGTGAGATACACGCGAAGCAGGTGCAGCGCGCTAGTGTTCTTGATAGAAGGAAAAGGGATTTGGAAATTAGTTAACTAGACGAGGTCATCTTGTGATATTTGTTCTTTGAAAAAATCTGGTTCATTCGTCGATCTATTATATATTGTACGATCACGTTAAATGTGATATCGCAAACGTGAGAATGGCCGGAGTCTTTGACATCGAACTGCACGACGGGGATACGGTCAATCAGGATGAATCCGACGACGATGTCATCGAAACCAGAGAGGTCATACTTCTTCTCGGATTTATAATCGTTATATTCTCTCGACGTTCACTTTCATTCAATATTTTTCACATTGCCTTGAAAACACTGGAGCCAAGGTTATTATCGGACTGACCATGCTGCTTCTTTTACTTTCAGGGAGAATACGACACTACTCCTAACGTGAATGCTATTTTAGAGTAAGTTCTTTGGTTCTTGTCAATTTTCTTCTTTTCTTCTTTTGTTATCTCTGAGGTTATACATTATTGCTCTTTGGTTTTGTATTATTGTCAAGTGTTTTCTAACTCAGAGTGAAAACTTTAATACCTTTTGAATTGCCATGTGTTTACTGTTTACATGGTATTTTCATAACGTAGTGATATTTAGTACGTGATATTAAATAGTTCTTCTTCGTGTATGAATCTTCATTTGTATAAATTTAAAATGTTGAATTTTTATAGAGAATATTACAATTTATTTTATGTTTGTTAAATGTGAATTATTGCAAGGAATTTATATTTTATATCTATATGTTACTAATAAACATGATGACAATCAGATTCTCTGCATCATTATCTAAAGCTAGCGTCTATACAAGTAGTACTATTTTTAGAATACTGAAGTACATTAGTATAGCAGATGTCTTAAAGCTACATTTCTATTTGGACTAATTGCATAAATTTTAATTGATTACACTTATAATTAGTATTATTATCCTCTTAATATATCATTTTGATGAAAGTCCATCTTTACACTGTCTTTAAGTTAATCTTGTATTATATACTAACAGATCTGAAAATGTGGAAAGAGTTCAACTGTCAGAGCAAAATGTTAATCCTGGTCAAGAGAAGACTGGTCCACAAGATTTTGAACTTTGCAAAATTCTTGGGGAAGGTGGTTATGGAAAAGTCTTTCAAGTACGCAAAGTCACAGGAAAAGACCGAGGCAGTATTTTTGCCATGAAGGTGAGCAGTATCATAACTCACTAGATTATAAAATCCAGTTCTAACTGTAATTCATGCCTATAATATATAGGTCCTAAGAAAAGCATCCATCATAAGAAACCAAAAGGATACAGCTCACACCAAAGCAGAAAGAAATATTTTGGAAGCAGTGAAGGTATAAATTTAATTAAAAAATTATTACAAAATATCCACATTTATTTATTCACACTCTTATTGACATTCTTAGCATCCCTTTATCGTAAACCTTAAGTACGCCTTCCAAACGGGTGGAAAACTTTACCTGATTTTGGAATATTTATGCGGCGGCGAACTATTTACGTATTTGGATCGCGAAGGAATTTTTCTTGAAGATACTGCCTGGTAAGTTTCCACGCAGACTAACGATAAAATATTCAAAAAAGAACTAAACATTTACATTGTAATATCTGTCCTTACAGTTTTTACTTGTCGGAAATCATCCTCGCGCTACAGCATCTTCACAATCAAGGAATAATATACAGGTTCGACTTATTTTCTAATCGCAACCCTGATACTTTATTAGTTTAGATAACTAAATAACATTTTAGAGATTTAAAACCTGAGAATATTTTGCTTGATGGCGAGGGACACGTTAAATTAACAGACTTCGGTCTGTGCAAGGAGCACATACAGGAAGGAACCGTGACTCACACATTCTGCGGAACTATTGAATACATGTACGTATTTTCACACAGGAAGTTAAATTTAGTTACCTAATTTCGTAGTGTAGAACTTAAATAATAATATTTTTTAACGTTCAACAGGGCTCCAGAAATTTTAACAAGAAGTGGTCACGGTAAAGCTGTTGATTGGTGGAGTCTTGGTGCTCTAATGTATGACATGCTCACTGGTATGGTAAGTAATTGTAATTGAAAAGCAGTTATATACATACATATATATACATATTTTATAATGTCAATCTGTTGATATCATAGCCACCATTTACGGGGGATGATCGTAGAAAAACTATTGAGAAGATTCTTCGAGGAAAATTAACTATTCCACAGTACCTAACACCGGATGCAAGAGACCTGATTCGCAAATTACTGAAGGTAAGTCTGATTAAATCCAGTTTATATAGTTTCAATAACAAAGGAAGTTTATGGTAAATACTTATTTTTTAAATAGAGACAAGTGGCACAAAGGCTAGGCTCAGGTCCAAGTGACGCGGAGCAAATCATAAATCACAATTTCTTCAAACACATCAACTGGCAAGATGTTATTTCACGCAAACTAGAACCTCCATTCAAACCGTCGCTGGTGAGTATATTAATCCTGTTATATAATTTTGAGCTAAATCGAATAATCTGATTGGTGCATTTGATTCTATCATAGAAAAGCGCCGACGATACGTCTCAGTTCGATGAACAATTTACGGCAACAGCTCCGGTCGATTCCCCAGTGGAGAGTACCCTCAGCGAATCCGCCAATATGATATTTCAAGTTAGCAAAGCGTTGATAAATTATACAAAAATATTATCGTTATTACTACAATGACTTTCTTATAAATCACGAACGTAACTGTTCTCCGTCTTCCCAGGGATTTACTTACGTGGCGCCGAGTGTCCTGGATGAGATGTACACGCAGCCACGAGTCGTGAATGCCAGGAGTCCTCGACGGGGTCTTCTCGGTAGCAGTCACAGTGGGAGTCTTCACAATTTCTCACCTAGAACACCAGACAGTCATCTACGTCCGTCATCTCATTTCCAGCAGCACAGGTAGGTCAGGTTAACCTGATAGGATAAAGAGTGGAACCGCAGGGATTCTCGAAGATGACTGACGATTGGGTTAGGCACCACGCAATGGGCCACAACAGCATGGAAGACACGGAGATGATGGACGTGGGACAACTTCCCGGACATGTATAGTGGTGCAGGTGCTATGGCACTAGCTCAGGAACAGCTGCTGGGTTTCCTTGACTGAACATAAATTCTCAGATAAAGGATTAACGATAGGAAATCACTTTCATGGGAGAAGAAGAAATTAATTCTCGGTTGTCTAGTGGTTAAGAGTACAATACGAGAATGGGGTTTTAATGAGAATCACACCGCTGCCATCGACACATCGAAAGTCCAGCAGCTACGTCTAGCTAATTCACTTCTCTTATAATAAGTCTAGTTAATTAGAATAAACTATTAAAGTATAACGCGGGTTAACAGATTGCGCTTGTTGAAGCGGCCCTGTTTGCCGTCTGCAGGTATCAGTTGAATAATGAAAAGCAAAAAAGGCCTATAATAACACACGATACACACTTTGATATAGAAATTTAGGAACAGCCGAAACGTTCACGCGCCAGAGTTATATATTATATATATACACATGAGTCATTTACGATAAAATAGGTGAGATACGATATATTTACGATAAAAAAGAAATTAAACTCTACACGCTTTCGTTTCTATATATATATGTATATTATACTGTATACGTGCAGTCCCTTGCACAATTTCATCACGTTCAACATTTTTTTTTTTTTCTTAATTATCACTAAACTTGCGATTAGCCATTCTGTTTATTAACCTTTTAGATATAATGCAAAAATTTATAAATCATCCAAGCATGTATGATTCTCATGACAAATTAAGTTTTAATCGTGACACCAAAGGGTGTATCAATATAAATGCGAGTTTGTTTGACGGCATTGAATTTCGCAAACGTTTGCTTGGGTAGAATCAGTAGTGGATAACAGATATACCTGCCATCATTTCAACGTTACACAAGAGCACATACATTCTCTTAACACTTGGCTCTTCCACATCACGATGGGTGCTCACTGATCTCAAGTATGACTTCTTGCCGACTTTATTATTCCAAGTACTATATTTAATTTTGAGATTTAAAAATGCGCTCATGGAACTTTGCGTTTTTAATTGTTTTCTGTCAAGTGCATGTATACGTCAACTGCCATTTGATGCTACTTAACCAGTACCGTGACAAATGCAGACAGAGAGAAGTAACTGATGAAATATAAAAGAAAACGAAACTTAATAACAAAGACAAAAGTGACGACTACTTCACTCAGAATTCAGAATGCCCAAGTGTTCACCAGCCTCCATAGCCGACTAGCATTACCTTTTACATGCATAGATACATGCATTACTATATTATACATAAGATTGTAATGTTATAAGGATCGATTACTACTATTATTATTAACAGTGCTGCTATTATCAGTGCTATGATTAACGCAAGGTATATTGAGAGTGAAATGACAATATTTTGTAAAGGATTTCCTATTAACATGTCTATGGAATGTAAGCATAACTTTGATTTATCAATATTGAAAGAAACTTGTCACTGCGAACAAGCGAAAGAAATTCAATGAATAGATGGTGTAAGAAATTGAAAAAGAAAGAAGAGATAGAAAAATTTAAAAATCGTAAGACTCTTTTGTCTTTTGTCTGACTCACTTCCTGGTAGGAACCTTTGGCTTTAGATTGTACTGTCAGGATACTCTCGATAAGCCTGCTATTAGTTGTTAGATTATAAAAAAGAGCATTATGACAAAGTGGTACTTTCAAAAATATTATCAGAATAAAACTTGTACGTTCAAGTCGGATTACCAATTTTGGTAAAGGATTGTCTCGTGACAATACAAAGATGTTATAATAGTACGAAGGACTCAGTATGGTTTAGCTTCTTGTACGATGGTGAATATGTCACTGGATTGTCTTGAAAAGAGATAATAACTAATACACAATAGTTCCTTATCGTTGAGCATGCTACTTGAGGATTTATCTATAGCTCGTACGATCCTTACTGATAATTCAATATTTTTATCATACCCTTTGTGCGCAGACCGCTCTAGACATCCCTCTGGGCTATTTGTACACCCTGAACGTCATCTTGTATCTGCGTTATACATATTTTTCAAGACTCTGGATGTACATAGGAAAGCACACTGATTGGCCGTCGAATTCTATTTCTAAGCAAATCGCGTTCGAGCATAGTTAGAAAATAACTCTGCCAATTAGCCTCAATGCTATTGGAACCTGAGCGCAGGTGGTTATCAGAATTTCTGTGCTTATCTGATTATCCTTATAGACGTACAAGGTATATCTAATTTATCCTTGAATCAGATTCCTCGAGTCCGATGGGATTGTTACGTGCAATAGAGTAAAGTGACTGTTTATTGTTTCTCTAATCTCCATCATAACTTGGGACGTGTCATGAGAAACTTGCCAGCATATCTTTTTATTATATAAATTAATTGTTCTGTTCGAATCAATGGCATTGTTCTATGACGCCCCGTAGAGGCAGGTAAAATAAATTTTGTGATAGATTTTGGTGCATGACTCGAATCGGCATTGATCATAAAACACGTGGTAGTAGATCTTCGCTTTTGCGTGCAGATTTTAAAAGTGAAAAATTAATGGCGATGGACTCTTCGGCGTGTCACGTTTTTCGTCTTATTGCTTTTATTTTTTAATATCGGACTAAACAGCGTATATCGATTTTCTTTGATAAGCGTGATGAGATTTTTTTCTTTCTTATCTCTCCCTTCATTTCCTTTTAATCGAAAGTCCCGCTGCGTGTTCCCATTAATCGATAGAGTAAACTTTTAATAACGCTTGGGCAATTTACACTATATCAATATTACGTTATAGTTTATTAGAAGTCTAACCTTATCAGTGTAAAGCCAAGTGTAATTATTCTATACGTTGCGTCTTTCTCTGGGATTCATTGTTCGCATATGCGAATACATTGTATCTGGATCTATAATTAATGCGAGAATAAGTCTAATCAAAAAGCGATATTGTTAATCCAATGAATCCTAAGGAGAAAATTACTAACGTCTCACGGACGTCACGTTACTGTCTGATCATTAAAAACGACATGTCAAAGTCGATATTTGCCAGGATGACAATTTCTCTAACGTATCTCTGTATCTCTAATGTGCGTAATTGTAGTAGCTTGTTGCAAGACGCAAAGTAACTCAATTCTTTCACGTCGTAAACAATGAATTATGTCGTGAAAGCTTTTCTGCCTCACAATAATTCTTCTTTGATAATCGATAGATTGCAAATATGCATTCGGATACGCTGCATCGAATCTAGCTAGACTCTAAGCCAATGCCGAACGTGAGGGTAAAGTTCAATCGAATAGTTAATTATATTTCCTTTTTTATTCCCACGTTGTCCGTTGCGTAATTCTTACCTTCGAAAACTATACTGGACTCGTAGATGATGCGATACGGTGCATTTTTTCTTTTCTTTTTTATTCATGACGTAATTCCTCTTTTCATAATATAACTCCATTTTTCTTTGCCCGGAAACAACTTGGCTTTTATTTCTTACAATTTCTAGCTGCTCTCGCTAAGCCTTCTTACATATTCAGGTACTCCTATCCGCGTATGATTCAGGAATAGTGGCTGCCATATTCTTATACGCATATATATATTATATTTAAAAAATAAAAGTTATTACTGATAATGTCCGATTTATAGTAAAAGATAAAATAATTCCTTGGGTACAGAAATTCGTTGATTCGTTCTCAGTCGATTAGCCATGCTCATTGGTCTTTATGAAATTATATGTGCAAGTTGACATAAAATGCAGAGTCGTCACTTTTAAAAATTTTGCACAGAGAAACAGTTTATATTTTTTTACACGGGAATCAGAGAGAAATGGATGAAAAAGAGTGAAGTTATCGAGACGAAAACAAATGTGAAATAATACTAGAACGTGTTTTTACGAGTCCAGCGATTCTCGGATACTCGTTGTAAGTCAGTAGTGTCGCTAGTTAACGTCGATGAAAATGAATATTTTCTGATTGCTTACCAAAAACTCGAATGATCACTGTCTGACAATGTCGTCCTGATTTGTGGATAGTTTTGTATTCTGGTAGAAGTTAACAGAGAATTATGAAGATTTATCGTATTCTCGAACGACGCACATTTCCCTCGTCCAGCCACCAGCTCATTACCACCTCACCCAGATTGTTAGACGTATGGAAAGTTTAGAGTGCATGAATTTTTAGAATTTTTAGAACCGACATCGCTCGTAAATTATTATAGGTACAAATAATAAACGAAATATGTCAGCGATAACAGTGACTCGTTTGTGCATATCTTTACGGGATTAAAATTAAATGAAAGAGAACGTGCAGATGGAGCTCTTTTGGTATAAATGTTAATTTTTCTAATTACTTTGGATTTATTCTTCATGTTTATTTTATGAATAAAAAGTTTAATTCTCGCATAATACCTGAGGAAACTCGAGAAATCTCACATCCTTGTACACCTGGCTACGTAAATCCTTCTTCGAAAGAATCAGTGATATTCTTGACTTGATATTTTTAACGGTTTCTTTATTTTGGAAAATGTAAGTTATATGTATAAGATGGTACAGCTTCAACAATATATATATATATATATATATATATATATATATATATATATATATGTTTATGTTTGTATAACAATCATAATTACTTAACTGTTACAAGTTAAGAGAGAATCGAGGGAAGTAAAAACTCATCAGCGTAAATTGGGAATTTGTGAGTTCATTAATTAATCGTGCGAGTACTTTCTTCTTTGATCATCTCTTCTTCTGTATCTTCGTTCCTCTTCTGATTCGCTGGATTTTCTCTTTCTTTCGTACTGTCTATCGCCTTTATCGTTTCTGTGTTTTCGATTCTCCTTACCTTCCTTATCTCTGCAGTTCAGTTCGTTCCTCTCTGCCTTTCTATTGTGAACTCCTGATTCCTTCATTCTGCGCCCGTTATCCTTGTCCCTTTTGCGCTCCTTTCGACTTTCATTCAAATCAGACTCGGAGGATGTACTTGGTTCTTTGTTTATCTTTGATTTCTTCTTCTTCCTCTTCTCATCACCTGAATCTGAACTGTCTGACTCAGTGCTGATTTCGCTATTGCTTTCTGATTTCACGCCACGTTTCTTGGTTTTCCTTTTCTTCAATTTTTTACTTTTTTTCTCCAGTTTTTGGAGTTTTTTGAGTAGCTTTTTCTTTTCCTTCTTAGAAAGAGATTTCAGGAATGTTACTTCAGGTTGCTCTTCATCATCCGACACCATGAGGTCCTCGTGTTCTGGTACTCTCAAGTGTTGCTGTGCACTTAAGGCTGATCTGTCAGGTTGAACATTGGAAAATTTAGTGTTATAGAAAATAAAGTATTTCCGTTTCATGATCTTTACAAACTTACTTTTTCAGTGCCAAACCGTCGTCTCTCATTTGCTGAACTAACGTTAGGGCATCCGGAGTTGGTTGTGTCTGTTGTGCACTGTTTGCCATTACTACACTCATGGCTTGACTATATAAAGGACATTCCTTGTCTGAAAAAGATTGTACTTGTTAAAGAACTGTTTAAAAAACTGAATAAGTTATTTAAATAATGCAACATACCTGTATTGATATGACCCCATTTATGGCATTTAATGCAACGTACATTACGCACTTGAATACCAAAAGGCTGATCACGAATTTCACTGTCACCCTTACAATAACTTTCCCTGGGTGCATTGTACTTGCGCTGCCACTCAAATTTATACTCAGGCTCGTTATCCTCTTTTTCCCTTTCTTTCTTTGCACCAGGTGGAGGTTCATACATGAAATTGACACTCAATTTATCTTTGCTTTCCTTGCTCAAAAGAGCTCTGTAAATAAATCATCTTAAAGGTAAGTACCCTGCTGTAATTTGAGAGTGGCATAAAATTACTATTGAAACATATACTTGTTGTTGTGAAGATCCTGTTCCTTTTCATACTGTACACGCAATTCCTCCTGTTTCTTTTTGTAAGCCTCAGCTTGTTGCTCGGCCATCCATACCTGTAAATATAAAGTTGTAAACAGCTCTATACAAAATCGTAATTTCAGAGTACAGGAAAATGACAAAGGATACGTACTCGCTTCAAGTTGTCTCTCGATGCGGGATGGAAGAATTTCTTGCACATGTAATTGTTGAAACCCTTTCCCATTTTTCACAATTTCGAATAATTTTGACCGAATAGTGTAACTCAGGGTGTTGCAGTGCTGATCAATATTTTTATATAATATTTGATTGGAGGATTATCCCAATCCCAGAGAAAAAAGCACTGCCCCCCCATATCATACACGACATTTTTCTCAACTAGAAAATTGGTCATTTACCAACTAAACATCTTTTTTCAGATTATTTTTATGCTTCCGCATCGTTATACGTATAAAATTCTGTGAATAAAATAGCAATACAATTTTATTATCGTATCTCATGCACAAAAAACTACAAAGAAATAAATTAAACATAAAAATCACACTTTTAAAAGTAACTCTGACTAAAAATAAAAACATAGATCAGTAAGAAGGGAGATAGTAAATGAGACGATGTTCATGATCCAAGTTTTATTTCGGGATCGACGCACCATCTGTGCGGAGGGTTCTAGAACCAGTACCGCGTTTGTGATTGTTCGAACGTTTAATTACATTTGCATTTTCTTCAAAATAAAAAATTAAGGCTAGATCAAAATCTCACAAAACGGCGATGTAGATCAAAATTGAATTGAAATTATAAAATGTCTAAAATAAATTACGTTCAAATTGAAATATTAGTAAATCAGGTGTTTGGAACATTAAAATATTAAATGAAATCAATAAAGTAAAGTATTAACACTTAGAAGTCGGAAATTCTGGCCGAACATATTTAGAAATACTGGAAGTTGCCTAAAATTGTATGCGCGCAACTTGGTCGCGCAGGATTCGGTGAGTGGGGGAGAGTGGGGGGTTAGCGACGAACGCAGCGCCCGGACTCGGAGCGCTCATTCTTCCTCGAGCCGGTCTCCTATACTGGTCTCTTGGAAATACCCCTCATATTCATTTGCAACCTTCTTCTTATTCTATATTTATTTCTTCATTAATTCCTTATTTCTTTATCTTTTATTCTTCAGTCTCTTATTTATCTCTTTCCTCATTCCTTCACCACTTTTATAACTCTATTCCTTACTTTTCTACTTGTTCACTTCTTCATTTCTATATTAATTTCTTTATTATTTTCACTTATATCATTTCTTTCTTATCATCTTATTCTCACTTCTTTATTGCTATATCCATTTCCAACCTTCTTCTTCTTCTTCTATATTTACTTCTTCATTAATTCCTCATTTCTTTATCTTTCATTCTTTACTTTTTTATTTATCTCTTTAATCATTTCTTCTCCACTTTTATAACTCTATTCCATACTTTTCTACTTCTTCACTTCTTTATTTCTATCTTTATTTCTTTCTTCTCGTTTCGCTTTGTTCCTTCTCACTTTCCATTGTATTTGTCTTACTTTTCCTATTCCTTTGGTCGGGTCGAGCATATTAATTCAAGTAGTCATATAAGAGTAGTCATCCGGTTAGTGCAGCTAGACTTAAGACCATGGTGTCGGGGGTTGCCCTTCCGCCTCTTCCGCTGAGCTTGCTCAGTGGTTGGTGGCCCAAGTTGTGGCCGCAACAGGACCTTATGGGTCTCCCGACGGGGGCCTTGAGCCCCCTTAGGGTATCTACGGCCATGGTCTTTCGTATAGTGAATCTAGCCAGGTGTCTAGCTCTCGCGTATTTAGTATAATTTGTTCGCTTTGCTAAAAACGCTCCAACATGTCGTTGACCCTCGGGCACTTGTGTGGGTAGAGACGATCCTATTTGTCCGTGGGGAGGTCGGAGGGGTAGTCCGTTGACTTTGGGTAAAGTCCTACTTGTGCTTGTGCTTGGGGGTCACTTCACTTGGGGTAGGTGCGGGGGCTATTGAGCACCCGCTAGTATAAAGTCACCCTCTGTCGGAGACATTTTGCGCGGGGATCGATGGCTAACGGGGCCCGCCGCCGGCGGCGGGCGTGGCTCCTTACGTCTAACCCACTGGGCTCGCCCGTGGGAAGGGACGGAGGTTGTAGCGTTAAATATCGTCCTTCCGGATGTCCCGGCGTGCCCGCAAGGGTTCGCTGGGTGCTACGCCCGCGGTCTTTCGTTGCGGTGAATCTTGACTAAGGGCAGACCTTTCGCGTTTAACTTGTCCCTTTCGCGTTTAACTTATCTTAGCTTTCTCGCGTTTAACTTATCTTAGCTTTCTCGCGTTTAACTTATCTTAGCTTTCTCGCGTTTAACTTATCTTAGCTTTCTCGCGTTTAACTTATCTTAGCTTTCTCGCGTTTAACTTATCTTAGCTTTCTCGCGTTTAACTTATCTTAGCTTTCTCGCGTTTAACTTATCTTAGCTTTCTCGCGTTTAACTTATCTTAGCTTTCTCGCGTTTAACTTATCTTAGCTTTCTCGCGTTTAACTTATCTTAGCTTTCTCGCGTTTAACTTATCTTAGCTTTCTCGCGTTTAACTTATCTTAGCTTTCTCGCGTTTAACTTATCTTAGCTTTCTCGCGTTTAACTTATCTTAGCTTTCTCGCGTTTAACTTATCTTAGCTTTCTCGCGTTTAACTTATCTTAGCTTTCTCGCGTTTAACTTATCTTAGCTTTCTCGCGTTTAACTTATCTTAGCTTTCTCGCGTTTAACTTATCTTAGCTTTCTCGCGTTTAACTTATCTTAGCTTTCTCGCGTTTAACTTATCTTAGCTTTCTCGCGTTTAACTTATCTTAGCTTTCTCGCGTTTAACTTATCTTAGCTTTCTCGCGTTTAACTTATCTTAGCTTTCTCGCGTTTAACTTATCTTAGCTTTCTCGCGTTTAACTTATCTTAGCTTTCTCGCGTTTAACTTATCTTAGCTTTCTCGCGTTTAACTTATCTTAGCTTTCTCGCGTTTAACTTATCTTAGCTTT